TTAACAAGAAAAATGCTGAGCCTAGGTTAATGAAATGGACCAATTTTTAGAAAATCAATGCAGCAGTAGAAGGGAAATCCAGCACATGAACAGATTCCTTTGAAGCAAACTGAGCGAAAAATGGCCCTTTCTTGCTTGTATGGATTTTGGCAGCCAAACTGTGCAACGTCTCCCCGCTGAGAGAAAACAGCAAACAAGGAACAGCCACACTTTTATCCGTGTCATTAAAGAAAACAATGCTGTTGTTGTTGTTTTTTTAAAGACACGCCTGTGCAGTTGTCAAGCTCTTTCAGCGACACATTTTTACTACAGCCAGTTTGTAAATCAATATGGCGGCCTGACCTCCTGACCACAAAGCCCAGGTATTTAAAAACAAAACAAATCATACGGAAATCGAAACATGCAATTGTATGGCTTTGTATTTTTATTGTTAGATCTTGTTGTGAAGTATGTGCAGATTGCTTAATTTTATTGTATATTTTTGTGGTTTATTGTTAAAGTTTTGTTTATGACTGTTCTGTTATATTTTTTACTACTGTTAGGAGTTTTTTTTTTAATGTTGTGAGCCACCTTTGGCATGATTTAATGGGAAAGAGGCAGACAAGTGAAGGGCAATGATGATAAATGATGGTGATGATGGAGTTGGAAGAAGCTTTGTAGGCCATCAAGTCCAGGGATGTGCAATGTGAGGCCGCTGGACTACAACTCCCATCACCTCCGCCCATTGGCCATGCTGGCAGGGGCTGATGGGAGTTGGAGTCCAACAACATCTGGAGGACACCACATTGCCTGCATTGGCCAGAGGGCTAGAGTGGATCAGGAGTTGTCTAGAGGTCCTAGATTTGCTGTGCCTTGAAAGAAACATGACAACAAGGAACAAGTGTACACACTCAGAGGATGACCTCCAAACCACCCTAAATATCTTCGCAGATGCTTACGAAAAGCTTGGCCTATAACTCAACATCCAAAACGCGAAAATCCTATATAAACAAGCATAAAACAACCCCTCTGCCATGCCACAAATCCAAATCAATGGTGTAATGTTTGAAAGTGTTGATCACTTCTCCTACCTGGGCAATTACCTTCCCACAAGGGCCAACAATGATGCTGAAATCCAGCACCACCTGAGCTCTTTGAGTGCAGCTTTCTCCTGATTGAAGTGCAGAGTGTTTGAGGACCAGGATATTTACAGGGAAACCAAAATGCTTGTTTACAAAGCTATTGTACTACCAACCTTAATGTATGCTTGTGAAACATGAACCACTTACAAACACCATCTCCAACTCCTTGAAAGATTCCATCAACGGTGTCTCTGAAAATTTTTTACATATCACTTGGGAAGATAGGCAAACTAATGCCATGTACCAGAAGAAGCAAAGATCACTAGTGTTGAAGCAATGATTCTTCAACATGAACTTGGTTGGATTGGTCATGTTGTTCGGATGCCTGATTATCATCTTCCAAAGAAACTACTCTCTTCCGAACTTAAAAATGGAAAGCATAATGCTGGTGGTCAACAAAAGAGGTTTAAAGACTCTCTCAAGGCAAATCTTAAAAAGTGTAGGATAAACACCGACAACTGGGAAACACTGGCATGCAAGCACTCCAGTTGGAGAACAGCCTTTACCCAAAGGTGTCATGGACCTTGAAGAGGCTCAAACTCAGGACGAAAGGGAGAAACGTGCTAAGAGGAAGGCATGCTTGGCAAACCCTCACCATGATCAACTCCCACCAGGAAACATGTGTCCCCACTGTGGAAGGACGTGTGGATCCAGAATTGGCCTCCACAGTCACTTACGGACTCACCGTTAAGACCGTGTTCATGGAAGACAATCTTACTTCGCTACGAGGGATCGCCAGAGAAGAAGAGACAATAACAGCTGTTGCTTTGTCTTATCTTTGCCCCACTTTTGTTGAGTTTTAGCCCCTCCAGAAAGCATTGGGTGGCAGCATTAGGGGAAGTCCTGCAGGACAACTTAATAAAGCAGAATAAATCCACCGCTTAGTCACTATCATTGTGTAATGAACATGCAGCAGAAATGCACTTGCCATAAAACACCTGTCTGGAGGGGCCACAAAGCATTTAATAAAAGAGACCCTTTGTCATGTGGGGCTACTTGAATCACAGCAGTATTATGAGCAGGCAAGGCTAGTGGGACTGGGGTGGGGGGCATAAGGGGCCAAGGAGAAAGGGAGAGGAATTTCACATATCGCTTCCAGCTAAATAACCTGTTCGCTGCCTGCAGGCTTCTAGCATAGCTAATTGGTATTGACAAACACATCATCCGTGAATATGCCTAATCCTTTATCAAAGCCATTTCAGCTACTGGCCTTCGCTATATCCTTCAGCCTTGAATTATTTCGGTTTTAACTGTGGATTAGGTCAGTGGCTCCCAACTGGTGATCCACTGACCCCAGGGGATCCTGGTAACTCATTCTGGGCATCCATGGTGCCATACACATAACAAAAACTACCTCAGAGATTGTAGGAGTGCAAATATCCAGAGTGTGGGGTCAGATGGGATTACTATGAGGAATTATAAAATATGCATCAAGCCATTGTGTCCACTGTGAAAGCATGGCGTTGACTGGGTTTAATTCATTGACAATTTCTGATCAAATCCCACAGCCCTCTGCATCTCTGGCCATTTCCTCTACTGTCCATTTCTCTTGCTTGACAAGTCACGTACTGCAGGCAGGCATCCTGGGTCATCAAAGACAGTGGGCAGCTTCTTTTGATGTAGCTTTTCTGATATGTTAATCTTAGGATGTTAATCTTAGGGCCAGGAAACAGATCTCACCTGAAAGTGATAATGATCGCTGTCTTCCTGGCCATCCTTCTTATCCTGTGTATTGCTTGCTTATGACCTCAGGGGTTGCCAAATGCACTCCTTTGTAGTTCTGTTTTATTTACCCCATGCTTAAATAGTTTTGGTAGTTTAACTTTGTCCCCACGTGGGGTTTGTTGAAATGCTCAGAAGAAATCTGATTGGTTCTTACGAACACTCTGTAAAAAGTTCTTTTGTGAATAAAACGACCTGGGCCGGAGGGTGGAGACAGATTATTATACGCACCCTTCCCAGAGTCTTGCTGGTTCAAGCCTCTGTGTCTATTCTTATTAATCAGAGTTCAATCCTTCCTTTGCTTTGGGAACGCTTCAGAGATATCGAGATTTTCAAAAGCAGCTTGGCTCTTGAAAAACAGAGGGTCGGCAGTGCCTAGTTAATTGGGAACCACTGGATTAGGTGAAAATAATCTTTCCTTTTCAGTGGTCTGGGTTTTTCCCCTGTTATAAGCTGTTATAATGTTATAAACCTTTTGCATACCAGGTGTGAACAACCAAACTCATTGTAGAATCATAGAATCATAGAATCATAGAATCATAGAGTTGGAAGAGACCACAAGGGCCATCGAGTCCAACCCCCTGCCAAGCAGGACATCACTGGGAGTATACCGGTGTGATTGTTCTCGGAGTACTGCATATTTTCCTGGAGAGTCCCTCGCTCTCACACACTGTAAGTCATTTAGACAATATTTGCTGTAACTGAGCACACAACAGCATGCTCAGTCTTGACGAGAGACCAACTGCGAATGTCCAAAATGCTCAAGCTTCCCATTGGTTGCCATGGCATTCTCCCCCCGCCCCCACCCTGGACCGTTTCATAGCAAACCCTCACCCTGAGACATTGACTTGCATTCAGTCCTAGCCAGTGGCAAAGTCAGAATACACATCAGGCGAGCCAGAAACATCCAACAGTCTGCTTTTTCATTGGTTAGTGTACCCAGAGGGGAGTTTTAGCTAATAAAGCCTTTGCAGGTTGAAAAAGAGATAACAGTCTCCCCAGTTTCTGCTAATATAAGCCAGCCAGCACAGCTGTGCTCATCTGAGCGTTTAATATACCACAACGTGACTATATGCTAGGTCTGTGTCTGTGAGGGCCCTCAAAGATATATTCATTTAAAAATATTCAAGGTTCAAAGAGAGAACAAGAGTGCAAGTCTGAATTCCTCTTTCAGTCATACCTCGGGTTGAATGTGCTTCAGGTTGAGCATTTTTGGGTTGCGCTCTGCGGCAACCTGGAAGTAACGGAATGTGTTATTTCCGGGTTTCGCTGCTCGCACATGCGCAGATGCTCAAAATGACGTCACGCGTATGTGTCGAAGCGGCAAAACGCGATCCGTGCATGCGCAGACGCGCCGTCGCATCTTACGTTCCATTCAGGATGCGAATGGGATCCAGAACGGATCCCATTCGCATCCCGAGGTACCACTGTATTTAGCAGAGAGAAAGAGAGAGAGAGAGAGAGAGAGAGAGAGAGAGAGAGAGAGAAAGAAAGAAAGAAAGAAAGAAAGAAAGAAAGAAAAAGAAAGAAAGAAAGAAAGAAAACTATCTAGTCATCTCACCTGCCTTAAAGCCTTCTGGCCAGTGATGTGTTTCACAGTACCTGTTTGGCACCAATGTTTAAATTTAATTAGAATCTCATTAACATTATTTGAAAAACTCAAATTGCTTGTATTTAAAGGCATTGAGGACTTGCATTGAGTTTTTAGCTGTTTTACATTTTTATTTGGCCCTGCGTGTAAGAGAGCTGACCAGCTCTGGTTGCTGCTGCAAAAATTCTGACTTTGGTCCTGGTTCTGCTCATTTGATGTTTTGCATTGCACCTGGAAAGAAGGGAAGTTGTTGCCATGCCTTGAACCAGGCGTGGGGGACCTTTCCTAGACAAGGGCCACATTACCTTGGTGGAAACCTGCTGGGGGCCACATTCAAGTGCAGGGCTGAGCCGGATGCACACATAATTTAAACACCCTTAACACCCACATAGACTCACTTAATCACACACTTTCAAAAAGCTATTTCCCATGGAAAAAGAGACATATATTTAGATTGTTATGAGAAAAAAACTGCTCTTTCCCTTATGGGGTACCCAAGAGCCCATATAGAGTTCTTTTGTAGCTTCTCTATCAGTAGGAGAAAATAACAGAGACCAACCAGAGAATATTGAGAAGCAAAGCAGCTAGTAACCTGATCTTTATTAAAGCTGTTGCAACAGGGTGCTCCCCCACACACACAAGGGAGGGAGAGAGACCCCGAGCCATGTGTGCAAGCCCTTATATAGACATTTTAAATTGCCCGCCCTGGAGTCCAAGACCACCCCCAGAAACATCATACATACATCACAGAAGGGGCAAACTACAACAGAAATCTGAGTGTGGTGTTTTTTTCTCGTCTGCTAGGTTGCTTGATTGGATTACTTAGGCATCCTGGCGGGACACGAGTGGTGCTGTGGTCTAAACCACTGAGCCTAGGGCTTGCCGATCGGAAGGAGGGAGTATTTCAACCACTGGGCCCAGTGGCATAGGTGCAATTGTACAAATATGGAATTTTTCAATTTGGACAGAAACTATTTCAGAAGAAGAAAAAGTTGGGCGACAAAAATGAAATTAGAGGAGAAATGAAGTGAAAATAATTTTAGTATGAATGTGAAACTCCATGACTATGAACTGCTAGCAACAGTCTTTAAATCTGCCCCAGGCTTTTTACTATAACAGACTTAGCACAGCTACCCTTCTGGAACAAGTCTTATGTGAAACAAGGATGACGGTATCCAAAACCAAATCTAATACAGACTTCAAATAATACAGTCATATTTTGCCATGACAAACATCTCTCCCAATAAGGACAGGCATCCAGGTGTTTAATATATTATTGTTTCTAAGAAGAAAGCACATTCACAAGTCAGGTTTTGTTGAGTCTTCACCCAGTTGAAGTGACTCTGGAGGCAAAGAGCTCCCCCGTGTGATTTGCGGGGAAATTACCAGAAAACGTGTTCCATTAACTTGGCATCCTCTGCACCATCAGGAATTTCAACCACTCCTGCCTGGGCAGCCAGGATTGTGATAAGAAACTTGGATAGTTTTTCTCTCCTGATACTCTGGCATATTTCAGCTATTTCCTTCCAGCCATCCACATTACATTCTTTATCCTTTACAATCATTTGTTCCAGTACGTCTGTAAGGACATTTGACAAAGAAAAATGTGAAACAAAGTCTTGCTGCTTTTCCTTTCTGCTTGAATCATGAGTCGTAGGAAATAGAAACATGCATACCTTTGGATAGGATCCTAAATCCATTACAGGGCGATCTATACATGTCTATGAAGAAGCCCCACTGAGTTTGATGGTATTTACTCTCAGTAAGTAAATTTCCATTCTTAAGGTTTCACCCAATATAGTATGCAAAGGATTGGAACCTAACACCACAGAAGTCTGCACTGATGAACTGTAACCTATGCATGTTTTCTTGGGAGCAAGCCCCATTGGACTGACTTTTGAGGAAACATAGGTTGGATTGCAAGGTTGAACTATGTCCCAGCAGACGTAAGATGCCAAGGTAGAGCAGGTCTTTAGAACAATGGCATCCATGTTAATATTATGTTTCAAAACTTAAATCTTAAAGCTGGGGTAAAATGAAGCCATAAATAATTGCTACATTTAGTCACAGGTTAAACATGATGACTTTTTAGTCAGATTGTCCTCTATGAAAGGATGTTAACTGATTATCTAACTGAGTAAAAGCAACAGAGTTAATCCATCACGTTTAGTAGAACATCTGCATCACATATCCAATTAAAGCACCTTTCCCCAACTTAAAAGGTAAAGGTAAAGGGACCTCTGACCATTAGGTCCAGTCGTGACCAACTCTGGGGTTGTGGCGCTCATCTCGCTTTATTGGCCAAGGGAGCCGGCGTACAGCTTCCAGGTCATGTGGCCAGCATGACTAAGCCGCTTCTGGCAAACCAGAGCAGCGTACGGAAACACCGTTTACCTTCCCGCTGGAGCGGTACCTGTTTATCTACTTGCACTTTGACGTGCTTTCGAACTGCTAGGTTGGCAGGAGCAGAGACCGAACAACAGGAGCTCACCCCGTCGCGGGGATTCGAACCGCCGACCTTCTAATCGGCAAGTCCTAGGCTCTGTGGTTTACTTGGTGTCTTCCAAATTTTTTGAACTACAATGGCTTGGGCTGATTAGAGTCAGGACTCCAAAACATCTAGAGGGCACCATCTGGGGAATTAAAGGATCTTGGAAGCAAAAACATGGTCTTAACTGCTGTTAATTTGGCGTATAGCATTGGTGGCCAGTATTTTGGACAGGTGTGCCACAAGTGAAGCCCATGGTGTGAAGGCAAAAAACCGACATGGCAGTGGGAGACCTGTGATGAGATCTCTCACTTGTTTTTAAAAGTTAAATTGAAGCTGAGAGCAGAGAGGGATCCAGGTGGGACTGCATCCCTGCAACCCCTGCTCCTGATTAAAATCCTCCACCTGTCCCCATCCACTACTTACCCTTGTGTGGCCAAACATGCCTGCACTATATACAGGTGCCTGTAGATATGGGATAAATTGCAAGTACATGCAGTGACATTTCTACTGGAAAAAAAACCAGCTGTGCTCACCCCTGCCTTCCTTGGAAATATCTTCCAACAATCGTACGCAAATGACTTTGTGTTCTGTGTCGATGAGTGTCAGGATTGTTTCCCCGAGGGACAAGAAGGGTGGATGCCCATTCCACTCTTGAGTTAGGCAGCGCATGAGTTCTACATTTGGGCAATGTTGCAGTAGGAAGATATAGTCCTCTGCAAACAAACAGCAATTCTGTTAGAAAGGCCATCTGCAAACAATACAATCAACCATGCCAGTAAGTGGAGCACGAGGTGCACAAAATGTCTCCAGTTCTTTGCTGGCAAGCAGAGATCTACCATCTTTAAAAAGGCAAGATGGACTTGAGGATCCCATGGATGGACAGCAAATGAACTATTTTCCATGTAGAGCTAATGCTTGTTTTAAACCATAAGCAACAGAGAGAGGGGAAGAGCCATAATCGCTTCCTCTTTCTCACACACAGAGCATTGCAAAAGTGTTTGAAAATGGCTGAGAAGCATTTATTCTTTCTACATATAGCTTAACATTGAATGAGGAAAATAACACATGTAATTCAGGCCTGAAAAAGCAGCTACTTGACGCATCATCACCATCCCCAACATTTGAGATCATGAGGGGAAGTCCTTTTCTGGCTTCTGGAGTCAGGCATGTGAGCTACAAGGAACAGGGCCTTCTAAGTATTAGTGCTGTTCTTGTGAAACTCCTCGCTGAAGGATGCTCACTAGGCTCTTTCACTTGCCATTTTTCAGAAGAAGATTAAGATTTAAACAGATCTTTGGTTAATTTCAGTGCTGTCGTGGTTGCAGTGAGATATAAATTAACAAGGCTTGGGAATCTACCTCTGGGAAAGCGTTTGCATTGCTGAAGGTAATCCATGGCTCCGTAGATCTGTCCTTGTTTGCACAAGCACAGGGCGGCTTTTTTGTGCGCTCCACATTCAAGGTAGACAATCTGAGCCAAAGCGTAGCACTGGGACTCATTGTGCTTATCCATCTGTGCATAATTGAAGATTGCATCGCCGGCTTCCTCACAGAATGCCAGTCTAGGGGAAACAAGAGCAATTAAACATTCTAGGGACTTATCAGGCTTTGGGGTATTGTGAAGGATTTCAATGTGGAATAACTGAAATAATGATACCTAGGATCATTTTGTAACTCACTTTGACTTTAGACTTAGTGGCGGGGGAGAGTAACTAATATAAAATATAATAATAATACAATAACAATTTATAATCTAAGTGATGCAAAGTAAAAAAAAGAAAGGAACAGGAAGAGAAAACAAGGAATTGAGAAAAGTCTTGCTCATAAGGCAATGTTGGTGTAGGACTCTCTCTACACATTCCAGGAGTTTGAGCATTACCCAAATGATTCCCATGCTGGGAAAGTAACTTCTGAGATTCTGCTCAGGTGCTTCCTGTTGACCACTAACCTGCTTGCTCCCCTACTGCCACCCGCATGCTGCCTCTGCCTCACTTTCTTCTCATCCTGGCCTGTAAAAGGTAAAGGTAAAGGTACCCCTGACCATTAGGTCCAGTCGTGACTGACTCTGGGGTTGTGCGCTCATCTCACTCTATAGGCCGAGGGAGCCGGCGTTTGTCCGCAGACAGCTTCCGGGTCATGTGGCCAGCATGACAAAGCCACTTCTGGCAAACCAGCGCAGCACACGGAAACGCTGTTTACCTTCCCGCCAGAGCGGTACCTATTTATCTACTTGCACTTCGTGCTTTCGAACTGCTAGGTTGGCAAGAGCAGGGACCGAGCAACGGGAGCTCACCCTGTCGCAGGGATTTGAACCGCCGATCTTCTGATCGGCAAGCCCTAGGCTCTGTGGTTTAACCCACAGCGCCACCCGCGTCCCTAAGAAATAAACAGAGGTGACTCCTCCTGTGCTCAGCCCCGATGCAGTTGGGTCTGACAGAGCCAGGCTGCCTCAGTTTCAGAGTTAACTCTTCACATTTTGAGAATTGTTGTCCACAGAAGTACAATCAGCAGGAGCATCAGTAACGCATCTGGATCTGCCTTCTTTGGAGCCAGATCACTGGTTCGCATGGCCTAGCAGACCTGTGCAGAATGGGGGGCAGCCAAGTATACTTTATTGCAGATATTAATATTGTGCAGTTTGAAGCAATAGGATGAATTAAAAACTGGTTCCTCTTGCAATAAAAATTGTCCAGACCCAAAATATGGTTTCAAAGCTTTACTAAAAGAATTTTCTTCAAACAGATAAAAATACAAAAAAATGATACAGTGGTACCTCAGGTTGAGAACTTAATTTGTTCCAGAGGTCTGTTCTTTACCTGAAACCGTTCTTAACCTGAGGCGCGCTTTCGCTAATGGGGCGTCCCACTGCTGCCCTGCCGCCGCCGCACAATTTCCGTTCTCATCCTGAGGCAAAGTTCTTAACCTGAGGTACTACCTCCGGGTTAGCGGACTTTGTAACCCGAAGTGTTTGTAACCCGAGGTGTTTGTAACCCGAGGTACCACTGTACATCCAAATAGTTGCATACCAAATGGGCCTGAAATAAAGGTTTGTCCATCTCCACAACCTTCATTACAGCCTGGAGCTGTTTTCTCTCCAGGAGAGAGAGACTTCATTGACACACCTTTGTCTTCGGTGGCTTGAGAGAGGCACCCTCAAAATGGAAATTTGCAACTGAATATCACATCCATGTGGTGTAAAGTTAAACACCATGTAAGAGAGCCAGTAGATAGACATCAACAGGTAATTATCAACCTGGTGGCACTTAGAGAGCTCCTAGTACAGCTCAATGGAATTTCCCATGCCCTTTTAGCAATACACATACAGTGTGATTTTGTTTCAATGTGCAATTAAATAATTATACTTAACACACTTGACCCGGGCCTCAGAGGGCTAAGATGGCTGTGGGGAAGGAGAGCCAGAGGCCTGCTAGACTGTCATGGTAAGAACAAGACTCCTGCCCCCAGGCTTCAAACAAGCTCTGAATGGGCCTGTGGCCCAGTATTGCCTACTCTGAGGCCCAGTGGCTCCCCAGAGGGCTTTCCAGCATAAAAAGCACATGCTCTACCACTGAGCTATGAACCCTCCTTGGATGCTCCGAGTGGCCACTTACCTGTGCATGGTGACCCAGTGCATCACCAGGTCTAACCGTTTCTCATTCAAGGCACACTGGATGGCTTCAGCTACCAAATGGCTTGAAAGTGGCTGCTTAGTAGCTATGCATGTGCTTATTAGAGCTTCGCAGTACATGAGCAGAGGGAGAACCTTCCCTTTGATTGGGCCAACACCTGAAAGGGGAAGTCAGTAAGTTTCTTTTTTAAAAAAATTAAGCAAGCTATGGAAGATAGGAGTGCCTGGCGTGCTCTGGTCCATGGGGTCACGAAGAGTCGGACACGACTAAACAACTAAACAACAACAACAACATGCTTTTGCTTGAGCATTTTTCTTCTCTGCACTGCTGATTCCTCCTCAGTTCAGATTCTCCACTAAGGGAGCCTTAATTCCAACCTTGGATTTATATAATTGCTTGATCTTAGGGCTGATAAGATTTAAAGAAATGAGGAAAATCTCAGAGAGGAGGAGGGAGGGGGGAAACAAGTTGTGGAAAGTGAGGAATGGTGGGTTTAAAAGGACAGAGGGACAAATATATTTAGCTAGCTATCAGTTTTAATTTTTTTTATCCAGCGCAATCACAAAGTAAGGTAGCAACCAGGAATATTTAAAAAATTGCATTTTAATACTACAGGCTTTGATGAGACTTCAGGTGTAAAGAAATCTGAGAAAATATATCTACATAATGTTCTAACCTGCTACACCAACGCAACTACTTAGGGTACTCTTTTGGTTGATTCTGTCTGTTTGGCTGTCAGAGTCTTGTAGTACCTTACAGAATCAGAAAATTGAAAGGTACCTCAAAAGCCCCTTCCAGTGCAGAAAATCTTCTGCTACAGCATCCCTGATAGGTTGGCTATTCAGTGTCTGCTACTGAGAGTATCTCTCTGTACTCTTTTAATAGTCTAACCTGACATACTAATTATGCTACTCAGAGCACTATATTGATTGATCTAAAACAGGAAAGTCATATAAAACCTTAAATATTAATGAATGTATTATGACATAAGCATTTGTAGACTAGACTCCACTTTATCAGATGCAGGAAGTGTTGTCCATGAAATCTCATACCTAATAAATGTTAGTTGTTAAGGTGCTTTAAGTGGTTTGTGCTACAAGAAACAACACGGCTAGAGGAAGTTAGCTGATCTAAGAAACTGCAAGGGAGAAGGACCACATCCGAGGATCTCCCTCATTAACATCCTTTCAATCCTTTCAGCACCAGACATAAACTTCTCTCTTCACCCAAGGATTTAAAAGGTTATGGTAAATGCCCTTTTTATTGCTGTTTTCTGCTGCTAAAGGTTTGCTATTTTGCTGGATCTGTTTATGGGTCACTAAAATTATTACTGCAATGTGTTTCATTTGCTTTTATGTTATGCCTTACTAATATTTTATTGTAAGCAGTTTAGAAACATATATATCTAGATCTAGATCTAGATCTAGATCTAGATATCTATCTACTGAGTGACTAATAACTCATATACATACGTACATACCCCTAAATTTCTCCATGGTTTCTTCATTGTGGAGGATTCCTCTTGGACAGTTTGCTGCATATATGGCAGCAGCCTCAAACTGACTACGGGAAAACAGTTCATTGAACCTGGCACAGGTTAAAAAACATAAAAGTTCAAAGGCACAAGCAGTGGATGCAAAAACAATTCCATGCTTGGCAGTGGGTGTACACTAGCCAGACACAACCCCAGAAGCTATGTAACATGGGTATGATAGTCAAACTGGAAATACATAGCAAGATGCTCTTCTTTCATGCTCTTGCTATGTTGCTGTGAACAGCAGGACAGCTGTGGTGAGGAGCAAACCATCTCTTTCCATCCTGCTGACCCCATTTTTATCTGTTTTATTTATTCAATTTGTATACCACCCACAGGGCAATTCACAACATAAAAACACAAAATGAGTACATAAAATATATAATAAAAACAAACACAAACAAACAAACAAAAAACCCTCCCGCAAACCCATTTAAAAAGGACATAAAATGTTAATCAGCCCCTGGTTAAAGAGAAATGTCTTCGCCAGGCACCTAAAGATATGTAATGAAGGCGGCAAGCAAGAAGCCCTGGGGAGAGCCTTCCACAAACAGGGAGCCACTGCAGAAAAGGCCCGTTCTCGTGTTGCCACCCTCCAGGCCTCTCACAGAGGAGGCACACGAAGAAGGGCCTCTGAATAACCCCCTCTGAGGTTTTGTGTAGATGTTAAATAAATGGGAGGGGGCCGTGGAGAAGTAAGAGGGAAGTGAAACAGTGAAATGGCGTTTCTCATCTGAACAGAAAGAGAAAACCATCTCTCTGGTTCCATTAGTCTTTTTGGTTATGGCTCTCCTTAGAATCTATTTCTCCAGCAAACCCTTGCTCAAAGACACCATTTGCTTCTCTCCTTCCCTGCACCTCCATTTTCCTCATAAGCTTTTTACATCACTCACATCAATTCCTCATCTTATTCTCTACCAGTGTCTTGCCTATCCAAGATCTCTGGGACAGCTCGTGCTAATGACTACCTTTGGCCCTGTGCATTAAGGAGCAGAAGAAGCAGCTCTGTTTGGCACAGCCAACTGGTAAGGGATGCTCTTTGCTTCCTGCTACATCTCCCCAGTTCTGTTTTTCCCTGCAGTTTTGCTGGCTGTGTATGCCATGACCCCAGCTGTGTGGGATGTATTATTACTAGAGCAGTCAAGTACAACATCTTCCTGTTGCCTAGAATGGACACACAGGGGAATGTGGTTCCAGACAAGGAGGACTTCCTGTCATACGTGTGTGGAGCTTCCTCCCCGTGTGTGACCAGGTAGATGACCCTAACTGACCAGATAAAAAGGGTTGGCCACACAACCATCTCTCTCTTGGACTCTTAGTCTCTTACTTTTGGAGTCTCGTGGCTCTTAGCCAGCGCATGGCTCAACCTTCACATAGGTTGTAGCCCACAAGCAGAAAGTCTGAGATGTAGCTCAGACTTCTTTTTACTATAACCACAAGATAAAGCATGCCTTCAGATTACTGCTGTGAACTGAATGCGAGTAAAACTTTATTCTTACTTTTAAAGAAGACTGTGTCGTGTTATTATTATTTTGAGGGGGAAATAAAGGGAAAACTTACCAGGAACAATCCAGACTGGATTGCTTAGTTAAAGGATTCTAATGAATCATCAACTTGCTTCCAATATGTTGCAAAGGGAATGTGCTCTGCTGTTTACTCACTAGCGTGAGTGAGGAAGGATAGTATCAAAACAATATATCCTCTCCTACCTTCCTTAATGTTCCCACAATCTGCACACCAACAGTATGTCACAGAGGGGAGCAGGGAGACTGCTTGTGCCCACTGCTGAAGCTGTCAGAGGATCTCCACTGTACTGCTGCTCTCTGTTCAGTCGAGCAGTCTAATGACCGCAATGTGCTTGATGTGCTAGTTGTGGCGGGGACAGACTAAAGGGCATGCTCCATCACCTTACCTTTCAATGTATTCAATCAGGTCTTCAGCCTCTTTGCTTTTGCTGGGGTCATGTTCAAATACGCTGGAAATGCTGCTGGCAAGTGTATCTGAATAGAGAAAGCCATCCATAGTAAGTTACCATTTTATGCTCTCAGAAAACAGAACCACCAGGAACCACAGGTTTACATCACTTTTAGTATTACTTTAAATGATATGGCTTCTTGTAGTTTAGTGAAAGTGCTGAGAATTCTGTTTAGAGAGCTCTACTCTGCACCGCAGAATTACATTTCCCAGGGTTCTCAGGGGAGAGAAAGGTCTGTTAAACTAATTTTGGCCAATAGCGAATGTGTGCCCAAAGACATCGCCAGCTGTTTTCCAAACACTGTGCAGCATTTAGAAGTGACATAGTCTCTGTTCAAAAGGCTTACAGTTTGCAGTGGGCAGGAAAGACAGGAATGAGAGGTGTGGACTGGATGTAGTAGAGAAGTAAGGAGAGGTCAGCTGGAGACGATGGAACATGAAAGGTGAAGCTAGGATGGTTCAGGAAAGGATTTGCTAGCACATGAGTCAAAGGAAAGAGTGCAGGAAAGGAATCAGCTTGAGCATAAGGTGTAGCTTGTCGGAATTCTCCAGAGATATAAATTTGAAAACTGACAAATAAGAATTTCCAATGAAATTGTTTTCCAATGAAAACAGAAATGAGAGCAGAAGTTGCCCATGTTCTCTTATTTGTCCCATGTGTCCAGAAGCAAAAACAATCCAGTGAATACAATCGGCTGTTTCTTTCAATCTGCACATGATACATAATTGATTATATTTCCTCTCATTTGCACAGTGTTTCCTTTGCAGCGAAATGAATGGGGCAGAATAACATAATGACAAATTTATTTTACATAAGTTACATAATTACATAAATTATGCAGTTTCACCTCAGCAGACAGCAAGAAGAGGAACTGCAGCAGTGTTGCATGTGATAGAAACAGAAAACCATGCCTTCTCCCCGCCCCCGCCCCCCGGATGAATGAGCTAGAACAGATCAGGGGACCGAAAAATTGGCATAAGGGGCAAAAGGCAAGCCCTACTTTGGCAAATAATTTCAAAATGAAAGGGAACTTTAGCATTGCTGGTTGCCACATGGATCAATTGTTTCAGCATGCATCACAGACAAATGTTCTTCCCTGTCCTCCTTTGATGGTTTGCTGTTAGATGGCAAAATCTGAACTCGTATATTTTACCTTTTGAAAGTTTCTCATTTTCTATCATTTGAATGATGAGCTGGTGCAAAGTTTCTAAACTCCTGTCTGAACTCTCCCAGATATTCACAACGTTGACAAACTGTGATAGTCGATAAAAGCTACAAAGGAGAGAATAGTGCGTGAAACTGGCTGCCTGGCTGTGGCTCATCAAAAGGCTCTTGTTAGCTCCCTGTTAGTGATTCCGCCTAAATTTCTCTTTCCCCCCAACCACACCTTTATTCTTATCATCTTGCTCCCTTTAGTCTTCAAAACAGAGGACTTCAGTTTTCTTTGCTACAGACCTTTCCTACTGCATGTTCCTTCATCAAGTGGCTCACAATTTGGGATGAGGGAGAAATTCAATTCCGGTTGCGTTTACAGGCAAACTGACCTAATTTAGCCATTTCTTCTTCTTTTTAATTAGCAATTTCCAAAACAATATGCAGACTGAAACACAGCCATCCTTCAAAATTCTCACTTATCTGAATACTGAAATGCAGTTGTCCAGCCAAGTAACGTGTACAAATATCTATAAATCTCTGTATAAATCCTTATCAATCTCTCTCCCATTTTTTATGCAAAGATAAACATATTGTCATAATTACTTTGTATATTAGTAATACTCATGGCTAGTTTCTAACAGAGACCAACCCAAACCTCCTTTGAACAGGGCTGGAGAGGTGCTGGATTCAGCAGCGGTTGTTTGACAAGAAGATGCTGGGGAACTGAACCAGGGCCTAAGTGCTGTTGGTCCTCCCCATCAAATGAAATGAATGTCACTATGTTCTAATTGAGAACCACTGATCCATCTGCCTGGTACTAGCCTAACTATATGGCTTAGGTCAAAGCTATCTGTAAAGGTAAAGGGACCCCTGACCATTAGGTCCAGTCGTGACTGACTCTGGGGTTGCGGCACTCATCTCGCTTTATTGGCCGAGGGAGCTGGCATACAGCTTCCGGGTCATGTGGCCAGCATGACTAAGTTGCTTCTGGTGAACCAGAGCAGCGCATGGAAACACCGTTTACCTTCCCACCATTTACCTTACCTATTTATCTACTTGCACTTTGACGTGCTTTCGTACTGCTAAGTTGGCAGGAGCAGGGACCGAGCAACGGAAGCTCACCCCGTCGCAGGGATTTGAACCGGCAACCTTCTGATCAGCAAGCCCTAGGCTCTGTGGTTTAACCCACAGCACCACCCGCATCCCAAAAATGGACTCTGCAATCTTCAGAGGAAGTCCTACTACCTTCACGAGCACACCCGGTGAAGATGCAGGACAGACTTTCTCAGTGGCTGCTCCTAGTCTTTGGGAATCTCTTCCTAGACAAGCTACACTGTCTTCCTTTCTTGTTATCCTCCCACTGGCAGGTAAAGCCTAATAATAATAATAATAATAATAATAATAATTTTTCCAGCAGGCTTTTAGGAACTGACTGGTTTTTAAGGAAAGGGCTCTGTACTATTTTTTACTATCTGCATTCTAGAAGATACTTTTTAACATTAATTCCTCAGGTGGTTTAATTGCTTTTGAAAGATAACCCTTTATATGTTTTCAGCTCTGTCCATTTTATCTGTATTTGCTTTAATTTTTGTGTGCCTCCTTGAGTTCTGGCAGAAAAGGTGGGATACAAATACAGTCAAACCTCGGTTGTTGAACGTAATCTGTCCCGGAAGCCCATTCGGCTTCTGAAATGTTCAACAACCGAGGCACAGCTTCTGATTGGCTGCAGGAGCACTCAAGCAGAAGCCACATCAGATGTTTGGCTTCCGAAAAATGTTCGAAAACTGGAACACTTACTTCTGGGTTTTTGGCATTCGGAAGCCAGAATGTTCCAAAACGGAGGCTTTTGGGAACCAAGGTTTGACTGTAAATAAAAGTGTAAAAAAAATAACAACTCTGTGTGTGTCTGTGCGTACCAGAGGTTGAATTAATAACTACAGTGGTACCTCGTGTTACGGACGGGATCTGTTCTGGAGGCCCATCTGTAACATAAAATGCCCGCAACTCAAAGTACTGCGTCTGTACAGGCGCGCTTTGGCGCTTCTGCGCATGCGCGAGCGGCGGAACCCGGAAGTAACCCGTTCCGATACTTCCAGGTTGCCACGGAACGTAATGCAAAAAGATGCAACATGAAGCAGATGCAACACAAGGTATGACCGTATTAGGCATTCCGCCTCTGGGATCTAAGCCATGATCCAGCCTGATTATGAGGTCTGTACCTAGAGAGGACTGCATTGCTACTGCAGCTCCAAAATAGAGGAGTGCGGTAGAGGTTGAAAGAAATAATACTCTGCAGAGCTCTTTTAAATACAAGGTAAATTTCATGTTGCAAGGGGGATCATTATACCAAAACTTCAGCAGCTCATTCTGTTTTTCAGCCTCATTTCGCTGGATAAGGGCATGGTTGAGGTCCTCTTCAATGTCTACAGTGTTCTCCAGGGGGATGTACTTTGTCAACATGTCTTCTTTCAGGTCCCTCACCCTCTGTTGGAGGTGAGCCAGGTGGACAGAAAGGGCATTGATGTCGAGAGAATCTTTCATGCTGATGCCTGTTGGGAAAGGAGGAGCATAGGTTCCGGTGAACTCGCAGCTGGGATAGAACAACGATTACCTGGAAATTCAACTTTGTTAAAACAAAATCAAAGCTGTGGTCATTTTTCATTAGATTCAATTTTCTCAAAGTCAAGTGTGACAGCTAAATTGCATTACTTGATTTTCCTTCATTGAAATCCACAAGACTTAATTGAAAAGTCTGTAACTATGGCCAGCTCATGCTCCAAATTTAAGAGAAACTTGATTGCTATATTAAAGAGAGCTGCTTCTCACCTGGAATGAGGATGGCAGGGTTGATTGTCTTGGTCGGGATTGGAGAGTCTTTTGCAGAGAATGTCTGCCTTAATGCTCTTACTTTCTGTATCAAGTTTGTGATTCTTTCAGAATTTTTTTCAATTATTTGTATCCTGAGAAAAGAAACAGTCATTGAAATATTAATCCAGCCTCTCTTGTGTAAGTGGCTTCCAAGTTCAAAGACACTCCCACTCATTCTGACATGTGCCACCTTGTGGGGGCCACACGGCAATGATGGGCAGGGCCAGAGGCAAAAGTGAATATAATAATAATAATAATAATAATAATAATTTATTATTTGTACCATTCCCATCTGGCTGGGTTTCCCCAGCCACTCTGGGCGGCTTCCATAGAAACCAAAAATACAGTAAAATATCACAGATTAAAAACTTCCCTGAATTTAAGATGTCTTCTAAATGTCAGGTAGTTATTTATCGCTTTGACATCTGATGGAATGTCAAAGGGGGATAATTGTTACTCTTACCTTTGCACAGTAGGTGAAATTTCAATCATGCAAAACCAGAGATTTCTACATACACATCTCTTGATTCAGGCAAGCAAAGGAGCATTACGTATTTCTGTTCAAGGGCATATTGTTGCCAGGGAAAAGGACTAGAGGAGATTGGAGGGCAGGGACATTGAGGAGCAGTGCTTTTATTTCTAAAAAAATGTTTAGGGGTGCTCTCATTTTCCTACTCATATTGAAATACTGCCCCTCAATGAGGCCAAACTTAGATTCACAAAATGTTTAGGGGTATGCGTTACCCCTGCGTCCCCCCCAGAAAAAAAGCACTGGTGGGGAGAGCAGCCTCGGGACAGTTCCAAGGGTCAGGCAGAGAAGTCTGGAGGTCTGCATTTTGCCCTGTGCTGGATTTCTTCAGTAAGTACACCAATGGGATGTCTGAGGCAACTTTACTTAATCAAACAGAACAGCGGCTGCGGGGGAACCCACAAACATGGAGTCCACAGGCCTATAAATTACAAAGGCTCTTATGTGGAGGCATTCCTTCGCCTCACATACCCTCCAACATTTCTCTGATGGAAATAGGGATGTCCTATTCAAGACAACTTACAAAAAAAAAAAACACCAACCCACAGCAGATTAAAAACAATAAAGAGCAGGGGGGTTGGGGGGGAGGGGAGAGACATTTTATAAATAAAGCATATCAGTAGACAGTAAACTAAATAACAAGCCACCAAAGGCTCTGACTGAAAAATATGCTTGCCAGGACAGAATTGTCAAGAGCTTGTTTAAAAGTAGACTAGGAAAATCATCCCAAATTTTAAAAGAAAGCATTGTTTGCTGCTTTTACTTGACTTTTCTTCCCCAAGAGCTTGCCACTGTACTCTGAAGAGTTGCAGTTTCACTACTTTCTTGTGTGGCTTTGAAGCCACACCATACATTTAAAGCACTCATACCACTTTAATAGGCATGGCTCACCCTAAAGAATCCCAGCTATAATTCCTAGCACCCATAACGGTCCATAGTTCCCAGGATTCTTTGTGGGGAACCCATGACAGTTCAAGTGGTGCTAAGAGTACTTTAAATGTATATTCTGGCAGAGAGCTAGACTGAAACATGATCCATGAAAAATATGATACTAAACCGCACATAATTAAAAGTTTTTAACCCCATTTTATTAAGTCCATGCTGTTGTGCTAGACTTGCTCAAAAATATGCTATGAAAGGTCATCCACCCCACCTCCTGTGCTTAACAGTTGCCAAAGAGGTCCTTACTTTTCTTTCAGCTGACTAATTCTGTTCTTATAATACATGAGAGTTGTAGACTCGCAGGCTAAAATCTTTAATTTCCCATGAAGATAAAAGGCATTCTGTTGACCCTTCTTTATTGCTTCTATGAAGGCATCATATTCCTGCTTGATTGTAGTGAGGATGTTCTTGTACGCATTAGCATGCTCTATTATCTGTGTCAATAATATAGAGGCTGGTCATTTGCTTTCCCTGCTTTATAACACACTAGGCACAAGTTATGAAAAAGCTTCATTCCAAAATCTCTGGAAGACCCCTCCTTGCCAGGTCAGACCAAAGCAGCCTTCCCCCTTCCATATGGCAGATATTGCTTGTTAGTGTGGTGTCTGAGGTTCCCAGTGTGCCCAACAGTACCTTCTAGGGCACCTGCAAAAGGTCTAAGTAAATATCCCCTCAAAAATCTACACTACAATCGAGACTGCTTGTTCTTCCTGCTGTTTTCACTGCTTAAGTCTCTCCTATGTTGAGCTCCCTTAAACATGCCCACATTTCACTGAATGCCAGGATTGGACAGCCACCCTCCCATCTGTTCTGAAAAGAGGATAGGTGCAAAAAGGGCCTTCTCTCCATGAGCAAGCATGTGGAGAAAGGGCCAGTGTAGATGCCTCTCCCCACCAACACCACATTGATGGACTGGCTACATGTCACTAAGACACCTGTTTAGTTTGTTTGTTTGTTTGCTATTTGACACATTCCAGGACTAAGGCCCGGTATGATGAAGCCTAGCTCAATCACAAAATGTTCATATCCATATTAGTACTGATTAACACAGGCCCAGTAGATTCCTTGGCAAATGCCACTGGGAATAGGTACAGGATATTTATTATTATTTATTGAATTTATATACCGTCCTATACCTGAAGGTCTCAGGGCGGATCACAGGATAGTAGCTAGCAGGATGGACCATGAACCAGACTGGCTGCTGTTTTTCAGCCTCATAGGAACATAGGAAGTGGACTCAGACTGAGTCATGCCATTGGTTTCTCTTGCTCATTATCATTTACACTGACGAGCAGAGTTTCAGACAGGTCCCACCTGGAGATGCCAGGGATTGAATCTGGGATCTTCCTTCATGCAGAGCAGATTTATGATCTCCTCAGTCCTCCCACATGCAATATGGGGGATAATACTACTGATCTACCTTACAGGGTTGTTGCAAGAATTGCTGTAAAAATGGATGGGAAACATTTTGCACACTTAAGAAGTCCTATATAACGCTGCGCATTATTATTTTGCCACTGATTTCAGTGAAAGTCAGAATACGTTCCCAAACTCCTAAGATCGCACCCATTTGTCTTGAAAAGCGAAATGTTCTTAGCAATGCTTGGTTACCATTTCAAACACATTTCTGTATATTATGTAATACTCCTCAGCCGGTCCTTGCTCAGTACAGCCCACTTTCTCGATTTCTGAGTGGATGTAACTCTGGATGCTCTCCAGAAATTCCTTCTCCGCCTCGGGGATGATAGGAGGCAACACTGAGCACTTTCTTGCCTTGACACTGGCAGCTTTCATGATGGAGGAGCAGCTAAGCTTCTACTGCAGACAGAAGTTGAGAATTCTCAGCTGTTTCTTTCGACTGAAACACTTCAGTCAAAATCTAAAAGAAAAAAGTGACAGGGACACTGTTAAAATAATTTAGAACTTCTCTGGCCTGTCTCGCTGTCTTCAGCGGGACTTATTCGCAGATAAACTGGTGCTGGTCTGGATGCAGCAATCAAGCATCTCACTGTGGAATAGTCATGTTAAATTCATCTTTGTGCAAGTATGCAGTAGTAGTGTCCTTTGTGAGGCTGGTCGAGAGGCTGCAACTACTGCAGACTGCAGCAACTAGTTTGCTTGCTGGGCAAACTACCGCCAGCGTGAAACACCATGTTTCTGGAATGTGCAACAACCAGTCTGCTACTGGGCCAAGTTCAAGGTCCTGGTACTAGCATGTAAAACCCTCCAAGTGTCTCCATTTTCCAGGGTTTACAGAAGCCGTCCCAGTTTATGATTTGATCCCAGAATGTCCCGCTTTTCCTTAGGACGTCTCTATTTTCATCGCATAAATGCTGGAGGTTATGCGACCCCCAAGCCAAGGCAATAAGTAACTATGCAAAGTTTAGAAGACATCTGAAGGTGCCCTGTATAGGGAAGGGTTTCTTTTTAAATGTTTAATTTTTTATCATGTTTTTATATATGTTGGAAGCCGCCTAGAGTGGCTAGGGCAAGCCAGTCAGATGGGTGGGGCATAAATAATAAAATTATTCTGATTATGGAATAGGATGCACCTATTTTCATAGGAGAAATGCTGGAGGGTATGGTAAGGCCCTATGCAGCTTGGGACTGGGATACTTGCAAAACTGTCTCATCAGACCTTGCACACCCATTAGATCTTTATAGGCTGAACTGCCATGGAGATCAGCGAGGAAGGAGTGTAACTCCATCAGCCCCGTCCCATGAGGATCCTAAGTGCCAACAAGACCCACTGACTGTGTGGAAGGTCCCCAGGTTCTATCCCCAACATCGCCAGTTAAGGCCGGGACAGGAATCCTGTCCAGCTGTTGCCAGTTAGTGTAGGCAATACTGAACTAGACAGACCATTGGCCTGACTCTCCTCCTTAAGGCAGCTTCCTATGATGCGGCTGCCCTTCCTAGGAAGCCAGAGCTGTGCCACATCTGTAAGAATTAGGTTGTTTAGTGTGGCAGCACACACACTTTGGAACTCCCTGCCTCATGGTACCAGGCAGGCGCCTTCACTGTATTCATTTCGGCGCCTGAGAAAAACATTTTGGTTATCCAGATTACAGTCTGCATGAGTTTTAATTTGTTGCAGTCTATTCTGTGGCAGGTTTAGCCTTCTGCGTGTTTTAAATTATGGTCACGATTTTCTTAGTGACAATTTTATTTTTCTGCCTTCTTCATAAGCCACTTTGAGGTTTATTTTCCTAATCGGCAAGCACAAACTTTAATGAAATGAGTAAGCAAGAACCTGTGCCCACGCTTGCTTTTTCCTCTCCTTCCTACCAAATCCCTTTTCCTCATAAGTTGCCATTTCTTTTTATGAGGGGAGACTGCGTGAGCCTGAGGGCAGAGATCAGAGATCACGTTGGTAAGCTTCTCTGGGAGCCTATTTTGGGCCAATGGGCGGTGTATAAATGCTTTCAATAAGTTAATATAACTCATAAATAAGGCCCAGGATGTCATGTGGAAGGGGGAGGTCCCTCAGAATTACAATGGAAATGGGGTTTCTGCCTCACACTGAGGGAGCTCTGGGGCCCTTTTAACAACGCGCGCGAAAAGCGCCTCTTCTCCCCCTCAGCTGAGGGAGGCAACTGCCAACTGGCCCCGCCCCGCCCCTTTTGCCCCTTAGCCCCGCCCCTCTGCCCCAGCGGACTCACCCAGGAGCCAACTGTCGGCAAGTAACCAAGCTGAGCTAAATCCCTAAGCAAGGCGCAGGTTGCGTGGGTGGATTCGGAGCGGGTGCATGCTGGGAAAGATAGCTTCCCTCCCTCCCCGCGTGCCCACTTAAGCTTCCAGCCTACAACTCCCAAGAGCCCTTTCGCCACCGGCTCAACCGAGGACGCGCCCGCCTTTAAAAACTACCGCTCCCGTCATGCCTCCTCATACGTTCCAGGCGGCGGTGCACGACGGGAGTTGCAGTCCTTGCCTCAGTTAGCGTTTTCCTCCCTTCCTTCCGCTCCCCAGCCTTGGAAACCCCGTGCGCGGCCGAGCGGGTTCTCTTTCCGGCGTCCGCCATTCCGGGAGCGGGTCGTTGGTGAGTGGTTGCTCTGTGCGGGGCCTGCTTCTCCGTTTCCCTCAGCCTTCCTTCGCCTCATTTCTCGCTCTCGTTGCTTCCTCAGGTCCGACGGCCGCCGCCATGCAGATCTTCGTGAAAACCCTGACGGGGAAAACCATCACCCTCGAGGTGAGGGAGGGAAGAAAGAAAGCATATGAGGGGTTCAGAGCTGATCCGCTGATCCTCGGGCCTCTGGCTCTTCGCCTCGTGTCCCCAGAGTTGGGCTTCCAGGCCTTTCTTCCCCCTCCCCGTAGTTTGTGGCCTAGAGGGAAATGGCGGATTTTGCGCAGTTCCATTCCGCCCCCTGCTCCCTCCCAAAAAAAAAGGGGGGGGGAGAGAAAGCCTGTGGCTCATAGAATCACAAAATCGTAGAGTGCATAGCTGTCAACTTTTCCCTTTTTTAAAGGGAAATTCCCTTACTCCGAATAGGATTCCTCGCAAGAAAAGGGAAAAGTGGACAGCTATGGTAGAGTGGGAATGGGGGAGGACCCCTGGGGGTCATCTAGTCCAACCCCCTGCAATGCAGGAATCTCAACTACCACCCAGCCTCCGCTTAAAAACCTCCAAGGAAGGAAGGAGAGCTCACCACCTCCCGAGCAGAAAGGTCTTAACTGATGTTGGGTCGGAATCTCCTTTCTTGAATCCATTGATTTGGATCCTTAGACCAAGCTGATATATTTGTGTGTGTGTATGAGTGAATGATATAATTATGAAGATGGCTATCCCATCTCTTTTCTGTGCTCAAAGGCCTTGTAACCAATCCACCCGTTTTTGCGTTAACCAAAGACCACAACAGTTCCATCACAGCTTGATGCTGCCCAGCAACATCCAGTATTTAGAGGCATGCTGCTTCTGATTGTGCAGTTGGTGTGTGGGCACGGCGACTAGTAGCCATTGATAGCCCTTGTTTTTCATGTCTTTGTTTAATCTGCTTTTAAAGCTGCCTAAATTGGTGGCCATCGCTGCCACCGGGTATAGGGCGGTATATAAATTCAATAATAAGTTGAATGCACTTTTTTATCTCCTCCCTTGCCCCCATCCCATGTCCCCACAATAAAGATAGGTGTTTTTATATCTGAACAAAGAACCCAGCCAGCAATAATATAACCGCCTTCTTTGCCTCTACCACTTGCTGTTGCTGAAAGGAAAGGTTTGAGAAGGAGATGTGCATTCTTTCCATTCTAGCCTGGTGATGGCAAGGGAGACAGCTGACAAGCCAAGCATCAACATTTTCCTACCATTTTATCTCTGTGCTGTGAAAAACTTTGTCTCCTGTATGTTAAAACTGCTGTTAAAAGTACAGGAGCAGGATTGGTGTTTGTATGTTGCTACAGAAAATATGACAAGAACTCAGTGTTTGGTCTGTTAACCAACATTATCTTGTCCAAGGCTGTGTGTGTATTTTAAGAATTGCTAGTTTAAACAAAGTTACTGAGCTAATATACATGTACTGTTCTAATACCTGGATGGGAGCAGTAATGAATTTATAACTATTTTAAGTCTGTAAAGCAATTCAATGGTGACTTATTTTTATAAACAGGTTGAACCGTCTGATACCATAGAAAATGTCAAAGCCAAGATTCAGGATAAGGAAGGTAGGTGTTGCTTTTGTTTTGGAACTTGTGGTTTAAAAATTATTCTACTATGGAGTAAAGCTTCCTTGCTAGAATTCTCTGTTTACCCGTACCGTTCTTTTCCATCAAATTTGGTCTTCAAGGAGGTCATAGAATGGTGCTTGCAGAGTCAATTCAGTATGCTGCAGCAAACAGGATACAGTTAAGAATGATGCCTTCTTTATTTAAAAATAAAATAAAAGCTAGCAAGTATAATTGGGGTACATGTAGAATGAGGCTTATTTTGCTTTCCCCAAAAGGATAATAAATAGATGGAAACAAACTTAAAAAAATAAATGCCTAAGTATCTAGTCTAGAACAAAAAGGTGTTTATTGACACAATCGGAAACTAAATAATGTGTCTTAACATGAATGACATGGCATGAATACATTGAGAGAAAGGCATGTTAGACTGGTTTTAATATATTGTAAATTGCCCTGGTATTTCCTAGAGCTAAAAGGCCATTTTAAAATGTTCTTATAAAAACTGAATCAGTTGCTCATACTCCACCATTTTTCCTCTATTAGGAATTCCTCCTGATCAACAGCGATTGATTTTTGCTGGGAAACAATTGGAAGATGGGCGCACTCTGTCTGATTACAACATTCAAAAGGTATGTACTAAGTGTTCTAATACAGTGGGTGGAATTTACTGTTACTCTATTACAAACGTTCTGTCTGCACAAACATTTCATCTTGCTAGGCGGAATGTTGCTCCCTCCACCCGGCCTGTTCTGGGGGTTCTCCCGATCCCAGTCAGTTTCAGTGGGGGGAGCCCCATTGTGGAACCCCATGTACTTGCTAAACCATAAAATGCAAGAGCATGCTGTAATCTTGTACCAGTAGGATGAATCCTTCTGCTTCTAGTAGACAAGATGACCAGGTGGTAATAGCAGGTGGACATTGGTCCCACATATTCATTGTTAATAGGATATAACAGTTGGCTGTGGCCTCTCCTAAAGATGGAGACTTCATGAAAAATGCCGTTTTCCTTTTAGCATCTAAACCTGTCTGCCTTTAAAGGCACACAGAACCTTAGTAGAAACAAGCTGGAGCTTTAATTACATGAAAACAAAGAGCGTAGTGAACTGAAAATACTGGGCTTTAGCTTATCCCAAATATCAGAAGTTGTGCTGACCTGATCAAATGTGAGGTGAGCGTAGCAAACTTGGATTTGAAAAGCACAGTAGGTTGCATCCAGCAGTGTTGTTCAGCTGACGATAAGAGTTCTATCAGCAGAGTGGAGAGGGATCAATTTTCTGCCATCTCTCGTGCGCCCCACATTCCCATTGCAGCTACTCTGGAGGGTTGGGGGACCTTCTACAGATCTATTCATACACTGCTTCCCATCCAAGGATTACAGAGCAGTTTGTTGGATCAATCCATCAACCTCTGATGGATGATTTAGGAGGATTGGGTCCTGCATCACTTTTGCTGCACATGTGTGCCAGTATCCATACTCTGCAGAGTTACATCTCAACACAGCTTCTTCCTTGGAAGCATCTTTGGGGTTGAAGGGTACACACAGTAGGCAATAAAACACTCATGGACACCATAAAGATTCAGTCGAGTGTAGAAGTTTACTTGACAGGCATAAATGCATATTGGTAGCAAATATATACAGACATTCACCACTGCCGTGGTCAAGGCATGCTTAGAGTCCAGCAAGACTCTCTCTGCTTCTCTCACCGCAAGGCGCAAGCAAGAGACTCACAAGAAGTTACACAGAACCATTGTTATCAGCACTTCTTGTCACACTGCGCATGTCCAAAGAACAGTTTCCAAAGAAAAAGTCCTTGCATAGACAAAGCAATCTCAGCCTTCTGCTGCTTCAAACTTCTCTGTTCTTCTCAGTTTCTGTAATAAATTATTCTCACACACACACACAATATCCAGCACAGTTCACAGAATTTGGGTGTGTCTGCAGAGGGCTTCAGGGGGAGTTGCTTCCCATACAAGCTCTTCTAGTTGCTGTGTGCAACTCTATTTAAAGCAACCCAATGACTTCTGTAGTATTTACCAGTCATTGAGATTATTTCCTGTCTATTTAGTGCATCAGCAAAGTGCCAGTTATGTGCTTTGGTATTTTATCCATTTGCTGCTCTTATCTCACTCCTCCTTAAAAGAGCACCTGGGAGGTAGGCTGTGCTAAGCAACTTGTCCAGGGCTATTAAGCTTTGTGGCTGAGCAGAGCACCTATATTTTGGTTTCTTGTGTCCATCCCAGCTCCTAACGGTTGCATGACTACAGCTGTCAAAATTTTTGTGTCCTTTTTCGCTTTCTAAAACTAGGAGTCGACCCTTCACCTTGTGCTGAGACTTCGTGGTGGAGCAAAGAAGAGGAAGAAGAAGTCTTACACCACTCCTAAGAAGAATAAGCATAAGAGAAAGAAGGTGAAACTCGCTGTCCTTAAGTACTATAAGGTAAGAGCAACTTCATGTGGGAATGGGTCAGCGGTAATTAATTGCCTATGAAGAGCTTGCTGGTTCTTACTAGATACAGATTCTTTCTACTGATGGCTGTTTCTGCATTTAGTTAGAAAGCCAGCATGAGCCCATCTCCTGGTGACAAATGTAACCTTTAAGTCTGTTTGGAAATAATGCATAAGCACAACTGATTAATAGTACTGGTTAGGGCATTTAGTTATGCTGAATTGTTGGGAGGGGCATCAGTTATTTTCTTGCATTTAATGCTTAAACAACAAATATGGTCACTCCGCTTGACTAAATTTTGTCGGGGTTGAGAGTGTAACCTTAAATGATAACTTGGTGATTCTAAAAATTGCAAGCAGTGGTAGTCTGGACTGCATAAGTCAAGCTTCTGTATTTTTTTTTTCAAGGGAGATGGAAAATGCAATACGATTTAAAGCCTTTCTTCTTGCAGGTGGATGAGAATGGGAAAATCAGCCGCCTGCGACGCGAGTGTCCCTCCGAGGAATGTGGGGCTGGAGTATTCATGGCTAGCCACTTTGACAGACATTACTGTGGCAAGTGCTGCTTGACATACTGCTTCAACAAACCAGAAGACAAGTAAATGTGTCTATTGTAATAATTAAAAGTTGCTTTGAATTTTGCTGTGTTTTTTTCTGAGTGTGCAAAGCAGGGGCTCTAACATGTTTGCTAAATGGACCAGAGAGGAGGGGAAAGTAGATAAATTGAAGACATGGGGCTACTCATGAGCATTGCTGATAAGAGGAGGAGTTTGGATTTGATATCCCGCTTTATCACTACCCTAAGGAGACTCAAAACGGCTAACATTCTCCTTTCCCTTCCTCCCCAACAAACACACTGTGAGGTGAATGGGGCTGAGAGACTTCAGAGAAGTGTGACTAGCCCAAGGTCACCCAGCAGCTGCATGTGGAGGAGTGGGGAAGCGAACCCAGTTCACCAGATTACGAGTCCACGGCTCTTAACCACTACACCACACTGGCTCCTTTGTAAGAAACTTCAGTGAAAGCCCTGTCTCATATGTGTTAAAAATTAAGGCTACTTTAGAGCCAGCCCTTTGTGCAGTTCTTGATCAGTACAAATGCTCTTGCTTGCTTTGTTTCATTGAATAATACAATTGTAGAGTTGGACACTGAGGATCATCTAGTCCAACTCCCTGCAATGCAGGAATCTCAACTAAAGCATGCAGCTGGCCTGTATGGGGATTGAACTCACGACCTCGGCATTATCACCACCACGCTCTGACCAACTGAACTGCCTTGTAACTTACCTGTTTAGTACAAAATACTTGCTCTGATCCAAAAATGAGATAGTACAAGTTACCTTTTATCTATTCCAAATGGCCCCTTTTTTACAGAAAATGAGGGCAATTGTTTCCGTTATAGTACATAAGCAGATACAGCTCTTGCTTTATTTTGCATACATTGCGTGGAATGCAACATTGCACTCTTGAAGTCATTCTCTCTCCAAGTGTTGCATATTGGCAGCTGGAACAATCTAGAGTCACTCTTGGGGGGTGGGGGGAGGACAGAAGTCCTGTTGCAGAACTCTTTACAGAGGGTTACTGCTCATTGGGCTGGTCAGGTGAATCCAACAGGGCCTACAGCAGAGATGGCACATTTTTTCTTGCTTGCTTTTTTTTGGGGGGGGGGGGTTCTTATTGCCTAGTTTCCACACCTTGAAGTCATAAACTTAAAAAAAACACACATTAAGATTCTTAGGCCTGCTGTATTTTATGGCCCATTTCTAATATACGGTAGTTGGGTGGGACAGAAAAAACTAAAACAGCAATACTGATTCTAAAGTATGGATTGATGGTGGAAAAAGTAATGGTACCTTGGGTTACAAACGCTTCAGGTTGCAGACTCCGCTAACGCAGAAATAGTACCTCGGGTTAAGAACTTTGCTTCAGGATGAGAACAGAAATCGTGCAGTGGCAGCAGCGGGAGGCCCCATTAGCTAAAGTGGTACCTCAGGTTAAGAACAGTTTCAGGTTCAGAACGGACCTCCAGAACAAATTAAGTTCTTAACCCGAGGTACCACTGTATGAGGTTTCTTGCCATCACTAGTTCCCTCTCCAAACCTGGAATGATGGAAGATCTTGTTCCTTGGAGCAGCGGGCTGCCAACCTTTTTGTCCCTCCGGGTACTACTATCCACACCACAATGTGTTCTGACTACGATAAAATGCTATAAAGTCTCATTTTAGGAATAGGAGGGAAGAAACCCTTTGTGATGTCTCTGGGTACCATGTTGGCATTCTTTGCTTAGACACTAAATATCAAGGTAAAGGGGACCCCTGGCCATTAGGTCCAGTCGTGACCGACTCGAGTTGTGGCGCTCATCTCGCTTTATTGGCCAAGGGAGCCGGCGTACAGCTTCCGGGTCATGTGGCCAGCATGACTAAGCCGCTTCTGGCGAACCAGAGTAGCGCACGGAAACGCCATTTACCTTCCTGCCGGAGCGGTACCTATTTATCTACTTGCACTTTGATGTGCTTTCGAACTGCTAGGTTGGCAGGAGTAGGGACTGAGCAACGGGAGCTCACCCCGTGGTGGGGATTCGAACCGCTGACTTTCTGATTGTCAAGTCCTAGGCTCTGGTTCAACCCACAGCGCCACCCGCGTCCCAAATACCTATTTCACAACTATGGCTGTGTTCCACATTGGTGTAAAAAGCCTTTCGGAGGGGGGGGCGAGATGCCATGGCTGCTATCATTCACCCAGTACAATCTGAGCATGGAGTCTTGAGGAAGAAGGGGCATACGATTCTCATAAAGCATTGCAGGAATTGACTCCCAACGATCATGAAAATGTGTTTCCAGCTTGAAATACATAGGGAATCATGGGAATCCTGTTCATCCCCTGGAAGCGCACAAAGGTGGCAGCAGCTTAGCTTTACCTTCAACATACACACTGTTTGAATATGGCATGTAGGTAGAGATACTACCATCATGTGGTTCTTTAATTCGTGGCAAGCTGGTGCTAGCCCTGTAATCCCCTCATGTAATTTCAATGTATGAATTTGTCTGTACTCCCAAACTGATTTGAATAATAGCTTGGCACACACGTCTGCAGTGACAGATCCTCACATAGTTAATCAAGTACTCGGATCTGTTCAGCAAAATGTATTATTTTGGCGCAGCCTATAACACACAAGTTTCAGGATGCTCCTATTGTAACACATAAAATATAGATCCAGGTGGTTTCACTGTACAGTTAAGCTCTCCCACAGTTTTTATTGAAATTTACAACATAATGATTTTTTATATATATTTAAAAATACATTAAAGTCCCCTATCCATTTTTACAATGCAAGCTGCTTCTCAAATGTGTCTGTGATGCAGTGCAAATAATATAATCCAAGTTTCTCAGCCCATCACATATTTGGCTGTTTTGAGATTTAAAATCCTGGGTCCCAAGAGATCGTCTGCTCAACTTCCTTTTCATTGAAACAAACAATTTCATCTCCCACTTGAAATGCTATGTTCTTGTCCAGACTGAGTCCACAATCCATGCCAGTCTTGACTACAGGGACATCATCTTTATGGTGCTTCAGTGACGATAGGTATCCTAGGTAAAACAGACATACATAAAGCAAAAACTCCAAATTGTGCAACATTTATTACGAGGTGAGAAATGTTTAGAGTGCAGAGATTGCTCCAAATCAGACCATGTCTTAACTGTAACTAATTTTCATGTACGTCACAGCACTCCAGAGCACACTACTCAGAATCAGAACTGTAGAGTTGGAAAGGACCCTGAGCCGGGACTTCCGGTGGAGCGCGGAACCTGCTGCAGGCGAGGGTTTTTTCTGCGGAGAGAGCCCTAGCTTTTTCGGCCGAATTTGGAGGTTTTTAGGGCGAAAAAAACCTCCTGTTAAGCCTCTGGAGGGTGTCTAGAGGTCTAGGTGCCCGGCAGTGCCTGGAAGCTGTTCGTCCGATCGTCAGGTAGCCTTTGAATAAAGGTGAAGAGAGCGGCAGAACGAGCAGTGGGTAATCGGGCAGCCATTATAGCGGCGAACCAGCGAAGCCCCGAGCCTGCAAGGATTAGCGCCCCGCTCTCGATATAAAGAAACTCGGATTCAGAACTTAGTCTTTATAACAACGTGAGAGGGGAAAAAGATAAGGAAGTCTCCGAGTAAAAAGAGAAGAGTCCGAGTTCAGCGCCGGTTTGACTTCATTGAAAAAGACGCAGCGCTGCATGCAGAGCCGAAAGAGAAAGTAAGTTACCGCTAGCGGCTACTGTTTCCGTCTCTCCCGTCTACTCAAGTTAAAAAGAAACTTTCTCCAAAAGATAAAGGAGAAAGGGAGAAAGCTAAGGGGGAGCAGAGAAGTGTCGTGACAGAAGAGAAAACCCAGTCGATAGTGTAACTGAGATAACTGAAATACAAAGAGGACTATTGTTAAGATTTATGTGAAGAAGTTAAGGTATTGGGAAGATTGCCCAACGCCATATTAAGCGGGGGTGGAGAGGAGCTTCAGACGCCATATTAAGTGACTCCAAAAGACGTATAGAAAGAGAAGACAAAACAACTTGAAGTACTTTGGGTCGACGTTTTGGGGTTTTCCTCTTGTTTACTATCTTTCTTCGTTATCTCTGTTATCTCTGTTTATACATTGAAAGAGTGAAGAATATAAGGAGGGTAGTTGAAAAGGAAAACCAATTAAGAAACCTCCTCCTAAGTTTGAAAGGGGTTGACCCCTCTTGTGGCGTAAGCCAAATATTATATCCTAATCCTGGAAAACCTCAGTTGAGGTTTTTTAGGCTTAACGAAGTAAAGAAGATAACCGTTCAGGAGAGGCCTCCCCCCCTGTTGGACTAAACTCATTAATCTACTCAGTAGGAACATATTTGGTTAAGGAACATTAACATGAATATTGACAATTATATTCAAACTAACATTTAAATTTGGTGTACCTCTGAAGCTATAAGTGGAGTTCTCCTAAAATTTCTGTTATTTCTACTTGAATTATATTCGGATTTACAAATCTACAAATCGGGACGGTGTCTACCAAAGCGTTGGTTGGATTAGCCCGAATAGGGGCAAGAAGACTATAAACAGAATACTACCAGAACTAACAGACAACTACTTTCTCTCGAAGTTTAGGGGAAGGGATAACATTTAAACATATTAAGTGGAGGCAATTGTCTAAAGAAGTCGCGATTTGTAGTACTCTGGTTTCTGGTTATTTATCGTCATTTGTTGTCATTTTATATAGGGTTGTACATACTACTTTTGGCGGTTAATTTAATATTACCTAATAGCAAGTATAAGAACATTTACATAGGAAGGACGGGAAAGATAAGGAATATTCAGTGGAAATATACGATATTTTGAGATTTAAGATAATGTCGCATACGCAAAAAAAAGGGGTGGAGGGGGGAACCCCAACAGATAGGAGAGCCTCAAAACAAGAAACAGAATTTAGAACAGAAATATTGAGGATGTTTGCGGAAATAAAACAAAGTGAGAAAAACTTAGAGACAAAATTAGAACAGGTGGATAATAAAATTGGGAAAATGGACAAAAAGATTGAGGAGACAGTAAGTGAACTGAAAGGACAGATCAAGGAGGTCTCAAAAAGAGTGGATGAAGGATTAAAAAAGACTAAACAGGAAATGAAAGAAATGAAGCGGGAAGAAGAAAAAATGAGAAATGAGATAGCAGATTTAAATAAAATGCAGGAAGAAATAAAAGATTCTATTGCAATGAATGAACTAAAACAGAGAGAAGTTAATTTAAGATTGAGGCAAATCCCGGAAGTACAAAATGAAAATATAAAAGAAAGACTAACAAAGGAAATAGCGCAGTGGATGGAGTTGGCGGAAGAAGTTGTGGCGAAGACAATACAAAATGCATATAGAATGAAAATTAAATCAAACAGGGTAAAGAAATTCCCAGGGGACTGTTTAGTTACATTTAAAGATAGAGAGATGAGAAACCTGATTTTGCAAAGGAATAGAGAGAAGAGACTATATATCGATGGAAACTACATAATTATATTTAAAGATATTCCAATAAGGCTGTTGAAACGAAGAGAACCGTATAAACCACTGGTGCAACTGCTTAAGAAAAATAGGATTGACTTTCGATGGGAATTTCCGGAAGGTGTCTCATTCTTTTATAAAGGAGTTAAAAGAAGATTGACAAGCCCTGAGGAAATAGGAAAGTTCACAAGAAGATATAAAGAGCTTCAACAGGGAGAGGAGGAGTCTAAAGGAGCAGAAGGCGGACTAAGACTGAGGGAGGAACCAGAATTGGGAGAAGAAGAAGAACAGAACGGAGGAAAATTTGAGGAAGACGAAGAAGAGGAAGAAGGAGAAGAGATAGAAAGGATATAGGTTAAAATTCAAATTTGATCAGTGGTAAGGAAAATGACGCTAAAATTATGGAATTGGAATATTAATGGAATGAACGATAAGAAAAAACGGAACGGAATTGAACGTATTCTAAAAAAGAAGAACTTGGACATCATATGCCTCCAAGAAACACATGTGGCCAAGAAGCATAGGAAAATTCTTATCAATAAGAGGTTAGGGAATGAATTCATATCTTCGGATAAAGAGAAAAAAAGAGGTGTAGTACTTTATATTAAAAATAAAATTGAATCGCACCAATTATTTAAGGATGAGGAAGGAAGAATAATAGCAGTTCGTATTAAATGGCAAGGTGAAATATTGATAATAGTCGGGATTTACGCACCAAATGGAAACAAAACAGAATTTTTTAGATTATTGGAAGAGAAGCTATTTGAACACATGGATCAAAAAATCATAATAATGGGAGACATGAACGGGGTGGTTTCAACTGAAATGGACAGATTAAGAAAAACGAAGAACAAAGAAGGAAAGTTACCTAAGACATTCTTTATGATGACTAAGAATTGTAATTTAATAGACATTTGGAGACTTAGGCACCCTCTGGAGAAACAATTCACATATCACTCAGAACCGAACCAATCAATGTCAAGAATAGATCAAATATGGATATCAAATGAATTGACACCAAGAATTCAAAAATTGAAATCCAGGCCAAAGTCGTTTCTGATCATAACCCAATAGAACTGGAGATGAAGGGAGCTGAAGAACGAACTTTCAGATGGAGGCTGAATGATAACCTATGGGATGATCAAAAGTTCGTTGAAAAATACGGAAGAAACTATTTGAATATTTTTTGGATAATTTAGATAAAGGGGTGAAAATAAGTGTGGTATGGGACGCAAGTAAGGCAGTAATGAGGGGCCTTTTTATTCAACAAAATGCGTGGAAAAGAAAAACAAAGAAAAAGGATAAAAGAGATTCTGAGACAGATCATGGACAATGAACAAAAATTGATTAAAAACCAAACAATGAAAGGATAATGCAGGAAATAAAGTCCCTCCAAACTCAATTTGCTATGTTAATAAATAAAGAGGTTGAGTGGAACATCAAAAGGTTAAGACAGAAAAATTTTGAATTCGCCAATAAGTCAGGAAAATGGCTTGCTTGGCAAGTTAAAAGGAGGAACGAACAAAATACAATTAGTAAAATACAAATAAACGGAGAAGAAACAACTGACCCGAAAGGAATTAGAAAAGGATTCGTGGATTTTTATGAGCAACTATATAGGAATAAAGAAAGGAACAATAAAAAAAATAGAAAGATATTTAAAAGAAAAGATGGTGAGGAAGATTTCGATAGATCAAAAGGAACAGCTAAATGCCCCAATATATAGAGAAGAGGTAGAAGAAGTAATAAAAGAATTGAAAAGAGGGAAAGCACCGGGCCCAGATGGGTTTACATCGAGCTACTATAAAGAAATGAAAGACACATTGATGACTCCGATAATTGACGTGATGAATAACATTCTAAAGGAAAGAGATATCCCAGCCACCTGGAAGGAGGCATTTATCACAATAATTCCAAAGCAAGATTCGGACCTAACCCAAGTTAAGAACTACAGACCTATCTCTTTATTAAATACGGACTATAAGATCTTTGCCGGAATTTTAGCCAAAAGACTAAAAAAGATACTAATAAAAATTATACACGAAGACCAAGCGGGTTTTTTACCGGGCAGGCAAATAAGAAATAACACAAGAAGTATAGTTAATCTAATTGAATATCTTTCTGATAGATGTGACAAACCAGCCAGCCTAATCTTCGTAGATGCGGAAAAAGCCTTCGATAATGTAGTCTGGGACTTCATGTTGAAAAATTTGGAAATTATGGAGGTGGGCCATGAATTTTTAAATGGCATAAAGGCAATCTACACAGAACAGAAGGCGAGACTGATAATTAATAATATCATTACTGAAGATATAAAAATATCCAAAGGAACAAGACAGGGATGTCCGCTTCGCCGTTGCTCTTTATTGCGGTTTTGGAAGTCCTACTAAATGCAATAAGACAAAATAAACAAATTAAAGGGGTAACATTAGGTTCAAATGAGTACAAAGTTAAAGCTTACGCAGATGATGTGGTCTTAACAGTGGAAGAACCTATAGAGAGTATAAAGGAGATTTTGGAAGAGATGGAGAAATTTGGGAAGTTAGCAGGATTTAAATTGAATAAGAGTAAGACAAAAATGATTGTTAAAAACTTAGATCAGGATAAGATTGAATTAGTACAGCAACGAACTGAAATTGAGGTGGTTAAAAAGGTTAAATACTTGGGACTCTGGCTTACCAATAAAAATATCGATTTATACCAAAATAACTACACCCCGGTTTGGAATGGAATTAAAGATCTGGAGGTCTGGACCAGGCTGAAATTATCACTCTGGGGAAGAATATCTATGGTTAAAATGATGGTGCTCCCAAAGTTGTTATTTTTATTCCAAACGATACCCATATTAAAAGGTACAAAAACTTTAAAGAATGGCAAAAGGTGATTTCTAGATACGTCTGGGAAGGAAAGAAGCCCAGAATTAAGTTTAAGTTATTAACAGATGTAACAGAAAGAGGGGGCTTCGCCCTACCAGACATGAGACTGTATTACGAAGCAGCATGTTTGTGTTGGATAAAAGAATGGGTAAAGTTGGAGAATAAAGAATTACTAGATCTGGAAGGGCACAATAACAGATTTGGGTGGCATGCGTATCTATGGAGGGACAAAAAGAGAGTGCATAAAGAATTTTGTAGCCACATTTTCAAAGGTCCACTAATAGAGGTCTGGGATAGATATAAAAATATATTAGAACCGAAAACCCCACATTGGCTATCCCCGTTGGAGATAATAAGTGTAAAGAAAGTTAACATGAGAGAAAAGTGGGGAAAGTATGGAGAAATGGTCACTAATGAAGGAGGGAAGTGGAAAGTAAAATCTTACGATCAGGTTAAAGTATTCACATATGATTGGCTGCACTATTTTCAGATAAATGAAATGTTTAAAGAAGAGGTGAAGGAAAGGGGTTACGAGGAAAAGGAATCGAAATTCCAAAAGAGATAATAAATAACGAATATAAAAACCTGTCAAAAATGTATAAAATATTGTTAGAGTGGAATACGAAGGAGGAGGAAGTAAAATCAGTGATGGTACAATGGGCAAGGGATTTCGGATATAACATTCAATTGGAGGATTGGGAAAAGTTATGGAGAGTGAACATAAAATTTACGGCATGCACGTTACTGAGGGAAAATGTGATGAAGATGCTCTACAGGTGGTATATGACACCTGTAAAATTGGCTAAGATGTATAAGGCAGATAACAAATGCTGGAAATGTAAACAAAAGGAAGGGACTTTCTATCATCAATGGTGGGAGTGTAAAAAAGTTAAAAACTTCTGGGATGAAATTTATAACGAAATGAAAAAGATGTTAAGTTATACTTTTGTAAAAAGCCAGAAGCCTTTTATTAGGCATTGTGGGAAAGGATATCAGAAGAAAGGATTGCAAACTCTTCCAGTATGCGGTAACGGCAGCCAGAATTGTGATAGCTCAGAAGTGGAAGCAGGAAGAAATCCCAACGGTAGCAGAGTGGAGAGTAAAACTGACAGAATACGCCGAGTTGGATAAATTAACAGGGAAAATCAGATATACTAAGGATCAAAAGTTTATTGAGGACTGGGGGAAATTTGTGGGTTATCTGGAGAATAAATGTTTTGTAAATACAACGCTAGTGGGATTTAAAGAGGCACTGTAAAGAACTAATAAGTATTGTTCAATAGAAATAATGTATGAAGGGAGGAAAGAATGGCAATATGAAAGAATGGAATGTGTGTTAAAGATATAAATACGAATGAATGTCAATGACGCTGAAGGAAGTCCAAAATGTATGAGATATATTGAAATATGGATATAATGTATAAATAATGGGAAATTAATAAAATTTTTTTAAAAAAAAAAAAAAAAAAGGAAAGGACCCTGAGCGTCAATTACTCCAACCCCTGGCAATGCAGGAATCTCAACTAAAGCATCCAGTGTTCTCATGGTTGCCACGTACAAGATTTAACCATCAAATGCCTGGGTAAACGGTAATGTTTTCAAATTCCCCCTTAAAGTTAACAGTCGGAGAGACACACCTCACATGAGATTATATGAACACACCTCTGCAATAATTCAACACAGTCATGCGGAAGAGAATCAGTAACTGATTCCACCTGGAGCTCTGCTACCCACAAAAGTATCTACATAGCATATTGGGAAAGTGTCTGTGACTGACATGACTGAGGAGGATCAAACTTTATTTTTGTAGAAAGAGGTGCTTAAATATCGGTTCCTTATTCAGCCTATTATTTTTTTTTAGTAAGAATTTCACCAAGGGGAGGGGCAGAAAGCAGGCTTACGAAATCCAGGAGTTTCATACAATTGTGGGAACTGGGCAGTAGAACTGTCTGCTTAGGAAATCAACCGCTACTCACCTGTCCAAATAACTTCTTGATTACGAATTAACTTAAATTTCATCTTTCTGTCCAGCTGCCCCTTCTGTACTCTGCAGCCAGCTACTGGAACTGTACTTTTTCCAACTGTGACATCAAAGATTGCTAAAACAACAGCTTTTCCTAAGGAAAACAAAAAAGCATGAGAATCCTAAAAGCGTAAAAGTGCCATTTAGGCAGTCTCTGCTCATTAAAAAAGATACGAACATTAATTCCAATCAAAATACAAAAGCTAAGGTGACTTGTATCCAGTACTAAAAAAAACCCAGCATCCAGACTTTCCAAGTTAAAAGCTGGATTTTGTGCAATTTAAATGACGTACCTGAACAAGTCTGCAATCTTTCCCCTTTCTTGTTTTGTAGTAACTCTGCAGCTTTAGCCTGTTTTACTTCATCCAACAAAGTTTTACTTAGCTCAGAGCTTAGACTCATTGAAATGAACGTGATTGGTAGACCCACTGAACTCAGTAGGTCTGTTCTGAGTAAAAGTTGAAGCCCATCCCTTTTCCCCCTAGTCTTGACCTACAGAAGTTCTGTTCAAACTGCACCTCACTAAGTGCTGTAAGATTGCAGCAAACATTACAAGCAAAGTATCAAGCACTGTATACCTGAAGGAGTGTCTCCAACCCCATCGTCCAGCCCAGCTGGACTCAAGGTCCAGCTCCGAGGGCTTTCTAACCTTGTGAGAAGCAAGGTTACAGGGAACCAGGCAGAGGGCTTTCTCAGTAGTCAACCCCCTCCCTGTGGAACGCCCTCCCAGCAGATATCAAGGAAATAAACAACTATCTGACAGGGAAGTTTTTAATTGTTGATGTTTTACTGTGCTTGATGTTTTTAATTTGTTGGAAGCTGCCCAGAGTGGCTGGGGCAACCCAGCCAGATGGGTGCCATATAAATGAAGAATTTTGCATTAAAAAAGAAAAACAGATCCTTAGGAAGTAGAATTTCTGCAGCCGGTCACAGCACTGCGCATTTCTGCAGAGAATCCTGTCTCTGGTTTGTCACTATTTCATGAATATCAGTACTTTTAGAAAAAGGTAAGGTAAAGGACCCCTGGGCAGTTAAGTCCAGTCAAAGGCGACTATGGGGTTGCAGAACTCATCTCGCTTTCAGGCCGAGGGAGCTGGCATTTGTCCAGAGACAGCATGACTAAGCCGCTTCTGGCCCAACGGAACACCGTGACGGAAACCAGAGCACATGGAAACGCCATTTACCTTCCCGCTGCAGCAGTACCTATTTATCTACTTGCACTGGCCTGCTTTCGAACTGGTAGGTAGGCAGGAGCTGGGACAGAGCAACAGGATCTCACCCCGTTGTGCGGATTCAAACCACCAACCTTCTGATTGGCAAGCCCAAGAGGCTCAGTGGCTTAGACCACAGCACCACCCGCATCCCGCTTTTAGAAATACCCATGCTGAAACTGCTACCCCTTGAATGAAAGACTTCTGGTGTATCATCACGCCAAAGGTCCAGTGGCCAGACAGCTGCTTTTGGGAGGCCAACCACCCGGGCCCCCAGGCCAGCAATGCTTACCACCCACCCACCCCTATTTCCGCCATCTCAAATTCAGAAGTATACCCAACACATGCTCCTCTAGAGAACAGGGCAAGGTGCTACTCAGCTCCGCCTGTAAATCTTCAACAAGCCGGTAGATGATTTTGTGCATTTTCAACTTTATTCCCTTCTTGGCAGCCAGCTGCTGAATAGGTTTATTTGCGTCCACGTTGAACCCGTATACAACACCTGGCAATGCAACAAAAGAGGGTAAGTGTAAAATTGCTATTTTACTTCTTCTTTCTAATGGCTCAAATTAAGCATGCTTTAAAAGTTCCAGAGTTGCTCTATTTACCAAACATTAAGGGCAGGGCTGAGTATATTCATGAAGAGAAAATCCAAAACATCTGCAGCATGGTAACATTCTGCACCAAGGAATGCTAAATTCTGAAACCCAACTGAATTGCACCCATTCGCACGCACCTGCTTATTTTGCATAATTTATTCCACATCTGAAAGAAAGAGATGGGGAAGAGACGTCTCGGGAACTGAAAATCCTACCCTACTCCTCTCTGACTTCCATGATTTCATCAAGCATTCCACACACACACACACCTCAAGCCTATCTTTGCAGCCATGTGGAAGAGAGACCTCCTTCACATTAAAGATGAGTTTCTTGCAATGTTAAATTCTGTGCCCTGAATTCCCACAGCCATGCAGAAAGCCATTTATTTCACTTATAAAAACCTGCAAGTTGCCTTTTGTCCCACAAAGGGCCTCAAGCTGACTTACATGAAAAGCATTACGTGAAGACTCTTAATCTTGCATGCAAAGCATTCAGAAATCAGGATGGTGCATGCAGCAACTACCCCTAAACCAGGAGAGTTAATGTGCAGCTCCAATAGTTGGCATCAAAGGTGCCAGCTGGCCACAGTCTTGACAGGTAACACAATGTGTCAAGGGGATGAGATACGCATTCCTGACTTGCCTTGCAACATGGGTGGGAAAGTGCATCCCGTTCTGCTCCATGGGAACCCTGCCTGCAGTCACTGCAGCACACCTTCTGTGTACAGTGGTACCTCGGGTTACAGACACTTCAGGTTACAGATGCTTCAGGTTAAAGACTCTGCTAACCCAGAAATAGTACCTCGGGTTAAGAACTTTGCTTCAGGATGAGAACAGAAATCGTGCTCTGGTGGCACGGCAGCAGCGGAAGGCCCCATTAGCTAAAGTAGTGCTTCAGGTTAAGAACAGTTTCAGGTTAAGAACGGACCTCCGGAACGAATTAAGTACTTAACCCAAGGTACCACTGTACTTTAAGGCCGGTTACTGAGCTGCTGACTGCTTGCAAGGCAAAGTGCTCTGGCTCTTTAGCCATCTAAGACACATGACTTTGTACCGCTTTCTTCAATGGCCACCCTTTACCTTTAAATGTCTCTGCGAGGTTTATGTCATTTTCGCTAATATCCCCAATCCCACAGTGGACCACGTCTAGTTCACACTCCTCATCGGCGTCGTAGGTGTCCAAGATGTTCAAGATGGCTTCCACAGAACCATCAACGTCACCTGGGCGGAGCAAAAGTCCCAGTGAGTTTAAATGCGAGTGGCACACACAAAACAAAGAATAGCACAACTAATTACTGTACAATCCATGAGGATCTTAAGTCTCATGCAATTAAATGAGAAGGAGCTGAGCAATGAATAGAGCTTTGATTAAACTCGCGGAAACTGTGTCTCACAGACACACTGAGAGCCAGTGTGGTGTAGTGGTTAAGAGCAATAAACTCGTAATCTGGGGAACCGGGTTTGTGTCTCCGCTCCTCCACATGCAGCTGCTGGGTGACCTTGGCCTAGTCACACTTCCCTGAAGTCTCTCAGCCTCACTCACCTCACAGAGTGTTTGTTGTGGGGGAGGAAGGCAAAGGAGGATGTTAGCCACTTTGAGACTCCTCCGGGTAGTGATAAAGCGGGATATCAAATCCAAACTCTTCTTCTTCTGAAATTAAAACCTCCCAGGACTTTCCAACAGTCTGATTAAAATGTTGTGGGGTTGCTCAATAAAGAAGAGTCTACAAGTACAGCCATTAACAGTCGTGACTGTTAGCATTGGTATTGTATTTGCTTTATAAATGCATTTCACAAAGAATAACTGGTATGGGGAAAGGAGGTGGCAGTTGGCAAGCTACTCTGTTAGTTGATTCTTTGGCTGAGAACCGTGAGGGTGTCTGGAGGAGTTTGTGAGGACAGGCAAGCTATGGACTAGTAACTTATGCACCGCTATGAAGGCGTTTTGAAAACAAAAAGGACTAAAGCCTCTCTTGGGCTCAAGGGAGAGAAACACATTGTAGTCATTAACATATACGTGAATAATACTTGCTGTTCAACTGTTGCCAACTTGACAAGTCTCAATTTATCTTCAGGTCTTGTGTATGGTGCCTAAGGTAAAGGTAAAGGTAAAGGTACCCCTGCCCGTTCGGGCCAGTCTTGCCAGACTCTAGGGTTGTGCGCTCATCTCACTCTATAGGCCGGGAGCCAGCGCTGTCCGCAGACACTTCCGGGTCACGTGGCCAGCGTGACAAGCTGCATCTGGCAAGCCAGCGCAGCACACGGAACGCCGTTTACCTTCCCGCTGGTAAGCGGTCCCTATTTATCTACTTGCACCCAGGGGTGCTTTCGAACTGCTAGGTTGGCAGGCACTGGGACCGAACGACGGGAGCACAGAACTGCCGACCGTGCGATCGGCAAGTCCTAGGCGCTGAGGTTTTACCCACAGCGCCACCCGCGTCCTGTGTATGGTGCCTATTTTATCATAAATGGCTAACAATGACAGGTGCCATTCTCAATGCCAGTTAAGTCACACCTGTGTGTCAGTTAAGTAGCATGAGGAAGGACCACGGTTCAAGCATTAAAGCATTTGCTTTCGATGCAGGAGGACGACTTAAGTCCACTTTCCAACACCTCCAGGCAAGACTGTGGGAGCTCTGTCTGAAATCCTGGAAAGTCGCTACCAATCAGTGCAGACAATACTGAACTAGGCAGACCAATGGTCTATCTTGATATAAGGCAGCTTCCTATGTACCATGTGTGCCCTCTTGTGGGCCTTGCTTTCTCGAGGCTTCAAATGGTGCTGTCAGGGAACTGCCATCGGCTCAGGGGCGAGAGGGGAAAAGCAGGATGGATTACAGAGAGCCCCCAAAGATTGTGGGAAGCAGCACCCCCTCAGCGGAAGAGAGTAACCACACCTCCAGTGGAGAGGAGCTGCAGGGCTCGGGGGAGGCGAGGCAGCAAAGCGGGGAGGAGAGAGGTCCTCCGTTACCCATGCCCTCCTTGCGCAGTAGGCTTCCGCGCAGAGAGGGGAGGCGCAGACTGGGTGTCAACAAACTACTCTGCTGGGGAAGGTTTAAGGACCGCCCACTCTCAGATTCTGCCAGTGAATGAGCAAGACATGGAATAGAGGCGCTCTTCATGGTGAAGGTTTTTTTTGGCACCAATAACAAGGGTTTACAGCTGACCAGGGAGGAATTTGCCCGATTGCTTGATTGCTCTCGTGCAACCCCCTGATACCATTACAGGTGCTATTTAATATTATATGGGGAAGTGCACCCCGCCCAGCCCACTGCCTCGGTGCTGGGGAATAATAATAATAATAATAATAATAATAATAATAATAATAATAGCAGCTCTTGGGAGCAGGACAAACCCAACTGAGTAAGAAGGACTCCACCTTTGATGATGATGTGCAGCACATTTTTGTCACTCTCCCCTTTTTCTTTCGGTCGTATAGCCAGGAGATGCTTTTTGCTCTTGTACACCGCTGCCCTTCTCTGCTTCCAGGACATGTTTTCCATGCCTTCTCTGTCCTTCTTGTAGGCATCCCTGTGCTCCTTCTGCTTCACCTCAATGACCTCTAGGTCCTTCTTCGCCTTCTCTTGTTGCTCGGCGTAGCTTCTCCACTCAACAACTTCACGAGCCCTTTGCTTGGCAGAAGAACAAAAGAACTGCCTCTCTGATCTAGCAGGATAGCTGGGATCCCAGGATCTGGGCTCCCACCTCCATCTGCAGCCCCCACCCAACAGCCCAAGGGTTCCCTTCCCACCAGCAATTTATTTTTGGTGTGCACCGAGAGCTACAGAGGGAAGTGGGGAACTGTGTTCGGTACCTGGAAGGGAAGGTAGTAGTCAAACCTACATCTGCAGCACTGACCAGCCAGATGTTAACAGCTCAAACTAGGATGGAGTCAGCCACTGCAGCTGGTACTCAAATATATGTTGCCTCCAAACACAGCTGTTCTGTTTAAATTATCTTAGGGTTTTTTTAAGCTATATTTTTTGCTTTACACTTTTTATTATTACTTCATTTTAATTTTGTATTCATTTGTGTACCACCCTATACTCTTAGATCTCAGGGTGGTTTGCAATATATAATCACGATATAAAAAACACAAGATACGTAATAAAAATAAGAACAATAACACACTAAAAATCTACCCCCCCCAAAAAAAAAACATTAAAAAGGGCATCAGATGACAATCAGCCAAAGGCCTGGTTGAAGAGGAATGTTTTTGCCTGGTGCCTAGAGGTGTATAATGAAGGTGCCAGGCAAATCACCCCAGGGAGAGCATTCCATAAGTGGGGAGCTACTGCAGAGAAGGTCCGTTCTCATTTTACAACCCTCCAGACCTTTTGTGGAGGAGAGGTGGTCAATGAAGTTATTATGCTTCTGGTGGCTTGAGGAAGATCAGAACAAGCGCTGCTAAGTACACAGAGATTGTGGGGCCCACTGTGCTCTCCATGAGCCGCTGCACCCTGCCATCTTAGGTACAGTGGTACCTCAGGTTAAGTATTCATTCTGGAGGTCTGTTCTTAACCTGAAACTGTTCTTAACCTGAAGCACCACTTTAGCTAATGGGGCCTCCCGCTGCTGCCGCACCGCCGGAGCACGATTTCTGTTCTCATCCTGAAGCAAAGTTCTTAACCCGAGGTACTATTTCTGGGTTAGCGGAGTCTGCAACCTGAAATGTAAGTAACCTGAAGCGTATGTAACCCGAGGTACCACTGTAATGGAGTGGAAGAAAGCAGGATGCAAACAGCTTGCACACAGCTTCTGTTCCAGCAGTGTAAATAGCTTCTTGAGCTGCCACAGCCGAAGCCAATCCGTGTTCATTAATTCTGCTCCTTCTCTGTAGTACAAGGATGGGGGCCCAATGCGGCCATCCTGATATTGTTGGGCTCCAACTCCCATCAGCCTCAGAAAGATGGGAGTTGCAGCCCAACGACATGGGGAAGGCCGCAGGTTCTCCATCACTGCCCTGGTAGCTTGTCCCTGCTGCTTTCCCCCCAGAGGCCTGAAGCCCAAGGTGAGTGTGTCCTCGTTGCCCAGTGAGAGGACCCACCTTGGGGGCACCAGGCTTAAATGCTAAATGGGAAATCTGTGGTACCTCAGACTCTACTTCAAGGATTTCCTCTCCGGCTGAAGGAACCTCCTTCCATCCCACGATCTCCACTGGCATGCTTGGAGGGGAAACTTCCATGGCCTTGCCGTTCTCGTCAAACATCATACGCACTTTGGCCCAGCTTTTCCCTGCAACCAGAATACAGCCCTTTCTCAGAGTGCCTCTCTGGATGATGGCAGTGGTAACTGGACTAGAGGGGAGAAAGAGGGAAGATCACGTTTGAATTCGAACAACCAATTTTATGCCACTAATTTTATTTGCATTTTTTTCCATAGTGAGCTGTCTTGAGGCAGGTTATAGCATATGTGGATGGTAGCAAAGAAATTCGCAATGCATATGCTTTCTGTTTACAGTGGTACCTCGGGTTAAGAACTTAATTCGTTCCGCAGGTCTGTTCTTAACCTGAAACTGTTCTTAACCTGAAGCACCACTTTAGTTAATGGGGCCTCCTGCTGCTGCCGGAGCACGATTTCTGTTCTCATCTTGAAGCAAAGTTTTTAACCCAAGGTACTATTTCTGGGTTAGCAGAGTCTGTAACCTGAAGCGTATGTAACCCGAGGTGCCACTGTACTTTGATATCTGTTTTATCACACTTGAGCCCAGCCCTTCCAAATAGTTCAGGACAGTGTACCTAGATTCCCCACTCCTTAAGTCAGGGATGGGGAAATCAGTGGTCCTATAGATGTTGCTGGGCTTCAACTCCCCTCAGCTCCAACCAACAATCAGGCATGATGGGAAATGTAGGTCTGCAATATCTGGAGGGCCGCTGGTTCGCTAATATCACCAACCCCACAGTTCCTTACCCCTGTTAGGTGAATTATGATGGAGATAAGGACCAGTCCCAAGTTCACCCACTACATTCCCGGTGGCTCTCCTGTGGCTTCCCAGAAGCACAGAAAGAGATAGATCGGTTGCACACTGGGTTCAATAGCCTAACCTCTCTTAGTCTTGCAGTAACAGAAGCCACTTTGCTTCTAAATAACAGGAAATGGAAATGCAACAGGAAATGGAATTTGGACATCTGGAACTGGGCATGAATTAAAGGATATATATCAAGGGAGGAGAAAATTATGGAATATTATTCATAGAATCATAGAATCATAGAGTTGGAAGAGACCACAAGGGCCATCGAGTCCAACCCCCTGCCAAGCAGGAAACACCATCAGAGCACTCCTGACATATGGTTGTCAAGCCTCTGCTTAAAGACCTCCAAAGAAGGAGACTCCACCACACTCCTTGGCAGCAAATTCCACTGTCGAACAGCTCTTACTGTCAGGAAGTTAATTCCAATATGTGATTGCAGTAGAGAGATTTTAACATGGACATAGATGGAAAAATATAGAGGACTGGTGGTGGCAATTAATGGAGATAACATTGAAGAAAAAAGCATGGTTGACATTTACCAATAATAATAGTAATAATAATGACTCAAATGACTAGTGATTCTGTCAAGGAATGAAGGGGCCTGTGCCTGTGGCTCACCCTTTTCCTTTATCTGTACGAGACTCTATGATGGTGCCTTCCACGGGGCCCGTAGAGTCTGCCTTCAGTTCCAACACCTCCGCAAGAGCCACGGTTGCCTCTGCTAAAGCCATCAAGTTGTCACCCTACACCGAACAAAGACAGTTCAGAAAAGAGCTGAGTCGCTTGGGATCAAGGAAATGACACATCAGTTACGTTACGACAGGAGATGAATAGCTCTAAAATCTGGATTACTGCATAGGCGGCCGTTTGAGGATGGGGATGATTTAAACCCCTCTGCATGGAGACTGTCATTGTGTGGCCAGGTATTCCTTCATGTCCAGGAACATGCATCAGCACCAGGGAATTTTTTTCCCAACCCACAGTACTTCCTTTGCTGGGTTGTGGGTTTTTTGATCATTTGCAATGGCATGAGGAAAAGACATCCAATCTGTATGGTCCGTCATATAGCAGCTTTGTTGCTGCCTCTGCTCTTTAAGGAGGCAACCCTAGGGGTATAGGATAAACAGAGAGAGGCCAGAAGTTGAATTCTACCTCCTTGCTGCTACCGAAACCTGGCCCTACCAATGGATAGAGTCAAAAAGAGGGTGTTTCGAGGGAGCACCAGGAAACAGCTTGAATCGGACAGATCCAAAAGCCCAGGTGATGGTGTAAATCACACCTTTGTATTACCCTCCAAAACAGGGTTTCTAAGAACCCACAAAATGGACCTCCCTTCTGCCCTGCTGGTGAAAACACAGCAGGGCTTAGCTGCATACGGCAGCAAAATCATCTTTGGGTCCCACTCATTTTAGGATTGCAGATTTAGTTGTTTATTCAGCCTCAAAAAATTAACATTTGCCCCAACTAATTCTCTCCCAGATCGATGTAAGAAACATCTTAGCGTCAATCTAATGATCTGTAGATCTACACCTGCAGACACACAAGAATGACACAAGCATTTTTATTTTGCACTGTGAAAAGCACTACAAATTACCTTCCAGAATTAGCTGGAACTAGCTTATGGGAAAAGGAAAAGTGCTTCTGGAAATAACATGCTTCCAGAAATGAAGCCCACCTATGACTAGTACAGTGACAACAGGTTAAAATTACCTTTAGTGCTGAAACATGGACAGCCTGAACATCTCCTCCATATTCTTCACAAACTACATTGTGAGCCAGGAGCTCTTTCTTCACTCTATCCGGGTTGGCTTCAGGCTTGTCGCATTTATTAATGGCAACGATAATTGGAACTGCGAGAGAAAAGGAAACGGGGGAGAATGCCAAAGTCCAAACAGTGAAGCATGGGAAGCTGCAAACCAAAGACGTTTCCCCAAAACTACAGTTGTGAAAGGATATTTATTTGTGAAGATATTTTGATCCCACCATATCAGAACGAGCAGCTCGCAAACAAGAATCTGACCTAAGGGCCTTGGAAAAAAGTGAAGGCTTTCAGTGATTACTGTATTTTTTGCTCTATAAGACTCACTTTTTCCCTCCTAAAAAGTAAGGGGAAGTGTGTGTGCGTCATATGGAGCGAATGCAGGCTGCGCAGCTATCCCAGAAGCCAGAACAGCAAGAGGGATTGCTGCTTTCGCTGCGCAGCGATCCCTCTTGCTGTTCTGGCTTCTGGGATTCAGAATATTTTTTTTCTTGTTTTCCTCCTCCAAAAACTAGGTGCGTCTTATGGTCTGGTGCATCTTATAGAGAGAAAAATACGGTATGTATGCTATTTGACCAATGGCACTTATCTCTCCCTTCCTCCCACCCACTTTAAAGAAAAGTGCTGTACCTTTGGCATTTTTAGCATGTTGAATAGATTCCACAGTCTGCTTCATTACGCCATCTTCTGCGGCTACCACCAATATGACAATATCCGTGACATGTGTACCTCTCGCCCTCATGGCTGAAAAGGCAGCATGGCCAGGTGTATCCAGAAATGTTATTTTTTCTCCAGAAGGCAAACGCACTGTAAAAAAACCCAAAACAAAAACCCCAACAACAATCAAATCTATACAGCACTACTGTAAAAATTATAAATGCATGTCAAAAATCTATGCCCCGCAGAGCTCCATGGGTCTTGTTCCCCACCAAAAAATGGTTACACGATTGCAGATTGCTCAAATTCCTTTTGAACATGGATTCTGTTAAGGTAGCAACAGTTCTTCACAAAGCCAAACTCAGGGAATCTGCTAAACATATATTTCTTATATGTTTTATTTTTTAAAGGTTTCTTTTACTGTCACTGCTGCAGTCTCAAATTCCACTGTATGCCTTCATGATAAATATTATTTTCTTGGAAGCCGCGCCCCTTATTCTTGAAGCTGGTCTTCATTTCTGTATATATGTGCTGCTGAAGCGAGCACTGGTCTTCATTTCTGTACTGTACAGCAGAGTAGCGTCAGCAACTCAACCTTTAGATCTGGGACTGTTTTCTGACACTAAAACACCTTAGGAAACAAGATTGTGTGGAGATCCCAAGGAATCCTGGGGGCTGTAGTTTGTTCAAGGGTGCTGAGGGGAGACCCTTAACAGCTATGACCGTTAAAGTGGTCCAAGAGTTCTTTAAATGTATGGTGTGGATGGGACAATCTGAGGAAAAGTCAGCGTAATTATCAATGCACGTTAAAATGACTCTGATAAATCATACCAAGAAAGGCACCAATATGCTGCGTGATGCCGCCTGCTTCCATTGCTGCCACCTGAGTTTTCCGCAGCGTGTCAAGCAACGTGGTTTTCCCGTGGTCGACGTGGCCCAGAATGGTAACAACTGGAGGCCTTGGAGTTAATGAAGCAGGATCTGCAGGAGGCCTGCAATGAACAGAAACACACAAGGCTTGCAAATGAAGTCAACCAGGGGTCCGCAAACTTTTTCAGCAGGGAGCCGGTCCACTGTCCCTCAGACCTTGTGGGGGGCTGGACTATATTTTGGGGGGGAAAGAGAACCTATGCCCCACAAATAACCCAGGACGCGGGTGGCGCTGTGGTCTAAACCACAGAGCCTAGGACTTGCCGATCAGAAGGCCGGCGGTTCAAATCCCCGCGACGGGGTGAGCTCCCGTTGCTCGGTCCCTGCTCCTGCCCACCTAGCAGTTCGAAAGCACGTCAAAGTGCAAGTAGATAAATATGTACCACTCCGGCGGGAAGGTAAACAGCGTTTCCGTGCACTGCTCTGGTTCGCCAGAAGCGGCTTAGTCATGCTGGCCACATGACCCGGAAGCTGTACGCCAGTTCCCTCGGCCAATAAAGCGAGATGAGCGCCACAACCCCAGAGTCGGCCACGACTGGACCTAATGGTCAGGGATCCCTTTACAAATAACCCAGAGATGCATTTTAAATAAAAGGACACATTCTATTCATGTAAAAACACCAGGCAGGCCCCACAAATAACCCAGAGATGCATTTTAAATAAAAGGACACATTCTACTCATGTAAAAACACACTGATTCCTGGACTGTCTGTGGGCCGGATTGAGAAGGCAATTGGGCCAGATCCGGCCCCAGGCCTTAGTTTGCCTACCCATGAAGTAAACCCTCCTTGTGTTTCTCCTTAACATTTTCCTCTTAACAGATCCCTTAAAATTCCTGAGCATCAATGATCTCAGCATGCGATCCTCAGCAACGAGTCACAGCCCAATGCCAGTAGCCTGCCAAGATGTGGTTATTTTCTTCTTCAGGAAATGGAGTACGCATGGATATGTGGCTAAATGAAACGGGGTGCTCTCTTCACAGCAAAGGGCTTTACTTCGGTCAGCGCTTCTTTGTTTATTGAGTTATAGAAACTAAAAGATCTGAGAAGGGTTTATTTCAAATACTACTGACCAAATGAGATTTCCATAACGGCTAAAATGGTTTTTATTTGGACTCGTAGACAGAAGCACAGGAATCGTTTTCCAACGTATTTCTTATCAATAAAAATTTCAGTGTGGCGCAAGCATATTTTTATTCTGAAAGCGCGGCTCAGAGAAAAATGGTTGAGAACCACTGGGCTAGAGGATAAGCAAAGCAAAAGGGGTGTGGACAGAGAGAAAACAAAATTGGCTCAATATTAATTAAGGCTTTGATTGACTATTTAATTTCTATACTGCTTAACATATTGAAAATATCTCTAAGCGGTATACAAATAACTGAAACAACAACAGACAACTTAAAACAAAATATTATGAAAATGCAGTTAGATATAATTTGTACATTCATATAAAGTTACTAATATTTTTAAATCAATATTAGCACACACAAAAACCTAAGCGAAAAGTTAGGATCCAAGCTTGCGAATGAGTATCAAAGACTATAGACATCAAACATAAGCCGGAATAGCAAAAGGGCGATGGAAAACAGGGTCTGCATAAACCTAGCAACCAAAATCAATTAACCCAAGCCATTACCTCTTTACGGCATCTTTGTTTTCTTTGATTTTGTCTTCTTTCAACTTGGCCCATTTGTGTTTCATGCCGGATTTTTGAACGATGTCCTTGATCAACACTTCATCCAGGACCGAGTCGGGTTCTAGTGCGTCTATATCAACGCTCGTGTTTAGCAAGGCTTCGTATATATGATCTGAAAACAGAAACGGAAAGTTGTATTGGTCAGTGCACCAACCTCAGGAAGAACATGGTTGATGAAGCAGCTCTAAGAAGAGCCTGCTGGATCAGGCCAGTGGCACATCTGGGGCAGCATCCTGTTCTCACATTAGCAAACCAGATGCTTATGGGAAGCCCAAAAGCAGGAAGTGAGAACAACTGCACTCCCTCCCACTTGTGATTCCGAGCAACTGCCAATTGGACGCATACTGCCTTCAACAATGGAAGTAAAACATAGCAATTTGAACTACTTGGAGCCTAGCTGGATAGGGTCTTTGTCACACAGGGACTTGCAGTCACCACCCCAGCAGCCGCTGAATTCAAGCCTGGATTTCAGTGCTGTATAGTTAAAGCTATGGTTTTCCCAGAAGTGATGTATGGAAGTGAGAGCTGGACCACAAAGAAGGCTGATCGCTGAAGAATTTGTGCTTTTGAATCATGGTGCTGGAGGAGACTCCTATCTATTCTTAAGGAAATCAGCCCTGAGTGCTCACTGGAAGGACAAATCCTGAAGCTGAGGTTCCATAATTTGGCCACCTCATGAGAAGAGAAGACTCCCTGGAAAAGACCCTGATGTTGGGAAAGATGGAGGGCACAAGGAGAAGGGGACGACAGAGGACGAGGTGGTTGGACCGTGTTCTCGAAGCTACCAGCATGAGTTTGACCAAACTGCAGGAGGCAGTGGAAGACAGGAGTGCCTGGCGTGCTCTGGTCCATGGGGTCACGAAGAGTTGGACACGACTAAATGACTAAACAACAAAATTTATCACTACCACCTTGGGAAAATATATTTCACATGTGGGGGAAAAACTCTAAATGAAACAAGCTAAAGAAGTACAACAAAGGGTTTCCCATTCTCCTCTCCCAACCCCCCACCACAAAAAAACCCCCATCCAACTGGGACCAATTCTATGGCAAATTCATTTAATTCAAACCTTTCTCAGATGAAAGTAGCTCAAGCACATCGGAAGCAGATGGCTGAGGAATGCTCTAGAGGATGAAAGACATCTTACACAAACCTCCTTTATGGCACTGGAAAGGCAGGAAATCTTGAAACAATTAAAATGGGCTAATGAGTGACATAAGCTCCGCTGCAGGACTCCCAAGTCAGCAGATACAAGGCCCACATTCTCCTGTCTTGTCAGCAAAGGAAACTGCAATATACTGAGTTAGACTATTGGTCCATCTATCTCAGGGTCTCTTCAAGGTTTCAGACAGGAGACATTGCCAGCGCTGCCTGGAGAGGCTGTGAACTCAACTTGTATGCATGCAGGGCAGATGCTATACTGAGCTTCACTAAAAGGGGATTCAAGTGGGAGCAGCTGAGAAGGAATTCTGAGGATGGTGCCCTTTGCAAAGTCAAAGAAACAGTCTCACCTATGTCTTTATGCATGGCTTTTGCAAGGTCTTCTACGGTCATCCTGGACATTATCTCAACCTCCTGCTTCTCTGGTTTTGGTTGTACAGGTCGCTGTTTCTCCTTGGCTGATTTCTTTCTCTGCAAGAGAGTTCAAGGAGTGCACATGGGATGGATGGAAGGGGAAGCAGTTTCACGCAAAGCTGTATAATCTTAAAATGCAAGGCCTGCTTTGCTTATACGGCAGCCGGACACACACAGCTATGTAAGAAAGATCCACAGGGACTCCGCTCCAGTGAACAAAGTGCTGATGCACTTTGAAAGAGGAACAATTAAACCATATGTTGTGCCGTATTACCATTTTTCATCTTGTTTCCAATGGTTTCCACTTTTGTCGTTTCAAGATGGGCTGGGCAAAAGGCACACTTGAATTTGTTCGGAACAGATCAAACACTTTTACTCAACGTTTCTTTTGCATTAACCATCGTTTTTGTTTCCCTACAAAATACACTGAAGATTCCTCCACAAAACAGCGCCAGCTTTCATTCCACAGGCACACACAACAGGAATTCTTGGAAGCAAGAATAAAGTAGCTGTTAATTACCTCCTTGGTTGTTAAAAGCCTGAATTGTGAGCTGGTGTCTGGCTGCCAGAGCAGGGGGTGCAGCTGAACTGGGCACATGGGGTAGGCAGATGACAAGACAGGCTTCCACTGTGTTCGGTGTCCTTTCCCATAAGCCAGGGAGTGCAGCTGCCGGCAAGCACGATGCAACTGCCCCAAGTTCTCCAGCGTCAGCATCACCCTCCAGTTCATTTCTTCTCTGAAGGAAAAGATATAACGAGTCACCTTTCAAGATATATGGACCATTAGAAGCCACAAATGGGAACAAAAAGTGGCACCAGATGCAAAAGAGGAACGGGAATGCTGTGTCTTCCATGGCTGTGTGGAAGAGGAAATGTCAGCAGGAAATGTTTATTGGGGTGTGTGTGTGAGAGAGAAAACCATGTTTACTGTATCTGAAGAAGTATGCATGCACACAAAAGCTTATACCCAGAACAAACTTAGTTGGTCTCTAAGGTGCTACTGGACAATTTTTTAATTTATTTCGACATGCTTATTGTAATTCAATATTCTACATAATTATTGTAAACCACAGAGGCTCCCATCTTCCTTTGTTCCTGGCACCCTAATCAGAAAATAATAATAGGTTGTCATGTCCGGACCCCAGGAAAGAAATCTGGCAACGTTATGAATCAAAAGGAGGAATCTCCCCAGATGTGGACTGTGCTGCAGTGATGGAAGAAGCTGCACACAGCAAAGATGAGAAGGCTGTCAACAGACAGCTTTTCCAAGTCATGTGGCCAGCATGACTAACCCGCTTCTGGCGAACCAGAGCAGCGCATGGAAATGCCGTTTACCTTCCCACCGGAGCGGTACCTATTTATCTACTTGCACTTTGATGTGCTTTCGAACTGCTAGGTGGGCAGGAGCAGGGACCGAGCAATGGGAGCTCACCCCGTCGCGGGGATTAGAACTGCTGGCCTTCCGATTGGCAAGCCCTAGGCTCAGTGGTTTAGACCACAGCACCACCCGCGTACCCCTAGTTCCATACGTCTGCTTTTAATTCCTTTTCTTCTTTTTTTGCTTTTAACTCATTTTAAACTTTTCATGATGTTATTTCTCTGGTTTTATGTTTCTTTATCGTTGCAAACTGCTGTGTGTGTGTGTATATATGTGTGTGTGTGTGTGTGTGTGTGTGTGTGTATATACACACACACACACACACATTACACATACTTCTGTAAAACAAGAAAATATTTAATAATATATATATATATATATATATATATATATATATATAGGATATGAAGGTCTTATTTTTATCTGTAAGCCTGCCTTGAGTCACTGTCAAGCAAAAAAAAGGGGGGGAATAAATAAATAAATACAGTAACAATAACAGTAGTAGAAGGCAGGAAACAGAGTGACACAGACACGCAAAGGGGGCCAGGGGTATAATAATAATAATAATAATAATAATAATAATGCCGCCCGTGAGCTTTGTGACATAAACTCAATGGCAAATGAGCCGCTCTTCCTAATATGGAGAAAAGAAACAGGGCGGGTGAGGGAACAGCCAATCCTGCTCCAAGGCTCCCGTTCGTCCATTCAAATCAGCGGGAGAAAACTGACAAGCCCCGCCCACATTCTCATTGCTTCAGTCCCCTCGCCGTGCGGCTTCCCTCCTGCTTTGACACCACCCTGCCTGAAGGTGGCGCTCGCGCTCCTCGGCCGCTAACGGCTCTTTTTTAAATAACCAAAACCACCCATCCCTCGCGCATGCGCAGCCCAACCGCCGCGTCTCGAGACAGGGCCGTTAGGAAAGCCGCTGTCGCCGCCGCCGCCGCTTCTCGTGCTGGTATTCCGCGCCGTCCTCGCCGCCACCCCCCGCACCGAGCACCCCCACCCGGGTGCGTGTGTTTCTGTAGCTACCTGTTCTCCGGAAGAAGCCTGCCTTCTCCCTCTCCCTCAGCGGGGAGCCGAAGGCCCCAGCGCAACCCTTGAAAAGAAAAGAGGAGGAAAGGTGTTCTTCATGCCGAGTTCTTCACTGAGCATGCGCCACCCTTCCCGAGCATGCTCGGTGGCGGCGGCCGAAGCCCTGTAGCCCTTCTCTTGCCCTCACTCGGGAAGGGCGGAGCCGCAACTCACGTGGTGAAAAGGGATGTTAGAAAGCTGCTGAGTGACAGCTGAATAAGCCCCTGGCTGAGTTCTATAGGTTTTGCTTCCTAGTAATTAATTTTCAGCTGATGTTTGTCGCAAGTTTACTTGAAGCTGTCTATTTATATACCCACTTCCTGCCAGGACGCAAAAGTTGGTTTACAATGTTAAAACTGAAGGCACAAAATAAACCGTATAAAGTGTAACGTTTGGGTCAGTCCTGATTTTGAGACGTCCCTGAGGGTTGCATTTGCCTCCCTCACTTATATGAGGCAGAAGTTCCACTGTATTCGGTGCTGCAAAATAAATGCAAATAAATAAATGCAACCCACTCCTTTGTTCAGTGATAAAGGTAAAGGGGCCCCTGACCATTAGGTCCGGTCATGACCGACTCTGGGGTTGCGGTGCTCATGTCGCTTTATTGGCCGAGGGAGCCGGCATGACTAAGCTGCTTCTGGCGAACCAGAGCAGCGCACCTTCACACTGGTACCTGTTTATCTACTTGCACTTTGACGTGCTTTTGAACTGCTAGGTGGGCAGCAGCAGGGACTGAGCAACGAGAGCTCACTCTGTCACGGGGATTCGAACCGCCGACCTTCTGATCGGCAAGTCCTAGGCTCTGTGGTTTAACCCACAGTGCCACCCGCATCCCTTGCTTTGTTCAATGATACTTGCATCCAAATAAGCAGGGAGAATATTTGCAGCCTTATTTGCAGTGGCTTATTGTAGCTTTAATCTGCCCTAGCCTTGATAAATGGTGTTTGTTTTTAAGCAAAAGTAGAGTTTTTCCATGCAGAATTGAGTTGGCATTCCTACATGTACTTACCTCTATGGGACAACCTCCTGAGTTGACATGTATACTAGACTTGTGCTGTTAAACTAGGCAGAAGTTCTGTCTGTTCCATATGCTGGCGAGCGATTGGAATTTTTAGCAGCTGCAAGGATGGGCAGATTGTTAACAGCTGCAAATTTAACAATAAAAAGCATGGATGTAATATAGAAATTTGCGGTGACAAAGACGAACCCCACCCCCACCCCCAGATTATGGTTGTGTGTGCTGTTTCTTAAGCAAAACTAGAAGACTGAAACAATATTACTTAGTTCCTCTTTTGATTCTCCATTTTACAGCCCATGTTTAATTCATTTTTTTTTCTCCTTTGGGTAGTCTGACACATTCTTTTGGGGCATTCAAACGTTGTTTAACATGCATTATCAGATATAAAGTTTCTGAAGTATTCAAGCACAGTAATTTTGACATGACACCAGCTGCAATCCCCTTTGCACCTATTTGGGTTCAGTGGCGCTTACTTTCGAGTAAATTTGCACAGGGTTGTACTGATAGTCTAAGCTCTAATTTTCTTTCCTGCCAAGGCACTATAATTTGCAGCAATCCTCTGCTCCTTCCTCCCAGGCCCAATAAAAAAATCCGCCTTCCTCTCCTCAGGCTAAAGAGCACTTGCTTGCACTGTGTCATTTGGGATTATCCCTGGGGTTTCTCTGCATTGTTAATGTGAGGGGAGGGCAGAAGAAGATTAAGGGTTTTCAAAGGCTTTTAAAAGGACCACTGCTTCTGCCTAGAATTTCTTCTAATCTATGGGACTGATGTCATGTGTGTGCCAGGAAGAATTTCATTGAAAAGACCCAGCCATCTGTAATCTGACTGCAGTGGGGGGTTGGGGGGGCGGTGAGAGGAAAACACAGGCAATCAGTGAGCACAGCAGACATATGTTGACTGCTGCCATGTCAGTGAAAGTGCTTTTGACAGGTGCTGTCCTTAACAGACAAACAGCATTCGGTAGAGTTTTCTTTGGAAAGGACTTGAGAGACTCTGCAAATACGTTTTACATATCCAAGTTCAGGTTTATGCTTCCCTGTGCCGGTTGCTAATCATTTGGCAAAAGAGTCTGCCATGCCTTTCACAATGCACTGTACATGGGATGGTTTGGGGGATGACACTGAAACTTCAATGGGTTCAAAATACAGCGGTCAGATTATTGACTGGGATTGGTCAGAACATACCTTGCCATATTTCCATTGTCTCCTTTTTACTAAACCCATAGTGAAAAATCACTTTGAAACTTATCCTATTTTCTCCTCTGTTTTTAAGTTGTTTTAATTCTGCTATAGTTTCATTACTTTTTAACTATTGTTATTAATATTTTTTTTAGCCGCCTGTATTTTATCTGTGTTGTTTTACGTAATTAACATGAACTGTATTGGTGTTCAACTATGAAAAAGGCGGGATGTTGTTGTTGTTGTTTAGTCGTGTCCGACTCTTCGTGACCCCATGGACCAGAGCACACCAGGTACTTTGTCTTCCACTGCCTCCCAGAGTTTGGTCAAACTCATGCTGGTAGCTTCGAGAACACTGTCCAACCATCTCGTCCTCTGTTGTCCCCTTCTCCTTGTGCCCTCCATCTTGCACGGCATAGTTCATAGCTTCTCTGAGTTATTCAAGCCCCTTCGCCACAGCAAGGCAGTGATCCATGAAGGGGAGGCGGGAGGTAAATAAATACAATAATAACCTAGTGCTATGGGTTTTGTGATGGTAGTAAGTTCTTGGCTACAAAGGAGATTCCAGTTTAACATCAGGAAGAACTTTCTGACAGTAAGGGCTGTTTGGCAGTGGAACAGTCTCCCTTGGGAGGCTGTGGACTCTCCTTCTATGGAGGTTTCCAATCAGGTTGGATGGCCATCTGTCATGGATGCTTTAGCTGAGATTCCTGGCATTGCAGGGGGTTGGACTACGAGATGAGCCTTGGGGTCCCTTCCAACCCTACGATTCTGTGATTCTATACAATTAGGTAAAATGCCCCAGTGTAACAGAAGGGCAGGGCGGGATGAGCTCTACTTGCCACTGCTGGAACTGCTTTTTGAGCTTATTACAGTGGTACCTCAGGTTACATACGCTTCAGGTTACAGACTCCGCTAACCCAGAAATAGTACCTCAGGTTAAGAACTTTGCTTCAGGATGAGAACAGAAATCGTGCTCCGGTGGCGTGGCAGCAGTGGGAGGCCCCATTAGCTAAAGTGGTGCTTCAGGTTAAGACCGGACCTCTGGAACAAATTAAGTACTTAACCCGAGGTACTACTGTACTGGAATTTCCTTTTCTACACAACCATTAGAAAATCCCTATGATTCTAGCATCAGCAGGGGTTTAGGCCAGATTACCACTGAGGTAGTTGATTAGACAAGTTCAAGGAAGTAAAGGCTACCATTGGCTACTAGCCATGAGGACTATGTTCTGCCTCGACAGTCAGAGGCTGTATGCTTCTGAATATCAGCTGCTGGAAACCACAGGAAAGGAGAGTGCTCTTGAACTCGGGTCCTGCTTGCAGACTTACCATAGGCATTTGGTTCGCCACTGTGAGAACACGATGCTGGACAAGATAGGCCACTGGCCTGATCCAGCAGGACTCTTCTTATGTTCCAACTCTACAATTCTATCAGATGATACTATGCATGTTCTGTAGACACTGCCCAACAGTTGGCCAGTGAAACCTAAAGTTGGCAACCCCTGGAATAAGTGGACCATCATGAAACTCAAACACTTTTGTTTTAAAAATCATGACATGGCACAGAAAACTTTGATCTAATCAATATCAGAAGTTGTTTCTCAGCTTTAAAAAATTACCTTGTGGGTCCCACCCCTTTCATATTTTTGTAACTACGCAGAAGCATTTTAACAGGATTAATATTACATCTCGCTTCAGTTGCAAGCAAGATTGTTTAGATAATTGGTTTATTAAATAAAACACACCAAGAGCAGCTGTTTTCATTAAGCAGTTGAATTGCAATGCATTTCACACTCTGCAGTTCACCTATTACCAAATACGTGTGAATGCACAATTAAAGCCATTCAATTTAATATCCATTTCCCCCAGAATTAATGCTAATTTATTCACTTTCCAGTTAATGTCTTGCATTAGAACAGATTGTTGTTCTTAACAGCTTAGCAAATCCCTCCTGGCATAGACTAGGAAAGGCTAGCTCACAGCATTCCAAGAGAATCTCAAAATGCTTAAGGCCCAATCCACTGGGTACTTCTCTCTCATTAAACTACATTGAATCAATAACGCTAAACTACATATTAATTTAAGCAGGAATCTAATGAATATTAAGAGATGGAGCATGGCTCAGTGGCGGCACATTTTCTTTGCAAGCAGAAGGCCCCAGATACAGTCCCTGGCTTCTACAGATACAGCTGGCAGAGAAGCCTTCCCTGGAAACCCTGGAGAGATGCTGCCGGTCAGTGTAGACAATACTAAGTTAGATGGACAAATGGTCTAACTTGGGAGAAGGCCACTTTCTATGGTTCCTATTGCTTTTGCATATGAAATTACTCCTAGATTGTGCTCTTGTTTTAGGCAGGGAAATCACTTCGTAAGCAAAGGAGCATGCATTGCACCAGTTTAGATCCAAATAGTTGTATTTTATTATTATTATTATTATTAAAGATTTTCTTGTTGTGTAATGTCTCTCGTATTTTTTCCACGTAACATTTTTACAAATCAGTTTCATTTGTTGAGACATTGGGGGGGGAGATGGGGGGGGTCGGGTGGTGATGTTTCTATTTTGCTTAATGTATGTAGGGTTTGGTGTCAGTGTTGCTCGTGCTGTTCATTTGTGTTTCTTTGGTGGCGAGAGAGGTTGGGGTTGGCCTAGGGTGTGGCTGTTCATTTGTGGTTGGCTGTGGTGGTCTTTGTTTTCGTGTGTGAGTGGGGTGCGCGGGTGTTTTGGATCAGGTTAGCCATACTGATTTGTATGCTGTTGGTGGATTATTGTCATTGTCTTGTTGGGCTGTGCATGTGATAAAAGGGAGCCATACTGGGGTAAAGGCGTCTTCTTCTGTTTGTCCTCATATCAGTTTCAGTTTATTGGTTAATTTTTCTAGTAGGGCTGTTTCCCATACTATTTGGTACCATTGGTCCATACTTACTCCTGACAGGTCTCTCCAGTGTCTGGTTACGGTGTTTCTGGCTGCTGAAAGTAGGTGGGTTATGAGTTCCCAAATAGTTGTAGTTGAGGAATTGTTGTTGTTGTTGTTTAGTCGTTTAGTCGTGTCCGACTCTTCGTGACCCCATGGACCCAGAGCACGCCAGGCACTTCTGTCTTCCACTGCCTCCCGCAGTTTGGTCAAACTCATGCTGGTAGCTTCGAGAACACTATCCAACCATCTCGTCCTTTTTCCTCCCCTTTTCCTTGTGCCCTCCATCTTTCCCAACATCAGGGTCTTTTCCAGGGAGTCTTCTCTTCTCATGAGGTGGCCAAAGTTTTGGAGCCTCAGCTTCACGATCTGTCCTTCCAGTGAACACTCAGGGCTGATTTCCTTAAGAATGGATAGGTTTGATCTTCTTACAATAGTTGAGGAATAGATCATGTTAATCATGAATTTTGTTGGCATCCATCTGTCTACAGAGACAATGGAATGTGCCTCTGGGAGTGAAGTCAAACTGCTGCCTTAGCAGCACTGAAATGACCTCCTGGGAGGACAAGCCTGAGCAGTGTCTGTGGAGGTCCAAGACCACCCCCCCTTGGCCTCACTGATGTGGTCCAAAGAAAAGCAGAACAATCCGGTTGGCACCAGCTTGGCTGCAGGAGTTGCTGGAAGGAAGTGTACAAGGCACTGTCCAACCGTTTTACGGATTCCACTTGTGTGCAGTTTGCTCCTTAGCCTTTTCTTCTCCAGAATACAGTGGTACCTCGGGTTAAGTACTTAATTCGTTCCGGAGGTCCGTTCTTAACCTGAAACTGTTCTTAACCTGAGGTACCACTTTAGTTAATGGGGCCTCCTGCTGCTGCTGCGCCGCCAGAGAACAATTTCTGTTCTCATCCTGAAGCAAAGTTCTTAACCCAAGGTACTATTTCTGGGTTAGCGGAGTCTGTAACCTGAAGCGTCTATAACCCGAAGCATCTGTAACCCGAGGTACCACTGTATATCCTGCAAGGCTGTCGAGGTTTAGGACCAGAGTTTTCCTTCTAGGTGGGCTACCTTCCCAGGCTGAGCAGCCTCATCTGCCCCACATACTATACATAAAGTAACTGCAATCCTATGCACGTTACTCAGAGGTCTCAATGAGGATTACTCTCTAGCAATCGGGCTTAAAAACCTGCAGCCAACGAGTTGCGGATTGCAATTCCACGCGCGTTTACCGGAGAGGAAGCGCCCCTGCAATCAGCGGGGATTCACTGCCGAGTAAACGCGAGTAGATTCGGAAATCGAACCCCGCACTTTCACCTGCAAAGCGGATGAAAGCGAGCAGCAGAAGTGAAAGCGATCCCTCCTTTCTTTCTGGCTGGCGGAAGACGTTCCCCTCTCCTTGGCCCAAGCGGAAAGGCGGCGCCTCCTCTCCCGCAGCGCGTCGCTCGATCAGCTGACGGCCCCCATCTCCAAAAGGCCCGAAGCGAGGGCGAAGGATCAGCCATGGCCGGGCAGCCGCAAGCCGAGGGGGCACTTCGGAAGGCGCTAGAGGATCACCTGCACAGCCTGGGCATCCAAGCACTGGCCGTGGAGCACCCCGAGGTGAGGGGAGTGCGCGGATCGCGGGCGCACGTGGAGGAGGAAGAGGCAGGGAAGAGCCGTTGCCACGTGGCTGGCTCAGATTAGCAGCCTCCTGGTGCTTATGCGTCCTGGCCAAAGCGGGTGTTTGGAGGAGAGGCGTGGAGAAAATCGGTATAAAGTTTTTCTCCCTGTTTCATAGGACGAGTGGGCACCCAACCAAGCTGACTGTTGGACGATCCAGGGCAGATGAAATAACAACTTCACGCAACGCAGAGTTTTAACTATGCAGAACTCACTCCCGCAGGGCCAGCAACCTGGATAGAGTTAAGAAATGGGAGAAATCCAGGGAGGCGGCGGCTAACAATGGCTGCTAACCAGGATACCTATGCCCTGCTTCCAAGATCAGAGGCAGAAATGCTTCTGAATAACCTTGGAAACCAAGGGCGGGGAGAGTGCTGTTGTTTCCCACATTTCCCACACAGTGCTGTTGTTGGCCACTGAGAGAGCAGGATTCTGGACCAGATGGGTCTTGGCCAGATCCAGTAGGTTATGACTACAGTCTGATGCCGATGCCCTGCTCGGAGCGTTTTTCTTACAGTACTCTCCAATATCAAGTTTACAGCTCCAAAGCAATAAAACCAGTGTAGACACATTAGGATAGCAAGTCTTATAATGACAAATAATAAAAGAAACAGCTCTAACTTGGGAAAGAGAATGGCACTCTGGACACGCTCATAGGGGCTTAATTTCTAATTTGACAGCTGCTGCTATTATTATTATTATTATTATTATTATTATTATTATTATTTTATTCCTTTGACAAGAACAAGCTAGGAATTCAGTAGGGTAAACATGATTTTGTGTTTTGTTGGCAGGGGAGAAATAATGCAATTAATTATGTTACACTTACTGATGCAATCCTACGCATGTTCTACCCCAAAGTAAACTGCACTGAGTTCAATAGGGTTTACTCCCAGGCAAGTGTTTAGTGTTTAATATTAGTTAAGATCGTAACAGCCTGCAGGATCAGGCCTATGGCCTATCTAACCTGGCAATCCTGTTCTCACAAGGACCAACCAGGTTGAAGATAGGAGTGTGATAGGAAGTTTTTTACTCATGTGAAACTGCATTATAACACCTTTGCCATCACATGAGAAAAAAAAGCAAGCAACCCCATAATCTGAGATAAAGAGTTAATAAAACAAGGCAATTTTTGTGCATTATCAAATGTGGGTCCAAGAAACGAGGAATCCTACTAGCCACTTGAGAGCATTGACCACACTGCAACTACAGTGTTAGTTAGAACTAGTTGCCGCTTCTAACATGAAACTGATATAAGTAAGGGGAAATCGGGTCGATTGCTCTGGAGCTCTTCACACCCTCCCTCCCCATCACTTGGATAAACCTGGGTGTGACTAGTTGCTGGACAGTGACCCACATGGAACGCATCCTGATATAGTCCCTTCTCCTTGCTGAAAATGATCTCGAGCTCAGGCTCAGAAGGCATATTTCTGGATTTAAACTACAGTGGTACCTCAGGTTAAGAACGTAATTTGTTCTGGAGGTCTGTTCTTAACCTGAAACTGTTCTTAACCTGAGACACCACTTTAACTAATGGGGCCTCCCGCTGCCGCACGATTTCTGTTCTCATCCTGAAGCAAAGTTCTTAACCTGAGGTACTATTTCTGGAGTCTGTAACCTGAAGCGTCTGTAACCAGAGGCACCACTGTAGTCAGTCTTGTTCCTGTATAGGAAGCCTGTGGAAACATTCCGCTTGGGAGTTCTCCTGTATGCACTATGTTGGAATGAGCAAGATTTTTGCAGTCATTGCATTGGGGTTTGCGCATGAGTCATTCTGTGAATTGTGGCTTATGTGTAATTTGAAAAGCTCGGCCAATGGATTGTGCAAAAAATAGCCAAACTATTTCAATTATCTCTTTTAGGTGTTCACAGTTGAAGAAATGATGCCTTACGTCCAGCATCTGAAAGGAGCACACAGCAAAAACCTTTTCCTTAAAGATAAGAAGAAAAAAGGGTTCTGGCTGGTGACGGTCCTGCACGACAGGCAAATCAATTTAAATGACTTGGCAAAGAAACTAGGTGTCGGAAGCGGGAATCTTCGTTTTGCTGACGAAGCGGCCATGCTTGAGAAGCTGAAAGTTGGCCAGGGGTGTGCAACGCCCCTAGCTCTTTTCTGTGACCAGGGAGATGTGAAGTTTGTGTTGGATTCTGGCTTTTTGGAAGGAGGCCACGACATGCTGTATTTTCACCCAATGACAAATGCAGCAACTATGGGACTACATCCAGATGACTTTCTAAGATTCCTAAAGTCCACAGGACATGAGCCTACAATTGTACATTTTGATGAAAGTGACAAGTAGCTTTACACCACCATTTTATATGTAAAATCATGTCATGAAAATTTAAAGATGCTAGCTCTCCGTTAATTTTGTATAGTTTTTTCAAAATTTTAGTAGTTTATCTTTAGTTGGGAAGTTACTACCGGTTTCATGATGTATTTGGTAATGATAATCCACACCACACTTTTAAAGCGCACTTATATAGTCATGGTTATCCCCCCCGCAAAGAATCTTGTGAACTGTAGTGTACCCCTCTCAAAGCTATAATTGTCAGCACCCTTTGTTGTTGCTGTTGTTGTTTAGTCATTTAGTCGTGTCCGACTCTTCGTGACCCCATGGACCAGAGCACGCCAGGCACTCCTGTCTTCCACTGCCTCCCACAGTTTGGTCAGACTCATGTTTGTAGCTTCGAGAACACTGTCCAGCCTTCTCGTCCTCTGTCGTCCCCTTCTCATTGTGCTCTCAATCTTTCCCAACATCAGGGTCTTTTCCAGGGAGTCTTCTCTTCTCATGAGGTGGCCAAAGTATTGGAGCCTCAGCTTCAGGATCTGTCCTTCCAGTGAGCACTCAGGGCTGATTTCCTTCAGAATGGAGAGGTTTGATCTTCTTGCAGTCCATGGGACTCTCAAGAGTCTCCTCCAGCACCATAATTCAAAAGCATCAATTCTTCGGCGATCAGCCTTCTTTATGGTCCAGCTCTCACTTCCAGCACCCTTAACAAGCCTTAAACACAGATCCCAGGATTCTTGGGAGGCAGAGTTTGGACAGGTAAGCCATGGCTGTTAAAGTGGTAAAGGAGTGCTTCAAGTTTGTGGTGTGGATGTGACCATTGATATTTCCAGCCACATCAGTCTATGTGAGTGGCTGTGATTTGGTGGTAAGGCCACATGTTTGAAATCTAGAATGTCTGATTCAGTACTTAAAATCTCCACCCTTTGTGGCAACCAGTACAATTTACGCAATTCCAAATACAACCACATTTGACTTAATCGTTTCCCACTCAGGTACAATGGGTGGTGGCTATAAGCAACAAACATGATTTTATTATTTTCCAGATACAGAGTCCTTATTAATTCAACTTTAGTTCCAACTCTATGCTTAGGAAGGACCAAATAAAAGCATCTTTGAAAAAGGCAAATAAAGAGAGAGGGAAAGTTGAGTTATTTGGCTTGGAATTTTAATAACATAATTAAGTAGTGTTCAATGGCAAACATTACAAAACTCCTTAATAGGTATAAGAAAGGAAAACTACAGCTTTAAATAACAGCTTCTGTAAAACAGTGTTTAAACAGTTTGTGTCGCACCCAGGTGCTCCCTCCTTTTAAGGCAGTTCCATTCTTAACAATGCTTGAGCTACATACACACACACACACACACACACACACTCACGCATACACACAACAGTTCACACCATTGCTGGAGCTGCTCTCAGAACACAAAACATTTTAAGAAACAATGCATTCTGGAAAAGGCGATTGTAGCCTTGGCAACTGCAGCAGCAGAGCGGAAATTAAAACATTTCATTGTATTACAACACATTTCCAGCTTCCACTTTCCAGCTGCTGGATATTGTCTTGTACAGTGAAAAAGCCCTTGCATTTAGTTTTAAAGGTGCTGGGATTTAAACAGATGGCGAAGTGACACATTAATTTCTGACACTGTCACAGACTTTATAAAGTTTTTAAAAAAGTTAATTATTTTTAGAAACGGGGTAGACGGCAATGAAAATTGAGATTAAGTGGGAGGACCATTTCAATTTTCTTTCTGATTCATTAAGTGATGGAATCTAGAGAGATCAGGGAGCCAGGTTATACTCCTCAATGTGCTCTGGGAAGGGAAGCTAAAAATATACAGGGCTTTGGTTCTCCTGCATAAAATCCAGGCACTGTTTTCTGTTAAGCTGTTAGCAGAAAACCATCTGGCTTTATACAAAACAAATTACTAGGCTTGTTGAGAAAGAGCTAGAGAAGCAAAAGGTTTGCAGCTCGTGAGCCTCTTCCTCTGCAAAATATCAATGAATTAAGTTTTGTTAAGGGAAGATTGTATTTCGGTCTTAAAACTTTGAATTATGCTATTAAAAACAAAAACAACCACCAACAAAACCTTACACATAGTGCTAACTCCAGCCTATTGCCAAAACAGGTAAATCATAAAAGGCATGATCTTGCGTTGACTTTGCCTGTGCTAGTGTTGTGAAAATAAAGCAACGCTCTTGCGCAACTCCCTTTGACTTCAAGGGAGGCCTGCATGCACAAGAGAAGTTCCAGGTAGATGAGAGTCAGTCTCTAGCTGATATAATTGCCTGTAGAAAGGTAGAGTCCATGTGAAACAAATCATTAAGCCAAAGCACACAGGAATATGAAACAAGTGCAAAGCTCAAAAAGGTGCAAATCTTAAGAAAATAGGTATGGTCAATCAGCGGGTTGGTAAATGCATGAAAAACACACGATTGTTCCTGAAAGCTTGAGAGTCTATAAACAAAGCAACAGAAGCTTAGGATCAGTTCATAAAAAAACAAGCTGATCTACAAAGCTAGCTAATCACCATCTCCATGTACACCCACATTTAGAAACATCAATGTTCCCAGATATTAAAATCATCCTTTTAAAAGATCCCGTATCTTCAGAGGGGAAGAGACTGGTGACACAAGACAGGGTGGCACAACCCGCTACTGAACAAAATTACTGATGTGTTTTATGTGATTTTCATATGCCTAGCAACCGTCCTCTCCTGTTTTCCCCTTATGACAATCAAGGGGAGCGTACTGTTCACTCATTTTATTTTATTTTTATTCTGACAAAATCATAGTCAAGGATGCATGGTAATATTTGAAAGGCCATGGACTCAGAAATTACCAATTATGGCCACAATCCTACCATCCCATGCAGAGGGTAGGAAGTACATACAACTTTTAGGCTGAAGAGACTCTCCATACACACTAGCTGTATGCTGCCTGTAATTTATTATTATTTATTAAAAGTATTTATAATATGCATCCCCCTCCAGGGTTGAAAGATGCACAGCCTGAACCAAAATTAAACCGTAAGATAAATAAAATAAAAAGCCTGGACATTAGATGACCCGCTTGGGGGAGAGAGAGAGAGAGAGAGAGAGAGAGAGAGAGAGTGTGTGTGTGTGTGTGTGTGTGTGGCTTCATCCAGTTACATGCTTGCTGTTCAGGAACATGCCTGACACAGCCATGGGGGGAATTCTGAATGTTTGCTGCTCTCAGGACAGGATTGGAATGGTATGGTATGGCGAGCTACTCTGCCTATCTGGCCCCTGCTGTGTTTCATTTGCACCTTGCTGTTTCATTTGCCAGTGGGGGAAACAGAACCTATTCTTACATTACAAGTAACATTAGTAATCATTTGCAAGAAGCCTGATGGCTGTAATAAACATTTGCAACGCTGTACAAAATGCTTTCTTTAAAAAAAAATGTTTGATATTAACATAGGGGGCTCCGGTCCCAGCCCAATAGGAGTTTACTAGGTCGGTCTTCACAAACATAGCACCCTCCAGATGTTTTGGATTACAACGCTCCATAGAATCATAGAATTGTAGAGCTGGAAGGGACTATGAGGGTCATCTAGTCCAACCCCCGGCAAAGCAGGAAACTTTTGCCCAACATGGGGCTTGAACCCACAACCCTGAGATGAAGCAGACCCAGCCAGCAGCCATGTTGGCTGGGAATGATAGGAGTTGTAGACCAAAACATCTGGTGGGCCCCAGAATAGCAAGGAATGGGCTTTTAGATATAGTACAATTCCTTGCAAATAGTTTGGCTGAGATAAAAATGAAGCGTGGTGATGAGGTTTAAGGATGCCCATGTGCATAAAAATATTAGCAAGGTTGAATGAACCCAATGAGGTTAAATGGTTAAAATGCGATATATTGTCATGGAAATATTAATACATTAGTGACTCGTAAGAAAATAAACCTTTGAAATTTAATATAAACCAGGATAATTTCATGTACATTTCCCAGGATTAACCAAATCTATTTTCCTGTGCTCTTTGCAAGAGTTTTAAGACAAATGCATACAACAAATATTTTTAAAGTACCAACAGCATTAATAAATCTTAATTCATATACAATTATAAGGAACAAAAAGGTGGAAATATTAGTAAGAGCCTTAATAAAAGGAATGGCTTCAAAATGCTTATCAGAACCTTGTTTACCTTCGTCTTCCCCCATAAAGCTTCCTCCTAAACCATAATAGGCTAACAAAATCACAAATTAAAAAACACAAGTAAAAATACAAAATATTTAACTTAAAGACAGTTTTGTTCCAAAATTTGTATTTGTTGAAAACAGAGATTGTTTTATTGGACATAGAAAGTTCCAGGAATATTAATTCCATTGTTTCCCTGCCCCCACCCCACCCCACCCCAATTGTATTGTTTTGCAAAATAACTTGTTGCCTTGAAAACTCATGGAACAAATAAAATCATGTCGAGTGTGGATTAAAGTGTTTAGCTAAGTTTTCAGGTACCTAAACAATTTTTTCTTGCTATTTGCACCAAAATAACCAGCAGTCTCATTTTACAAAGAGCAACATCATGCAAATTAAGCAAACCAATAAAATAAGCTTGAGGGGTTCATTTTTGTACCTGTATTTACATCAAATTCCACAATATACTACAGCCTTCTCCCCTTTCAGATTTACAGAACTAAATATTGCTAATTATTAGCAGAAGCAGTAAGCAGTTGATGACTGGGGTTCATAAAGGAATGAAGAAGAAAAAAAGCAATTGAGTTCCTGGAGCAAATCTTGAGGCCATACAACCCTTGGTCGTTAGAGAGGTTAAAGCTGTCCTTTATTCAGTAGATCTTAACAGTGCAATGTGCAATAAATTCCTTCTTTAAAAAAATTCAGCAGGAGACACCAGCACAGCTCCTTGATTCAAGGAAAGAAGATGCATATTTCTTGATTGTTCTATTCATGTAGGCCTGTAAAAACCTTCAACTATTTTTAAAAACACAACATGATTCCTATAGCCGGATGCCTTGTTACTTCAGTAATAAAGGCTTCACACTGAGATACTGAAGGACACTTTTCTCTCTGTGTTCAAGTGAAAAGTAGAAAGAGAAGTAAACGTAAGAAAAGCTTAAAAAGATACAGAAGAGATATAAAAAAGTAAAGTGACTACAAGAACTAGGAGGACACAATAGAAATGGTTTAAGCAATGATAAAGAAGAAGGGAGACAGAATGCCAAGAGTAAAATACTATATAATGGCATTTGGGCACCACTGTTGTACTGTAACTGCAAGCCTATGCATGATTACCCAGAAACAAGTCCCATTACTTTCAATAGGACTTACTCCCATGTAAATGTGTATAGGATTGCAGCCTTTCAATTCCTTTAGCTATGCTCTTACAGTACATGCATACTATACAGGGCTGTGCATATGCTGGAAGTCTCCGTGACTGACAGAGAAGAAAGCACAAGTGGTGCTACTTGGGGTAGAACTCAAGTTTCATAATAATTCATGGTTGTTTTTTTAAAGATAGGGTTTCAAGTCCTTAGGACTGCAAAGATATGCTTGAAAACAAGTTTTTCAGGAGCTGGAGGGGTGGGGGCTGAACAGTATTCCCAATGTACACAAAAGGCCAGGGATACTTCTGTGCCCTCAACATGACTGAAATAAATCATGCAAAATAGTAAAAATGACAGTTAAATAAAATAAGAAGCATTGCGCTTAATTTATTTAATTCGCAGAATCCAGAACCACAAAACCTAAACTGTTTCTGGGTGTAATTTTTTTAAAAAAATCTGTTTCTATAGAGTCTGCATGGCTCTGATCATATATCACATTCTAAAATGGGTATTACTGTAGCCTCAAAATGTATATGCTTGAGAAAATGACCAACTTATATGCAGTATAATACAGCTGGCTCTTTAGAGGCAGTTAACATAAAGGTTACACTGGCACAGGATTGCACAGGAGTCCCCAAATGAACAACGCAATGTCATTTTTTTGGATAGTGATTTGCTACTATACACTGTGATTTATAATTGGAGACATATATGAGAAAAGCAAGGTGGATTTAGAAGACTGGACACTCCTTGCCTGGGTAGATAAGTAAGTGTCACATGCTGGCTTAGCTTGAATACAGTAAGCAAGAGCCATTTAATGCAAGCGGTACTGACAACTGTTAATGCAAATTGCACTTGTTTTCATTTATAAATGTTAGTTTTTTACTCCTCTGTAAATGAAAGCAATCTCATTTACATGTTGGGCAGAAAACTCACCACTTGGCCCACATCTCATGTAGTGGGGGTAATAGAATTAGGAGCTTTGTTGCTCCCTAGACCTGCTTTTTGAATTTCTGTTTTCTGGTTTAGCTTCCACATCTGCAGAAGAAAAGCATTTTGTGTTACTTGTTCAGCAGGGGAGGAAATCACCTGATGTTGCAACATATACTGTTAGGTACTACTGACCAAAAGTTCACAAAAATGGAGAGGAACAAAAAGGGAAGGTAGGAACACAACTGGAGGCTCTACAACTGTATTCTGTCTAATAGACTGCAATAACAAGAACATTTATGGAACTGTGCAGCAAAACATGTGCATTTGATTTATGCATCCTACCAATAAAGTCTGCAAAGCAGCAAATTATCCTTGCATGCAATAAAATGGAACATGCAAAATCAAATTATCTGAAATTAGCTATTTGCTTAGAAAAGTAAGTCTTCAAGCAAGCAAGCCTTTCCTTGCAAGCAAAACAACCGTCCCAATTCACAGAACAATTAATCAAGTGTCTCATGCTTCTCTTGGGATGCTGAACCTGTATTTAATTCTCTGACTTAGGGTCAATTCATGCAATTTTAAAAAAAAGTGCACTGAAAGGCCCGTGTACAGCATCAACTATATAATTCCTTTGTCACTCATTCAATTCCAAACACACCTACTAGGAAGTAAGTCCCATCAAACAAAGTAGGTCCACTTATAAAAGGAGAATGATGTCACAGTTAAGTTAGGTGAGAAAGCACAATGCCAGTATCTGCTTCCTGGCCTGCAAGATCAGACTTGACCACCAGTAACACTATGGACAGAACAGTGTCGTATTGTCTGTGTGGGTTTTGGGACTTAAGACATCAGGTTGTGTTGCCAAAATAGCCTGTCCTCACAATGTTACTCAGAGCTGGGACGAGTGATTTTGACACACCTGCCTGGTGGAGTACTACCAAGGGAACCTTGCCAAGGCAGAGGTTTTGCCCAACACTAAAGGGTTGGGGATGACCTACTGCTACCCCAAAAAATCAGAAAAGTTGCCCTCTGCACTATAAGCATCTGCTTGGAAGCAGTGAAAGCACCCATAGAGGCATATAAACAAAACCACATCAAATGCAAAATTGAAGACAGAAAGAACAGCACTGAAGAAAAGAGCTGAATATAGAATTAAAGAAAAAACAGAAGGCAGTTAGTTCATACTTTCCTCAGGGGGGAAAAGCAAAACAAATTCTCACAAATACCAGTGCTGGAGCAGTCAGGAAGGTACTGAGCGGAGAGAGGCCAAGCCCCTTGAATTCTACACCGTCAGGGCAATGGGCTGGTTTCTGACCAAAACATTTATCGGCTAGCCCTAACTGGTAGTGAATTCGCACTTACTGGCACAGACCCTATATGTGGGACTGCACAGAGAGCGCAAAAGAAGCAGCAAGAAGTTATCAGCCAGCATTTACAGGACATTTTGTCAGTTGTGACAAGATTTTTTAGAAAAGTTATATCTGTGAAGGACTTTTCCCCCTGACTCTTCCTCAAACATCACTGAATTCTTCATGTATCACAAATGTAAATAATTAAGACAAAATGGAATTAAAGTAGCTTGCATAAAATACAATAGTTTAAAGGTGTAATTTAGTTATTTGCTCCTCTTGTCTTTTTAAGATGGGGACAAAAAAAGCGCAAGTCTTTTGGTCCCTGGGGGTGGCCAGATAGCTGAGAACTAAGTGAGTTCTTCCTGTAGCATTCTGATTTTGCTGCTCCTGGGAGTAAAGTAGCAATCTTCAGTCTCTAAATAGGATGCCAATCAAAATTAGGAAAGGCATTTTTCATTTTCCCAGAAACTTATTTTTCCTAATGCAAGTTTTAAACACATCTCACTTATTATAATAACTTCTACTTTCCTAAAAACAAACAGATGGATATTGAAGATCCAAAGAACCATAAAACTAAGTTTTTTGCGTGCAAAGGGGCTTCGTGCTTATTTTCATGAACAACGGTCCACCACACCACATGGCAAATCACTACTGAAGGTGAGGGAACTCTCAGAGATGGATTGTGTGATGTGGCATGAGGGGGTGTTCCTGCTGTTCAAAGAAGAAGAAATTCCAAATAGTTGTGCCCAAGCTTAAAGCATGCTGAAAGTAGCCTATGCTTTTACCTGCAGGACCTGTGGATTCTTATTCACTGAACGATTTTGGAATTTAACCCACAATAACTCTTGGCTTTCAAACAAGCTCATGTTCCATTAGGGTTTATTGCAACTATGAAAATTGGTTTAGATGCACCATGTTCTGGTCACAAGACTCTCAAGTAGTTCTGTAGTCCAAAATGTATTTAAGCTTGTATTTCTTGAATAGTTAATCAATATAGGAAGCTGTCTTGCACAAAGCAAGATCCATCTAGCTCACTGTTGCCTGTATTGATTAGCAGCAGCTCTCCAGGATTTCACATGGGAGTTGTTCCCCACCCTACTTGGAGAGCCCAGAAGCTCCCTCACCCACAGGCTGTATTGCTTACTATTTTAGAAAATGAAGCATCTTGGGGAAGGGCAAAAAAAGAAGGAAAAATAAAATAAAATCAGGGTTCTTTAAATCCAACTTTTTCTATGGCATGGAATTCTACTTTCTCAAAGAAAGTTGTCAACCCAAGACCCTGGACATGTCTAAAGCGGCATTTTGGACCATCAAGCCAATTAAAAAAACATTTTGTGCATGATTTTCTAATTAACTATCACATCCCTGAACAAAAATAAGAATACCGTAATACCAGTTTATTTTTTATTTTAATACACTGTAAAAATCCATTAAAAGCTATATAATAAAGATTCAGATAAGGCTCTATCGACGAGACAACACCATGACCATGTAAATACATCAAGCATGGGACGGGAAAAGCACATAAAAGGGAAAGATGAAGAGGGTCAACTTTTCCAACGAAACTACATTTAGTTATGTATCATTAAACAGAAAAGGCCCACTGTTTAGGCTTCCAAACCTTGATGTTTTATCAGCATGAACAGTAGTACACTTTCAGTGTGCAAACTATAGTCACTATTTCAAGAATGGCTCATTTATTAAATAGAATTTGAATACGTCCAAAGTAAAAAGCTAGAGGTGCAGGGGGGCTTCTGCATTTTTTCACCAGCAAAACAGGGAAAGGACACTGATACAAAAAGGCCCCAATCCAGCTAAAGCTTGTCAAAGCTAAGATGTAATTCCAAACACACCTACTAGGAAGTAAGTCAAAAGTGGGGCTTACTTCCAAGTAAACATGCATGTAACTGATCTGTAAGCCATTAGGCAATGAGACTTGAGTCAGTTACAACCGAGTCGGTTCCATTAATTTTACATCAGTCACAACCAGCTTTAGTCGAATTGAGTCCAAAATGTATAATCTACATGATAATGTGGACTCTGAAAGAAAGAAAAACTGAATGTACTGTTGCTGAAAGTTACCTGTTTTTTTGTGCTGTTCCTGGCACAGCACCATGCAACTGGTTAGCATGCATCCAGTAATGTATAGAAAATAAAATATTTATAACAAATAGAAAATAAAATACAGTTAGCTTTTATTATTAAGGCTTTTAAAAGGCATGCAGAAATTACACAGTGCAGTTAATGTTTCATGCAAGCTTTGGCATGGTTACAATTGTACATTCATTCACATGCTAAGGGGGTAAGGTGAATTCTCCATCTCCATTTAGAGAAAAACTATGTACACCTAGTTACTATCATGGCTAGTAAATTTAAATATAGTCTAAATCTATTAACATTAACAAGAACATCCACAATGTGTAGCAGAGATTTACTTAATATTATATATGTTTATCATACACAACCATATTCATACCAAACAGTCTGAGTATCTTCAGAAACGGGTGATGGTATTTTACTATCACTAGCATTTGAATGGGTAAGTGGTGTAGATTCACCACTATTCTGATTCATCTCTACATTTCTGCCATCAGATGATTTCTGATTCTCAGAAGGTAGTTTGTGATCATTCTGGGGAGATTTCACAGATGAATCAAATGTCTTATCAGTTGTCTTTGATACAGGCATTTGGGGCAGTCCACTAACATTGCTGACTAATTCGGTGTTGAGTGCCAAAAATGGCCTGGACAAACGGACTGCAGACAACTTACCTATAATGCTTGTTGATGTGCCCATTTTCTCATTGTACACATTACTACAAGAAAATGTTTTAGTAATAAAATTTGTCTTGCCTGTCCTTGAACTCCTAGCCTTTTCTGATTTACATGTAGAACTATCTAGCGTGGCTATCCTACCCAAGTCATTTTCTGACGAGGTAACTGAAGGAAAAGGGGTATAATGAAAAACAGAGGAGTGTTGTTGGGGATTGTACTCACTAGAAGCTGATGGGACGCTTCTGTCACCTGTAGGTGGAGTTGGATCAATTGATACTGGCTGCCTAGTGTCCTTAGACAAAAAATCATGGATGCTTGTCCTCCGAGTAGTTCCTTCTGCAGTCGAAATCACACTGCTTGCGCGAGGTAAAGTCGCATAAGGATTACAATCTTTTGATTGTCGTTGTGATTGTACACTTTCTTTAACAGACCTGGCCCTTCCTTTAGTGCCTGCTGTAAGCGTTTTTGAAGAGTTTGCAAAGTTGGCATCTTCCATTCTACGCGAGCTGGGCCTTGTAAGGTGTCCTTGTTTAGCTGACTTTCCATCAGAGAACTCCATTGTGTTTTTCACACTTTGTGATCTGGCAATACCACCACTGCCTGATGACTGTTTTCTTAATTTATCTCTTCCGACTAATTCAGCATTTTCCGAAAAAAATTTCATCACTTCATCCAAAAGATTATCTTGGCTTGAGGACTTGAGCTGCAAAAGATATCCAAATAAGTTAATTCATTATCTGCTACTTTGTTTCTTAATGTTTCTGCAAGAGAGTGTTTCATACTTCGACAGCACAAACATGCATAACCATGATGCAGTTCAAAATAATGGAAATCGTTGATACATATGGTATCACCCAGGTTTAGTAGTTTTATCAATATGCTACTAGACTAAGTTTACTTAATAATGGAAAAGCCACAATTTCTTTTTTCAATTTTAAATGCATAAACGTACTGAAAATAAACATTCCTACCTTGACATTTTGATTTCTGTGAATATTTCCATTTATTTTAACATTTACGCAAATATCACTTCTCCTCCAACATCAAAAGGCTCAACCAATGATGATCATTTCACTTTCAGATCTATCCCATAACTTTCTCACTGACTGATTAAACAACTTCCTTAGCAATCTGAACATCATGTACAGGAGTGCCTAAGCCTGAAATCATTGTGTGGACTTCCGGATTTGGAACTCCCAGTTGGAGTCCTTGGAAAAGATCCAAGATATAAGAAAAGAACAAGACCGCCTTTCCTTTCTAAGGCTCATTTAAGAACCAATCACCTAAACACAAATGCACCTTATTTCAGAGGGATCGTGGCATTTGAGCAGTTGCCAGGCCAAACGTTTATACTGTTATTAATAAATAGCTGAGAAAATGAGTGGGTCTGTTTCAAAACAGTGGAAAAGATAATAAATTAGTTGTATACCCATATTATCTATCTTTGAAAAGGCTATTTTATGTGAGACCGGACAGACAAGAATTAAATTATTCCAATTTAAAAAATAAACACCGAAATCACATTATTATTTAAATTAAGTACATTATTTTATTCCAAGGTTATTTTAATGCTTTAGAACTTGGCATCAGCATACAACCACTTGTTTCCTTGACACAGAAATAGAATGGGCTGGAAGACACAGTTCAATCATGATGGCAAATACACACTGGAGATTTTGGGGTGGGTAGGTGAAAATGCTATAGTCAGATAGCTCTTCAATTAGTCTTTATCTCTTCAGTGCAAAGCACGTGGTTAAGACACAGTCCAAAGCATTTCACAAGCAATGCAGAAAAGTCGAGATTAAAAGTGTAACTTTTGAGTTGCTTTGGCTATGGTACTGTCTGAAGATAAATGTAATCTGCCATGGGTGTTGAAAAATTCTTTAGAGCTTGCAAATACCCACCCCATTGCTCTTTGGATCACAGACTGCAGCAGACCTGACAACAATTTTGTGTAGGCCTTTTGTGTAGTACTATTGACTCACTATTGGGGTCACGAAGAGGTGGACATGACTAAACGACTAAACAAAAACAACAACAACGACTCACACCTTATAGTTTTGTGTTCAGAGAATGAGCACCCACACTCTGCCTAAAAAAAATTAATTTATATTTATAAATTAGCTCATTCATTCCTGAAAGACTGCTCTACAGGAGATTTGCTCTTCTCTAAGAAAAGGTTCGTTTTCTCTTTCCCTGTCTCATAATGTTACTTAAATTCCTGCCCTATGTGTCAATTAATTTTCCTAACCAACTTAATTCTGACCTTTACAAATGTAAAGTCACCACCAGATTTTCTTGTGCAACCTAAAAAGTGCGCTAAGTTTTGCAGCTTTATGTTTTGCCAAGTGAAATTAAGTAGCTTTTCAATGTACCTCAGCCGAAGTCCCTTTATTACTTTCTTCCAAGAACTGCTGCAGAGTAACCACTTCACTTCCAGGGGAGTCCGTTTTAATTCTGTGCGTTCCTTGTCTATCCATTGTTTCTGACATTTTAGGATGGAGCATGGGGCTAGACCTGGCATGGCTTTTCAAATACTGGATGGGACTGCTGCTGCTGCTGGACCATGCGTCATGCTCATGAAGCAGGCTAAATTCTCCACTGCTGTGGCTTTGTGGCCTGCTTTGGTTAGTAACTGTGCCTGCTTTAGGGATAAACAGTATTGTCATCTTAATTATGCACGCTATATTATTTTTAAACATTAACAATGCATTATTGGATGTTTTTCCTTTGTCACATTGAAGAAGCATTTGTCATAAGGTACTAAAAAACCTATGGGGAAGCCATACGAGAAATAAAGGTTAGTTCCCTTGCCTTACTTACTAAGGTTCTTCAATGTGACATGGCATCTTTCCAATTAAACACCTCCACCACCTAATAACTTTGAATGTTTAATCTTTCTCAACAAAATGAGATCCCAGACATTAAATATGACCCAGTTCAGCTACAAAGTTGACATCCGCTACTATTTATGACATATGGCAAAAGGTAAAAATATAAAAGATGGAATGCAAATAATTTATTTTCAGACTGATCAAAAAATACCCTTCGAGAAAGGTTTCTTAAAAATGCATTCCGTCAAATGCCTGTATCAGTTTGTCATGACTTGGAGCAGAAACATCCTATTTTGCACAGAATAAAGGTTGAAGAAATGCCAGTTCACATTGTTTCCTTAAACAGATACAAATCAACCAACTGAAAGCTGCCCTTTGTGTTATTTTGAATTATTATTATTTTGAAGAAAAACAAGCAGCATACACTATCAATGCTACTGAACTACATCATGCATTACTGCAAGGAATTGTTTATACTGGAAAATCACAAACATTTTAGAAGACCTATCCATATTTTCCATTGAGCAGATACTATCTAGAAATACAGTGAAATGAATTAAATGAAGTTTAAGTAATTCCTTATAAGGCAGTGACTGCTAGAAATCTTCCAGTTTTGCCTTGCATACACATGTTTTACAACAGAAGAGGAAGCAGACCATCCTGTCAGGTGTGTCTCAAAGCAAAGGACCAGAAAAAGCTGAGTGTATCACTTGTCCCTTTGGTTCTACTCATTTGCAACACAACAGCATGAATTCCTCTCTAGAACTATCCATGTATTTATTCTTCATTTGTAGGCAGTGGCACTTTCATCTGAAGAAAACCAAAGAATAATGCTGATTCACATCTGATTCTAGAGGTCTTATTCCAAGACATTTGCCTGGCAATGAGTTTACTACAACATGGTTAGTAAAAATGGCCTATGTGTCTTCTGCCCAGAATGTAATTTGCTGTTATATTAGAAATGTTGGTTTTCTGTCTAATATGACATTTGTTTGCAGGTTAAAGAAGAATTTGAAAGCATTATTCCTTTTTTGTTTTATGTGAGCTGCAAGGCATTGTAATATATCTGAATACACTACTACACTATATGGATGGATGAATATCTGCAATGTCCTGCATTAATTTACTTTTCCTAAATCAGACATGTGACCCACCTTATTCCAGAGCTTCATCTAAAAAGGAATGAAATGATGAAAGGAAAGGAAAACATGCCCTGAATTCTCTCCCTCCCTGCCCTGAAAATGTGAGGAATGAAGCAGATGTGTCAATTTGCCTGGAAGCATACCTTTGACTTCATGGAGTGAGGCATTATTATTGCTATTGCTAGTGGATGTTCTGCCACTATCAAGGCTGGCTGGTCTGGAAGCTAAATGGAAAAAAACCAGTAGATCGCATGAAGCACATACCATAGCAGATGACACTGCGCCTACTACATTCTGATCACAGAATGCTCTGAGGCAGGAAATCATGCACTACTGATATTGCACAAGCTGAACATGTCTCAAAGTGTGGATTCTGGCAGGTGGGAAAAGGTGGTGTCCCCAGGCAGCCCAAGACAGCACTTTAAGAAAGTACACTAGAAAAGCGAGCAGGTTAGCGAAAGAAGGAACAGAGAAACAAAATACATGTTTTGAATTGTATCAGGTTTATTGATGGGAATAACCAAGGTTTTAAAGAGAAATGGCACCAACATGCAGAAATCAGGTTGCGGTTAAGGCACTTACAAAAGATTTTGACATGGAACTCTGCACGTTACAGAAAAGTCACCGACAGGAAGAGAAAGAACATCTGCTCTGGAATGTTCTTTACTCCTAACCAAAGCAGGCGCAGAAGCAGTGTTAAAGGGTTTTAGAAACAGCACTACTGTGATTCAAATTTAGCGGAAGTATTTTACAACTATGCCAAAATTTGAAAGAGGAAAAATACATTTATTAATAAGATGAATTTTGAAAAGAAGATTTCATAAGCTGAAAGTTCTCACAATTGAACTCTAGAATACTCAGGACTGATGGAGAGGAGAGAAATTTGGGTCCTGTTCAGGTGCACTTCATACTGAATAGGTTTGTTCTGTTTAAGAGTGAAATCAGAGTGAAAGAAATGGAAAAGTTCCCATACAATTAGATGAGATGAGATGTAAGGAAAGAATACAAACATGCACACTTGCAACGCAGGTCATTTTCTATTTCTGGATAAACTTTACTAGCATTTCCGTAATAGGTCTGCTACTCCTTTAAAGCACAAATCTTACCATGTATTCTTGATCCTGTACTAGAATCATCACTAATTCCTTGTGGACTTACATCTTCAAAAGATGTAGCATCTAAAGGGGAAACAAGCACAATTTTGTTGCAAAAACAGACCTTTGAATTTATCATCTCTAAAACACAAGAAATTTTTATGGCTCATTGATCCCCACAAAAGTTTACAAATACAACTAGTTTCCCCATCCTAATATTCCACAAGTCTGCAAATCAAATATTCCAGTTATTTGCTGGAAAAGAATGTGAAATATGGAGCACAAACAGTTTCCAATAACGCTACGGTTACCAACACAACCACACCACAGCGTGAAAAGGTTCTACCTATACCTTTATTATTAAGCAACTGCTTGGATCTCAAGCCTGCAGCAGAGTTGACAGTTGCAAAGTTGATGGATGTAGTAGAGAAGGCCATAGATCCCAATTCTTTTCTCCTTTTACCCGTAGATATATCATCAGGACCCTCCAGATGCTCAGAACTACCTGTCCATTGTCCTCCTGCTAGGACCATGGACTGCACCAGGTCATTCATGGCTGGGATGCAAATGAAAGCAAATGAATCAGCATGGTTCAATGTTTTTGAAAAGTTTTATTTTGTACTGTAAAATGCTTCATTTACCTAAGCATCAAGGCATACTGAAAGCTACAGTCCACAAGTTTCTACATGTTAAAACATGCAATTGGCTGAATGAATGAAAAGTGTTAAAAAGCCAAAGCCTCCTTGTACAGATGATTTTATTGCTTTTTATTAGCTACAACCGCCATGCTTGTGCTGGAGTGCTATACAATAAATAAATATATGTTAGAAGCTCTGATATGTTTCGCAATGAAAAATGGAATGAACAGGGAAAGATGAGCAGAAGTGCTAATACAAAGTCAGTGTTGGCAATGATAAGGGGTCCTTCAGTGCAGGTTTTTGCAGGAATAATATTTATTGCATGACAATAGAGGAAAGTATTTAAAATAAATGTGTCCTCTCCCAACTTTCCCAAGAGCATTTCACTGAAGAAATGACAAAGAATGCCTGATTTCCCCACCTCACTCCTTCAACTTAGAATGGTAAAACATTTCTAAGGAATAACAGGTCACCGTTTATTTTTTTTTTTAAGCAAATGATTTTCTAGATTTGTACTGAGGTGTTTATAAAACTGATTACTAGGAGTGGAATTCAAAATGTGCAAATGCATTGAGTGCACTATATCTTTATAAATACACACACATAACACATATATGTTCATATAATTCCCAGAACTTGAACCTATAAATGTGTGTTCATTGTGTGTGTAGATAGATGTATGCATATTCCCTGGTCCTGAATGGGGTAACTGTGCCCCTGAAGAACCAGGTGCGCAGCCTGGGAGTCATTTTGGACTCACAGCTGTCCATGGAGGGACAGGTTAAATCCGTGTCCTGGGCAGCTGTGTACCAGCTCCATTTGGTATGCAGGCTGAGACCCTATCTGCCTGCGGACTGCCTCGCCAGAGTGGTGCATGCTCTGGTTATCTCCCGCTTGGACTACTGCAATGCGCTCTACGTGGGGCTACCTTTGAAGGTGACCCGGAAACTACAACTAATCCAGAACGCAGCAGCCAGACTGGTGACTGGGAGCGGCCGCCGAGACCATATAACACCGGTCTTGAAAGACCTACATTGGCTCCCAGGACGTTTCTGAGCACAATTCAAAGTGTTGGTGCTGACCTTTAAAGCCCTAAACAGCCTCGGTCCAGTATACCTGAAGGAGCGTCTCCACCCCCATCGTTCTACCCGGACACTGAGGTCCAGCACCAAGGGCCTTCTGGCGGTTCCCTCACTGCGAGAAGCCAAGTTACAGGGAACCAGGCAGAGAGCCTTCTCGGTAGTGGCGCCCTCCCTGTGGAACGCCCTCCCACCAGATGTCAAAGAGAACAACAACTACCAGACTTTTAGAAGACATCTGAAGGCAGCCCTGTTTAGGACAGCTTTTAATGTTTGATGTATCACAGTATTTTAATATTCTTTTGGAAGCCGCCCAGAGTGGCTGGGGAAACCCAGCCAGATGGGCGGGGTATAAATAATAAATTATTATATTATTATTATATGAATACATATACATTTTTATACACCCCAAGAGTTATGTATAGTGAGTGCCAAGGTGTTTAGAAACATTGCTTCAGCTCCTTGTATTATAGCAGGACTTGCACTTTGCAAAATAGGAAAAACAGCGCAGTCCACGGAAAGGTTAGTGAAAGTAGTAATAGAAGCCAGTGTAGCCATTTAAAAAGAAGCTGAACTGTCATAAAGTCTTACACATGGAGCGACGGTAGAAGGCCTTCATTTTGTCTTTTTCCTTCGGTCTGTTCCTCAAAAAGGGCAGTCTTTTCAGTGCAACCACTTTTATGTCATAGCATAAGGAAAAACGGAAACGGGAAGATGAAAGAAAAAGGGGAGAAGAACAGATGGAAGTTAAATGTTGAAACTAAGGACAGAAATGAATGCTTGAGTTTCCACTAGGTGCACTTTATTTACTAAAAGCTATTAATCTCATGTTGCTGAATGGCAATGGATATGAAGCCTTCACTGTGGAACTATCCAAGGAAACACTGGAAACCATGCCTGAGGAATATAAGGAACCTTCACAGTTCACAACTATTGGATGTCTTAAAAATCAGGCAAAAAAAATATATAAAAAGAAGCCAAACCCAAACCCAGGCACAAAAATTATGGGCAAGGAGTCAAAAACCAGCAAGCAGGTTTCCTGAGATGGAAAGGTATACTGAAAAAAAAAAGTTCACTTGGTTTATCAAAGTATCTTTCAATAAGCACTACCTTCATTTCTTGCTACCAAGCAGTCATTGTATTTTTCACATTAATGACTTGTTTTAAATTGTATTAATGTGAACTCATCTTAGTTGATTTAACTTCCAAGAACAGCAGTATCTAACCTTTACCTCCTTTTACACACCATCTGAACATATGATCAAGAAATTATTGGAATGGAGTGCAGAATACTGTAATATTCTGACTGATTACCACTTTAAATAAGAATTATTGGTTAAATGACATACCATACTGCTACTGGGGTGTGAAGTGGGGGAAGGCACCAAACAGAAAAATGACAGAACAAAGAAACAAACAGACCAGTGACAGTGTGGGAACATTAAAAATCAAACATGTAATAACTGCAGTGAGAATTTTAAATTGCATGTTACAGAAAGCTTTCACATGTTTGCTTGTGGCAGGGTTGAAACCCTATACAAGAAGACCTTGTAATAAAGCAAACATTTGCATTTCAATGTGGCATTATTACTAATCCAGTGCAAAAGATGTAAGCCATGAGTGTAAATACAAGCCGTTCATCTCAGTCAAGGAGTCATCCAGTATTATCTATGTATGTTCATTCATGAATAAGTTCCACTGTGATCAATGGTGTTTACTTGCACTAAAACAAGCTGAATGAGAAGACACAGATTTTCACTTACACATGACCTGTTTCCTCATCTGTGTGCTGTGCACATGTGAAGGAGCATTGCGACAGCATGCTTAGTGCAGTGTCCTAGAAGGCATGCCACAGGCTTTCTTCTCTGCTAAACCAGTTGACACCTTGTGTAGCAACTACGGGTGGAAATACATGTTTTCAACAAGCATGTATTCCAAAACCCTTCTTTGCAGAGATAGCATGAATGCATTGTATAATATGATAATCTATGTGCATATGGTTAAGCCTTCCAGTGAATGCCAATCCCATCCCCTGCAAACGCCTCTGAGGTGGTTCCTCTTCAGCCAAACCTATCCCACTCTTGATAACTGGCTAGGAGGGGTGATAATAGAAGCATTCAAAGATGTCCTAGAAGCAACTGGCTGGCTGAGGAGTTAGGTATCAGCCCAGCAGGGATCAGCAGTATAAAGGGAAACAAACATGTGATGGATATTCCATGCTTCCCCTGAAATGTGTAGTAAAGTATCATTTACAAGAGTAAAATATCAAATCAAAGTGTGTTACTATGGAAGGTTAACTTTTGTCACATTCAAATCTTTCGGCACAATTTTGGATAAAAACCTCACCTTTTCATTTTGTCTAAAAAGTAATGAAATGGAAACAGAGACTTGTGGCACCATAAAGAATAAAATATTTATTGTGGCGTGAATCTCTGAGTCTTTAAAAGGTGCCACAACACTCTGTTGGTTTGGTGCAACATACTGAAATGGTGCGCCCTGTGGAGGTAGAATAGAAGAATTTGAAATTTGTATACATATTTTGATTAAAAAAGGTTATCTGAGTTGTCTGAAAAAAGTTGCAAGAGAATTGTGGGAAGAGAAGGACTGCAAAAAGCACATAGAAAAATATATATTGGGCAAGTCAAAATAAATTCTTATCTATTGAATACTCCTTCAGTTTTGATATCCAGGTTGTTCTCTTCCCTGTCCCTTCATCACGGAAGTAACTCCCACACATAGATTAGCTACTGCTGATAGGCATCATGAGTGGACAGCTCTGATTCCCCTTGGCAGGAGTGCTTTCACAATATCTTATAAAGAGAAAAGGGTCTAACTCAAGGTAAAGGCATGATCTTGCAGCAAATATGTCGCTGGCACCCAAACCACTGGATGTAAATGTATTAGCTACATTTTCACAAAATATGCAAATGATATATTTCTTATTCATAACAAAATTCTACGGAAACTGATGCTGAAGAAATGGTCCACAAATACAAATGATCAGATAGGTTTCTCTGCGTGAGGAAATGCAAGTAAGTTATGTGCTGATCTGGACCTATTTTCTAGTTCAGTAGCTACGTAATAATTACCAGTGAAAATATACTGAACACACACATAAACTGCAACCCACAAGTCAGTTATATAATAGCATCCAATTTCATGTGGGTCCATGGTCTTAAATAGAAAAATCTACTTTGTCTCTGGAACATAACTGATCCCAGTGCGAGAGGGAGGTTGAGCAATGAATTTTTTTTCGTAACGACTGCACATTTACTGAGCATCAGGATACAAATTTGGAGGAATAAATTGATTAACTGAAGATGATCTGGGGAAAAGAAATGCAGCTCCCAGTGGATTTCCCAAGGGGATTTATCTCATGACAGAAAAAAGATTCCCTGCCGATCATAAACCTTTTGAAAGGAATAATTTAAGGAATACTTGTAAAGACTATTTAGCAATTCTTCAATACTTGGCAATTCTTCACACCCAACTAGCCTTCCCACCTGATAATGCTAATGGTGGGCAGGGTCGCCACACTTTCTCCTCCAAATATACCTGACATTTGCTCCAATGTTTAAAAGTATCCCAGCGGAATGGAAATTATCTATGCAGCAATTGAAGAACACATGCTGATTACTCTAGATCACTAAGAGCAAACAATCTTCTAGATTGTGAAAGTAAAAATCTTTGTAGTTGGGAGGACAGCAATTGTGGACCAGATATCATGACAGGCAACTACTCAACTAATACGGGACCTAAATTAAGATGTAAAATGCTAGGCTAGTACAAAGGCTGGTCAAAGCCTTCTCTTCCACAGAATTAGTTTCTCTCCTCTTTTAGGTCGCACAGCAAATGTAATCTTCAATCATTAGTAGATCAGTAATGAATCAAAACTGCAAAAACAATTACTCAACTAAAGATTTAAACATACTATGAAGCAGAACGTAATTTCTAATGTTTGTACAGAAATCTATATAATCAAAGCACGCATCATTTGGGGTTTGATTCTTTTCCAGCCTGATCAAACGGAGGAATGTTTACACACATTTTGATACCATGTAAAAACATCAAAGACATTCATTTAAAAAACAACACCGTGTCTGCCACTCGGTCTTATTGTTCTAACAGATCTTATTTTCAAGATTCCCCCAGAACAGGTTTAGGGGGCATGCAGTGCTTCTAGTACAAGTGGACATAAATATCTCACTTGATGCTATGCTAAATTCCATGTTGAATTCTACTGTAAATATTTGCTTTGATATGGCACTCAAAAACAAGAATATGATTACTTAAGGTTCAAAATTCTATTCCAAAGCAACGTTGGTACAATGAAATGCTGTTAACGATAAAGTGTCACACACCCTGTGTCAGCACAGCCTGGCATACCAGTGAATTGATAGCAGAATGTGATGAAAAGGTATGGGTTAAAAGGAGTGGGAGAAGAGCTATTACAGAGCTGGACCTCTTGCTTCAAGAGTATATATAATGGATGCAGGTACTCTCATGAACCTGCTGACCAGAGCTATGCATGACACTGAAGCTTTGCAAGGCAGATCGATACAGCACAGTCCCCCTTCCATGCAGTATGCCCATAAACATGCAGAAACACACAATCAATTCATCAGCAGTATGAAGATGCTGATAAGGAAGCATGTTACAGGGAACTCTTCACACGCCAAGAGTAGAAATGTAATAAGTGGATGAAAAGAAACAGTACAGAAAAGAGCAATGGTTATGGGTAAAGAAGGGGTGCCAATTTCACCTCTACGGTCAGCTCAGACCCAATTTTTCACTGTCAGTAAATATTGCACCCCTAAAACACATTAAAGAGCATTCCTCTGCTGTAGAGCTTGATTCTCCATTCTTGAGCCTACAGGAACATGAGCAAAATACTTTTAAGCAAACTTCCTCCATGGGTATTTTGAACCTTTTCACCGCATCAGGAAGTACTGCATGACACACTACCCCTTACAAAAATTAAGCAATTTACTCACTGCTGCTTTTCTTAGCCCCCACGGTCTGACCATCTTCCAGGGAATTTGAGCCCACCGAGGAACTATCTTGACTGTCCTGATGTGGCAGCTGAAGAAATCCTTCACTAGATTCTGAGCGGGTTGGTGTCAGAGTTAGAGACTTGAGGCGTTCTCGGTTAATATCCTTCTTTGATTTTATCAGTTTCCTCATTTTCAGAGTAATCCAATTACCTCTCCTTTTGGAGAAAAGAAGAGAAATGCTGTATTTAGAACAAATTCTTGCAAATATTTCAAAACAATGAAGTTTCTCTCTTTAAGTAACAAGCACTGGCACATTTCTGGCAAAGAAAGAGGGAGAGAAATATGTGGTCATGCATTACCTTCTTGGAGGAGATGGTTCATAAAATTTATACTGATCCATAATCTTTTCTTCCAATTTCTCTTTTTGTCTTCTCAATTCATTTAGCTTGTCACTGTGAAGAAAAGGTAATTGACATGTTAGAAGGCATGTATGTTTCTAAAAGATGTTTTTCCTTTGTATCAATGTGCCTCAGGGACTTTTTAGGACATGTGTGTTTAAATGCAGTTTGCATTGCATCAGGGCAGTTTACATTAACATTTTGCCAGAACTCAAGTCACAATATTTTATTTTTAGGAAAATATGGGCACTATTTAGAATGAGAGAAGGTGTTAGAATAAAGTGCTGGGCACATGACAGGATGTTTCATGTCACTCACAGGAACACAGGAAGCTGCCTTATACAACATCAGACCATTACGGCCATGAAGCACGGGACTGACAGCAGCTCTCCAGGATATCCAGAGGAGATTCTCCTAGCCCTACCTGGAAAAACTAGGAAATGAACCTGGTACCTTCTGTATGTATTCTAACACTGAGCTACACCACTGTCTTCTCTCCATTACAGAAGGTCACACTCCCCTTATTTTAGACGGGAACACTGGACGTTTGCCGTGAAGGTTCCTTCTGGTTTGGTTGAATAACAGGTTAGGAAAGCAGGAGGAAGGCAGGGATTATGTCACCTAGATTTCAGTTGTAGGTCTGGTGCTCTGAGATGCTTTCCCAGTTGTCTTGCTTGCTATAAAGCACAGGGAAATGTGATCTCAGGTGCCTAGAAAAGAATTACAAACCAAGGATGGAAACGCTCCACCCCATATTAGGCCTAGCACAATCTGGAAGATGGTACTGTAAGGGCCAGAGACTAGGAAAACTTTTCTCTATCCACCATCCCCATGCCATGCATGAGTTTATAAATGTCTATTTTTCTCGCATTTTCTCAAAACAGTCCCAAATCCTACAATCCTTCTTCACAGGGGCATTCCTCCATCCCTTTTATACCTTCAGCAAATGCGTGCTGCAGCACAGCTATCTTGAAGGATTGCTCCTTAAAAAAAACCTGCCAACATAAGGAGGAAACAGGTGGCTTATAATTTCCCATAAGAAATCCCACTGCTCTTCTGATTCTAGCAGTTCAACATCATTCCACAGTAAACTTTATTTCACAAGGAACAATACTGATTAAAATCAAACTACGAATGAACATTTTCATCTGTTGTTAATGGAATGCACTGATTAACATTTCCATGATTTATTTCTATTTGAACATCCAACTGTAGTTATGTTGGGTGCAACTAGTTCACCGTTTTTGATACCCACATATACTGCCTTTGTTCAACGTGGAACAGATCTTTGCTTTCCATATTCTGCTCTAATAACGTTCTGTTTTGCAGCATTAATGTCTGTATTTGATCCAACAGGTGTCTGTTTTCTTCTTCCAAATTTCCTTTTAGCTGGCTAAGCAACTGTTGAAATGTACAAAACACAGTATTTTAGTGTATGCAGTCTGCCCAACTTTCTGTTTATAAAGTACAAAAGAAAATGAAGTCAAGAAGACAAGTCAAATAGTAGAGACAGCAATAGTTCAGTCACCAGAGCATGAAACTCTTAAATCTTGGGGTCATGGGTTCAAGCTCTGCTATAGATAAAAGATTCCTGCATTACAGGAGGCTGGAGTAGATGACCCTCATGATCCCTTCCAACTCTACAATTCAATGATTCTATTATCTGGTTTTTGTAAATAATTGTAAATTGCCTTTCTTCCAATTGAGGAGAGCAATCCGCAGCTTCTGTTAAGGTCCTAGCATCCTTTTAGCTTCTAACAAATGTATCCACTGTTCAAGCCAATAAGAAAGGGAGCAGAATAAGTCTGGCTCTCTTCAGGATATCTTATACCTCTTCCTTGAATCTTAAGCTTTTGTTTAAATGCAAAAATGTTATTCTCTCTTTACGTACGAAACAGACAGAAAGAAAACCATGAATTCAATATTCGGAATTGTGGAGTGAGACTCAAACCTTTAGCTTTCATATCAATGAGTGCAAAGACACTAGGTTGATTGATATAAGAGGATACACGCAGTTTTAAAGCAACTTTTCAGAACACCTCCAATAATTCCTCAATAAAATCACTAGAACAATTCCAGAATAAGCAGAACGACTGACCTAAGTTTGTTCCTAACATGATACAAAGACACCTTCAAAACTATTAAGATATATTACTAAATTCAACTATTACAACCATTACAGAAAACACAAAGATAAACACATTACTGCAGAAATCTAAAAAAGCCTCTTTTGTCATGAATAAACAGGGCTATAATAAAACATTACTGAAGAAATGCAAACTCATTACCTCACACTGATTATTCAGTTTTGTATACGTAATATCCAGCTGTTGGTACTGCTCTTTGAGTTTGGAAAATTCAGCTTCCAGCCTTGTTTGTTCCAGTTTAGAACTGTTCAGTAATGTTTTCAAATTCTTATGATCCATTTGGAGAATTTCATTTTCTTTCAAAAGCTGGGTATATGTATGATTCAATCTGTAATTATAAATGGACAGAAAACAAATTAAAGTAAGTTTTCACAAAATTAACAATTAAACAAGTGTCTGCACAGTTATATCATATACTCACATTTAATTAAAGAGAGATTTACATTATCATAATGTATGTAGCAATATCTTATAATCAATTTCTATTAGCATACTGTAGAGTTATTGTTTTTTTCTTATTCTAACCTATTGAGGGTTTCTAACTTTGGTGCATTGTGTTTAAGATCAGAATAAATGCAAAATATAGTTGGCACATTTAATAATACACTTTAATTCAGATAAGTATTCATTAGCTTTGTTTTCTTACCTGTCATTTTCCTCACAAAGCTTTTTGTATTCCGCTGCTACTGTTTCATGCTTTTTGTTTTGCTGTAGCATCTTCTCTTGTTCTGCTTTGAGAACTTTTTCCAGTTCTTCTAATTGCACTTTTTGTTTCAGCAATTGATTGTATCTGTCAAATGGATTATATAATATTACTAATTATATTCTCAGTATTAATATAAAAGGTTATTATGAATACAGCTTCCACTTTCAACATGGCTGCGATTATAAGAATTTAAGATCTAACATTTTAAATGATTTTCAGATTCAGCTGCAAATTGGTTATGACTGATATATCAAAATCACCTGTCTTCTAAGTCCTTATGTTCCACCTCTAGATTCTTGTGTGCTGACTTAAGGTTTCCATGTTTGGAAATTAGAGATTCATATTCAGTAGCTTGCCGTTCATGAAGCTGTTCCAGTTTTTCATGATCTTTGATGAGTGAATCATATAGCGATCTCAGATCCTCACGTTCCTTGATTATGGACTCATTTTCATTTTCCAAGGTAGACTGCTGAATCAGCAATTGTGCATTCTGATTCATAAGAGATGTACTTTGCGAATTAATAGCAGAATTTTCTACCTACAATTGCCAAAGTGACATGGGACAATCAATAACAAAGTACTTTGTGGTGTACTCATTCAAAATTAGCCTTCTACAGAATTAGCCAATTGAGGTCCTAGGTTGTTAACAGGTTTTAAACCCTGTATCTCAGAGCAATTTCCCCAATCTCTGCGAAGAAATGCTGGAGATCAAACTGGGGCTTCGTGCATTCAATGCACTCTCAGCGCATAGCTCCGCAGTTTGCATCTGTATGCATATCCACTTATAAGGATTAGGTAACAGGTGATATAGAAAACCTCTGACATAGACCCCGGAGAGCTGCCACTGCTAGTCAAAGTGGACATGTCTCCTGCCCTATGCTTCCTAAATCACCTCCAGAAATAACATTAGGATCAGCAGAGAAATACTTAAATTAGGCTTGTTTAGGTAAATACAGGCGTCCCCCCACTTAGGCACATTCTACTGAAGCTCAACTGCATATACAGTGGTACCTCGGGTTAAGTACTTAATTCGTTCTGGAGGTCCGTACTTAACCTGAAACTGTTCTTAACCTGAAGCACCACTTTAGCTAATGGGGCCTCCTCCTGCTGCCGCGCCACCGGAGCACAATTTCTGTTCTCATCCTGAAGCAAAGTTCTTAACCTGAAGCACTATTTCTGGGTTAGCGGAGTCTGTAACCTGAAGCGTATGTAACCTAAAGCGTATGTAACCCGAGGTACCACTGTACGTGTGGCGCTGGGAAACAATTAAATAGACTCATACCAGGAAATGGTGAGATAGAAGATACCGGGGGTGCAGCAGTACTTTGTTTCTGCTGCTCAGTCTCCCCGCCTAACAGCATGTGTTTGCCAGCCTCCTGCCAACCCCATAGCTTCAATTCTAGTTGTGGATACAGTATTTTTGGTATGAAGGGAAAGCAGAGAGGTGTTTAAAGAGGTGTTTACTTGATTTCACTTATGTGTGCAGGGGTGTAACGCCCACCTAACTGGGGGGACGCCTGTACTGACCTGTTTTCTTTGTCAAACAGGTTACAAATTCTACATCTAGCCTCACAGAGATTCTTCTGATCCTTTCCTATAGATTCTCCTCCTAAAAAAATTCACACCTGTTCTAGAATGCAAGAGGAACTAAATGTTTTTTTGTTTTCGTCTCTAAGGCACCTAAATGTAACAGAAGCAGGAAACTCAAACGTTTGACTCTTGTTACCAAGTTCTAATTAGGGTTGGGAAATCTCTCTAACATGAAGAGATGGAATCATAGGGTTGTAGAACAAGAACCCACCCACCCTCATTTTTCAGTACTTAAGCTATACCACCACAAAAGAGATATATAGGGATATATAGATTTAGCCCAGGGAGCCAGGGAGTTACTACAGATGGGGCACTGCACACCAGTCAAACCACTTATGTTCAAAATATAGGTTTCCCATGAGTGTCACAATAATAGCTGCTGCTACTGCCATGTGAATAACAGCAAGGCTTTCACTTGTAAATTCTATAATGTGGTTGGGAGATAAATACAAATTTGTGAAAACAGAACCTGAAGCTTGGCATTCTGAGTTTGCAGCGTTGTATTTTGCTCCTGTAAGGAAACAGTCTGTCTCTGAAGTGCCACAATCTGAGCTTGCACATTATTGTTCTGCGTCTCAAGCTGCTTTAGTTGTGTTTTCAGGGCTTGCTTCTCTGCCTGCAGAGTTGCGTTCTTTAAAAAGGAACAAAATGTATTACATACATGCACCATTTAAATGAACAAAATATTGATTAAATTCAGACTTCTATTTTACGTCAAACAATCCAAAGTATGGAAACATTATTTCAGTCAGAAGAAATCACACAAAGCATGGGTTTGCTTTCTGATGAAAGTGGGTTTACTTAATGTGATGTACCTATGTATCATGCAAGAGAGAAGTAAGACAGGCAGAGAGGCATAATAAGTTATGCTGAAATCAACTACATTTATTTCCAAGAAACGGTATGTTCTTTGAAGCACAGTATTAGATCAGAGTACCCTAATTACTAGCCTATTCTTTTGTTATATCCGTGGCAACAAAATGTGGCTTACTATGTACTACACAGGTTGACAATTAGAGTAAAATTATTAAAATAATCCAAATTATTACTTACATTTCTCTCAACTTCAATCAATCTATCTTTAACCTTTAAAAGTTCTCTAGTAGTTTCTTGACTCTCGCGTTCCCATTTATTGACAGACAAACTTTCTTCATCAGTTTTTGACGAACAATTCTGTACCATTTTCTCTTCCTCTTGTCTTTGCTTGAGGGCCTCATAATTCTTTTTCACCTAAAGATCAATGAATTCAAGTTCAAATGTAAAATACTAAATCCTACTAAGTCCTAAGCATGCCAAGGCAACTTTATTATTATTATTTAATTAGAAAAAATGGCCTTGCCACAGCTGTTTTTCATTCACCAAAGGTTCCAACCTGTCTTTGATCCCCATAGGGAAAAAAGCAATAAGAGAGGCAGTTTCAGAGGGAAAGTATGGTTTGTGGAGGGGTTCAACACGCCTTCTTTCCTGCCCCAACGCAGCTTAGATCACACCCCACCCCAGACTCTACAGGGAGTTGGTGGCAACCCAATTCTTACTCTCATGTCTGTTGCGTAGACTGGCCGTTTGAGGTAGACTAATGACAAATAGAGCATCTTTCTGAGGGACTTTGACTGCTACTTTCACAGCTTTTTGCAAACATGCCTACCATTCAGTGTCTCAGGTGTAGTTTCATTCAGCTCAACTAACTGGCCCACTAACCTCTACTCCACTTCACATTACACAAGGACCGCTTGAGCCCTTATACTGCAGTTCACTCACACTGAGGTCATCTTGAGGAGTACTGGTTGTTGTCCCCCATGCTACAAAGGCCTGATGGGCCCCAACCAGAAGTTCCATACTGCGGAACACTCTTCCAGCAGAGATTCAGCAGGAATCCTCATTTTGGACTTTGTGGCCTCTCTTTGGAGACTTTTGCACCAACAGGCCTATGCACTTGTTTTAAATTTTAATGATTCTAATCATTAGGGTTTATTATTTCAATCATTTTAATCATTGTTCTGTACTGCTTTTAATTTTTTGTGTTTTTTGATTGCTGGTACACCACTCTGATACTTTAGGAGAGGGTATACAGATACATACATACATACATACATATGTATAGATATATACTTTTATAGATAAATAAATGCTAGCAAAAATTAGCAAAACCACATGCTGCGGTCTCAAGTGGCAGCTGTTCAGAAAGGGGCTAAACATGAAGCTGAACAGCACTTTAATTACTGCTATCAGCAACACCTAAGATTTGCCATGTCAAAAAACAAAATGTTTTCTGCATGGAAAGCATTGTTTTTAAACCAATATTTTTTCTATATTTCTGTGAAGATAAATTGGTAATATATACACTGTTTTCACTAAGAAAGCAAGAGTATGATTCAGCATGTATTTTGCTTATCAAAAGCAGCACTGTGCATAAATCTTTAGAAAAAAACTTTTGACAATATAAGAAATAGATTTTTTTCTAACACCTTTATAACTGTTAGAAACAATTTAAAGAAATTTTATGTCATTTATGCACCAACTGAAAACTAAGGTAATAGAAATATTCATTTTTTTACTGTTTTAAGTTCCTGGCGCAGTTGTTGATTTAAATTTGTTGATTCTTCTAATCGAGCTTCCAAAGCAGCAATTTTTTCTTCTTTTATTTCAAGTGACTTTTTCAATGTGGATTCTAATCTTGACTCTAGTAGCTTGTATTTGCTGTTAATGAAAGAATTACAATAATGTTTTAATTATCAAGAAGAAGACAATCCCCTAATGTACAAGCTTCATCAAGGTGATAGCTTGACTGTTTTTCAATAAATCTGTGTGAGGACAGGACCACAGTTCACCCAACAGTCTGCTGCCTTCACTGCCTGTTGTTCTATTTATTTCATAAAATTTAGAAACCACTCGAATGTAAGAAACAAACAAATCCAAAGAGAATAAAATAATCAGCTGAAACAATAAAAACAACCATTTTAAAACATTCAAAATATGCAGTCTGCAATGATCTAAAAAGAGATTGAAACATACAAGATTTTGTACAAATTCTTACACCTCATTAAACTGTTTAGACAGAAGTAGTTCTACTCTGTGGGTACTGACACAGTCCTCTTTTTAATTAATGCATTAGCACTATCGCACTTGTTCATCTGACCAATTTAAAATCTAAATTTGGCTACTATGGAGATTTAGGAAGCTGCCTACCACCATCTCCTGACCTCAAAGGCCATGACCTAATCCCTTTGCCACCACTTTCATCAAATGTATTTAATGGAGAATATTCAAGAAAATAATGCAAACTCTAAAGAAATAATTCCAGCAAGTGCATGCATACAGAAAAGAAACTTGTTCTGTGACAGTAAAGGACAAAACTGAGATGTGTCACCCATGCTGGTCTGGGTACACCCTAAGAGAACGGAAGATGTACATTTAATCATACTGAGAGTTCTAGCACATAAACAATGCAGAAAGCAAAGAGACTGAATTGCTGGTGAGCAGTCTTCATTCTGGCTACAGTCCAACAAAATCAAAGATAAAAAATGAGCTTGATTACAACCCTCCACTACATAGGACTGGACCACACAACCCTAGTTCTTCAAAACGTAATGGGAGCAGAAAAGAGAAGGAATAAACATACAGGTGCATGATGATTTCCTATATATACTCACAATGTGTGAACCTAACACTACAGTTGCTATTTCTAAACTAGTACTTCCATTGCTCAATACAGCCAAAGTGACTGATGCTGTCCACATCTCATTTTACCCTTTGCTATCTGTAATTTATTGCAAAGTTATTCTACAGCAACTCTTGTTTTCACATCAGTTATATCTGTAGCCAAGTTCCCAAAGTTTCCTACATGTCCTCTGAATACTGGACTGTGGGAATTTTTTCTCCTGGCTTAAAGTGATGTAATGCTAAGAAAGCATGAAATAACATTGGCTCACATTAATGGAAATGCTGCACTCTGTTCATCCCTATGTTGCCAAGAGATAACAGAGGGTGTATGTGAGGAGGGATAGAAGGTCAACACACAGACTGAATGTAGCGCAAATCCGGGAATACTTACAAATATAGATATGGCCAAGTACAGCAAAATTAGGTAAAGGTAAACAAGAGTTTTCATGGCATCATATATTTTGTCTGATCACTATCCATTCTGAGAATCAAACTATTTCACTCAGAAGGTAATTCATTCTCCTATGGTCAAGGTCACAACCAGCTCAAGGTTATGTCCAACCAGTTGTGAGGACACTGATATATTGAGACAATTCCATGGCTGTCATTGAGACCATGAAGTCCTGAACTGGTCCATTTGGGACAGTTTCACTATGGATAATAATGTTTTCCCCACACCATCATGAAAACATTTTCCAACATCAAATCTGAGATAACCTCTGCCAGTTCAATAAGGGAGACTTAATGCGGCAGGGTGGATGGTACAGTAAAAACATCCCTGTTCTGGCCCTCTGGCCCAACAACGCAAACAATCCCTCAAATCCAGACACAGTATGGATTGGTCTCCTGGTGAGGGTGATGGGGTTTCTATGCACAACTGCAACTTCCCTGCCCCATCCCTCTGACCTCAAATGGTGCTGCACTGAGTGTCCAGGGGAACATAGCTGGGTGAGCTTAGGGCCACCAACTTCATCCATCCAGGTGTCAGTCATACATGCCAAGTTGGCTCCCTCACCCAGGATCAAATTGTGAATGGTCAATATTTTATTCTGAACAGACCTGGCATTTAGCGACACAGCACCAAGGCGGGGAGCTGGCTTACTAGCACCCCCAGGTTCTGAAATACAGCGGGTGAAGCAGAAGGAGCCTGGGCTTTGATGTAACTAGACCTCCTTCTCCTCCCTGTATACCTTTGTTCACCTCTGTATCGCCTCCTAAACATATTACCACCTTGTGCCACCTCTACAAAATGACAGGAATACAGCAGAGGCTGGTGTCAGGGGAACTCAAACTATGAGATACTTTTAAAATAAAAATATCAAATGTGACACACCTCAGCTCTCATCTGAGATAAAAACTCACCACTCGCCCAGTTTCCCACCCTAGAAAGACACAGTTTCATGCAGGACTGGACTCACACTCCACAGGCATAAAATTAATTTTCTCTGACACACATTACTCTAGACCACCTTCAGCCTCTTACCCTGAAAACAGTCTAGAGAAAAACACAACACTGCCCCATAGGATAGAAATGAACAAACAATACCACACATAAAACCCTGGCCAATAAAATTGATAAAAGGGGGTAAATTTTTGGTCCACACAGCTTCCCAAAGAAGTGTTCCCCTTAAGGGTGGCCGCTGCCAGTAGAATAACATGCTTCCTGCACCAGGCTTGGGCATACAGCACTTTATCATGACTAGAACACACAAGCAGCCAGTCTGAGTGAAGGTAATTGAGACCACCAACTGCAACATATCCTTTGGACACCCACCATTCTAAAATCTGATGATAAACCGAGTTAACACCAAAAATCTACTCCTTCCATTGAAGCTCTCACCACAAGAAAAAAAAAATCCTTGTTTAACCTCTCTATTCAATCCTCTCTTTCTCTCTCACACACATCTCCCTAAGCCAACATCACTGCCACTGAATTTGGTCTTCCCACATCAAATCCATCACTCTGTAATTGAAATGAACCCCTTCCATGGGCACCAAACTAGGATTCTTAAGCAGTTGTCAGGAGCTAATGATTGAAAACTAAGTAGAAATGAAACCTTCTAGGGTGGAAAAAAGCAATTAAAATTATTTTAAAGGGGAAAGTATTGATAATTTACTGTGAAAAGCTTACATTGTCTCAACAGTATCCTGAAAGTAAGACTGGATACATACAATTATAATGCTGGCTTCCTCTCAAGATAGAAGGTTCTGAATTTGCCACCATCATTATGTCAATCACTGCTAATAACAGACTACAGCGCCAGTCATTATTCTCAATTGAGTGGCATGCTGACAGGAGGGCTGGTCAGAAGCTGGAGTATTCTGCTTTTGTTAACACATATTTTCTCCAATTCCACAAGGAACAGGATGGAACACATGACCAAGTAAAGGAAACAGATGTTTGTATGCTATTAGCTTTATACTGGCAGATGGAGTAGGCTGAAGAGAGCCAAAAGCTCTTTCAGAGACACTGGTTTTTTTTCTGCTGATAGACTCAGGATCTATTATATAGGATATAGTAAATAACTGTTGGAGATAAGTGCTCAAAATGTCTATACCAACTCTGCAAAGAGAGGTTTACTCCTTTGATGATATACAGAATTTCGTACAACACAACTGAAAGTGGAACCTGAAAGAGGTGCACACTGTAGTAGCTGTTCAGATACATTCAGGAGCATATCCTGTGAAAAACAGTTATTGCAGAATGCCATAAGGAACTGCTCTCAACCTATTCCAAAGAGGCCTTAATATACTCACCTATCATCTGAACTCTGCTCATCATGCAAGAGGCGCTCCTTATTTAAACCTATCTTTTCAAGTTCATGTGTAAGCTTTTCTAAATCATTATTCATCTGCTGTGTCTTCAGTTTTTCATTCACCAAATCCTTTAAATAGATTTTTGAAAATGTGTTGAACGTATAATATTGCAATAATGCCATTTCTAGAGACTACAGCAGGAGACTCAGGCAATAGATTTTAAGGAAGTTGAAAGTGGCTTTAAAAGAGGTTTCCTTCAATGCTGAACACAAATATTTTTATCTCAGTTGTCCCCCATTAATTTTTTTTTAGGTTTTTGAAAATTCTACAAAAATATGCCAAATCAGTTTGCCAGATTTGAAATTAAAATGTAGATACATGCAATAAAGCTGTGATCCTTATTTCAAACCACCTTCAGCTCTCTGAAAAAACTATATTTTGTCTCCATCCTATTCACACTTACTGCATACACTTCTAGTTAATTAGCAATTATATTCCAAAAACAAATATGAATTCATTTCAAAGGTTTGCCTCCTTTATTTTTGCTGGGTATTTTGTAGTTAATATATCCAATGCTGGCCTTGCCTTAGCAGAAAGAACTTTTGTTTAAATTGGAAAACTCACTCTTCCCCAATTCCCCAACCATATCCTATTCTGTCCCAGTGGATTCCACATTCCTCAGAAGAAGCTTTGGGGAAGTGTTAGGTAGGTAGGTAGGAAAGATGAAGTGACCCAGTTTGCCTGGGCAGAAGCGTTTTCCCCTCACATTAAGCCACCATTGGATACAACCCACTAATTTTATATTAAGTTACTAAATCCAACAAGACAGTTCAAATGTTCAGTGCATATGATCCTGAATAATAGAGCCATCAAGTGTTAGAACAATTGCTTTCATGCTAGCTCCTTTCATTGAAATTGTCTTTCTTTATTCATTTGCTTTTTAGGGAGTATCCAGATTGTCAAATGGTTGTATTCTGGTATTGTCGCTGTTGTACTCCTGCTCTTTTTTGCAATGAAACACAATCACAGCACCAGCCTGTTCAGTGTGAACAGCCAAAGTGCCATCACAGCTTTTAAGAACTGGTGTCCCTTCAATGAAAAGCTTCCTTCTTGCAGTTTCTTCATTTCCGTTCGTATGCACCTGGAGGACTAGTTATCAATTAGCCCTTAATTAGTCAGCTTCTGGTGCCTGTGTAAATTACTGGTTTCCTTTCACTGTTTCATAGCAAAATGGTTATCATTTCAGTATAAAAAGTAAAGTGGGGGAGAATTAAAGGAAACCAGACGTCACCATGGAGAAGAGAAGCTGACTCATTACTGCAAGGAGGAAGCTAATAACTAATGTTGCAGGGGACCTGCTTATGAATAAATTTTAGAAAAGGAGCAATGAGGAGGGCAAGAGCTAGATATTATACAGTCCACCTGTGCTACACAGAAACCATCATTTTAATTCTGCTTCCAAGGTAATAATTATTCCACAATGCCTCAAAAGTGCCAACAGGTCCCAGTATGAAAGCAAACGAAGTGCTGGCAACTATTGCCTGCATTGCAGTGTGCAAGTCCATGATATTCACACGGCTCAAATGCAAACATTTCTGCTTTGCTCATTACACAGGGGGCACAAAAAGAAGCATGAACATCTTCTGTCACCATTTCTTCTTAATGTATGAGCAACTCAGAATCCACCAAGCTCATGAATAGTGTTTGAATAATATACAAATAAAACAAAAATACATTAAATTTGCATGAATTATTGCATGAAATTGACAGTTAGATTTTTTTGAATGTTACAGCTGCATTACCCTTTATAATTATAGTATATCATTCAGTAGGAAATATTACCTCCCGTAATGTGACAAGTGTTTTCTTGTCAATGGTGGCTCTTTTTACAAGCTCTTTATTTTCCTTTTCAATCTCTTTTAAACGAATAGAAGCTTCTTTACATATACCAATTTCCTTAACGAGTGACTTGTTCTCTTTTTCCAGATCACCAATTTTTACATTATTTTCTTCTAATGTGCTGTCCTTAATATCTGCTTGTTGTCGAAGCCTCTTGTTCTCTTTTTCCAGCTGTTTCTTATCTTTTTCTAGCTGAGAGGTCTCTTGTTCCAAAAGCTTGTTCTCTTTTTCTAATTTTTCTAAGCGTTTACTAGAGATTTTGAGTTCTTCCAGATTTTTTTGTAAGGTTTGATTTTCCGTCTCTAGATCCTGTAGTTCACTTTCTAGATGCTGAATCTTTTTGTTGGTGTTTTCTAGGGCTTTCTGCAGTCTTTGGTTTTCTGTATCCAAACCCTGATAACTTACTTCTAAGCGTTCAGTCTTCTTAAAAGAAGTTTTCATAAGATCCAGGCTCTTTTGAAGCTGTCCCTTCTCACTTTCCAGTTCCTTATTTTCTAGCTCCAACTGAGCCATCTTGATATTTGTACTTTTCAAAGTTTCAACTGTTCTTCTCAGCTCTAAATTCTCTTCATCAAGTTGTGTGTTCTCTTTCTCTAATGACTCTAATTGAAAGCTGAGATTTTTAAGACTATCTAGAGTCTTTTTCAGCTTTCTGTTTTCAGTGTCTAGACTTGAGTTCTCTTGTTCTAAGGAATCTATTTTTTCACATGTAATCTTTAAGTTGGTAATCTTTTTCTGTAATAGTTCGTTTTCTTTTTCAAGATGTTGAACTTCTTTCTCCAGTTCATCTGCTCTTTCTCCCTTCTCTTTATAATGTTCTAACTCTTTCTTCAGTTGCTTCTTTTCAAATTCTATCTTATTTAATTTACTGCTTGTCTCTTTAATAGATTCATGGAGAATTTTATTTTCCTTTTCAATATCTTTCACTCTTGCTTCAGCACTGATTTGTGAACGCTGTCTGAGGGAAGCCACTGTTCGATTCAAATGCTCATTCTCTTGTTCCAGGATTTTAATCTAAGTAATTAAAATGAAAGTTTAAATCAGGCTAAAAATATTTTACATTAACAAAATTAGTTACAAAAAATATTCCAAGATTTAAAGAGCACAAAAGTATTAAGCCAGTTTGAATAATAAAGTTAAGTCTTAGGTATGCTGTGAAGCAATCACAGAACTGCCTCACCTACAAACCTATTAAATCCAGATCTCATCCTATTTCAGGGACGTAGGAGAGCAAGATGCTCTAGAATCTCACAGGGTTCTTCTTTAAGAATTCTGTCCGTTACACCAACATATGGGGTTTCATTTAACAGTACTGACTGAGGATGGAAGGCTAACATTTTGGTACCTGGACTTCTTTGAGCTCAGGATTATGAATGGTTGTATGACCCAAAGAACTAAAGTGGAATTGGAAAGGTTTTGCCAAGGAGGAAGGGCTTAGTTAAGCACTTAAACTGCAAAGCCTCTCCTCCTTGCAGAAGGGAGGAGCTGTGAGCGGGAGCCGTTTCCCGCCTTGGCAGGGGGCGTTTTGGCCCCTGCCCAGCCATCCCGGCTGCTGCGCCATGCCCCCGGGCAGCCAACCAACCAGGTGGAGGCTTGGGGGTGGGGTTTCGCCGCTCAAACGCGGCTGCATTAGCGGCAGCAATTCCCGTCCATTGTGCTGCTACCCCATGGCACGACCCCCGGTAACATCAGGGGGAGCTTTCAGTTGTATTTGCATCAACAGGCTCCTCCCACTGGTTAACCCTTGATAGACTCACCCCTCCCTGAGGGGGTGGAGTCACTCGCTGTGGTTCATCCAATGCCTAAGCCAATACCTCTCACATGCTGTAATCAATAAAGTTGTGGCCTTTTTTAGCCCATTAACCTTATATACCGTGTCCATGTGTCTTTCTTATCCTAAAGCGGGTGATGGATCCTTGAATCACAATTCCAATTCTACTTAACTCAGTAAGTCACAATGAATTCAACTAGACTTACCGTATTTTTCCCGTGTATAAGATGCCACCATGTATAACACGCCCCCTATTTTGGGCGACTCCAAATTAAGAAAACACCCCTCAGCACTACCCGTGTATAAGATGAGCCCAATTTGAAACCTAATTTTTTGGTTTTAAAAAAAAACCCTAGTCTTATACACGGAAAAATACAGAACTTTGGGGTAAACAGGGTTGTAGCCAACTAAGTTTTGCTCAGAATAGAGCCACTGAAATTAAGGACCCTAATTTAAAAGAGCTTATTAATGTCACTGTAGCTACTCCAAGTACGATTAGCATTGGAGACAATCCATTGTTAGGATTGCAATGTTAGAAAACACTAGGACTGAAAGAAACGCAGTACAGACGATTACTAAAGCATGAAGCTTCTCTGCCTGCTTAGATACTAGTGGAAAAAACATGGACGTAGTCCACCCACAAGGCATTCTGACAAAGTGGAGGAATAGAAAAAGGCAAATAACATATTTGAAAAAAACATGGAAACAGTAGCAGGAAAAATTGACCATGATTACCATATCCTATAATGTAACATATACGATTATTTTAAAATGTCAGTCTTGACCATCTAAAGAAAGTTATGGTTGACAAGTGGAAATCTTTGTCATTTTACCTGTCTCTCTGAGTTTTCTCTTAGAGTCTCAATAGTCTTTTCAAGTTGGGCTTTCTCTTTCATTAGATCTTTGCTAAGATTCTGACTATTCTGAAGACCTTGTTTCTCTTCAGAAAGTTCCTTCTCAAGTCCTTCCAGCTAGAGAGAGAAAAACAAAATAAAATTGATAAAATTTCACATTACAGTGTATAAGATATGCCGAAAGTTTTTAGCTATTATTTGTTTCTTAAGCCCGTATCCCCCAAAATGAAATTTTCCTATAAGAGAAATTAAAGACCAAGGACAACATACAGAAGTGTCCAGAATATCTGGTTTTTCAATACCTTTATTTCTGAAAATTTATGTAGCTTCTATTGAAAATATTGTTCTGCACAAGAATTTATACTGCATTTTGTAAAAGAGTGTTAAAATACATTGAACATCTTGCGGATTAAAACAGTTATTTGTATTAGAATCAAAAACACTTTAAATATAATAATAAATCATTATTTTGAAGAGATAAACTGCAGCAAGCCTTGGGCTAAAACATTCTCCTCCACCAGTGTGGCTGTGAAGTGCAGATCAGCAGCTTTCACATCTGTTTTTTGATTAGCCAGAGTTTAGCGTTACATCCCAGCTCTACTGTAGGTTAATCTTAACTACAATTTGTTGAAACAAGTCAGATTGATAACTCAAGGATTGAAGATGGCTTGTTTCAACTAAACCATTGTTAGGATTAATCATTCTTTGTTGTGTATAGATGAAACAAGCAACTGCAGTTAATAAAAAATGGAAGGCTCCTGATCTGCTGATTAGCACTGATAACCAGCCCCTTTTATGCTATTTGCAGGTGTGCTTTGAATCCAAACTGTGCCTTCAAAAGTGGTTGCTGTTTAGAAGCCTGGTTTGCCAAGGGAAACTTAAGAGTGTGTGTAACCCACCAAAACATTAATATAGTTACAGCAAAATATACTCGGATGAAATATTTCTAGGTAGTGTAACACCACAAAATTTAAAAAGATGGGCATAGAACAAAGCAGAATTTATATTTTCTTTATTACGTATTAAAAGGCATTTGTCAATTGTGTTTCTTCATATTTTTTCTGACCTGTTCCAATTTTGAGAAAAGTTACATGAAACAGGGCAGAAAAGGTCTGACTAATAAATAGGCCACATATTTAATATATATAATTTTGAAAATGTATACAAAAAAATAAACAGCAAACCATTAAGAGTTGCTTTATTTCAGAAAATGTTTGTCAAACTAATCAGTAAATCCTCTGGCTAAACATACACAGATGATATTAAACAAAACTGTTATGTACTGAGTTGAACAGGATCCAAAAGGCAGCAGTCTGACTGGTCCTACAACAATAGGATTCAGAATGCAGCAGTCTGATTGGTCCACAGGAGCCACCCAATCCAGCTCCAGGTGGAAGGGAATCTGCAACCTGATTGGCCTACAGAAGAATCCTGAAATTAGCCAATCACGTGGGGCCCATTGTGTAAATAATGTATATAAGGCAGACATTCTGGGGGAACTTCCATTCCTCCTCACCGCTATGAGCTGAATAAAGAGCATGAAATCAACTCTCGACTCCGAGTATATTTCAGAAACATTTATTTGGAACAAGACTTAGGACAGGGAACCTACAATGAAGTTCATGATAGAAAGCTTACAGAAACTTTTAACAGTCTAAGATGTTTTTAGAATCTCCATTTTTGAATTATTTGCTAGGATTTACCTTCTTCCTATTTTAAAAACACAATAAAAATGGTACCTTTTTACTTAGTCTTTGGTTTTCCTTTTCCATTTTCAGCATTTTTGAACTGCTGCCTTCTGCAGATCCCACTGCATTTTGCAACTCTTCCACCGTCTTTAGCAAACTTTGGTTTTCCATTTCTAGTTTCAGTAACCTACTTGAAGTCAGTTCATTCACTTCATGACCAAGTGACTTTCGTGGTGCTGTGGGTTTGTTTTCAAAAAATGGAAATGACTTAAGTTTCCCATCCATTATCTGTAGATATTTCTTATATGCAATTGACACTGCACCCTTGGAATCATGTTGAAGCGAACCACACCACTCCCTATTTGATCGTGCTCCTGCCACATACCACTGAAGATATAATAGTTCTCCCATAAGACTAAGCAATAATTTAATGATCATTTGTCTACTGTCAACAAAACATGATGTGACATAATGGTGTGTTGCTGGCTTACAAACTTTTGTGTGTTTTAACTCTGGCTTGGAGTTACATGTGAATCCAACCAGCAACCTCCCTTAAACTATTAAATGTTTAGCTAACCCAGCCCAAACACTCACCAAACTACACTTATGGTTCACCTATTGTTGAGCCATATTACTCTGTTCACATGGCTACATCTTTGGGCCCATCCAAGGAGAACTGTTTACAGGATATCTGTTTACAGCATGTGGAATATTCGCAATGTTCAGTTGCCTATTTCCCATATAAACAGAAGAAAATAAGAAAATGCAGAATTAAATCTTCATCTACCTTCAGAAAGTTCAGATGATCTGTTTATTTGTTCAAGTTCCCAGCCCAAATGCAGTGATTCATCCATACTTTGCTTCTGAGCCATTTCAAGTGTCATATTTTCCTCCATAAGTTCCTCAATTTTCTTCCGGTCCATATCACGTTCCTTAAACATTGTTTACATGGGGAAAAAACTCTTTAAAAGTTCTTCTCAAAGTGCACCAACCTATTTCAGTAACAAAAATTTTGCACAATGCTACTGACTTAATCTTTTTATGTTAAAGGATCTTGATCTAGTGTTAGCAGTGGAAAAAAGACCTATTTAAACTTATGCCAGTAGAGCATGCCCTCTTTCAGATACAAAAGGACCTGTGTGTTGGCAATCACATGTCAATTGGACGCATCTAAAATGGTTGACCCCTGTATATACAATCGTATTATCAGATGTTAAAGATTATGATGCTATGCAATCCTATCCTTGAAAACATAATTTTTAAAAATCAACCATTAATTTTTTTAATGAATGTTATATCAATACAGTGTGTTACCAAAATCATGCTACAGTGGTGCCTCGCAAGACGAAAAGAATCCGTTCCGCGAGTCTCTTCGTCTTGCGGGTTTTTTCGTCTTGCGAAGCAAGCCCATTAGCGGATTAGTGCTACAGTATTAGCGGCTTAGCGGGCTTAGTGGATCAGCTGATAAGCGGCTTAACGATCAGCTGATAAGCGGCTTAACGATCAGCTGATAAGCGGCTTAACGATCAGCTGATAAGCGGCTTAACGATCAGCTGATAAGCGGCTTAGCCATCAGCTGATAAGCGGTTTAGCGGCTTGGGAAAAAGGGGGGGGAAAGGAAAAAAACCCCGCAGGAACTCGCAAGACATTTTCGTCTTGCGAAGCAAGCACATAGAAAATTCGTTTTGCGAAGCACCTCCAAAACGGAAAACCCTTTCGTCTAGCGGGTTTTCCGTCTTGCGAGGCATTCGTCTTGCGGGGCACCACTGTACATCAAACACCCTTGTTTCTTAAGAAAAAAGCAAGCAAGCAAGCAAATAATAAAAATAAATAAAACCGGTTGTTGTTTTCAAAAAAAATTTCAAGCACAACATAGTATCATAAATAACTTTTTAACTTGTTTTTAGTAAAGATGATGTTAGTAGAAGGGCGATATTTAAGTGGAAGAGCACATACTTTGCATACAAAAGGCCCTAGTTTCAATCCCTGAAATCTCCGGGCTGGAAATCCTCTTGTCCAAAACTCTGGAGAGTACTAAGCTAGATAAACCAACTGCCTGATTCAATATAAAGCCAACATTCTGTGTTTGTTAACAAACCATGCCTTAGCAGATTCATAGAGTGACATTTAATGTCACGTGAGCAGGCTTTTGCTCATGCAGCAGGAGTCCAGAGTTAGGGGACTCTCCAGAGCAGATCTGGAACACACAGGTAGGAAGTCCCACTAAGCAAATAGGCAAATATAACTGGATGTCACCTATAATAATTAATCCTGCATAATTCTGTTTTTAAAACCTACACATCTGATGTCTCATGTTGTATGCTCACCGTTTCCATATCATGAAGTTTTGCCTTTAACTGTAAGTTTTCCTTTTCCAGTTCGTGCAGTTTATCAGAACGGGCTCGGGTTCCCTCCAACTGATCTTCCAACATTGTCTTTGTTTCTAGCAGTACTTGATTATCTTCTTTTAGCTCCTACAATAATCAGAAAGAAAACTGAAGCTGAGGATCACTGCGTCAAAGAACATAAAAATGGCATGAACGTAACAAAAGTGATAATTTGCTGAATTAAGCTTTTAACAGAGTTGTGTCACACACAAAAGTTTGATGAAGTTACTGTTAGGATTCATTCCCAGTGTTGCAGTCATGGGATTGTTTTTATCACATGACGGTGTATGTTTTCATTCCACATTTTGGGAAGTGATGGAGACAGGATGTTTTTATTATTGTGTTTCCGTGATGTAGGATTTTTGTCCTTTGTCCTCTCTCTTTGCTGTCTGATGCTGAAGAGGAAAGCGCTGAGTTACGATGCTCCGAGTGTGTATATGTAAATAAATGTAGTTTAGCCAAAAAGCTGCGCAACTGAGTCTGAACGCTGACTGCCTATACTCTGCTGATCCTGAAGTGTGCTGATGCCTCTTGGCATCAGTCGCTGTGATGTTCGGGTTGGAGAAAGCTTTTGAATCTCCTGAATGAATGACCAGGAGAGAGAGAACATGCCAGTCGGGCATGTGTCTCTGCTGGACTCCTACTCGTGTGTAGGACCTCCTGACAGTTACAGCTACATCATTCTGACCCCTGAGCTAAAATTGTATTAATATTCAGAATCCACTTTGGAAGTCACAGAAGCAGATTCTAAATTCAAACACCAAGTCCTCTGCTTGAGGCATTATTAGGGTCCAGGGATTGTACACTCATGGGGATGGTAGATGATTGATGGAGAGACCCTGGGTATGTTGTCTCCTAGAGTGAGAGGCTGGGAGGAGAAAGGAAAGATCCTAGGTGAGAGCCGGGAGGAGATACTCCATTCTATGGATAGTAAAAGTCAACAACTATCTTTAAGAGAAGACTCCAATTCTATATGTACTTTTTGTAGCTGTATGTCATGGACTAGCTGGACGCAGAGGAATGGTGGGAGGCACCGACTGGGGAACCCCTGAGGGAAGGAGGCTTAGAGTCCAGGGATTGGTGGTGGGAATACATGGTGGTGGTGGGAAGTCAAAAGGAGAAACCTGGGAAGAGGAGGTGTTGGGAGTTCAAGAGGTAACAGGCTTTAGTGAGCAGGCTGAGTCTGTGAAGGAGAGAAGTCCAGAATCAGATTCAGAGGCAGAAGCAGGAAAGGAGGGCCAAGAGGCAGAGACAAGTCAGCCAGTGAAAAAGCAATGGTTTCTCTCTGCCTTGCTGCAACAGACTCCCCACCCTCCTGGTCTTCCAGGTCCAGGAGAGGTATGAAGCAGAAGGAGCACAGATAGGCACGTTGGCGTAGTCTCAGATGCTTAGGAAGGACCTGGGGAGAGGAGGAGGCTTAGGCAGCCGTGGGAAGGCGGGGACCTTCAGTCTCCACAATTGCCTCATAGGGGCAAGATCTACCAAAGAGTTGTTGTGCGCATTTAGGCCTGACACTCCTGAGCAGATCCTGTTTTTCTAGTAAAGAGTTAACTTCACTTACATCATATGATTTATGGCTTACTTGCTCCTGACCCTGTTTTTGATTTTTATCTACATTAGTTTTCTATATTTTATTGTATTATTAAAAATTGTAATAAAAATCTTAAAAATAAATAAATCCAAACACCAAAATCCCTAACAGTAAAAACAAACAAATAAACCTCCAGTACAGAAGGGTAGGATTAAGCGACTGACGTGGACAGGTTTTGTGTGCTTGCATACAACCCCTCGTATGAAACCACTTTGCTCCCAAATCACACAAGCAGGGAAAGAAACTAGGAAGTTGCAGTTAATCATAGCTTTCCATTACATGAAAATCAGGACTTCAAAACAACCAGATTCAGAAGCTACTAATGAATAAAACTTTAATTTTTAATGTTTGAATTTCAAGTCACCTCTACTCTAGCCTTGTAGAATTCAATATCATGTAGCCTCTCCTTATACCGACTGACTTCGCTTTCAAGCTTGTCAACCCTGATTGCCTTCTCTCTGAGAGCATCAAGTTCATCACGGTACACCCTGGCAGAACGGGCATCTGAAAGCAAATTCATATTCTAGCAAACGAAACAAACATATTTAATTATTAATTATTTTGTAGAAGAAAACATTGACATTACAGATCTGCAGTGAGCAACACTGAGTTTTCATGCAAGATGGCAAAGTTAAAGCTTGGAGAAAGACACTAAGCTATTCAAAATACTAAAGGCAATGAGAAGCAAAACACAAAATGCATTCAGATCCATGTACGAAATCTGCATGCGCTGCATGCAATTCAATCCTATGCGCGTTTACATGGAAATAAGCATGACTTCAATGAGGTTTGCTTCAAAGTAATTGTGGAGAAAACTGAAGCCCCGATATATTATTAATCTCATTATTTAGCTGGAAATTCGCCTTCTCACTGAAATTTTGAAACAATTACTGTAACACGATTGCTAGTTTTACAGAAAAGGTGGTAATCAAATAATTATCTTAATCCCAGGATAACTGTGTTATTTCTTATATGTATATAAAAGTGTTGAGGCAATTTCAATGCTGTAATGTTCCTCTTCAAAGGAATTATTCCCTTGAGGAGACTGAGTTGTCCAATGACCAGTTTCACAAACATGCTCTGCTTGCTTTAAACTCAATTAAACTGTAGGAATCAAGTTATGTTTGATGACTTGTCATTAAAACCTGATGAAATCAATAACAACTCATTATAAAAGTAATGCCAATTGTTTTTTCTACATGTCAGTTTTATTCTTCCATGTTTTTGAAAACACTTTTCAACACAGGTTTCATATAATAATAATATCATATTGGCCAAACATTTGAATGAACCTCAAGTAGAACAGGAAAATACCACATCCAAAAAAACCAAAATATGGACTTGAGGCAGAACCCAGAGCTCCTTAGCACAAAAACCTATTTAATTCAGGGTCCTAGCTTGGAGCATGACAACACATGTAATTAATTAAACTGATAAACTATACTTAATCTAAGCACAATGGCCTGAGAAGTTATCTTTAATTTCCAAACCTCTTGTTGCAGTCTTTTCAATTCAGCTTCAATTTGTTCCAGTTCTTGCTTACAATCCAGTAACTGTTCAGTCTTCTCCTCACTAAAAATAAAATTATTTAATTAAAAACAGGAACTAAAGAAGAAAGGGACAGAACAAAATGAATAGACTTCCCCTTCATAGTTCACACCAGAATTTATACTTCAGATGCCTGAAGGGTGCTTTTTGTTTGTCTTGCAAAAAAGCCCAACTTCTGGATTCATCAACCATGAACCAGGAAGAGCTGGGAGTGTGCTTAACTCTCTGCACTCTAAGACACTTCCCCCCAACCCCACCAACACATCACATGCATTTTTTAACTTGATGCTTAGTGAGTACAATTTATCTAACATCTTTCTCATGAACACAGGCTTGCTCTTTACCTGGGGATCACAGATTTCTTCAAAAGTTAACAGCATATCAAGTAAGACAGTGGTTCCCAATTAACTAGGATCCCCTGCTTTTGAAAATGTTGATATCTCTGTGGTAGTTTTTGTTATGTGAATGGTACCACCATACCCTCCAATGTGTCCCTGCGCAGAACTATGGTGCGCATCTTCTGGGCTGCACTCCTGCGAGAGAGCACAGCGCCCAAAAATGTGTGTTTTGGAGCCCTGCGATCTCATGTGGTTTTGGGCACTGTGAAATGGGATGCTTGGACAGTGTGTTTGTGTGTAAATTTTTAAAAAAATCTATTGAATGTATATACCGTCCTATACCTGGAGGTCTCAAGGCAGTTCACAGATTAAAATCAAAATATAAAACCACAAAATACATAATCAAAATAAAAAAAGCAACCCAGTAGCCCCCCTCCCCAGTTGACTGGAATGGGCCATGGTCTATGATTCTATGACCCCCTGGGGTCTGTGGATCACCAAGTGGGAACCACTGCAATAAGGGATATTAGCTCTGTGTTTGGTTTTAAAGAATTGTATAAAGCCTACTAGCTTAAATAAAATATCAAATGGATCAGATTGCCTACTTTTCAAACAGGAAAGTTTCACCTGCCAATTCCTTAAGCTTGAACTACTGCTAAAAAGCAGGACTACAAAAGTTCATTAAAAAGCAGGCAAACCCTAGTCAACAGTCACATCATATATGCTTTATTTTCAATGTCTAATGCTCAAAATGTCAATTATTATCCTCCGATCTACTTCTGCAAGGATGTGTAAATAAATGTTCTCTTCCTATCCTTATACATACAACAAAGAATCCAAGTTTATTATGAATTTTTACATGCCCAAAGGAAATTTACTTCAAGCTTCATAAAAATGAAGAAAAGATATCCAAATTATTCAATATTAGAAAATCACAGTCTAAATCTGACATTATATAAAAGATTCTGTGTACATAGGGTTAAGTTTGAGGAAAATAATTTGCAAGGATACACACAAAAATGTTTTTATAGTAATTGCTCCTTAAATCTCCATACACGCGGTGTTTTTTTATGAAACATTTATCGCCGAAGCACTGTAAGACCCTTCAGTCATCAACTAGACCACAATAAAAGGCATTGGGATTGTAATCAGGGAACCCTCAGGAAAATCCTGGAATAGGAAGCTGCAGCAAGAGAAGAGAATCGCCAAAAATGTGGCAGAGACAGCTTGCCCAAGGTGTCTTTGCACCATTTTTGGCAATCCTCACCAAATACTACAGTTCACAATCCTGCAGAAAAGACTTTTCAATTAATGCAATAGGGAGAAGGTTCCATCGTATGTTATGTTGTTTGTTATACAAGCACTGCTCTCTTTTATTAAATAGGCTGTGCTGACCAGAATGGTCAAATGTTCAGTATAGGAACTTGAGGAAACTGAGTGTTACACATTTTAGGGGGGAACAGATGTGTGCCATATGGTGTTGGGAACTATTGGAGACGAAAAACTTATTCAGGACTCTACTCGCATTCTGAATGGATGGGACGGGGAGTTGAAATAATATATTTATGAGTTTAAAAGAGCTGTGACTGAGATATGAAAAATGCAAGAGAGACAAAGATGTGAAAATACCGGCAAACAATACTGCAGTTAGTAGAGAAAGCTGTAAACGGAACCAGAACATGAACTCTGAGAGGAAGGGACATAGATCAGAAGGTTATATCTATGTTCAATCCCAGGCATCTCCAGGTAGGCTGGAATTGTTTCCTGCCTGAAACCTTAGAGACACTGCTAGTCAGAGTACGCTGACTTGAGGGGTCAACATTCTGACTTGATATAAGGCAGTTTCCTAAGATAAGTACAGTGGTACCTCGGGTTACAAACACCTTGGGTTACAAACACTTTGGGTTCTGGAGGTCCGTTCTTAACCTGAAACCGTTCTTAACCTGAGGTACCACTTTAGCTAATGAGGCCTCCTGCCACTACCGCACGATTTCTGGTCTCATCCTGAAGCAAAGTTCTTAACCCGAGGTACTATTTCTGGGTTAGTGGAATCTGTAACCTGAAGCGTCTGTAACCCAAGGTACTGCTGCATATCAGTTTCTTGTTGTATATGCAATTTTAAGTGGAATGTAATTTACAGGGTACAGTAGTACTAACTACTAAAAACAACTTAATCAATAAATTTAGCATTTTATTTGTAACTTTATTTGTAAATAAATCCAACACACTGCAAACGTGGTAACATGTTCTCAGTGATGTCTATACTTCCAATTGTGTGCTTCAACTACAGTATAAAATGATTTGTTTTTAATTATACAGAATGCAGCAGTGTGCACTGTTTAGTCTATTAACTGCCAGTCAAATTAATAACAGCAATTTGCATTAATTTTCCTAGTGCAGCTGTTTACAGAATATCTTGAGTAAGCTCACTTCAACAGACATGTAATAATCCACACATCAGAAAATGAGATCTGTTTCTCTTATATTCCAGTGCTCATGATGACTAAAATATATTACTTTGTGTATGCTTGTGGGGCGGAGAGAGAGTTGAAGTGAGATAACAATTAACTCTGTCAGTTTTAGAAGATACAGTGGTGCCTCGCAAGACGAATTAATTCGTTCCGCGAGTTTTGTTGTCTTGCGATTTTTTCGTCTTGTGAAGCACGGTGTCGGGAAAGTTTTGGAAAAGCTTCAAAAATCACCAAAGTCTTTAAAAACCTCAAAAAAGGCTACCACACCGCGTTCTATGAGTTGCTCCTCGAAGTCAAGTCGCAACTGTATTAACGGTGTTAAGAAAAGGAAACAAACTTGCAAGACGTTTCCGTCTTGCGAAGCAAGCCCATAGCGAAAATCGTCTTGCGAAGCAGCTCAAAAAACAAAAAACCCTTTCGTCTAGCGAGTTTTTTGTCTTGCGAGGCATTCGTCTTGCAAGGTACCACTGTATAGTCAAAACTCTTTTGTAAGAATTACATCGTTCTTAGTATACTTAGCAGGTATAGGCTATCCTGTAAATGTCCCAATATTATGTTTGTCCTCTATTGTATTATTTGATGAAAACCACTGGAACTCACCCAGACTATCACTGCTGCAGTCCAGTGCAAAATCAGTGATGAAACACACATCAACCAAAGTGAAGTCACTAAAGTTATTAATATAATTGGATGGAATCTGAGCAACATCATGTGCTCACAACTGTTTCAGATGGGTACTTGATATACAATCAACTTTTGACGGGCAGTTGGGAAAGAAGTTCTACCCTGGATTACCCTGTTTTCTTAGTCATTCAGTCTCTAAATGGTTGCCCAGTATGCATTGAGCTTTTGCTAGTATCTTTGCAACTCTGTTCCATAACAAAACTCTAAGATGGTTGAATTAGTCTTGGTAACAGGTAATAATAAACCTTGCAATTTATAGTGTGTTTGAATCACTTCTCGCACACAATTATGGGGATGAATAACTGAGATTTTATATGGGTCTATTAAGGCCACTCACAGAGTTCATGGCTGGGCTATGATTCAAAACACTGGTCTGCAGTTCCTACAATGACAATTCAACACTAACTCTCAGATTTGAGTGCTATTGTCTTGATGCTATAACCTGTTCAATGAATGGCAGGATAGGACTTTATCATTTGGGAGCAGCATCATAGTTGTCAAGCAGCCCAGTGTATGAGACAAAGCAAGTGAACACACATGCATGTGGCTGGATTCCAGAAAGCTCAGAAGGCATACCTCTCAAAGGGGACACACTGTTAATAGCCCAGTTGAGTGGGGTGTCATCGAGCTGACCTCAGGCACTGGCATAAAGGCACACCCTCCCATTATTCAAATGGCAAAGTTCCCAGCACCATATGGCACACATCAGAAAATTAAATAGAAGGCCAGACAATTATAGAACAGCTGTTGGGCAACTTAGGTTAAAGCTGATAGAATAAGCAGAAATTTCTTCTAACACAACACCCTGATTTGAGGGATGTGATGATAACACTTGTTTTTATGGATTTTTAAAAAACAAAAATAAGGTTATTTTAAAAGACTATTGTGGCATGGTAATGGCAAACAAATGTATAGCCATCCAGTACAACTGTTGCTGAGTGCAAAACAACTTCATTAACCTAAGCTGACCCCACCAGGGGCTGTCACCTTCTGCCAGCTATCGTGCATTTGCCACATATTTTGCAAATAAATCCTTTACTTAGGAAAACTGACACAAAACCGATTTGTTTGCAGACTCAGAATTGAGTGTATAATATCCAAAGTTTAATCTTACTTAGAAGGCTTACTTCATTGTCAGTCACCAATAAATATTCAATGTCTGGAAGAAAGGAGGTGACTAGTTCCAAGTTAGACCCTTGAAAATCCTAGCTGATAAAGGTTGGCAGAAATACCTAGAATTTGGTATAATAGACTTAGATAGTGGCTTCTGGCAGTAGATTTCAAAGTCAGTGGGATGGGGTAAATTTTAAAGTGTAGGCACTCTTCATAACAGCCTTCATTAGCCATAAACCAAAAAGTCCACAGTCACACCTCCAAGGAGAATCTAGAAGTGCAGGCGGCTTTGTCACTTCATTACAAATCCCCAAAAGCAGCAGAGACAGTAGAATAACTAATTTATTAGGATCAGCTGTCAACCATAAAACAACCATGGCAAGGATGGTGCTGTCATCCTGCTGTGACAAAAGTACCAGAGCTGTACTGCCCTAAGTTATTGTTCCTCTATAACCACTGTTCATAGACATTTTCTGCCTCCAACTACCACCCCTTTAGGTAATTTTTTTAAAACTGAGCTCCAGTTCAGAGCAGTCTCAGATTCTTATATTCAAGAAATGTTTTAAGGCCAGGATTGTCAAATTCTTCCCCTATGGAACAGGAAGGGGCATGACAGAACAGACCAAATACCAACTTAAAAACACCACCAACAACAACTTCTTACAAATTTGTCAAGTAACATTTACTCTTAATCTTTTGGGATACGGTTGTTAAATTAGTAGCCATTTAGCATAACTCCAAAGGTCCAATAATCTCTACAGTCCAAAATCTCTCAAAAGGTCTTGAGGCTTGGTTGGGGGGGGGGGTGACTACACGGACCTAGGTGGGGTAACCTGTCCTCTCCCCCTTCACAGGGGGTTGGACTAGATGACCCTTTGGGTCCCTTCCAACTCTAAGATTCTACAATTCTACGACCTTTGAGCAGTAAACATGTCCTTGGCTTTGAGATACTCCCTTAATCTAAAACAGTTATTTACCCACAACAAAAGACAACACAACAGGGATAAATAAACATAGGGACCACATCCTGCAACAAACTCAGGTTCCAATGCTTTCCCTGAATCTATGCAGAAAAGCCTATACTTCACAAGCCATCACCAAAAGACTGAGGAACTTTTGATACTGACCTTCAGAAAAGAAAAATGATTGCAAGCCTGAATATGTGTGCAAAGTGCTTGCGTATCTTTTTATAAAAATACTGAACTCATCCAGAAATTCATTCCTGCAAAACCACCAATACACCATTGGAAAAGAGAGGAGCCAAATTGCAAAAATGCTTATATTTCTCTGCGTAAGCACAACAGAATTATGCTGCAGTTTTACATTCATATAACTGGAAGTCATATTGAAGTCACCAAGTGACTTATCATTCAAAATCTACACTTGTTTACTTGAAAGTTCAACTCAAATACCCTGACCCTAGGAGTATTGTAACTGAGATAAGACAGAATGTGAATTTGGAAGTGCTTATAAGAATGTAAGATACTTTAAGCATTATTTTCCATCTTACCAACTATATGAACTGAAAATAGGCATGAACTGTTAACTAACCACATATAACCATACAAGTCTGATACACAACTACAGCAGCATATATAATACAGATATTAATATAAAACTTCAAGCTAAAAAAGGCTATTTCTACACTACTTCCCCAAGGGTCCACAGTTTCTCATTACCGCCTAGCACTCTTCACAGTGTACTTACAGCTCTTGTCTAAGCCTTCTGATCTTTGCTTTGGCATCTGCTAGTTCCACTGATAAGTGCTGCCTACTTTCAGTGCGCTTCATGCCTGGAGATCCACAAGGTGATTGTGCTGCTGATGCATGAGGTAGAAAATGAAGAGAGTCTCGTTCTTCAGAGAGTTCTATGATAGTCTAAGATACAACATGAAATCTTTGATTACCACATAAGCATGTCAGGGCAGGAGCTAGGTATAGGTCAGCAATGGGGGGGGGGGGTCACCCGAGGCCAGGGCAGTTAAATTTTTATTTAAGGAAACAAACTACAGCTCACGCCTACTGGTCTCAGTAACTCTTTCTAGGTCTTGCCCCAATGAAGCAGTTGCAAGGACTGAAGGTCCCCGCCTTCCCAGTGTCCACTAGGACTCCTCCTCCCCAGTGTCTTTCCCATGCAAGCTCAGGCTGTGCCTGCACACACCCACTCTCTGTTCTGCCTGTTTCATTTCTCTGTGAGTTCAAGGAGAGCAGTTAGATGCAGCAGGAGGGGGAGACTCCCTGGATTCTTCAGCAGCTTGTCTCCACTCTGCCTCTTGGCCACCCTCTGCTCTCTGCCACAGATTCCTCCTGTTCACTAAACCCTGTCACCTCTCCTGCTGCTAAGACCTCCTCCTCCCAGTCTGCTCCTCCTCCCTCTGACCAATCATCATCGTCCCACCGCCAATCCCCTGGACCCGAGCCTTCTTCCCTGGGGGTTCCTTAAGGAGTTCCCCAGCTGGTGCTCCCACTACTCCTCTGCATCGAGCCAGTCCATGACACTAGATAACTGATTTTCAATATTCTTGCCTCTGACTCCATAAGTAGGTGTGTGTGAATTTAACCCATATTTTTCAAGGCCAAGATGCTCATCTGCCAATACCACTCAGTTTAGAGAACTGAGAAGACAATTAAAAATCATATTTCTGTATTCTAATGGCAGCAGTAAGAGCAGGGGAAGAGTGCTACGTGAACTTCTGAGGAGTGCATCAGCACTCTGTTCATTCACTTAAAGCCATAGTTTGTTTTAAGCTATGGTTTAATGTGATGTGCAAACAGGTCAATTATTGCTTTTAGCTGCCAGCTATTTTCAGCACTAAGGCAAAAGCTGGCTGTTGTTTTTAAAGAAGTGTAATATTAAAAACATAACCACTGAAAGGGGCCACGTGTACCTACACATCAACAAAATATACAAATCTATCAAATTTCAGTATTTGCAAATAGTTGAGCAGTTATACTCCCAGGCTTTTTTTCTAATTAACACACTTCTTTAATAACTAAAAATCCATTAGCAGAAGGGGAAAACTAGTATGACACATACCTCAGAATGCTCATCTCGCTCATCTATAAGCCTTTTTAAATGCAATGCCATATTTTTTAGGAGAGACTCAATACAGTCATGTGACAGAGCACTGTCATCCATCCACTGGAGATCAAACACGTTTTCCTGATTATGAGTTACCTGCATATGATAAATAACAATAAAGTGAAAACTGTGCTGTTTCAGTGATAAGACTATGAAAAGATGTGCTAATAGACTGTAACCTAATGTGGAGCAAAAGATTTGAAGTCCACGTCAGCTTTAAGAAACAAAGATTCATAACCTTAAATACATTTTAAGGAACATTCTGACATCCGTATCACTTAATCCTAAAAAAATCCAGTGAGTTGGGAATAGTTTCACTTGCCTCATCCTTCAAGAATGAAGATATTGATTACAGCCTTGGCAGCGTATCTTATTTTTAAATAATTTTATTTAGCACATTAAAACCATCTCTGTTTAGAAGTAAAATTACTGTAAACCACTTAGAGATTTTTTAAATATTAAGCCGTCTATAAATCAAATGAAAAAAATCTACTCCATTTTATTTTTAAAATGAAAAATTCCTCAACTGCTATTAAGGACTAGTGGTAGTTAATACAAATACAGGTACCAACAACAATACCATCTCTTTAAACCATATCTGAATACTCTTAGCAGTCACGCATCCATTCTTAAGGAAATCAGCCCTGAGTGCTCACTGGAAGGACAGATTGTGAAGCTGAGGCTCCAATACTTTGGCCACCTCATGAGAAGAGAAGACTCCCTGGAAAGGACCCTGATGTTGGGAAAGATGGAGGGCACAAGGAGAAGGGGACGACAGAGGACGAGATGGTTGGACAGTGTTCTCGAAGCTACAAACATGAGTCTGACCAAACTGCGGGAGGCAGTGGAAGACAGGAGTGCCTGGCGTGCTCTGGTCCATGGGGTCACGAAGAGTCGGACACGACTAAACGACTAAACAACAACACCTTTCTAGCATACCACCTTTATGGCTTTTTAAAGTTGAAACTAAAATTGACTCATGAACTTCTTCTCCCAAGACTTTTTTGCTCTTATCTTGTGCACACCCTTGTTCACACTCTTTTTTAAATCACAATACAGATAAACTCTCAAATTCATCAGTTGGTTTGAATCTCCCTTCCCTATAATTACTGAAATGCCATGTCTTGCATTCATTCATTGTGATTAAAGTTGTTACCTGGGTAGGCACTTAGTATTAAAAGATGAGAAAGACTTGTTTCAGAAACATTTTAAATGTATTTTTTCTAATTTTAGAGATTTACAGTGTGTTCTGTGTAGCATATTGGCGTCATAATCTGTAGTAACTATAATTTATATTCTTCTGAATAAAAAATAATCAAGATGGAAGGCTGCCTCCAAAATCCATATATAGATAAGATTTTAATAGTAGAAAACCAGATAATACCTCTTGTATATGGGCAGCAACAGCAGCTCTTATATCAAAGTCTAAACTTTGGATTCTTTCAATGAATTCTTCTTTCTTCTGACACTAAAACACAGATATTAACCAAAATTAACATTACAATTGGCTAAACATAATAGCTCAAGAAGACCTAAAATTTTATCTGTTAGGCATACTGAAATATCTAAAGGTCTCATTAACAATAACTGAGTACCTAGACACAACAGTTACATTCAGACATCATACTAAACTATGTGAACAAGTCTAGCCTCCTCCTAGATTCACACACTTCCCTCTTTTCCTTCCTCCATGTGGTTGGAGGAATTCAAAAGCTTTTGCTTCCATTCTTGGTTAAACTACAGGACCTGGGCACAACAGCATTTCCCCCTCTCTCTGCATGCAGAAGGTCCCAGTTTCAATTGCTGTCATATATCCAGTAGGAATGGAGAAGATTTCTGTCTGAACACTCTAGAGAACCTCTGCCAGTTTGGTTCAACCAGTACTCTGACTCGGTATAAAGCAGCTTGCTACCTTTAAGTGAATATCATGAGCAGTTGTATAATTGAGAGCTCACCTGAACTGCACATCCAAGGAGGAGTAGAAGCAGCTTTTTTACTTCTTCAGTGCCCTGTTCTGAAAATATTAGAAAAACAGCACACTGTGTACATCTTTAGATAATCATTTGTACACTACCAACACCATTTATTACTTTTTGGCTAGGACTAGCACTCCTAGGTGCTATACCCTTCCTGAAAAGAATAAGTACCCTTTTCACTAGGAACCCATGATCACTTAGGGTGGCTAGTTTGATTTTATGTGTTGAAGGGCTCTTTGTACAGGTCATCCAGGTAAAGATACATGTGGATGGATCTCTTCCATGCAGAAGTGTGCTACCACTGCCACTATGAGTTTGATGAAGACCTTTAGGGCATGGGATGGTAATGCAATCCCTTGTAAGCAAAGTCAAGAATCAGGAAATTCTCAGTTCTAAACTTGTCTGTTATGAGATCACGAGACAGTCTTAAGCAAGCTACTGCCTTTCATCCTTAGTCTCCCCCTATGTTAATACTGATTTATCTTACAGGGTTATCATAAATATGATAATGAATGGGAACCCCTTTGAACACCTGAAAATTTGATGCAAATGTTGAGTTCTAAATATTTAATAATAAACTTAACACTGAATGTCTGCTTTAAACTGAATATACTACTTACCTGAAAAGGGATTTTTGCCAATTATCAAGATGTTTGGCAAAGGCATCATAATCAATTGTTGCAATGTCTCCTATAGAAATGAATGTAAAGATTTACAAGAGCTGTGCGAAGGATGACCACACCATCCATATGTTAACTAAAAACACAAATATCTTTAAAATAATGAAGCACCCATTCAAACTCACTTCTGATTTAACATATACCTAGGCTACATTTCTTTATCTATACTTACCTAGGAGTAAGACCCAATGATCTTTGTACATAGGACTGCACTGTTTGAGGTGGATTTAGGGCAGTGTGACCATTTCTGCCTCACTGGGTACCGAGCCCTGGTGACAAAGCAGGGCAGTACAACTATGATCTAGTGAACTGAGCAGAACGGAAGGCGGGGGCCATTTTTGGCCTTGCACAAGGCGCTGCTTAAATTTGAAAGACCAAAGTCCGTACCTAGTCTAAACCATATATAGGAGGCTGCACATATGTTTCTGATTCCACTTCAAAGTGCAACTTTCAACCTGCAAAACTCTATTCAGCCCAGGATCCCATTATCTAAGGGAATGTGTCATTAGACTTGGATGTATCCAGTCCCTACTATCATCATCTGATGCCCTTCGCTCTATGAAATGCACTCTCCAACACTTACATCCTTTCGGTGCCAGATTAAAACCTGCCTCTTAACCCAAGCATTTGAGAGAATACTATCATCATGCTTTCTGTGGGTTTTTTGGGGGGTGGGGTACTGTTATTGTATACTTGGTGGTTGTTTTTAATTATGTATGTAAGCTGCCTAGAGACATTTTGTATTAGACAACAAATAAATTGAATTAATAATATTATCACTGATGTAGGAGGCTGTCTGATACATGCACTAAGCATTCCTCCAGGAACAATTTGTAACCTTATAATAATAAAAAACCTCAGACCCACCTGACTAGTCTGCATTAGGTCCACCAGACACTCACAATAAACATGAAAAATGAACATTTGTTAACTTTAATGTAGTTTAATGCATATAAGACTGAGACAAAAAAATTAAAACCCAGTGATTGCTCATTAAGTATGAAGTTAACAAATTAAAAACAGTATCATATTCAAGATATAATTGATAATAAAAGTAATTTCCTCCATTGATCAAGGTCTAGGAAAATTTAAAAATGCAGACTACAGACAGACAAAAATGAACTGTATCACAATAGTCAGGTCAACAAGGACTACAGATATAGTGCAAATTTGCTTCAACTGGAATGTGCAGTGTTGTCCAGGAATGAAAAAAAATATTTAAAAAGAAAACAAGTACAATTTATGTGTTCCATGAACAATCTCATGGAAGTTGACCTGTTCTAACTATACAGCCACCAGTGTGCAGCAGTGGTAATGAGCGAAAATCCTCAGTCTAGACAGTACCTAATTCTTTAACGTTGGTGTGTATTCCCTCTAACATCTGGAAACCTATCACAGCAGCTGCTAACACATACACAGATTTGGCAGCACAAGACTGTTTTTCTATATTACAGGGATTTTGCCATATGTTCAATAAAAATGTCCAAATTTATGTTCTGCATGATTAAGAGGGCTGTCCTCTTTTCTTTCAGCTGTTGTACAACATATTTTGACACAGTTATGAAGAAACTGATAATCTACTTCTCAAAGCAAGATAGGATTTTAAGTAGGTAACAAAATGATGTAACAACAGAACTGAATCTAAAGGATCCGAGGTGCTGAAATGAATTTAATATAATGAATTTAAGTTTACATTTTCTGTACACATAAAGCTGAGTCATTACTGGGAAGCAAATCTAAGTTCCATAGTATAAAATACTGATCAGAAAAAGATGAGCTGATGGAAGTATTAGCTACATCCAAGCAATTAAGGATCAGACAGCATTTAAAATACATTCAGCTGGTTCCAATAAGTCATACTCAAGGGTAGACCCTTGACAACAATGGACTCATTAGTCACGCCAATTAATTTCAATTGTTTTAGTCTGAGTATGACATAATAAAATATAACCCATTATACTGAAATTTTATAGTTCTACCAGAAAATACCAGAACATGAAGATACCAGAAAGGTAAAGTGTTCCTTCTGGATGAATCAACATTCTGACACTCCAATCACAACACTCCTGTCATGGAAATCAATTATTTTAACCTGCTCTGCCCTCTAAATTTTAGTATTGTATTTAGGATGGTTTTCAACTCAAAAGAATGTTGTTTAGGTGCTTTGACAGAAATAAGAAATAATGGCCATCTATGACAGGTATACAAAAAGATGTGGACATGCACCCATCAATGGGGAGAGGGAAGACACCTAAATTAGTTACCACTCTTTCACAAAGAGATGTTCTTTGCACCTCTCAGCTGTTTAAATGGAAGTGAGGGTTGATATCCAATCCCGGCCAACAGGAAGGAGAAAAGCAGTCTCTAATGCACTGTGGATTTTTGAGCAGATATTTGTAGGGACCTTTCACGTCCACCAGTGTCTCCCATGGCACCCTCAGGCACTGTGTTAGTGATCCCTGGTTAAATGTGAATCAGCAGAATGCTAATGCACACAGCTTGCTTTGCTCCTCCCCAACTGTTGGCACGCCATCAGAAAACAAGTCAATTTCTAGCTTCTCATGACATCCAAACCTGGGCTCATGGTTTGTTTGGATAGTATCCAGATTTGGATCTCTTGGCTTGTTTGCCGGCTGCAAGGCAGCAGAAAGAGCATGGGTAGAGCAAAGCAAGCACTATATTAGCTGCATGAACCAGCACAGTGAGCTCTTTGGGTAAACCACAGTTTACTTTTAATCATGTTTTAAAGTTACCTGCTAACTAGCTCACTGTCAACTTCAAATAGAGACATTCTGATTCATTATGGGTTTCTTTGAGGAAAGGAGAGGAACAGCAGCACAGCAAACCAAATTCACAATTTAGACAATTGTGTCTATATTAGCTTAGCATTGTCCACAAAACACATCTTTACAAATGCTTTTTAAAAGAAAGAAAAATCACTTACCTGATAGTATGATTTTATTTGCTTCACCAAAATAGATAAATTTTGAATTCGAAGTGATGCATCATTGTTGATTTTCTTATTTACTCTTTGACTAGATGCCTTAGGGTTGCTGAAATAAAACATGAAAGTAAATTAAAGAAAGTTCATTTAGTTGAAATTCACAAAGGGAAATTTATGTGTCAGCTAAGGAGAAAGACCAGTTACTAGTTACTCAAATATAATCCAGATTCACAAACTTTTGTTGGGGGGGGGGCGGCAAAAATAATAGAAGCACTTTGATATATTACTGTGCTCTCATATCTATAGAACCTTCAATAATGGGAGCACTTTGTTTATACAAACAAACAAGGCTAAGAACAAAGAAGGAAGGCCAGATAGACAATACTTGTGTTCTCAGATCCCTTATATGTGTCAGGGGTCCAGATAAAAATACTAGCTGAAAGCCTCAATTCCACTGCTGTAACTAGGGCTGCAAGGACAATGCTACACAAGCATATGGATGGGGAATACTTCAAAATATGATTCACAGCTCTCTTGTCTGCCATTCTAGGTAAGACCTCTTAGTAAAACACAGTCTTCCTAGCCTCCATTCATTCAGGGAGGCCAAGACCTATAACTCTTGCCACATTTGTGTATACAATCTGAGCTATCCCATGATTATGTCAAGACGGCCAGGGATAGCCCAAGCAAACTCCTTTTTAAATAAAACTATGCCAGCCTCCAAATATATATGGATATGAGAAACTCAATCCGTTGATTGTGCTGAGAAGCCTGTCACTCAATCCCCACCTACCAGTTCCAATACCATAAATAAGGAATATGGTGCCCCTGTTCCTTTGTCCCAATCTCTGACCATCTGAGCAACCCCACATCCAAGTGTACTGGGATTCACTCCAATAATCTTTCATAGATTTGTTCGTTTTTCAATGTTTGCTTTTTTTCTTAAGCGTAAAATTAACCCTTCCCTTAGCCTTTTAGATCTACTTTTCATAAAGTGTGCAGTCCCAGCACCTTCCCCCCCAAATGTTAAATGTGTGACATTTAAAGTAACAGCTTCATAATGAGTACCGGCATCTTTTTTTTTCTAAAACAAAAAGCACTGAGTGCATGCATTATGCATATGGGGAAAGAACCCTCACCCCAGATTACCTTAGGTCCACTTCATGTGCAAAATCTGAATTGGTGCAAGATGAAGCAGCAGATGAGGAAGTAACAGAAGCATTTGATCTGATATGCTGCCCCTTGCGTCAATTCACTTCTATGATTTTGGAAGCTCCTGGGCAAGAGGCTTGATAAGCAGGTACTCCAACCATCTCTTGCCCCAAGAGCTTCCAAAATCATAGCACCAGCTTTGCCAAAAGTACTCAGCACAGAGGAGGCTGCCCACTGCATCTGCATGATTAATGGCTCTAGCCTACTGGAGAACAATTCTGACATGTCTCTGCTTTGTGTGTAATTAGATCAATTGCTCCTGATAGAGATGCAGCAAAATTGGTTGCCCTCAGGGAAATGGGAACAAGCTACTCTATTGGCTTTTCTTTCTTTCAAACAGGAAGCACATTCAGAATAATTAACTCATGCAGAAACACAAGGGACACCTCTACCAGTGGGTAGCTTTTGTTCTCACACATTCTTAAGAAGACTCTTTTCTGTTGTGAAACTGTGTGTGTCCAAAATTAACTCTGGAAAAAAACCTGTCAACTATAAGAAACATTACCACAGAGGGAGGAAAGGGTTCAAATGTAATAACTAAAAACATCAAAGCTCTAGAATTTAGGAAGCAGAAAAGAAGAGCCTCACATACTTTTTAAAGTGTATCTCCCTAGCTTTCACCCTCTTCTTCATAGCACTGTATTAAAATTAATCACAACATGGAAACAGCCATGAGATTCAGATTAATATTTCTTCTACTAAAGTTTTCTTCTGATAGAGAACACTGCAAGATTGTTATTACCCATTTTTTCAAACCCTGACTTTATAAAACAGAAGAACCAATACAAGATGCTATGTAGAACAAAAAAAAGCTGTCCATATAATTAATATTTGATGGAAATGCAAGATATTTATTAAACTTATTAATTTCCCCCCAAAAAATGTAACTCAAAAGCCACTTACAACATCAGCAAACAAATAATGCATACATTCAAACCAGCATAGCACTAAAACATGGTATTATACTAAGAACCCAGCACCTAGGTCTCCCGAATACATAGCTTCTATCTGTGTGTCATATACATAAACTAAAAATAATTGCATAAAATTTAATGGAATTCACTAACATAAAATATGGAGATCACCACTAATTTAGATGAGATTAGCAGACTTCACAGAGAATAAGCCTAACACCACCAGCTACTAGACATCATGCCTGTATGCTACTTTCATGATCAGATGAGTAGCTAGTAGGTAAGAAGAACAGGAGGCTAGTAGCAGGTAGGTAGCCGTGTTGGTCTGCCGTAGTCGGGGGGGGGGGTGGATTCCTTCCAGTAGCACCTTAGAGACCAACTAAGTTTGTTAGTACCTTCTGTGCATGCACACAAAAGCTCATACCAACAACAAACTTAGTTGGTCTCTAAGGTGCTACTGGACAGAGGCTAGTAGTTAGTAGTACCAACATGTTCTGCTTGTGGTTTGCTGCTGTGGGACATAGGGTACTGGATTATAGAGGCCTTTGTCTGATTCAGCAGTGGCAGACAACAAAACCAAATACCAGTAAGTATTTGGATACAAGTTGTAAATCGTATCGGCTTTTGGCAAAGATTTTCAACCTAGAAATGCCTGTTTTAGATAGGATGAGATGGAGAGTCTTGATTCTGTAGTAATCAAAGTGTAAATGTAAAGGCAGCTCAGCTGTTACTGATCAATTACAGCAGAAGGCCCAAGTCTTTGTACCAGTAGCTACCGCTAGACAGAGGAAATAGCTTTTCTTGGCAGCGGTCAAGGAAGGATCTCACAGAAATTCTAGAAGCCAAGACATGCAGCTGAAGAAAGCTCTTCCCATGAGTCTGGCAGATGTGAGTAGGAAGCAGCAATTATTTCTGATCCCAGTGGAAGGCCAACATAACTGAAATCTTAAAACCTGCAGAACTGCTAATAAATAATAAACACACTACCCAATAAGGCAGGAGGAAAAACGAATTCAAAGTGCAGTACTAAACTTTATTTATTCCCTGCACCCTCTCCTTTCGACAGTGGCCTCAGGCTTTTGAATCAGTTCCCAGCAGAGCTGTAGCAATTCACCCCTTTATTAACCTTCAGGAAAAATATAGGGCTCGCTTATTTAAGCAAACATTTGGGATCTAAGCTGCAGTTATATAATCTGACTTACTTCGAAATTGACTATTTTTTCTCTTTAAAAATTGTTAGCTGCCTCAAAGGGTGTCTTGCAAATGTTTTTAAGAAAGAAAGGTTTAGGCTGCAATTCTTCACACTCATGGAACAAGCAGGGGGGTGGGGCGCAGTGCAGAGTGCACACACATGTAACCAAAAGTATTTTGAATATTTTTACCACCGACACCCAGCTGAGAAGGCAAGCAGGTTGTTAGTGGAAAAGCAGCCTGTTCATGCCACCATATACACTGCTTCCCACCCCCAGTCACACACGTGTTGAGAATTGCTGCTTTTTAAATAATAAATTTATATACCACCCTTCATCAAAGGATCACAGGGCACTTTACAGTATAAAAACACAAAAATACATACTATAATAACAAAGAAAACAATAACCCCACACACAGTTTAAAAGGTCGTAGTTTGTTTCATCAGCCAAAGGCCTAGGAGCAGAGGAATGTTTTCACCTAGCATCTAAGGTATGTAATGAAGGTGCCAGGTGAGTGTTCCTGGTGAGACCATTCCACAAACAGTGAGACACTGCAGAAAAGGCCCCGTTCTCAGGACTAGATAATTCTCTGGACACCACCTGAGATCTGTAGATTTAAGCTGTAATCCTGTACACAGTTAGGAGTAAGTCCCATTGAACTCAACAGGACATGCCTCTGAGTAGACATGCATATAATTGCTCTTGGTTCTCTGCAAACATGTATTAGAATCAAGTTACAAAACCTACAGAGGTTCAAAGGGTTTGCTCCTGATTAAGTGTTCTTAGGGCAGTTCAGATCACCTTAAGAATGAGAAATAGCGGCAGGGGACTTCTTCCTCCTCAGCAGAAGAAACCCATTCGCCTAGTTCTCGGTTTTGTTTCCTCTTCCATTTGTTGGAGAAGCACTGCTTTAATTTTCAAGTAAATTATGTGATTTCTATATTGGCATTTCTCTTCCCCAGTGATGGGCACTGCATGTTGCATTTTTTTTTCAATATTCAAGTTGTATATATGGAATACACTTTCTGCTGAATTATGAGAGGCCCTATCAGTATTGGAATTCTACTGGTTTTTGAAGACTCACCTGTTTGCACAGACACTCTCTTGACTCTTCAACTTAAATCTGTTTTTAATTACAATACTGTTTTAAAAAATCACTGCTTTTGATATAGTAGCAATGTCCAGGTAACACTATGTATATTCCTCTGAACTGCCATCTTAGAATTAGTAATTTTAGGATTAGAAAATGTGCATTATTCACACTATTAATTTTTAATCAAGAGTGAAAATCTGAAAGTGAGACCCATGTTTCAGGTTATGAGTCATGTGTGCATCTGGACCAATTGAAAATCACAGTGACTCTAGATGGCTATTCTACTAAGCTATCACTAATGGAGGAAGACCTAGAGGAGTAGGAAGACCTCGGCCTCCATGCATCTTGGACTGCTTCCTGAGGTATGCTCTAGAGCAGGATGGGGAAAACATATCTCAAAACAAACATAGTAACTTATTTGCGGTTTCCATTGAATTTAACAGTGTAATATGTGGTGCTACTTTTTTGTTTTTAACTTTTCAGTTCATAGTCTCAAAAATAGACCTACACTTTATGGGATTACAGAAAAATATCTGCATGAGACAAACATAAGTTGCCAGTGGCAATCTCGAAAGTCACACTATATATATTCTAAGGCAATGAATCCTACATATCTGAATAGCTCCTTTTGTAAGGTGGAAAATGAGAATGCTTCACTGGCAAATAGCCTAACAAAATAGGGCAAATTTGTCTAGAAGTCAATAGGCAGCCCAGCAGTAAAAGATAGCCTTAAGCAATTTTACATTTAAAAGCAACCTACATATGACAAGTTACATTAATTTCAACTGGAGGAAAAACAGACAAGAGCACCCACAATGATAATACATTAGTTCAAAAAGCATAGTAAATAGAGGGGAGTCTGTTATTCTCAAATGCTATCACCACTATAAACTACAGATTCAGACATCACATAATCAGGGATTAGGTATCTTTTTCATGCAACAAAATCTATCACAAATAAATATGAAGCCATTAAGCTATCAGATTTCTAAATCTAACCAGACAGCAAATCAGTTGTGTCTTCTCCTGCCATCTGTTCAATGACGGTACTTAATGATTAAACCAGACTCAATTATACTAAATTATTAATTTTAAAATATATATTTATACTATAGTACAAATACAACCTATATTAACCACACAATACATGATTTGCTTGAGCATCCATAGCTCTGCGAGACTGACATATGAACTACATCTATCATTCGAGAAACACTCTTGTGAAAATCTATCTCTAAGGCTGCAGGCCTAACCACACCACAGAGTAACTCATTGGAATCAATGGGGCAAAGTATACATCATTAGAATTGCAGTATACACCATTAGAATTGCAGCTTAAATGTCTCAGAAGGTCACTAATTTCTACATATCAAAACCCTGAAAACTTTAATGGTTTCAACAATGCTTCATAATGTCTGCAAAGATACATTTTCAAATTATTTTATACATGGTGAATACTAAAATCCAATACAGTAAACTGATCATACTGAATATGTTCAGATATAGCTGTAACATCTTTCCCTCTTCAGACTCTAACTATGACTTTCAAGTACTGGTACAAAAGGGCAGGGCTTTTTCTATCTGGAACTCAGGGAAGTGTTCATGGTGAGTTCAAGTACCTATTTTTCTAGAAAAATAGCACTGCTAAAGGGTACACTGAAACTTTACGTTTGTTGTAAGGAGGAATACATAACTGCAAAGTATTTATTTGGCAGTGAAACTCTTGACCTAAAAGACTTTTGCCTAAAAGAGATAGTCTTTCAGTATCTCTGAAGGTCTGCTTCTTGAAAGTATTAGTGAAATGAATGTGAAACTTGGCCAATTTTTGTCACTATGTTTTTATAATGTCCCATATTTTCCGGCATGCCCCCGTTTGCCAAACTAATGGTATGTCAATATCTACTCAAAAGGAAGAGTTTGTCTAACTTCCTGTTTTATATTTTGTGAACATGACACATACTTTGTCAATTTTTGAAAGCCTAAAATGGACTACATGCACAAAATCCATTTCAGCACTTGTCTGAACTGGAAAAGGATTCCACACTGGGTCTATACTGGTATGTTATAACTTATCTATTAAACTGGTCTGGTTTGCAAACTGTAAGCAGTGGCAGGTGGAATAAATGAAGGCTGTACAGTACTTGATAATTTGAAAACTATCAGTAAAGCATTCCAATCAGCAATTTCAACCAGCTCTATAAATGAGTATTATAAGATTCAAACATAGTGGTATAGTTATCAGTTTTAACTTTTTTAAAAGAGAGGAAGCTAATATGGCTCTGTGACATTTCGTCTATTGGAATGTTATACAGCTATTTCAGCCAGGAATAAAGGAAAATTGACAGCCTTCTGTAGATAGTTCTATGAGGTTGTGGATTTAGAACCTTAGAAGTAAAATATTTCTGTATGGAATGAAATGTTTTTTTAGAAAACCAACAAAAATGACTTCAAATCTGAGTAGTTTTGTACTAGAAAGTCACAAATATTCTGAATATCTAAAGTAAGCACTCTTATGAGATAGCTGGCTATGGCTATTGTTTAACAGAGCTAGTGACAAGATAATGCTTGTGACAATTGATCACATATATATTAGTTCACAATTCATTCTAATAGTATATTTGCCCACGCAGGAAAGTATGGGTGATCCTGTGATTAAGATGCCAAAGTTGAAAGCAAACATAATGTCACGCATCGCTAACTGTTAATACTGAGGAAATCTGTGAGCTGAAACAGAGCCTGTCTCATGTTCACACTGATGTGTTAAGGATATGTGCCAAGTTTCTCATTCACAGTTATGCTTGAATGGGTGACACCATCCTCTTCCCTTAAGCAACTGTTCATGATACAAGCTACCTCATCACAAGCTCAGTTTTAAGAAATATTATTCCACTAGACCATAGCTGTCAACTTTTCCCTTTTCTTGCGAGGAATCCTATTCGGAATAAGGGAATTTCCCTTAAAAAAAGGGGAATGTTTACAGCTACGCCACTAAACACATACAAGAAAGCCATTCCTTTATAAACAGTACTTCAAAGAAAAATGTTAAATTATTATTATTACACTGTGCTTAGGTTTTCTAAGAGGAAAAAGTACCGTAATTCAAAAAAAGGCATTCATTTTCCATAAACAAGAACAAAGAAAAATTAAAGGTAGCAAGAAAAATGGTTCTATAAAAGGTTTTGACTATCAACATTTCCTTTCACTAAATAAAGTCCAGAGTGCTACTAGAGTGCATCTGCTCAGGTGCTTCCTGTTTGATGTCTCAGCATTAAGTCATAAATACGTACAGGAAGAGAATGAAAAAGAAAGCATGATTTGGCAGGGGAAAGTCTCCACTCAAAGTTTGCTGTGTGCAATTCCCCATCAGGGTGCTGATATGGAGCAGGGGAGAAAGATTAGTGCTATGTGACCATGAGGTCCATGTGGGGGCTGCATGCTGAAATACAAAATCAGACTTCCAAGACAAGCTTCAGATATATGTGCCTCTTTTATATCAGGATAAAAAAAAATCTTATCTTCTGAAGTAGCACTCACATCAGTAGTACTACCTGGGGCTGCTGGGAGTTGTGGTCTAGATCAGTTGAAGACGCCAGATTGGTGAAAACTGATAATCGGACCGACTTCTGGCTGGGATGAGAAAATCTAAGTTTGTGTGTTATAAAGATTATTGTGTTCGACAGAAAACTGCATATCTGATTACCAAACAGAATTTTATGTTGCTTTGATGCATTCAGACTTAGAGCAGGGGTTTTAGTATGGCTGCATCTGTTTTGTGGCACTCATCCATTGTCTCCCGATACAAATGGATGCCAACCAACCTGATTCCTTGCAAAATACAACACTATCTGCATTTTGTGGAAACAACTGAATACATTTTTTGTTCCAACAGGCCTTCCCAGCTGAATGAATGGGTCTCTGTCATGGGGTCTCTCTCTCTCTCTCTCTCTGTGTGTGTGTGTGTGTGTGTGTGTGTGTGTGTGTACACACACTATATATCTGTATCTATATCAATATATATTTGGTGTGTGTTGTTTTCAACTGTGTTTTTGCTGTTTTTATTGTACATTGTCCTGCAATGCATTGTGGGGGCAATAATAATTCACCCTCCCACAGAAACCTTAAGGGTAAAAAGCTTTTGAAGGACAAAATTTACTACTTTTTCCTATACCCTTATTTTCTGCACCAGGCTACACCAAATATATTATTAACTGTGGATACAGTTACTGTCACAGACTATCCAGTATTATGGATCAAAAGAATAAAAAGGGGAAAAGACCAAAGAAAATTTATCTTATACATCAACCCACAAAGTAAATCGGGATTTTTAAATAAAAAGATGAAAATCAGAGGATAAAGGAGGACATAATACTAGGAAAGACAGAATGATCTGAGGATCATTTGTAGACAAAAGAAACAGAAATGATCGTAGAATTACTGATAACAAAAAATGGCTAAGAAAGAAGATTGTGCGATCTTGAAGACAAATCAGAAATTTAACTCCAGGAAGTATTTTTTTACATTAATTTAAACAGCTGTGTCCTCATAGCAGCACAAACTGTGAAAACAGTTGCACTATTGTTACATTTTAGTTTAACTACTACATGTGCTCCTTTATATACTGAAACAAACTTGTTTTATTTACTACGTTCAAGCAAAAACAAACATGTATTTTGTCAGGCATCCCAGGAGCAAATCATTGCCAAGTGGACACAATAAACCCACTTACAACATTTTCAAATGACATAAATAGCCACAAGCTTTTTTTTTTTTAAAGTGCATATATTTTTGCTTTCAAGGCATAATTATGAACAGTTAAGAGGATGCATTAAAATATAGTCACTTAAATTCAATGTGTGTACAGCGGCCTTTAAAATTAAAAATACTGCTTCCTTCATCCCAGTTGACAAATTCTGAAATGTGAATTGAAGAAACAAACTGATACAAATAATTCATCTTTTGCTCAGAAACCATAAGTGCAAACTTCACTGCTATCCATTTATTTTGTTTAAAATGTTTTCCTCCGTAACATTAGAGCCAAAATAGATGTCATGGCAGCAATGCCATTTGTTTACATATAGAATTTTTCTGATCAAGTAAAAGAAAGAAAGAAAGAAAGAAAGAGGTGTTGGGAAGGTGTAAGGCCACAATCCTTCCCTCATGTCTATGACTGAAAGAGGATTATGATAGCACATAAATTTCTCTCTACTGGCAGAAAGGAGTGCTGTTATGTTGGAGGCCTCAAGGTACAGTACACCCAAACAAGCAGTAAGCTGCTGCCAGCTGTTCAGCATGAAAAAACCCTAAAATGCCAGCAGCTTTACATCCACTGAGTAAAGTTTTGTGAGTCTGATCCTCTGGTTCCTCAGCTATACCAGCTTGAAGCTGGCATAGCAAGGAAAAAAAGGGGGGGAGGCATGCCCCCACCTCCCTCAACACTTTCTTGCCCTTGACAGTAGACGCCTGCAAGGCTTCAGCTGACCTTCCCAGACCCTAGCCCAAGATTAGGATTGCTCTGTTATTTTAAATAGGAAAAAGGACACATAGATAAGGAGTCTAGACCTACCCCCTCCTGTAGCTTCCCTCATCAGCTCAGGGCTTCCAGGGCACACTTTCTACACATTTTATGAATCTGCCCAAATCTCCAGGGGTTTCAGAATAAGGTTATCAATAAAACCCAATCGATCACAGCATATCAGTTAATATCAAACACCTTATAGAGAATCTGGTAATAGCAGCTAGAAGACATATACTCCAACACTGGAAATTAACAGAACCTTCCACTACAACAGAATTGTTATTTAAAAATAATAGAAATTGCAATATATATAAAACTTGTGTTTCCCCCTCAGGGTTCAGCAAAAGGTGCAAGGAAATAAATTTAAAGGAATTGTTTTTACTTCTCTTGAAAGGTTTTGTTTCCATAACTGATAATGTCCAACCTTGTGTCTTTTTTACAATGCTATAATTTAAAATAATATGGCCATGACTATATCCTGCTTATATTTATATTTCTATCTGTTTTGTAGCTTATGTTTGCATCATTTATTGCTTAAATTGTTTGAAGTTTTATTCTGTAACCACCAGACTGGTGTGGGGGGTAGGAATCTTACTTAGGAAAAAAATGCAGTCAGTGCCTCACTTAATATGAGCCTTCAACACAACTGACCTAGTTATGGGCCCTGGAATGAATATATAAAGTTGCCCTAACAGTGACCTACAATGGGAAATGTAGACAACTGAAGGGAACATGGCATAACAGAAATAAAATCTGTGCTGCTGGAACAGAAAAGCCTTACTGAACAACTGAATGGGGAAATGATATTTTAAACAGATGCTTTGGACTGTTTGTTAACAGCCATTATATTCAAATCAATAAACACTTGAGGAAGACATTTGTAAAAGATCCAATGTCTTCAGTCCCTCCACACAACAAATAAGCTATCACATCATTATTCTAGCCATTTCTTTCAAGTTATAGCAAGTATGATTAAAGTGATTTAAAATACCTTAGTTTCAGTAATACAGTGGTACCTCTAGTTATGAACTCAATTCATTCCAGAGGTCCGTTCTTAACCTGAAACTGTTCTTAACTAGAGGCGTGCTTTCGCTAATGGGGTCTCTTGCTGCTGCTGCACTGCCGGCACACGATTTCCGTTCTCATCCTGAGGCAAAGTTCTCAACTCGAGGTAACTCTTCCCGGTTAGCGGAGTTTGTAACCTGAGGCGTTTGTAACTCGAGGTACAACTTGAGGGCAATAAGCTTCATGAAAAAAGGCCCATTTCTGTGGTGGCCCCCGATTTTGGAACCCCCTTCCTACTGAAGTGCAAATAGCTTCACCTCTGACAGGAGTATATGCAACAGGGAATAGGAGGGACACGGGTGGCGCTGTGGGTTAAACCACAGACTCTAGGACTTGCTGATCAGAAGGTCGGCGGTTTGAATCCCCGCGATGGGGTGAGCTCCCGTTGCTCGGTCCCTGCTCCTGCCAACCTAGCAGTTCAAAAGCACCTCAAAGTGCAAGTAGATAAATAGGTACTGCTCCGGCGGGAAGGTAAACGGCGTTTCTGTGCGCTGCTCTGGTTCACCAGAAGCGGCTTAGTCATGCTGGCCACATGACCCGGAAGCTGTATGCCGGCTCCCTTGGCCAATAAAGCGAGATGAGCGCCGCAACCCCAGAGTCGGTCACGACTGGACCTAATGGTCAGGGGTCCCTTTACTTTTTACACATCTTCTTTTGCTGCTGTGCTGATTAATTTCATTTTGAAACAAATGTGGAATCCACAATTATTCTGATCCATTGATTTCAACGGGACTATGCAGAGTATGACTTAGCTGGATATCACCTATAGTTAACCCCAGCTGCTTTCATGTGCAAAGGGGCAGTGATTAGCTAATAAAAATCTCCATCAAAAGATGCTACCTTTTCATATCTTGCATACCAAAATATATTCACCAGCAACCCTATTGCCCCCGAGTACTTCAAGGACCAAGCATCCTCCAACAGCTCTCATCTATTTTCCTACATCCCATGCCTTGCCTTACAAAATAGCTGTTCCCAACATCCTGCTGGAATAAGCCTCTCCACATCCAAACTTCCTGCTTCACAGGTCAGAAATCATCACCGTCTATTTAGTCCCTTCACCACTGGCTGCAAATTCTGGTAAACAGCACTCTTTCTTTGATATCAGCATACACCGATGCCAAAATCCAGCTTTCTCCCAGTTGAAATGTAGAGAGTTTGAAGACTGGGACATTCACAGGGAAACCAAAATGCTTGTTTACAAAGCTATTGTACTACCAACCTTATTGTATGCTTCTGAAACATGAACCACCTATAAACACCATCTCCAACTCCTTGAAAGATTCCATCAATGGTGTCTCCAAAATTTTTTACACATCACGTGGGAAGACAGGTGAACTAATGCTGGTGTACTGGAAGAAGCAAAGATCACCAGTGTTGAAGCAATGATTCTTCAACATGAACTTGGTTGGGTTGGTCATGTTGGCCTGATGATCATCTTCCAAAACAACTACTCTGTTCAGAACTTAAAAATGGGAAGTGTAATGCTGGTGGTCAACAAAAGAGGTTTAAAGACTCTCTCAAGGCAAATCTTTTTTAAAATGTAGTATAAACACCAACAACTGGGAAACATTGGCCTGTGAGCGCTCCAATTGGAGAACACCCTTACCAAAGGTGTCATGGACTTTGAAGATGCTCAAACTCAGGACGAAAGGGAGAAACATGCTAAGAGGAAGGCGTGTTTGGCAAACCCTCACCGTCATCAACTCCCACCCGGAAACCTATGTCCCCACTGTGGAAGGATGTATGGATCCAGAATTGGCCTCCACAGTCACTTACAGACTCACCGTTAAGACCATGTTCATGGAAGACAATCTCACTCGGCCACGAGCGATCGCCAAAGTAGTAGTAGTAGTATTTTTATTGTTTCTAAAAACTTCCAGATTTCTTCTTGCTTTTAAGCAGAGCCAGCCCCTCTGATCCCGGGGTGGCTGAATACAATAAAGGAGGGGATGTAGCTGGAATATCCTGCAGCTGATGCTTTATTTGTGAAACTGAATTGATTGTGAGTATTGTTCATCACAGCACAGCACAGTGAGTCCTCTCTCTCATGAGAAATGCTCAAGTCCTGATTTGCAAAAGCTGATAAAGCTACTTGAAAGAAGAGACCCATTTTATTGGACTGGCTTTCACAAGGAATTTGGAAGAGTTTTGAATTTCAGAGAAAGGTTACATTTAGCTACCAAAGTCTATTCATGGCATGGTAGTGAAGTGAGAATCTGTGTAGGACTGGAAAGTACACTGACAAGCTTCTTTTGATACTGGAGCCTATGAAAGTAGTTCCTATACATGATCTGACCTAAATATAGAAAAGCTGTTGATTAGGAGCACCTATCCCATTATCATTAATATCTTCTGCAGAGGCCCTTTTCCATGTCTTCTACCACCAGATATGAAAATCATCAATTCTCAACAGTGGTACCCCAGTTCTGGAATTATCATTAGGTTTCCCCTTCAAAGAACTGTCAGCATAAGCAGCATGATCCTTATCAGTTCAGGACCCTAGACAATGGAGTGTGCCTCCAGGGATGAAGTCAAACTGTGTTGTTTTTGCTTCTCCGGGGTGCAAGCCTGGGCAGAATATGTGGAGGTTCCGAGCTGCCCACATGACAAAACACCGCACCCACCCCCTGGCCTGATGTGGTCCTAAGGAAATCAGAGCATACAATTGGTACCAGCTAGGCTGTAAAAGTTGCCAGAATGAGGCGTACAAGGGCCATCCAACCGTCTTAGGGACTCCACTCTAGATTTGTGTAAGGTTTATTCCTTAGCCTTTTCTTTGGTCCCTCAAAGCAGCGGAGGTTTGGGGGTCAGAGTTTTCCTTTTCCTAGATGGGCTACCTCCCCAGTTTGAAGATCCCCACCTGTCCCTTATTTCCCTCTACAACATGTGCAGAAACTGGCTTATTGACCTTTGGACCCACTATTGGTCTCATTCATTCAATCCGCTACAGCCTGTCTTTGCATGCAGGAGAATGCATGGGGCATAGTGGTGCTTTAACCCTTTACCTTGCTAGGGTCCTGAACCAAAGCAGCCACCCACTCCCCATGCCTGGGGAAAAAAATTCCTAAGAAAATTGTAGGCATGGGGAGTCCTCTATTATTTCAGGGGGACAAAAGGTTCATGTCCACTACACTGGAGTCCCAGGTCTATATCCACACCACCACCTTTCTGTTTTTGGGGGTGAGAAGTTTGTACTCAAGGTCAAACTATAAGTAAACCTCATGTGCAGTCTTGTCCTAAATCTTAAAATGATTTGTTAACTGTGGTTGGCATCCATCTGTCTTGGGAGACAGTGGAGAAGTGTGCCTTTGGGGGTGAAGTCAAACTGTTGAAGAATTACAGCGTCTGTTGTGGCTATCCTCCCATGTTATCTCTGCTCTCTCAGCCTTTTTTGTGGTCCAAAGGAAAGCAGAGCAATATGTTTGGCACTAGCTTGGCTACAGGAGCTGCTGGAAGATAACTAAGGGTTTCCTAAATTATTATGCCGTTCAGATTCACTGGAAAACTTGGACCACAGCCTAGGTAAGAAACAGTCAACTGTAGTAGTGGAATATGCAATTTATGATGCCTCCCAGCTAATTATTAACAACAACAACAACATTTGTACCCCGTCCATCTGACTGGGTTGCCCCAATCATACAGCAACTATGAAGCAGCACTTCACCCTCTGCCTGTCTTAAAAGTGTCCCACTTAACATTGAGTGAGTGAACCCTCTCCTGGTATAGAACCAACATAGAGAGAATGCTGAATCAAACATCTTGAGGTTCTTCATTTTAGTTTGCCAATTGGTTTGTCAAAAGGCCCTGTGGTTAAAGGGTGTGGTGGTTGATGCTCCAAGTAGCAGACCAATAAGTCTCTGCCCCATGCTCATAGGAAACTCATTTGTATCCAGTGACAGAATCAGTGTGGCCATGAGCTAGCCCCTTTCAGAATTTATTGATATGTCATAGTCTGAAAGGGAATTGTAAAGCTTTTGTAGACTCCTGATTAAAATATTTGCTACCCTCCCAATACCAATTCAGAGTTTGTGCTAATTTAATTGACCTTGGGATAAAATGTACCCAATCTAGATCATCTATATAGAAGTTATTTCATAGTTGCTGTATGATTGTTAATTAGCTGGGGTCACATTGTGAAGGAGAAGAAAATGGTGCCAAAGGAGCAGCAGAGAGAAGCATTTTGCATCTCTCCTTAAATCAGGGCTTTTTGTCAGAAAATGTCTGCACATGAGCACTTGGTACAGCTGTACTCTAAATGTGATATCCAAGTCAAGTTGTATGTGACTGACCTTTTTGCAAATCAGCTAGCAAACTGAATTATCAATACCCCAAGCAACTCTGCTTAAATGGTATCAAAAATAAGCTGCTTTTATTCAGACACAATGGTAGCAGAAGAGAGCATTTTCTATCACTGACATTGTTATAGTACAGGTGTGGCATGATGAGTCAGATGCAGACTACTTCTCTGCCACTCTTTGTTGTCTCCCTTGATACTCCAGGGCCAAAAACCTCCACTGTAAATAAGAGAAGACCCACAAGCGTTTTTCCGGGCACTATTTTCTCAACAGCCTCAGTCAACCTCCAACCCACATCAGGTCATCAATCAGCATCAACTTTACCTTTGCCTGTCCCATCCCAAACGCATCACTATGCCTAAGCATTCTGGAAGCTAGCTAGGTCCATAACTCTCAGGAATGAAATCCTAGTGGCCCACCACCCTGAGTACCAAGAGTAATCTAAATCTTCATAAAATGATGGTAAAACTACAAAGCAGTTTAAACAAGGTTCGGTTTTGCCCAAGCTACTATAAGTCACGGTAGAGAGATTTCAACAAAAGTACACACTATTCCATATAAGAAGAAGAATTTCCATCTCTACCAAAGGATCATCTCCAATTTTCCACTGCACCAACAGCAAAGAAATGAGTACATTACAAGGCTCTTAGTCTTTAGAATGACATCCTAAATTCTATTATGTTTCTGACTATACTGAAAGTAATCATCCAGCTATACAGCTTTATTAAAGAACAAAAAATTGTAATCTCTGGCTTCAAGTAATCATATTCATTGAACTTTCATGTCAGTGAAGTCTGACTTCATACTAGACTTTTTTATACATAGCCATTATTAACTGCATGCATCCTTAATTTGTGAACCCTTTGAATGTTACTTAAATCAGAAGGTTTTAACAACAGTACTTGTTGCTGCTCATATCTTTCACAGATGTTGATTCATGCATGATGATTTCCACATGTTGAATCACTAGCTTATGAGCAACAGCTCTTGGGCAAACAAAGTACAATAGACTACACAGGACTAAAACATTTTTGCTCCCAATTCAGGATGTGGAAATGTTACTTTTAGGTTTAGTCCTGTGTAGTCTAAAAATGTTTTAGCAGCAAGTTGTAAGCCATTTCATTAGTGGCATTCATCTCTCATCAAAAACTGGGGAAACCTCTTGTGGCAATGTTCATCTCAAAGGAAACATGCTGCTTCTGGGAGTGCCCTATTTCTTATTAAACTACATTTAATTTCCCACAACTTTATTCGTTAAGATATCTCACCACTGAAAAATAGAATGAATATATGGCTCTTCCATCCATATTAGTGATACAAAAATTAACATCACTTAGCCATAAATTAAGGTTTAAAATATGAATCCATTTCTGCTGGGTTTTCCAATATTAATTCAAACTGGGGACAGACTAGCCTTTGTAATGATCACTACAAAATGATGCCATTGAACCAAAATACTATCCTCAACAGATTTCCCTCAAACTTTTGTTCTGAGCTGTGTTTCTGAAGTATATTACAGCACAGAATAATTAAGTGCAGCTTTCATTTAAACAAACTGCTGAAATCAATGGGGTTTCCTTCTCAAGTAAAATTAAGATCAGTTTGCAAGCACTATTGCATTTTGTCTTAAACATTGATCAAAATCAGGGATCTGAAGCTCCACACAGATAACATATGAGGGACGAAACCTGGAAGGTATCCACAAAACATTAAAATGTATACTGAGCTTATATGGCAAATATAAAAAGCTTAGAGTTGAACATTTCATCTGAGTACAATTATTCTCAGACCAGATGCAGTACTTAACCCTTTACTGGACCGAATCCTGTGTTACTTCTGCCTAGCAATTTTGCATCTCCCCATTTCTGAATTCTTGTGGATATACAACTGCCAGGAAACAGCTGCACACAGAAGCAGTACAAACAATTGGGAATATGTTAAGGCACTGAACTATGTTCCCAAGTAAGCAGAAAAAGTGACCACAAGAAATAAATGCATTCTTAGACCAACTGCTAAAAGTGGCATAAAGAAGACACCAAATCATACAATAAAACAACTTACATTTGAAGCATGACTTCATTCAAGAAAACTCCATCCACAAGTGCAACATATTCGTCCAAGTTTGTTGGATTTCCTCCAGCTAACGGTCCAAATGTCTTAACCTATAACAGAATTATCACAATGACATACTTCGTCTTGGTCTCTACCGTAAGAAATTATACACATACATATACACACACATTTGAAATCTCTGCCACTGAATAGTGAATTAATGCTTACCCACGTAACAAGAGGGCTGGATATGAAGACCTCCAAAAGAGGTGTGAAAATCTCGTTTTCCATCTTAAGAGCTTTGTTAAAAAAGACAACAAATCAGGATTTTCCAAAAATAAAGAAAAGCAAAACAAAACCAGAAGCCAGTATGAGGTTCCTTCCGTTGCAGTAATTCCGTAAAATGCTCCACGAGTTCAGGAAGAATACGTCCAAGCTAGTTCCCCCGATAAAATTCAAAAAGTAGCCAGGGCAGCGGCGACAACACGGTTTTCATTATGACCCTCGTCCAGAAAAGGAGCGGTCGCGAGGCCATCGACGATCATTTTCAGGGATCTCCCCCCCCCCCAAAAAAACCCTTCCCCCGACGCTTCCTACGGATGTATGTCTTCGACTTCACTCTCTTTCTTCCTCTTCTGTCCGTGCTTTAAGAGGAAGGAGAAAGAAAGGAAGCGACCCTACGAAAGAGCCCTACATCAGCCAGCCGCACAACAGCAACACCCCCCCCCCCAGCCCCTTTTCTCCCCCCGGGGCTGCCGCCGCACCAGCAAGCGAGGCTGCAAAGACATGCAAATCCCAAGGAAAACTACCTCGACCCAGTTTCGCTCCCGTGCATGTGTGTGACAAGGGGGGGGGGGCGCCCAGAAATCTCTCCTTCCAAGCCACCACCCCACTTTCCAAGTCCCCCCCTTTTCTCAAGCGTGCCCGCACAGGAAATCCCTCCCCGCTCCGCAAGCCAGGCTCGCTTCCCTCCCCATGCAGACAAGGAGGGCGCCGGCTTCTTCAGCCAAGGTTGGGTTGGGGGGGGTGCGAGGGAAGGAAGGTTTTTTTTTTCCCCCGTGGGGAGGCAGCTCGCGCAGCTTTCCTCAGGGGGCGACACCTCTCTACCCAAAAGAGGTAGAGATAGATATATAAGGGGGGACCCCACCCCACCCCGTTGCCTGGCCCCTCAGCGCTCGCCTTTCACATCTCCCGCCTACCTACCCCCCCAAAAAAGGCTGCTCTGGTCTGCAGCCTCTCCCTTCCACGGGCTTCCCCCCCCCCAGTGACTCACCCACCACCTCAGCCCCTCACTCACTCCCTTCCCCGCTCCCCCCCCCCAGCCAGCTGCCTCCTCAGCTTCCTCTCTCCCTCCCCATTTCCCACCCTCTTTTTCCTACTCCTCTTTTTCCCCTCTCTCTCTTGCTGGTCCCAGTTGCAGCAACCCCCCCCCCAAAAAAATCCACACACACTTCTAGGGACTAATTCCCCCTTCTCCCCCGCCGGCTCTCCTGCCTTTCGCCCCTCAGTAACGGCTCAACGACCCTTCAGCCCAGCAGCCGCATCACTCGCGGCTCGCGCGCGCTCTCTCTCTCTCCACACCCACCTAGCCCCCCCCCCCTTTCTCCGGCACACGCCTGCCTGCCTTCCTCTCCTTCCCCTCTAACGGAGAAGCAGCGCGGAGAAAAGAGAGAGAGATCCTTCCGCAGCGCAGAAGAGGCAAGGGGACGCCGCGCACTTTTTTTTTGGTATGGTTGTGTATAGTACTGTATATGCATGTATGTAATCTCTATGCCTCACTGTTCTGGGTTTATCCCTCCGCCTCGCTGGGACTGGTAGAGAAGGGGTGGGGGGGGGGAATTAAGGAAAAGGGGAGGAGAGGGAGAAAACCGCTGCATGGCGCGCGCGCACGCGCCGGCAGCCGCTGCAGTAACGGGCGGCGAGAGCGCGCCCCAGAGCGCCTTGTGGAAAGGGAGGGAGGGCGCGCTGTCTTTCTGAGGTGGGGGGGGATTATTTTATTTTTTTCATACATATCTATAAATATCTATATCCTATATTTTTCTGAGGGGGGATATTATATATATATATGTGTGTGTGTGTGTGTGTGTGTGTACACACACCCTCAGAAGAAATAGTATACTGTATAGATATAGATATAGATATAGATATAGATATAAGAATATTCTATATATCAATATTCTATTTTTTTCTGGGGTGTGTGCATGTATGTGTATATATGTGTATGTATATATATATATACATATATATATGTGTGTGCGTGTGTGTATAATATATATATATATATATATATATGAATGAATATATGTATATCTTATATGACATGCCATCTGGTCAATAATTGGGTGTGCATGTAAAGAAACTGAGGTTGAATTGCCGTTTAATGCTTGTGAATGGGGGAGGTGTTTAAATATTCTACTCCCCACCCTCATTTCATGCATTCGCTTGCAGGCCAAAGATCCGTGTGAATCGTTACCACTGGCACGAGAGAACCCCCATGTGGTGGGGGAGGGAAGTGGCGGGGTCTTGAGAATTTCCCCCTTGTGGCAAGAATTGGGAGAGAGGGAGAAGATTGTCTTTTTCTCTAGCTAATTCCCACCCCACCCCTGCAATAATTTTCTTGGAAAGGATTAGTTCCGTTTGTGAACGCTTCCCCCCCCCCCACGTCCCCACCCCAAGAAGGAACATGAATTTGTTTCAAGATAACACCGAAAAATAATCAAGGTCAGAGACCCTCCCCAAATACATAAACTTTAACCTTCCCTGTGCACAACGTTCTTGGAAGACCCGGAAATATGGACCTGTTGACTGGGGCATGGTTTATACACTTCAATTATAGGTGCTCATCTAGTTTTAAGTACAGACCCAGAAGATTGATATATCTCGCATTCCAGGTAAAATATATATTGTGTGCATTTCACATCAAGAAAAAGCAGGCAGGGGGGTGGATGTAGCTCTCATTCAAGGTTTTATATATATATATATATAGATAGATAGATAGATAGATAGATATGGTGTGTTTCACATCAAGAAACAGCAGCTATGCAGATGAAGGGGTGGGGCAATGCAAATGAGCTCTGGCTCTCTTCTCATTGTTTCCATTGAATTCTATGGAGCAGAGTGACATGGGCTGCATGTATAAGACATGGTTGAAAGAGAATGCAAAGATTGAGGTCACAGTCATGGGTGTAGCCAGGGTTTATTTTTTGGGGGGAAGCAGGCTTTATGGGGGGGCAGAACTGAGTTATCTGCAGTGCAATTGGTCAGTAAGTTAAGTATTTTTGGATATTTACTTGATTGGGCGGGGACAGCTGCTTTACATCTGGAGATAATAGCACCTTAGGAAAAGAAGAAAAGGGTTAGACCTCCCCTCTTCACGTGTTGTGGTATCCCCAGAATTAAGGGTCCTGCACATGCTACTTAAAAAACCCCAGATGTGTTGACTAATTATGTTTAGTTTAGCCTTGAGCTTCTGGACATTCAGAAATTTCATCTGGACCTGCTACATTTACATCTGAATGGCAGCCCTCACCAAAGTTCAGATTTTCATTACAGCTTAGACATTTCTGCATCTGTATTCCTGTCACAACTTAACTTTTGCATAAAAAGTACAGAGGAGAAACAAGGTTGCTGCAGAAAAGTAAAGGAAATCAAGTGAATTGATTGCCTGCGTGTTTGGCATTATTAAACTCCCAAGCGCTGCATTAACCCAGGGGATTTAATGTACTTAATAGTCACGAGTGCTTATATACTGTATTGATAAAGAAGTTTAAAAAATCTCACATGAGAATAAAGCCCCAGTTCTTTCACAAATGAGAGGAGTGAAATTCTAACTTAGTAGTGTCCCCCCATTTTACTTTTATGTAGTGTTCTTCAAATTCAAGTAGCTTTAGAATTATGCAGTAGAAACTAATGGTTGGTTCAGAAGGAAACATTTGGGAGAGGGAAAATTCCAAGTAGGGTCAAATAGCTAAACAGATTATGCTTTTAACCCAAATATCTGGATGATGTATATGTCCTAATTCTTCGAGATTAGGTAGAAAAATCCCTTTCACCAACCTCTTCTGTTATCCACAAAACAAGAGAAAATCATTTTTGTGAAAGAGAAAAGAAGAAATTACAGGTTGTAGGAAAACTAGCCTTTCAAATCAAATTTCGGAGAAATTAGAATTAGTGGTATCTAGATCATCATAAATATGATGGATTTGTCAGCAAAAATAAGATGTTATCTTTCCAGTTTTAATCAAATGTGGATCTTGCCCAAGACAGATCATCTTTCCCTCCTTCCCAGCAAATCAGATCTTTGTGGAAGGGTTTAATTACTGGTCTCCAGATGAAATTATGGCTGGGTGGGGGTAGAAGAGGAGCCTGGGTAATCTTGTACTAGAGCAAAGGTCTCATGACACATGAGTAAAATCACTGCCAATAAACTTCTAGCTCTTGAAGGCAACTACAAAAGCATTTTTTGTAAAAGCCTGAATATTTATCTGCTAAGCTTCTGTGTAGAATATAACCCTGTGAACAAATATTATCAAGTTTCTGTGGTTCATCAGCGTAGTCTTTCATCAAGTAGCAATGACTGCAGCATTGATCATTTCCTGGTTTTTAAAGATTTACCAGGGGTGGTTGTTGTTGTTTAGTCATTTAGTCGTGTTCGGCTCTTCATGACCCCATAGACCAGAGCACGCCAGGCACTCCTGTCTTCCATTATCTCCCGCAGTTTGGTCAAACTCATATTGGTAGCTTCGAAAACACTGTCCAGCCATCTCGTTCTCTGTCGTCCCCTTCTCCTTGTGCCCTCAATCTTTCCCAACATCAGGGTCTTTTCCAGGGAGTCTTCTCTTCTCTTGAGGTGGGGGTAAATCTTGCTAATAGGAACATCAGCTCACAGCCTATCAAAAAAGGAACTAGAACCTCAGAAATAGATCCTGCCAAAATCTGTTGAGATAATATTAGAAAGAGGCAGTTATAAGAAAATGTCCATATACAGGGCTTGTTTTCAGCTCTCAAAACCTCAAGATTATTGTGCAACTTTTCCCATTCTGTGATGTTTGTGAATACTGTATCTCTAATACATTCTCAGTGTGTGCTGATTGTAGCAATTGATGCTAATTGATAATTTAAGTCTAAGATTGCTAGAAGTTATTGAAACTATTGTTTTGTATTTGGTTGCCATAACTTGAGTCCAAAAGAAGGTGGAACTGTCCCATCCTTAAACTGAACCAGGCAAAATAGCCTGGCTGGGACACAGCTGAGAATGGGTTAAACATGCTATTTCCTCCCCAAACTTGCAGTCATGCCCCTGAATATCTCTCTTCCTTTCTCCCATATATTATTGTAATTCACTCTGCATATCACTCTGGGACTGGCTAGCATGGCTATCTATTACTAGCAGCAATACTGCAGGGGCGGAATGTGTCTGTTGTGTGGAAGGAGTCCTTTCAACATCCATAGCAGGCATTTTTCTCACTGTTTAATAAAATCTCTTTGGAGACAAATAAAAGTGCAAGCCAAATCATTTGCTTTTGGTGATTTGCATTTCATGGCAAGATGCAATTGCAAGAGAACGCAGCTTGTACAGGACTCAGAATGGATTCTACCTAATTCGAATAAGAGAGTTGAATACCACAGGTCAATCAACGCAGTCTCCTAATATAAAGCAGGATCAAACAGTGCTGACTTTAATCTTTTTATTTGTTATCTTTTAATTGGGTGTTTTGTCGTGCTGACTTTGAATTGTCCTAGACATAGGGTGGGTCAGAAATCAAAGCCTGGGAGTTGAGAACCATGGAACTAGCTCCATGAGTCTAAGAGGGTTTTAGACTTGTTTTCTTCTTAAAGGAATTCCACACCCACTTGCCATATGGCAAGCTGCTTTTGAAACTGGAAGGAGATTGTGATGTGGAATCTGGATTAGCTGTTCAAAGAGAAATAAGTAAAAGAAAAAAGTTACTTGGCTAATGCAAGCCCTCAATGCAGGTCTTTGGCTACCAGCCAAAACTAATTAAAAAGCTTAAAACCTTCCCAAAAGATGCTTATCTGTTTTTTTCTCCCCAAAGAAAAGGATAGGACTGTTTTCCTAAACTTTTCAGATATAATGTAGCAGCTTTTTGCAACTTTTATTTACCTGTACAGAGCCTCTCGTCTGCTCTCTGATAAACATGGGAAGAGTTTCAATTAGGGAGGCATGTTTGCACACAAATATCTTTATAAGCTTGTAGATTTGGGATTGCACTTCATGCATCAAATAAAGAGTACTGTGGACCAGAATATTATTTATTATGAAATAATAAATTTCTGTGTTTGTAGGGTGCCGCAATAGCTGCAATCATATACATCTGAGAATAAGCCTCATGAAGAACAATCAAACTCTATTCTGAGTAGACAGGCTTAGAACGGAGCAGTTTGTTGTTTTTACATCACCGTTTTACTGGGTGTGGAAGAAGTCCCATATTGTGCACACTGTAGGCTGTGTACTGTACTGGATTTTGAGCTCTAAAATCCAGTCTAGATAATGAAACCTTACGTTTAAACCGTTACACAATAGATAAGACATCAGCTGCCAAAATAAATAAATAAATTTATTATACGGTTGCAGACCATATTTTTTAGAGGGCTTAATCTCTACCTTCAAGATTGAGGATGAAACTGTAGCTCCAGATTGCATCAGCAGAAGTGAGGCAGTGAGGACTGTGCTTTGGATTGGGTAGGACCAAGCCATTTGGCTCCTTCCTAGAAATGTCTCCTTCAGCAGCCATTCCACTTAGTTGCAATGTAAGGGAGAAAGAAGACAACAAGTCCTGCCCTCAGTGAACTGCCTGGGACTACCATTTGGATCCTGTGCTCCCAGGCAGGCTTCATTAGCAGTGAGCCCATTAGCTTGGATGTCACCAAGTAACTTTTGGCTACTTTCTGTCCAGAACTGCCTCCATTAGTGATCATTCTACCTGGTTAAATAAAATGCATCAAATGTTTGTTATTTTCTTTTAGCATTGTTATTCATTGTTTATATTTATTAGTTGTAAAGTTTTAAGTGTGTAAATTTGCAGGCAAAATAATTCTATTTGTTCAACTTGAGACATCATGCCAAACTCTGCTTGTACTTGGCATAGTTTAGAACTGAAGCCATGGTTTCAGTTTTCAAACGTACAGGCTAACTCTAGTCTCTAAATGTAATAACCTTCAGAGACATAAAGGCAGGTTGTCAATTCAAGACATCACACTAAACCATAGTTTGCAAAAACACTTTAAATTCCAACAATGGTTTCTTTTCTTTTCCCCCTATATATTTATTTGCATAGAGACATCATCTTGCCAACAAAGGTCCGTATAGTAAAAGCTATGGTTTTCCCAGTAGTGATGTATGGAAGTGAAAGCTGGACCATAAAGAAGGCTGATCGCCGAAGAATTAATGCTTTTGAATTATGGTGCTGGAGGAGACTCTTGAGAGTCCCATGGACTGCAAGAAGATCAAACCTCTCCATTCTTAAGGAAATCAGCCCTGAGTGCTCACTGGAAGGACAGATCGTGAAGCTGAGGCTCCAATATTTTGGCCACCTCATGAGAAGAGAAGACTCCCTGGAAAAGTCCCTGATGTTGGGAAAGATGGAGGGCACAAGGAGAAGGGGACGACAGAAGACGAGATGGTTGGATAGTGTTCTCGAAGCTACCAGCATGAGTTTGACCAAACTATGGGAGGCAGTGGAAGACAGAAGTGCTTGGCGTGCTCTGGTCCATGGGGTCACGAATAGTCGGGCACGACTAAACAACAACAACAACAAAGTTTTTGTCTGTATAATTCTAAACACTATATCATGGGTTCCCTGGTGGTCTCCATCTGGGCACCTCAGCAGACCCACCAAGTGTTGCTATTTTCAAGAGACAGCCCCAGATTTACAAAAGCCATTGTGACACCTCCCTCTGCTGGCTCACTGGTCACCAGAGTGCTAAAAGGTCTGGTGAGCTCCTATGGTTGGATCATTTTGCGTTTGTTACAGGAAGAAGATAGACATGTAAAGAGGATTTCTCTCAGCATCTGCATTCTGTGATAATAGTGAATTCATCTTGAGCATAGAGGCGTTAGAGAGTACTAACTGTGAGTTCCATTTCTCTTTCTTTTTTAGACTTTCAAGGCTCAGAAAAGTTTTCTCCCGTCTGGGAAGAAAAAATAAAATTTCTCTTCTCCCAGAGTCCTCCCCCTTGCCCACCGCCTCCGCCTTTGGACCCCTCTTTCAGAGGACTGCTGTTGTAAACAAAATCTGCCCTTTTTCCCTTGTGAGATATCCAAGAGCCCGTATAGAGTCCTTACGTGGGTTCCCTATTGGTAGGAGAAAATAACAGAGGCCAACCGGAGAATATCAAGAAGTAAAGCAGCTAGTAAGCCTGATCTTTATTAAAGCTGTTGCAACAGGATGCTCCCCTCACATGCAGGAGGATGGAGGAGGACTCAGAACAAAGGTGTGCCTGTCCTTATATAGACATTTTAAATTCCCTGCCCTGGAGCTCAAGACCATGCCTCCATACATCATACATACATCACAGAAGGAGAGTAACCCAAGACCAACCCTCACAAACATCATAACTACATCATAGAAAAGGTGGTCTACAGCAGAAATTTGAATGTTGTTGTTTGTCCTGTCTGCCAGGTTATCTGATAATGCCTTATCTGATTGCCTTTACTGGTAGTCTGCCCATTCCTTTGAATTGGTGATTACCCAATTCCTGCCCTCCCTCCTTGCAAAGAAAACATTTGGTCAGTTTGGGAGTCAAAATGGTTTCAGGACAGTGTCCCTGTGCTGCTCCAGACATGTGGTCCACGTATCTATGTTTGTGCTTGGTTGGTACATTTATGAACATTTATTATATATATAATACCTTAATTTTTTTTATTACACTGCAAAGGTAAAACCCTTCAGCGTATAGATGTTGTTTCCAGATTAATATTAGTCCCTAAGGGTTCTTAAGAAAGGTCTCTCTGTAACTGTTTGAGGCCTGTTTGGAGGTTCAGAAAATAAACATATCCCATGTGGCTCTTTGTTTCCCTATAGGCTCTGCAGACCTCCTGCTATCCTGATCTGCAGGAAGATGACAGGAGGAAGAAATGCCAAGGAAAACATGAAGGTAATGTCTATTTCCAAGGATATGTTCAGGGTATATAAGAAAGTTCCTAAACAGTTATAATTGCTAGCCTTCTCTTCTTCTCCATTTAAATGACATAATATTTGAAGACCTGGAGGGAGAGCAGGGGCAGGACAGCTTTTATACTGACACCATGAACCACAGAACCTGAGCACGGAGTTTGCCCTTGCTCTCTACCAGCACTGGGCAGAGCTCAACCATGGAACGAACCTCACCATTTCCCCAGTGAGTGTTTCTGTCTTTGGGGCTCAAGGGAGCACATTGGCCCAACTCTGGGATACAGCACTCATGGTAAGGCAACCTTCTGAGAAACAGCTTTTCAGTGAGCACTGCATGCTGTCGTGAAAGTCACCTTACAGCTTGGACTGTCCTTCTTCCGAGACAGCCGCCCTCTTGGGGCACCAGGGCTGCCCAGGTCACGGCTGGCTGCAGAGAGCAGGGGTGAGGGAAGAAGCACCAGCGCCGTCATGGGGGACCAAGGGGCAGAGAGAGCCGAACCCGAGTCTCTAACAACCTATTGTTAAACTTCATTAACCATTGTTTGGTGTAGTATCTGAATTGAGTGATTAGCCAATGCTTCTTACCAGAAAAGAAAATCTGCATGTGAGAACAGCCTTTTGCACAAGGTGTAGTTCTACTAAGAGCAGAGATGGGAGGGAACAGCTAACAGCAACTGGTGCTTGTCTTTCTCCCCCTCACCATCCTATAGTTGGTCCTGCTAACTTCTGCATACAGTGGTGCCTCGCAAGACGAAATTAATCTGTTCCGCAAGTCTCTTCATCTTGCGGTTTTTTTGTCTTGCGAAGCACGGCTATTAGCGGCTTAGCGGCTATTAGCGGCTTAGCAGCTATTAACGGCTTAGCGGCTATTAACGGCTTAGCGGCTTTAAGAAAAAGGAAACGAACTCGCAAGACGTTTCGTCTTGCGAAGCAAGCCCATAGGGAAATTCGTCTTGTGGAACGACTCAAAAAACGCAAAGCCCTTTCGTCTAGCGAGCTTTTCGTCTTGCGAGGCATTCGTCTTGCGGGGCACCACTGTAGTATAAGATTGTTACCTTGAAAAGATAGACATAATATAAAGATGAAATAAATTATCTTGCCTGTACGTAATTAACTTTGATATTTTCATTCATGAAATTTTGTAGGGTAGAGCATGAGAAGCAGTGCAGCCTAGGCACTGTTACCGTATTTTTCCGTGTATAAGACGAGCTTTTTTGACCCAAAAATGAGTTTCAAAATTTAGGGTCGTCTTATGCATGGGTAGTGCTGAGGGGGGATGGGCGAATGGTTTTTTGGTGTGAGCCCGAGATTGTAAGCGGCGATTGGCTGCTTGATTGTGTGTGCGGGGGGGGGGATGCCGAAAATCACTCACCAGCCAGAATGCAGCACACAACCGTTCACGTCGCAGCTGCCCGATCGCTGACATTAGCCCTTCCGATTCTGCTGTGGCAGCCAATAGGCAGCTGCCCTAGTCGCAGCAAGTGGGAGCGTGATTGGCGGCCTCTGGCAGTTATCAAGCAGCTGATAGGTGGCTTCTACGATGCGAGCTGGAGATTTTAAGCGGCGTTTTGCCACTTGATTGTTGGGGGGGATGCCGAAAATCGCTCACCTGCTGGAATGAAGCGCGAGCCCGAGATTGGAAGCAGCAATTGTAAGCGACGCGAGCGGTTGTGTGCTGTGTTCTGGCGGGTGAGCAGTTTTCGGCATTCCCTCCAAATAATCCTTCCCCAAAGCTCAATCCCCCTATTTTCTAAATTTTGAGGCCCCCAGAATAGTCTTATACATGGGGGCGTTCTATAGACTGAAAAGTACAGTATGTTTCATGAAACATAACACTTGAGCAAAACAAATTCAAGTTAGCTCAGGATTCCCTTTAAAAAACAACAAAAACCAATTATGTGATAAAAAGTTTAATTCTAAACCAGCCACTGTTTATCAAAAGTAATAATTTTCCTTTAGAAATTATGCAGGTAGTTTTTTTTCTGTTGAGTTTGCCTGCCATCATCAATACTTTAAAGTTAGCCTTGGCAGGCATACACCCTGCGATGTCACAGTGGAAAAAGTCTGTTGATCTCACCAGAAACATACAGAAAGAGGCTGTGTTTCTCCCTCCTAATGTTTCTACAGTAAATTGCCTCTGACATATGTTCCAGGGGAATACGAAATTTGTCTGCAGTGGAGGGACGTTCAGAGTTCTGCTAGCAGAGGACTGTTATCAAGAATAAAGAAAACTTCATTTTATTCCCCTCACCTCTCTGGTACAGTTGAAGGACCAGAAAGTTTTTAAAAGACTAGCAGTCCATGAACAGGGCCCTTTCTGGCAATATCAGAACTTTGGACACAGTTCTTATCTATTTTCTCTCTCTTTCGCATATCCAAAACAAAGGAGGTTTAAAAAACTGCAATTTCCCTTTCTGTAATCAAACAACCATGTACACACAGCAGGCAGGCAAGGCTAGAACTGCAGCTGTTCGTAGGACAAAAAAGTAGAAGACGCAAAGTCCTGCATTGGGTTCAGGAAGAGAGGGTGTTCTCCTCTCCAGATGTCCTTTTTATTGAGCTTTCATGATGATATGTGTTCATGATGATATCACGGAGGTTATACACAACCCCACTTGATTATCCAGAATCTGTGCTACTTTATGATTCCATTTCAAGCCATCCCTCCACACACAAACACTGTTTTTCAGCATGATGCATCATATTTATTGGTGGATATCAATTCACTTCATTTGTGCTCCACTTTTAATCCAAAGTAAACTTACAATTAAAATCCACAAAAAGGTATGCATTATTAGGAAAAAGTGGAGGTCCTTATGGTCTCTATAACTGATGAAATGGACTGAGTTGCAGGCTCTTCCTTCTAGAATAGCCTTCACAAACCTGGTGCTTTCCAGATGTTTTGGGCTACAATTCCCATCAGCCTGCCTCAGCCAGCACAGGTTGGCAAAGGCTACTATAGGAGCCGAAAGAAGGAACTACAAACAGATGTAAGTGGACTGAAAGTACAGATGCCAACCCACTGAAGCAGGATATGAGGTAGGGATGGAAATAATTGTATAGTGCTATTTTAGAGAGATTTTTTTTTAAATGCAATTTTGGGAGAAGAAAGTGCATACGTATAGAAAATGGGGAACAAGAAATTAAATAGCCAAATAATTTTGAGAGAGCTGTTCTGAATGGATGCTGTGCTTATCTGAAATGGCAAACCCCATATACATGGTGCCTGGGGGAGATTTATGCAGCCAAACATAACTGCTTTATTGCAAGTAAGAAAAGGTTAAGGACCACAGAATTATTAATAGCAAGAGAAGACTCAGGTTGGTCATGATAACCCCTAACCTTTAGGGAGGGAGAAGAAGAAGAGTTTGGATTTGATATCCCGCTTTATCACTACCCGAAGGAGTCTCAAAGTGGCTAACATTCTCCTTTCCCTCCTTTCCCTTCCTCCCCCCACAACAAACACTCTGTGAGGTGAGTAGGGCTGAGAGACTTCAGAGAAGTGTGACTAGCCCAAGGTGACTAGCCCAGCAGCTGCATGTGGAGGAGTGGAGACGCAAACCCGGTTCCCCAGATTACGAGTCTACCGCTCTTAACCACTACACCACACTGGGTTGTTTCCTGTTCCTCCCTCCCAGTCTCTCTTTCTCTCTCTCCTTTTTGAACCATGTAACTGAGCAGACGTCTGAGGCTATAACCAAGAATACCTTGCCTGTGTTGTCTCTGCTGTTGCATAGAGCGATGCATGAGTGAGACCTCTGACTATTGTAAGCATTTAAACTTACTTAAGGTTGTTATCTATTCACCCCAAGAGGGGTAGAGACAGGAGAGCACAAGTGTGAGTGCCTAATATGGGGAGATTTAAAAGTATCACGCCCTGTATTTCCTGCACTTTGCAAACGTTACAGGCATTTCTGTTTTAAAATCTGCTAGGAGTTCTTTTGACTAGAGACTGTCAAGCCCCACACTTTTTTGTATTCAGGCAGTCAGCTGTTTCTTTTTCTTTTGTAGTTTCCCCCCACATGTGGGCATTCACCAGTTATTTCCTAACAGTGCTATCCAGATGTTGTTGTACTCTCAATTCCCATCAGCTTCACCTAGCATAGACCATTGTCTCAGGGATTATGGGAGTCGTAGTCCAACAACAGATGAAGGGCACCTTGTTGGCTGCCCCTCACTTAGAGCATCCTCCTCTAGTCAGGCATCTTCCAGATGTTTTGAACCACCCATCAGACCCAGCACAACACAGTTTATGGCAGGGCAGCACTGCCAAAAAATGCAATACAATATAAGATGCTGGGTGTAAGACCTGAAAAATATGCGTGGTTTCAAAGGCTAGAAAGATATATCACACAGTTCCCTTGGTGAAGCAGATGCCCTTATAGTAAGTATGGCCCAGATCTTTCATAAAGGATCACCTGTGCTTGCACATTGTGAAATTTGCATTGTGACATCTTTGAGAAGAAAAGGAATGGACCATTGCCTTCTGCTGCCTTAGTAACTGATTTGCAGCACAGGGCTAACAAGGCAAGACGGTGACTCTAGATTTATTTGAATCTGCAGTTACTCTAAGGAGTTCTGTCTCTGTTTAAACCATCATCCTAAAACACAAAAGCCTCAATTGCTGCTGAATGCTGCTCCTTTCTTGGCAGGGGCAGGCAGAAGGGATCTCATTACTCCATTGCTATCACAGCTACTCTGAGGCTGTGAGAAACTGGTAAAATGTGGGCTGGGTGACGTAACTGCTAGGTGGGTTTGTAGCTGATTGACAGACCCAACCCAAAGGATGCTTGCTAATGGTTCTTCATCAAAGTGGGGGGGAAAAGACTAATGGGGTGCTAGAGGGTTCTGTCCTAGGCCCATTGCTGTTCAATGAATGTCTTTTTAAACAGCTTGGATGAAGGAATCAAGGGGATGCTAAATTTCTGGTATGCATTTGAACCCCTTCAGCAAAATCCTCACAGTCTGCAGGTGGCCATCGGCTACCCAGATATGCAGAATGTGGACAAGTCTTTTCAGTTTATGGCTGATTTTAATCTTTTTGATTTTTTTTATACCAGTGTTATTGTTTTACTTCTATTGTAAAACTTTAGAGTTTTTTGTTTGTTTGTTTACAATCGAGCAATGTATATATAAACTAGAGATAAATTAAATATTCTGTACTTTCCTACCAATAGGACTATTAACGTTTTAATAAGGCGGTAGTCTGAAGTCAATAAGTGCAACTCCTTCCAGGCTGGTTGCTTTCCTGCTCCAAATTGCACCCCACCCCCAGCTCCCAGCTGCTTTTCCTGACACAAGGTTCTACTCTGGAGGTGAGAAATGTTAATTGAGTGTTTCACAACTGAAATAATACACAGGTCCCCGCTCCCTCCACTGTCTAAAGGTCTCCACTTTCCCTACTGTAAGACCATTAAGTCCAGGGTCTAAAATTACATAGCAGGGCAAAGAGAAGCTTTGAAAAAGGTGGATTAAATTGGGATATGGCACGGGGTGGTGGTAGTGGAGAGAATTAAATCCCACCTTCCATAGCACCACAGTTCCCCTCCCCCAGCTGCTTTTAACTGGAACAGCAACAACCACAAGCAGCCCTGATGATGGACCTTCCGCATCTATGTCTAGATTAACAGAACACACTTTCATTAGTCAGACCAGAGAATTACTGGCAGGCCTAATAGCAAGGATTTTTCATGCTCTGAAAATGCAGAAGGAAAAGAGGGCAAGACGAAAATGCCAGTAAAATCACTGCAGAACTCCGCTTTCCTCCCTGAGCTCAGAGTTTCAGAAAAACACTATGGGCGCTCCAGATAAAACATGTAATCCACTCTAATCACTGTGCAAATGTTTGCATTCAGCTATTTTTGTTCAGCCTCCTTTCCTCTTGCTGTATTAAGACTAGAGCAATGTTAAATTCAAGAATGCCGCATTTTAATTCCTTGGTTTCTTCAGACCATGACATTTATTGGTTTTGCATTCCCTTATTTTCTTCTTTTGCATCAGAACTCAGCAGTGCCCGAGATACTTACCGTTGCTGAATTTTCCCCTTCTTTTGCAACCTATTCAGAGATAACAGTACATTTTCCCTCGCTTGTAGATTTTCAGTATTTAATTTATGTCTGCTTTGTCAGTTTATGTCTCTGCCCCTATCATTTTAGTTGCCCGGTTTCTCCTTGGACTCCTTCCTGTGTGGTGTAACTGTTTTTTCCATCTTGTCATTCTGTGGCTTTTTTATGGCTTGCTTTTGTTGCACACTTTCTTTTAAAGGAAGGTTATGATTTTGCATGGCATTTCCAAAACCTTCCCTAACCTTTTTTATAATGATCTGTGGTAACTATTTGAGACAATGGTAATGATGAGGAACACAAGGATAGCTGAGGAATAATTTATTTTTCTTTTAATGTTGTGAATTTATTTTTAGACTCCTCTATTGTAAATCTATTCTCGGCCATTTCACACGCCACTGGTTTTTCTGTCCAACATTATAAAACTTACAAAGAGTTCTCTAAAAGAGGGCAAATGAGTTCACTTCTTCATCTGAGCATGATTAGACTGGATGTCTCCATGTAGTTTAATTCTGAATGGAAGCTGGCAATTTCTAAATAGTGGTGCAGTGAAGGGGACTCACTTGTTTTTACTTCTTTTTAATCAAGTACAGTAGATTTACATCCTGAAGCAGCAGTTAATGGGTTCAACAAAATTTATTAGCACATGATTACATGCTTGTGAAGAGGGAGATGTGTGTGGCCGTTTCCTTTAGGCTCAGAATGGAAGTTACCTTAAATGTGTATTTGCTGCTGAAAACAGCCCCTGCAAATTCAGTTCCCAGTCTTCTCACTGTAACACCTACATAGGGAAAAAATATGTGACATGCCACCACCTTGTCATTTATCTCACCTCATTCTGTATTGTTGACTGTTCTGGAGCAGATGGGACATAGCAATGCTCAACGTGAGGATGTCATGTTACATTCTCTCCACATATGCTGAAGCGAAAGGACAAAGAATTAAAAAGAGGGCTATTTTTGGCAGCAAACATGATTTCATGTAGCATCTTCTCAACCAAATCATTCCTGAAACTAGTCATGAACCCAGAATGGAATTTATATCTTCTAAGAGTGTTTGCAGTTGCCTTTCTGCCACCCTCTCGGACATCTTCACGCTCAAGATACTGTATAGTATTTGTGATCGGTTGTTAGCTGTCCTTAAACCATTGGATGCAGAATGGGCTTATTTGGGAATAGCTGTACCACTGCCTCTTTAAGGGCAGCAGGGACCTCTCCCTCACATTACAGCATGCCAACACACCCTAGATCTAATTGGATAGGTTTAATTAGGATGGTTGCATGTTTAGTGTGACATGCACATGTGGCCACTGTCTCAGCCTCAGGTCCCTGATCTGCAATGTTTATTTTATGTATTTAACAGAATGCATATATGAATCTAAACAGAACCTCTAAGCAGTTTACAAAAAATAAAAAATAAAAATTGTAAATAAAAGACAAAGTTAAAAACAGATATTTGAAAAATGCAAAATGTAATTAAAATTAGAAGCTAGTAAGGTGATGGACTATGCAGAAATGGCAACGTTAACAGCTAAAATAAGAGAACTCAATGATTATAGTTTTGTGGAGGAAGCCTTTTTTGGACTATTTAAAGAAATATAGTTTTATGAATTCGTGAGCAGGATTTGAAGTATGAGCAACAGAAAGAATTAGGACTTACTGTAATATTGTTGTGATATAAGAGATTGAGGATAGGATGCAGCAAAGGGGGAGAAAACAAAATCACCATGGAAAATGGAATGGGAAGTTGACAAAACAAGAGACAAAATTATGTATTGGAGTGTAAATATGGACATTTTTCTTTATCCTGAAATAAGAATAATAAAAATCAGAAGCTAAACAGTGAGTAAAACATGTCCGGATAGGCTTCCTTGAACAAAAATGTTTTTAGCAAGCAGCAGAAAAAGAACAGTGAAGGCACCTGCCTATTGTCAATAGGCAGGGAGTTCCAAAGTGTAGGTGCTGGCACACTGAAAGATAATAAAATCATAGAATTGTAGAGTTGGAAGGGATCCTGAGGCTTATGATGGCCCATTGTTAACCCATCAGGGAAGCTGTCAAGACAGCGAAGAAGTACCAAACAAGGGCGGGACAGCCCTTCCTCCAGCTGTGTGTTGGTGGGCAGAGACCAAAGGGGTTTAGGATTTCAGAGTCGATGGCGTGAGAGAACAGGAAAAAAGTGGCAAGCTAGAGGAAGTTGGTATGGAGCACTATGTAGGCTGACTGGGACAGGCTATAGCAAAGAGACACAGAGAATATGTCTGATTTGTCTGCTCTGCCTATGAGAGAAGCAAAGGACCCTCTTGAGGAGTAATGCTGTGCAACCCTCCATCCTAGGCTCAGGTTGTACATATGTGTAAATAAACCATATATCATAAAGACCACCCAGTCTCCACTGTGCCTCATTGTCCCAAAAGTTAAGCATGCCTGGTATTCCTGGAATCTCTAATTGCTTGTCGAGACTGGGGTGGCGTGTAAGGTAGGTTACACCAGTAAGAGGGGGAAAGAAACTCGTTTTATTTCTTGGTTTCTCTTAATTCAGTTCTCAGTCCAGCATCCATCTTGAAACTACCCCTAAAAGCACATGCCTAGAGCATGCTCAGTTCCAATTCTTCAAAAGAAACAATTTTGCTTTTGGGCCACTAGGTGGCAACCACATAAACATGTCTTATGGGGGTGACCTAAGGACGATGTAGATATTTATGGGTAGGCTGCTACAGTCTAGTCTGTTTTATCAATCAGAAAAACTATTAAAATTCTCACAACTGGAAAGGGAAAAAACTTACTCATGACCAACTTAAACTATCTTTGCAGAATATACGACATGTTTAAAATGACTGGGCGCTGAAGGAAGGCATTGGGAAGATTATTTTTGAGCTCCAGTCAGATCATCAGTATACTGAAGTACTGTAAGACTTCTCTAATACCTACAAGATGTGCTGCTCTGTTGCTGGAATTTTAAATTAAAAATAGAATGCAATGAGGAGGAATCTCTTAATACTCAGAGCTAGCCCTCAACATTGTCGAAAATCCCTGGGGATAATTCAGAATAATCCAGCTGTGGACTTGTATGCTTCTTTCTTCACTACAGGGAGTGGCATTTCTTTCCCATAGCCGACATTGACTGCTGATAGGGTTGCTATATACAATATTGTTACAGATCCGGGGTAACAGAGTTTGGGGGTGAAAATGTACCCATAACTGCCAGCATTAGCAAATGTTAGAAATTAATAAAAGGCGTAGTTTTTGGATAATATTTGGAGTATTGAAGGAAAGATGCCAGGCCAGTGGAAAAATACAGGCCGGGGCCTCACCTAAGATAGAAGCCGTTAATCATGACAGAAGATGTTGATGGCCCATCACAGAGAAATCCTTGGGTCTGTGTCAATAATGTAGGTTGCAGGAAAATTGTTAACTTAAAACTAGGCTTTGAATAGCAGACAGAAGGGAAGGAGTTGCTTAGCCAGGGGTTTTCTGGGAAGGAGAAGCAGGAAGTGGGGAGAACTGCATGCAGGGATGTGGAAAGACAGATGCCCTGAGGGCTGGCTTGAGACAATCTGAGGCAGAGGGAAGCTTCTCTGAATGCAATGCTGAGCTGTGCACAGGGCAAGCCCCTCACGACATGTGAATGCTGTAAATGCTACACTCTCCACCAGCATCCAGATTGTTGTTGTTGTTTAGTCATTTAGTCGTGTCTGACTCTTCATGACCCCATGGACCAGAGCAGACCAGGCACTCCTGTCTTCCACTGCCTCCCGCAGTTTGGTCAAACTCATGCTGGTAGCTTCGAGAACACTGTCCAACCATCTAGTCCTCTGTCGTCCCCTTCTCCTTGTGCCCTCCATCTTTCCCAGCATCAGGGTCTTTTCCAGGGAGTCTTCTCTTCTCATGAGGTGGCCAAAGTATTGGAGCCTCAGCTTCACGATCTGTCCTTCCAGTGAGCACTCAGGGCTGATTTCCTTAAGAATGGAGAGGTTTGATCTTCTTGCAGTCCACAGGACTCTCAAGAGTCTCCTCCAAATATGTGCTAATAAACCATATTGCTTAAAGACACAACAGTTTCCTCTGTGTCTTGATTCCCAATGGAAACCGGGTCCTAGAGGACCGTCTGGAACCTCCATGGAATCTTGCTACCACTCGGCAGAGACGGGGTGGCGTACAACCTTTGTAACAATATTTTTTCAGCTGGTAAATTTTGCTGCATAGTACAATACAGGGGTGCCATCTTGAATAAAAAAATGGGGGGGGGGCAATTAAGCCCCTCCCACATAATTGATCATAAGACACGTCACATGCACACCACGTGAAGGACAATGCCCATCCATTTTGGGGAGCCCAGCCCCCTCAAATATTTTACGAAGGGATCTCGGCTCCTAAGAGTTGGCTCCTATGGTACAGTAGCATCATGCCTAGCTGTAAGTTGGTGCCAGACACTTAGTCATCAGAGGATAAAGCAGACACTCCACTCCACAGATCAAGGATTTGAGGAGCAGACAGGATCTCCTGGACCACAACTGGGGATCCCCTTGACACTGCATTAAAATACTGACAGTTTTATTTTCAATCCCTTTTGCAATGATCCCTAACATTGAATTTATCTTTTTCACAGCGGCCACATACCAGGTCAACATTTACATCATGCTATTTTCTATGACCTCAAGGTCTTGTTCCTGGTCCGTCGTGGCAGCTCAGACCTCATTAGCGCAACTTAAAGCTACTGATTCATGTTGTAGCATTGGTCATAAGGGAAAATCTCCATTGTTCTTCCCTTTTTATGGCAGGACTTTCTAAATCAGATTTTGTTATGGTACCTTGTTATGGTACCTCCTGTTAATTCCTACTATCTGGTTTCTTTTCAGCCTTGGTCCTGATAATAGATTATAGTCCTTTGTTAATGTCTTTTTATCTCCTCTAAACATGATGTCCCAGAATGCATACAATAGCCAAGATGTCTCCTTTGATAGTCGTACCTAAGGCATTTGAAGAAGCTGTGCTGCATTACTTAAGATTTTCTGCTAATGTAGTTCAAATGAGCATCCCCACCCCCACCCCCCACGTGCTTTCTTTTTCATGAAGAGGACTTCTGGAAATCATCGGATTGATTGTTGTACCAGTGTCTATACATCACATCCAACATGGCAGGGAGGTCGCATCTGGGATTGTATTCAAAATTTGTGGTGTTGAGTAACATCTAAACACTTGCATTATTCATTATTGCCAGAACCTATTTGAATGGCTTTCCTTCCGACTGCTTGTTCCATAGCCTCCATATTAATTTGTATGCTTAGATTTTTCCTTTAACATAAGGCACACTTTAAATGGATGGAAAGACTGTTTATTTGAATTTTTTTTGCTAAGTAAGCAAAACAAAAATGGGATACCAGAAACCTGGCAAATGTGCTTGTTAAAGTGTGCAGGAGAATATGATGAGTCAATGGTTTTGTCTTGAGTTTTCATACAACAGCATATACCAACCACCTTGCCACCTCTTTTAATGACTATAGTAATTAGTTTGCATATTCTGATTCTTGACTGTCTCATGGAATTGTTCCATTCCACTGAGACTTAACACCCTATTATTAGCTGTCTTGCTTCTCTTTACTGTTAGTAATTATATGGATTTCCCTGTCAATGATCCTTCATTTTATTTTCATTAAGTATTCTTTATTTTAATGTTTATATCTCAGACATGGAACTTGTTTAAGCTGCTAGGAAGCCTTCCTGACTGATGATTTCCTGCCACTATTCATCCTTTTGATGCTTGTAGCAATTGCAATTTATATGTTATACTATTCTTATCTTGTGATTTCATGTAAAACTGACATACTTTATATTCACCTCCTAAAATCTCATGTAGCTTTATTCTTATCCAATCTCCTTGTTCACAATAATATATAGACAATATATTTCAAAAAGCTTAATATAAATATTTCATATTTCTCATTCAAAGTATTATAGTAATAACTTTCTAGTACAATGCTTCATTTCCCCTCTTACTACAGGACACAGATCTGTGCACATCTGTTCTTCAAGGATCAAAGAACTTGCTGGATTAACTTGGTTGCTTTAGCATAGTAGGAGAAATAGATTTTTTTAAAAAGGTGCCAGAAGTAAGTTCTCAGCAAAGCTGAGAACAAAGAGCTAGGTGGGAGGTGGGAAACCAAAGCAAAACAGACTAATTAAAAATAGGCCGCAATAATATAAGTCTCACATGAGCAAGTGCTGCAAAGATTGTGCCCTGAGGCTTCCTGCTCTTATAGCAATAGAAATTTAGACAATAACCATAACCTATAGAAAACTGCATATGTCTCTGGTGATTAGAAATGTAATACACGTGTAAATAGATTCTAACATATTCCTGTGTACACCAGTTAAGCAGGTGTGGTTGTGCCATCGAAAGGCATTTGCAGCCACTGGGCGATTGTCCTCAAAAACTCTACACTCCAAGGCATCGGTAGCCCAATAAATACAACATAAATTAACGGGTTAAATTAAATGCCTATCAGAATTAAAATGTCCTTGATGTGATGACAAAAAGACAATTCTTTGTGTGCCCCCTCCACAAGAAGTTTGCCCACATGAGAACAGTCCTTCTCTGTGCTGGCTCCCCATATCTGGAATGCTTTCCCCAGCGAGGCTCACCTGGCACCATGATTATATATATAGTTTTAGGCACCAGACGAAAGCTTCCTCTGTAACCAGGCTTTTGGCCTTTAACCTACTGGGGCACGACTGCCTCCTGAATTAGGAAATTCAATTTATCTTGAGGCAGTTTGGTACCTCAAATGCCTTGCCCCTCCATGGTGAAAGCTCTTTTTCTTAATTTTTTAAATTCAGCATATAGAGGCCAACAAAGTATTCCAGCAACAGAAAAAGACAAAAACGTATTAAAAAGCAAATGAGAGCTCCAACTGCATCGTCACTCACCAAAACAACTCCTGATAGCTGTGTGTATAAGCTGTGGAAATACGACTGCATCGTTCTTGCTGAGTTTGTCCTAAATTAATAGACAAAATACATTAACTTCGATAGGCCCTTTGTGGCCATTAATACTGACAAGAGGGGGCAAAAAGCCCACTGGAGGAAAAGGGGAAATGGATGGAGAAAAGAGAAAAAACTCTCCTTCATATGGATAATGGCCCTACCGGGTCTCGTGGCATTTTATAAAAACATTTTTTGTTGTTGCTGTTGCTCCAGCCCATGAACATTTCCCTCATAGGTGTCTTACGATACGATACGATAATCTTTATTGTCATTGTCCCATACAGAACAACGAAATTGAAAAAATCTACATCAGACATTCAAAAACCAACAAGCCTGCTATCCCAACTATCCCAGCCTGGTTAGCCCCTAAAAACTCTGATACCCCATAATTGAATACAATATACTCACATAGAGACTACCTTACACTGTGTTTAAAACCAAAATCGCATTTGGATAGAAACTGTTTCTCAGGCGACTAGTCCTAGTCTTTATAACCCTGTACCTTCTTCCAGAAGGCAGAAACTGAAAGAGATCATTTCCGGGGTGTGCACTATTCTGCCCTATCTCTCCAGCTTTCTTATGGCACCTGGAAGCATAGATTTGATCCAAGGTGGGAAAAGTGCACCCAATTATTTTCTCCGCAGTCTTTACAACCTTGGACAGCGTTGTTTTTCCCCTGACGATGCAGCTCCCAAACCACACACAGAGACCATAAGTTAATACACTCTCAACAGTACAATGGTAAAATGCCATCAACAGGTCCTTTGAGAGATTATTTTTTCCGGAGGATTCTCAGAAAATATAACCTCTGCTGTGCTCTCTTCATCAGGTCTTTGTAGTTTTCTCCCCAGGTTAGGTCATCTCTCAACTGCCTTTCTGTTATATATTAAGCAGGGTTGTGTGGCGTTTCAAAAGTATATCAGGTTCATTGTGGCACAAAGCTCCCCTCAGGAAAATGCAGAGAGTTACCCACAAACGTATTGTGTCTGACATGTCTTGTTTAAATATTGTCAATTTTAAAAACAAATTAAACATTTTTATTTTATTTTTTTAATGCTATTTTCCCCTATGTTTTTAGCTGTCCTTATTTTTATCCGTAAGACACCTTGAGGGGAAAAGGCAATTATTATTGTCCGGTCAGGACATGGTCAGGATGACAATTATTATTGTCATCATCATCTTCATCGGCCTTCCTCCAAGGATAACACAAATACCCTTTAGACAACATGAGCGCATGTCACTATAAAAAGGAGTCTTCCAGGTGCCACGCAAGACCCCCAGCAGCCCATTTTTCTAGTGATACCTCACTTGATCTTAGCCAAAAGGCCAAGAAGCGAACGTGTTTGCATTAGGGGATGTCCTGAAGTAGAGGACCTTATGCTTTATATCTTGCGCTGCCCCTTATATAGTGAGGCAAGAGAATGATTTTTAGCACCTATAATGACAAGGTCCCCTGGCCAGAACCCGTCTGAAATGATTTTATACCTCCTCGCAGACAGAGATAAGTATGTGACCTGGAGTGTAGCACCCTTTGCAACTGCTGCTAAGAAAATTAGAGCAAATTATATAGCCAAGATAGCCACCAACTGTAAAGGAGATGAATTTATTTGACCCTGTCTACATCAAGCTATATTCTATCTTTATCACCAAATTCCGAATATAATTGCACAGTGTATCGATTAATATATTAATATATTAGTGGCCATGTGATGATTTTAGCCTATTTTATTGTTTAATGCCTTAACCTGTATATTAAGGTATTTTTATAGCTCTGTTTAGAGTAGGTAATGTCTTGATAATATAAATGTGTTAGGTTTTTTGTATTAATCCAGCATATTTTCTTTTAATTGCTGAATGATTCAGTGTACATTGTGGCAGCCTTTGGTTATGTGCAATAAAACTGACAGACTGACTGATTTCCCTAATTCAGCCATGCCCTGTCTGATGTACTGTACTGTATTCCCAAAATTTGAGGGGTGTGGTTTTTGTGTGTGCTAATGGGTTCCACAAAACCAATATTTGCCGCGTAAAGTCATTGCGAGGATGGGAAGGTACCGCTTAGGGGGCTTTATTTCCTAATTTCCTTTATGTATCAGCAGCACATATACACGAAGCAATAGGGGCAGGCTCTCTACCCCCGTTCGCCCAATACCCCGCAGCGGCGTTTGCCGCGAGCTCGCGAACCTCGCGCGCCCCGCAGCGGGCGGTTGGACACTGACGTTTTTCGATTTACACATAACGGGGAACACGAAGCCCTACTTCGAACGCGACGCGCATGCGCCTTCGCGTCACCGCGGCCTGAGAAAGCGAGCGAGCGCCAGAGCGCGTGACTGGATCGCTCCTTAGGAGGGCGGGGTAGCGTCGCCGCAGCCGCGCGCACGCAACAATACGTGCGCTCGCGCTTCCTTTCCCTCCTCCCCGCTGCCCGTTCCGTGACGGCGGTTGCCATAGTGACGGGAACCGAACGCCCCCCCCCCCGCCCAACCGCCGCCTTGCGTGAGGCCCTTGTGGTTCTTTCTTTCTCCCTCCAGCCCGCCTTTTCCCCTTCGCCTTCTTTTCCCGCCCGCTCCTCGAAGGCCGCGCGCGCGCGCGGGCGCGCACCCGTGTTTCGTGAGGGAGCCTGTGAGGGAGAGAGGGGAGGGGAGATGAGATGGCGGCCGAGGGGGAGGCGGAGGCGGAGGTGGAGTGGGTGGTAGACAGCATCGCCGGCTTCCTCCGCAGCCCCGCCTGGTCCATCCCCATCCTGGAGTTCGTGGAGCACAAGTGCGAGGGTGAGAAGCGACCGGGGGGGGGGGGAGGGCGGCGGCTCTGAAGGCGGGCGGGTAGAGAACCACCTCCCAATAATATATGGGAGGAAAGGCGGGATATAAGAAATAAGAATAAGCGTATTCTTCCCTCACAGCCTTTCTCCCCCACTCCCCTGAGGGGAATCCCCCTGCAGTCTTCGCCCTCCCCGGTTTTAAAAAACCTGTTTTTGTGTCCGTCCCCCCCTTCCCCTCGAAAATGTATGTAAAGAGGCCCAGTGGCACTTAGGGACCAGGGGAGGCTGCGGGAATGATCGTCGTTATTATTATTTATTTGGGGCTGATTCAGTTCTCAAGGGCGCTTGGAAACGAAATCCCTTCCAAGCGCGTAAAAGTGAAATCCTTTCCGGATAGTGCAAGTACCAAACCCTCTAGGGATGCTGACCAGAAGGGATGTTTTTTTAAAAAAATTTCTGGACATTGTAGATTTTGTCCTTACCTGATGAAGGTAACAGTTTTTCGCTTTAGTTGCCCTGAGCCGGGTCTTGGCTGGGGAGGGCGGGGTATAAATAAAATTTTATTAATATTATTATTATTATTAGTTGTGTGATTCGTGCTCATACTTCATTGGGCTGGTCACTGGCTATATGCTGAGACGTAAAAATAAAATTCCCATTGTTGTAGCACGCTTGCGGTTGTACCCCCTCCAAAAGCATAATTAAGTGCATGTGTCAAACCCGTTGGAACAAAAAACCCCAAGTAACGTTTCTTTTGGGGTGTAAAAAAAAGGGGGGGGAGCGCCTTTATTTTGGACTGGATTGTGCACATATTGGTTATTTTGTAGATTTCTGGTGTATGCATAGGAGGTCCTAAAATCCCTTAAGTAGAGAATCACGCATAATTCAGTGAAGTTGCTGTGAAGGTGGTTATATGACACCAGAATTACAGAGCTGTCAAATCTCCCAGAACCTTTTCATTTTGAGCTTCTCTGTCCATGTACCTTACAGTTTTTAATAGCTTTTGCACTGAGTCACTATTGCATTTTGCTGAGGCAGATACTTTTTAGGACTCTTAATTCTTTTGGTAGGAGGTAGCTTACTGTTGTTGACTCTATTCTGGTTGGAACATTCCTAGAAAAGCTGGAGGCAGATACTAGCTAGACTAGAGGATGTGAATTTTGTGAAGTGGGCAAGAAAGGGAATGTTTGGAATCCAGGATTTCATTATTTTTATTTACAAATCTGGATGAAGAAGCGTTTATGCAGCCCTTTAAAAGTTTCCTGAAAAGTTTGTTTGAAGAGCAAACTTAAACAGACTTGGACAAATCCAGTTTAAGACATCTGCATATGTAAACAGGTTGTCCATGTGTTTATTGCTTTGCTGGATCAAGGAGTATGGGTATTAACAGAACATGAGTTTGGAATGTGCATGTATGCCTGCCATTTCTTGCTTTCAGTAGAGTAGGCATTTCCATTCATGTTCTGAAGCTGTTCATGGCATTTTTAAGCATGCGTGGCTACAGCAGGATTGGGCTGATTTATTTTGTAAAATAAAGGTTTTCAAGATTGATCATCCTTGTTAAAATGTGATTTGCTGGCTCTTAATTTCAGAAAGGTTTCCCCATTAAAAAATTTCTGCAGCTACATTGTTTAAGCTTGAGCCTGTGTTGGGGTCACTCACCTACATACAATGAGATGCAATTTGATAGGTAATTTAGTTATTTTAAAATGTTTAAATTGCTTCCCAAGAAATGTTTCTGAAGTTGTGTATGCCAGAAAACTTAATATATTAGCACTAAATATATACATAGCAATTTAAAAGCAGATCTTAAATACATCAAAATATACAAATTGCATATACAGTGTAAAATAGCCGCATCAAACTTCAGAGAAAGCCCTCTTAAAGTAAGTTTTCAGCCTTGTCTAAGTTCAATAGGGGTCAGCTGATTCCAAATATATAGCATGCAGTTAGTGGACACCCTTCCGAAATCTAGTTAGTCATCTTATTTTTGTTGGATTCTTAGGGGGGAAAGGGGAGCTCTATAACCTCACAACTGTTTAGCAGATGGCTCACTGAAGATCAGTGGGGAACAGAAGGAAGCATTTACTTCTTTGGGGTTTTTTTTGTTAGCTGGAAACATTTTGAACTGCCTCAAAATACTTCTTAGTTATTCCATTTGAAGTACAGTCGTACCTTGGATCCCAAATGCACTGGAACTTGGATGTTTTGGCTCCTGGTTTGCCAATGTTCTTTTGGAACCTGAATGTCCAATGGGGCTTCCACGGCTTCTGATTGGCTGCAGGAGTTTCCTGCAGCCAATCAGATGCCACAATTTGGTTTTTGAAGGTTTTGGAAGTCGAATGGACTTCTGGAACGGATTCCGTTCGACTTCCAAGGTATGACTGTATGTCTTTCCTGCAGGCAAGATGAAACTGAAACTTTGTTAGGCCTCCGCAAACAACCACTTTGTTTTTGGAATGATTTGCTTATTCTGAGTGTCAGAGAAGTTAGCTGGATTTTCATCAGATCACTTCTGGATTTTTTTGTAGACTCTTATATTGTTACTGTATTACTCTATTGTCCATACAGACAGATATCTTACATCAGGTGTTGTTAAACTGAAGTATATTGTTGCCTAGAGCTGCTGCTTGAAACAGTGTTCTAGTTTCTTTGTTTACATTTTGAGTGAAACTTATGATTTGGGATTTTCCAAATTGTGCATCAAGATCCTACCTGTATTGCTGAAAAGAAGGGTAGACTTATGGATTTCATTGCTGAGGATGCTCAGAATAGATATAATTTGCTGGAAGTAAAGGGGTTAGGAGTAGGGGTGTCCAGATTCAGCTGAATCCCAAGGCAAAGTTGTTACTGTGGAGGGATTTTTGGCTTGTCAGAAACAAAGTAGGATCTGTACAAGGTAGAAGTGGGGTGCCCTGAAATGCTGTGTGATGCATAAGCAATCCAGACATTCAAAAAATGTTGTAGACAAGCATCTGCTGAAAGCGACAGTAATGTCTCTATGCTTACCATAATGCCAGGGTGGATTGGAAGAGGGAGATCAAACATCAGAGTGGGAAGAGGGAAAGTTCTACTTTGACTGACAGGTCAAGCTTGTAATCAGAAGGAATAATTGTACTTGGAAATCAAATCTGTTTTAGTTCTTCCCACATGAAAATCAATTTTAAAGAAACCTAGCGCAAAGGCCCTTGGACCTGTCTGTCCACAATTTGGTCTGTTTCTTACTCTCAGTTTGCAGAACATCTGGACACAAAACACCAGGGGAGATTTCCTCTTGTTACTTACACTAAAACTGTGCTGGTTGCCCTTGCAGGAAAACCACTGCAGCTATTCATGTGAAATCTGATTTGTGCCCTCAGAATTGAGCAACCTTGCCCACACATTTCAGTTCCACAGCAATAGAAAAAAGTTACAGATATCAAACTTTCAGGTGTGTCCAGCACAAAACCCTTTGGTTTTGGCAGGTTTTTGGAGGAGGTGAGAATGCCTGCCAGTTCCATCCAGGTCTGTTAAAGGAATGGGGTGGGGGGAGTTATGGCCTCAAAAAGAAATCCCAATCTCAAATGGAAAGGTGGGGAATGTGGAAGGCTTAGGTGGAGCCTGAGCTGAATTGGCAGCCCATGAAGTACCTTGGACTGAGTTGGAATGTGTTTAGAAATGCTGAAATTGGGCCCAAAGGGAATCTTGTGGTTAATACATACCACTAGTAGGTGTAAGTAAGAATAAGGCAAAAAAAGTAGCTTGAGGGGCTGAATGGGCATAGGTGTTATATGCCAGTAGAAGAGAAGAAAGCAGAGGGGTGTATGTGTCATGGAGGATGTAATAAATCTGGAAGTGAGACACAATTGCCTGTTGGATTGGTCATCTAATGTTATGAATGGTCTTACTTTTTTATTTAGATAAATTTCACTATACTAGGAATGTAATTTAAAAAGGTTTCTAGTTGTAGATTATTTTGGAAACTTTCTTTGAGAATTCACATTTTTAAAAAAGTAAAACTTGTCTCCTTAGTTTTTGATGAAGAAGAAGAAAGCAAGCTGTCTTACACTGAGATTCATCAGGAATATAAAGCTCTGGTGAGTAGTGGTTGTTTCATTTTCACTTTTTAAGAAAAATGTGCTATTGAAACAGGAATGGTTTGTGCACCACTTCTGGCAACTTATATATTCCTATGAGTATTACATTTTTTGAAAATTAGCTGAGTAATGGTTTAATGTAAAAGAGCTATTCTGCCAACTTCAAGTCTTTGCATTGTGCTTAGTTATCATTGCCCTAGTTTGTTGCAGATGCTCTAGACTGAAGAAACTGTATCCTTTTATTTTGTGCTGAGCCTTTATAGGCAGAACTTGATATTGCTGTGGTTGTATGACTGCAGTCAAAAGCAATTGCCTGCATCTTTTTTCCTGCTTTCATCCCATTCAGTCAATCATTTCTATAGCCATTCTTTTCTTTCTAAAGATTAAAACTACAGCTCATTGCGCCTGTGATTGAGTCTGAAAATAAGATGTTAGGAGTGAGCTCCTGTTGTACTTTGTCTTGAATTATGGCATAACCTGGCACATCCAAGTCCTGTTGTTTCAGACCACTTAGAATTATTTATATTTGTTGTGTTCCCAACACAGCAAGAATATTAGCAGCAGTTGTACTTGCATATGTACCTAAACTGGAAAAAAGTAGTGGAGGGCTGGAGAGGAGTGACAGAGGGGAGCAACAAGAAAAAGACAGCACAAGAGAACATTCTGCCAAGCTCACTAGTGGGTGGCAAATGGCTGAAGAGCAACTAATGTCTGTAACTGAAGAAATGGAATGTGGGAAAACTTGTATGCCAATTATGCAGACATAAACCATGATATGAACAGCCTGTTTGTGATATTAAGTCCTCATCTGGAAGCATCCATAGTGTCTTAGTAATTCACAGTGATAACTATCCACCTGAGTACTTTTTTGGCCTTGTCCTCCTTCTCTCCACTTACATCCCAATACATACTGCCTATGATGGCTTATACAGCACCACCACCCCTTAACTGTCTGGGTATTCTCCAAAGGCCTCCATTATTTCTGCATTATTGATCCCTAGGCCTTGAACTGCCCCCTACAGCACCTCTGCATTTCCATATCTCTTCATTCAGATTCCTCCTCAAAACCCACTTTTTCATTAAACCCTTGGGATAACCCCCATAGTTCCTATTCTGTATTGTAGCTAAGCCTAAGCAAGTGCAACTGAAATCATCACATAGTATTTCCCTAATTCCTTCCACTTTCCTTTCTCTCCTCTTCCACTGTTGTTTTCCCTTTATTTATTGCAAATCTCAAATTCCAGGGATGTACTGTATTTTGTAAAACATCGTGCACATATATGCTCCTATATAAATTTAGAGAAATAGGGAAACTTGGCAGCAGCAAACCAAGTAAACTAATGTACAATGACTTACATTATTTATAATAAATAAATAAATAAATATTTATATCCCAGTTTAAAGGAATGGGGTAAGGTTCAAGGCTATAGAGAATTGTGGAATAATCTTTTCCGCCATCCATTTTTTGCAGGTTGAAAAGCTGTTAGACAGTTACCTTAAAGAAGTTGGAATCAATGAAGACAAATTCCAGGAAGCTTGTATGTCTCCTCTTGCCAAGACTCGAACCTCACAGGTAAATTTTCTTTTAGCACAGTTAAAAAACAATCTTGGAGATATGTGATTGTGTTCCCTTTGTATAGATTTTCGTTTGTATTAAAAAACATCAACCCTCCTATGTCAAACACACACAGTGATGTTTCAGTTTAACAGAATGCATGCTTTGTATATATAAAACCTCACAAATTAAAAGTCAACAGGCTAAAAAGAATGAGCATTGAAGGTAACGGAACTCATGTTTAATGATATGTTTAAGACTTCAGTCCTTGTCACTCAACTTTCATCCAGAAGCTGAGAAAAAAGTGAACTAGTGGAATACTAATGATGAAAGTGTCTTAGCAAGTTACCTGTGGTTTGGTTCCATGGCAGTGGTAAAAAAGCACATAGGATCAGGTGCAAGGGGTGCTGGCGTGTTATTGCCAGTTTCTGGTTTTGTAGTTGCGCTACCTGCTTACTCAGGATGCGCTCTCAGTGTTGCACATTATATTGATATTAACATGCAGCACAATTAAACAATATACTAATTAAAAATACTTCTTACTATCCAGGACAGTTGCAAACACTAAGTGTTTCTGCAGGCACATATGAGCACATACAGTAAGTATTGATGCAGTAAGAGCAAGCTATGGCTGTGCCTCAGGCCGCCAGTTGGAGGGAGGCTGAATAGAGAGGCCTGGAGGGCCAGAGATTCACTTGTTCTGGTATAAATGTTCATTATTGTAACCTCCTGGAAACACGTATTTGCATACCTTCCCATGAGAGAGACTAGATGATTTCCCGTATTCCAATGTTATATATACAGTGGACGCTCGGGTTGCAAACGTGATCTGTGTGGGATGCACGTTCGCAACACGCAGCGCTTGCAACCCGCGTCTGCGATTCAGTGCTTCTGCGCATGCACAAAGTGCGATTTAGCGCTTCTGCGTATGTGCGACTGCCGAAACCCGGAAGTAACCCATTCTGGTACTTCCGGGTTTTGGCAGTCTGCAACCCAAAAAAATGCAACCTGAAGCGGACGCAACATGAGGTATGACTGTAGTCTTGATTTGTAGGAATACTTGGGTAAAGGACAATGCAGTCCTGTCTTAATATCTTATCAGAAGTAACTTTCATCGATTCTGTGGGGTTTACTACTACGTAAGGTGGTATAGGAGGAAAGCTATAAAGCCGTGTAGGTGGTGGTACAATAACTTTTACAGAACTTTCCTCCCTAAATTTAGACTATTGCAGTAATGTGGGACTTGAGCCTTTTAAAAGAAAAGATCAGATTGCAAATTTGTTTGCTCTGTAAGATTTGAACAAATGAGCGGGGTATAAATAATAAACAACTACAGTGGTGTCTCGCAAGACGAAATTAATTCGTTCCGCGAGTTTTTTCGTCTTGCGGTTTTTTTCGTCTTGCGAAGCACGGTGTCGGAAAAGTTTTGGAAAAGCTTCAAAAATCACCAAAGTCTTCAAAAAACCTCAAAAAAGGCTACCACACCGCGTGCTATGAGTTGCTCCTCGAAGTCAAGTCGCAACTGTATTAACGGTTTTAAGAAAAGGAAACAAACTTGCAAGACGTTTCCGTCTTGCGAAGCAAGCCCATAGGGAAAATCGTCTTGCGAAGCAACTCAAAAAACCAAAAACCCTTTCGTTTTGCGAGTTTTCCATCTTGCGAGGCATTCGTCTTGCGAGGTACCACTGTATTATTATTAAATTATTATAAAACATCTTTCATCACACAGGCCATCTTGCAGCCAGTATTGGCAGCTGAAGATTTCAGGTTGTTTAAAGAGATGATGGTCCAGAAAAATATTGAAATGCAATTGCAAGCCATAAGAATAATTCAGGAAAGAAATGGTGAGTAGCGGCCAATGAGAAACTTGTCTTCCCATTTCATCTCTTCATTTGCTGAGACCAGGGGTGGCTTCAGGTTTTTCTGAGGCAGGGGGCTTCAGCGGGCTCAATAAGGCATGGGTAAGTGGTCAAAAGGGGCATGAGACACAACAGCAAGGGAGTTGAAAGAATGGCATTAAAGGGGCAAAATACTGAAGGCTAAGAGGGCAAAAAGAAAAAATATTTTGAAAAGGCAATGAGGAGCAGAGAAAGGAAAGTGTGAAGGCAGGAAGATAATCAGAGGAAGAAGATAGGCTAGAAGGATCTGTCATTTACTGCCCAGTGAAGGGACTAAGGTGAGCTCTTTCTGGGTTTTTCTTGTTCTCCTCCTTCCTGTTGCTGCAATCAATGCTCAAATGAGCAGCCCAAAATGAGAGGGGAGCTGAATTACATACTCTGCTTTTTCCAAGTTATTTGTACCTTGGTTATCCCACAGGACAGCTGGGGATAGTTGAAAAGCATCTACTGTACATAATTCCCTTTCTCCTCCATTCTTGAAGGAGCTGGGCTTTCAGTCATTTGGAAAAAGAGGGGCAGGGAAGGACTTAAATGATGGATAGTTCTCTTACTTGACTGAGTTTGTATGAAGCAATATCTATTAATTGAAATGCCGTTTTTCTGTTATCTGTTTCATATTTCTTTTAAGCCAACCGTAAAATTGTCTGTTAGGTTTGTTATGTGGGATTCAAACAGAGTTCAAGATGTTGCTACAGATGCTTGAGTTTCCAATCTCTCTCTTTCTTTAATAATCTTCCAAGTTTTCTGTAACAAATGTCTTTTTTATTTTACACATATGGAGATAATTCCGGTGGAAATCACCTAAAAATAATCACTTCTAAAAGTTCAAGTTTCTGTGCACATTTTGATAATTAGATAGCAGATGTACTTCATCTGTGGAAAACTGAATGTCATCCTCCTTTACTCCTTTTTCTTTGTTTCTTTTTTTAAACAGGTGTGCTACCTGATTGTTTGACAGATGGGTCTGATGCATATACTGAAATTGAAGAAGAGGAAATGAAAATATTAAGGGAGGTTCTCAGGTAAAAAGAACCTTTTTGTTTTGTTTCTCTAACAAATTGTGCCCCCCAAGTGCCTGAGAGTTGGGAGAAGCTCCTGAATTTCATGGGCTGGTTGAGGGGAAAAGGAGGGATCCCCAAAATTGGGCACATTTTGACTGTCAGGAGAGGCTGCTCGTTGTTCTTGCATTGTGAGTGAGCAGATAAATAACTGAACTGTTGAACTGCATGTTCCCTCCTATTCTGTTTTGCAGAAAGTCAAAGGAAGAATATGATCTGGAGCAAGAAAGGAAAAGAACCAATGAGGTATGCTGAGGTTCAATTGAATTAATCTACTCTGTGAATGTAGTGATGTTATTATTTAATTATAGCTCTATAAATCCAGCCTTCCATCAAATACACGTGCTTCCCATCAGGCTTTGGTGGCTTAATAAAATTACCAGCATATCCCTGCTACATATGCTTTCTTTGCAACTCTCATTTCTTTTGCCTTTTTTCTTTTGTGAACTTGATGACATGGATATGATGAGTGTCCCTTTATCACGCTACTGAGCAAATCGTTCAGGAAGCTGACTGATGATGGTGTGAGAAAATATTCTGAAGTAAAGACTATTTTTAATGAATCACAAAGTAGGTGATAGATGGTGCTGCAGTGGAAAAAAATATAGCTAATCATCTACAGGCCCTGATGACGAAGGTAGACAACATTTGGGGGAGGGGGGAGATTCCATATGGAAGACACGCAGCATTCTGAGATCAATTTGTCAGGATGTCTATTAAGAGCCATGAGAACAGCCTTGTCCTATTGGTTGGGAAAGTTAGTGTCTCATTCAAGGGTGTTTATTTGGAGTGGAATTAATGCCTGTCTTGTATGTGCCTCACTTTGAATGCGCTTTAGAGGTTGCAACAGCAACTAATAGAGTGTTGCTGTTTTCTCCATTCATATTTTTTAGCGTGTTCCTGGTGCTTATATGCCAGCAATACCTATGCATGAATATGAGCGCCCTCTCCCAGAAATCAGTTCTTAAGCACAGAGGAAGTGGTAGTTATTTTGGCATAACAGTAGCAATAGTGCCTTATGTGGTGGCTTCTAGAGGGCCCCTCACTCTCTGAGAGGTCTTTTGGATATGTGTGACGGGGGAGACTGAAGCGGGGTGCTTATAATAATAATAATTTAATAATAATTTATTCTTTATACCCCCCCCCCATCTGGCTGGGTTTCCCCAGCCTCTCTGAGCGGCTTCCAACAAAAAACTAAAATACAATAACCTGTTAAACATTAAAAGCTTCCCTAAGCAGGGCTGCCTTCAGATGTCTTCTAATAGTTTGGTAGTTATTTTTCTCTTTGACATCTGGTGGGAGGGCGTTCCACAGGGCGGGTGACACTACCAAGAAGGCCCTCTGCCTGGTTCCCTGTAACTTGGCTTCTCGCAGTGAGGGAACCGCCAGAAGGCCCTTGATGCTGGACCTCAGTGTCCGGGTAGAACGATGGAGGTGGAGATGCTCCTTCAGGTATACTGGACCGAGGCTGTTTAGGGCTTTAAAGGTCAGCACAAACACTTTGAATTGTGCTCGGAAACGGACTAGGAGCCTGTGTAGGTTTTTCAAGACCGGTGTTATATGGTCTCGGCGGCCGCTCCCAGTCACCAGTCTAGCTGCCGCGTTCTGGATTAGTTGTAGTTTCTGGGTCACCTTCAAAGGTAGCCCCACATAGAGTGCATTGCAGTAGTCCAAGGTAGAGATAACCAGAGCATGCACCACTCTGGTGAGACAGTCTGCGGGCAAGTAGGGTCTCAGCCTGCGTACCAGATGGAGCTGATAAACAGCTGCCCTGGACACAGAATTGACCTGTGCCTCCATGGACAGCTGTGAGTCCAGAATGACTCCCAGGCTGCGCACCTGGTCCTTCAGGGGCACAGTTACACCATTCAGGACCAGGGAGTCCTCCACAACCCCCCCTCCTGTCCCGCAAAAACAGTACTTCTGTCTTGTCAAGATTCAACCTCAATCTGTTAGCCGCCATCCATTTCCCATACATGAGTGGAGAAGATCATAAGGATGATTTTAAAGTTGGGTTAAAGTATAGCAATAGCAGAACACACACAACTTCTCATGTTTTAATTGAGATCAAGCACACTTACCTAATTAATTTGTGAGAGCATAATTTTGTTAAATAAATAGCATTTGTCAAAAACCATGTTTTAGTAGCTCTAAGACTGTGAAAAGCTATATGTGGTTTTTACGGTACTTGTTTTTAGTGTCTTGAGTGCATTAGTTGATACTGTTCTATTATCTCTCCCCCCCCTTAAATATATAGTCACATGAGAAACAGAAATCATCTGATGGTGCACACAAATCTCCAGGACATCTGAGTGAAAGTGCAGGAACTAAAGAGCCTGCTGACCATACTACAAAACATTCATCAGGTATGATTATCTGCAAGTATCTAAAATACAGAGATGAAAAAATATACAGCATAACTTGGTATGAACCACTCAGGACTTTGGATTGGGTGGTCATAAAATATTATAAATAAATGGGAATTGACATTTAAATGGGAATGCTGGGAGGGAAGAATTTTGATGCTTCAGTTGAACTTTGTGTTGTATGTTTGAAAAATGAAAAGCAGAGGCTCTTTGGAAACCTGCTATAGCAATTGTTCAGACTCTAAGCATGAGCAAAACCCAGCTGTCAGTTCATCCTAAGAGCAATAACACTTGACGTGCTCCAGAGGAAATTGGGATGGGGAGAAGAAACAGTTATTACTGTAAATGGTATTGCTTCATGGATGTCAAGAGTCTTCAAGCAGGCCACACAGCTCTCCCTGCAGCTCAGACAGGAAATGTCTAGGTCTCAACAGAAGACCTTGCTCCTGCTTTCCTGTTAAGACTCGGTCCCACTTCACGTAACAAACCAGAGAACAGACCTCAAACATTCAGAACTGAAGGAGATGAAAAACACAGTGAACACTGAATAAAACCTGGTATTTTGTTTTTGATGGGTAAAGCACTTCACAGTGTTTATTTTGTGTGTTCTTTCTGCTCAGAAGACCTAGTGAAGTTAATGGAAATGGTTAAGTTAGAGTAGTCTCATTTAATGTAGTGGACTTAGTTGGAATACAATCCATAAAATATTAGTATTTGGGAAGCCTTTAGGAAATGAAGAACTGTTTTTAAAATTCTTGCTCTTTGGTTAAAATCCATCAAGCTACAAAGATCCCTTACCTTTGATTTGTATTAGTATGATGAACGTATGATGGATTATTTCCTTTCAATGTAAATTTAGGTCGAGAAGCAAAACACAAACACTTACCTACCCGGGAACTGCCCTCTGCCAAACTGAAGGAAGAGAGTCGGAAGAAAACCATAGGGAATGGCTCTGAATGTGTAGCAAAGCAAGTGGGGACTGAAGGACGTGTAAGCTGAATGCTCACTTCATTTAAGATAACTAATATTATTTAGTAGCTAGTATGTCATTTTGGATTACTTTTTGTATGGTATAGTTGTGTATAAATATTTAGAAAGTGTGATCCAGGGTTCCCCAGCTTGGTGCCTAGTGTTCAGGCATGATGGGAGTTGTAGTTCAAATCATCTGGGGGCGCACCCTGTTGAGAAATTCTGGCTTGAACCATTGGAATATCATTTACTGAACATCACAAGAACCAGGTGCCGTATATAAAATGAAAACAAGAAAAATATCTATCTTCAGAGTTACAATCTTAGGAAGATAGAAGGTAAGGAGAGTGGAATCGATGTGCAAAATCAGTTAGAATGTCAGAATGAAGAGTTTTGTCAGGAGTTTAAATGTGCTAATGGGAGAAGCCAGATGCCAGGAAGTCAGTAGAATATGAGAAGGAAAAGGAACTCTGCGTAGAAAGCAAAAATGAATAGCACAATCACAAGGAATGAGTAGGATGGGTAACTAGACTTTTATGGAGGAGGAGGATGATTTTAGTTTTTTAGATATAGATATTTGACTTTCAACACACTTCAGCAGTATTCAGATATTCTAAGGAAATTTGATTTATTATGAAACACAACTCCATACACAACAAAGTATGTGTCAGCATAAATGTTAATGAGACACTGTCCGCCCCAACACTTTTAAAAGGGCACATGCTACAAACTGACCTTAAATTTTGTAGGAAAAAAATATGTAGTTGTAACTAGATTTAGAATAAATGTACTCAGAGATTGAATTTAAATTCCATTGTTCATTCTCTTTTTAAGAGAGTAAGAAGCGTGTTGATGATGTGGTCTGTTGTTGGTCACGTGGCAGGATAGGGCAGACCTAATTAAACAGTTCAGCTGAGTTAAATTAAGAAGCCATCTGTTGTTCATATGTCCGTTTTATATCTTTTAAAAGAGAATGTAACTTCTGGAAATCTGAGTCCAGCAATCATGCATTCCTGTGTTTATGGCATCTTTGCAGAAGGTCTTGAAAATGTAATATATCCTGCAGTCTCCCTGCTCCTTTCACACATAGTATCTTCAGTAGTATATTCTGACTAAAGATAGGTCTGCCAGTGTATCTGTATGCAGACGATTAGAGACTATTTGGTATATACATTTTCCCTCTTGTATTAATTTGAAAGAAGCTCATTATGAAATCCCTTCCAGGTGAGCCTTTACATGCCTTGGAGAATTTAGAAAAGAAAGTATTACTTTTTCTTTTTAGGTGTACATTAAACATGTAAAGTGTAAGTGTGTCAAGCATGCTTACTCATCAGATACACTTATCAGGCAGCAAGGACCAACTGTGACTCCCAATTGACTGTACACCTGGGAGCAAGCCTTAGTCTGCTCTGCATAATGTACAAAACCGGTGAACGTGTGCACTGCAAAAAATATTGTGGCTTGCATGTCACTAGTGATGCTACCATAGTTCTTAACAATGTTCCACATTAGAAAATGAATGGTACCTGCTCCCTCAATTCTTCTCTAAGGTAAAAGGACCCCTGACCATTAGGTCCAGTTGTGGACGACTCTGGGGTTGCGGCGCTCATCTCGCTTTACTGGCCGAGGGAGCTGGCGTACAGCTTCTGGGTCACGTGGCCAGCATGACTTAGCTGCTTCTGGCGAACCCCAGAGTAGCGCACGGAAACGCCGTTTACCTTCCCACCGGTGCGGTACCTATTTATCTACTTGCACTTCATGCTCTTGAACTGCTAGGTTGGCAGGAGCAGGGACCGAGCAACCGGAGCTCACCCTGTCGCAGGGATTTGAACCGCTGACCTTCTGATCGGCAAGCCCTAGGCTCTGTGGTTTCACCCACAGCGCCACCTGCGTCAATTCTTCTCTAGCTTAGACTAAATCAATCCAGAGTGCTTGATGTTCTCTTTCTGCCTGTGGCTTGCTCCAGACCTCCCTTTCTGCTTGCTTTAAAGGCTACTGAAACACAGCCGCAATTAAAGTGCAAGGTCCTGGTGGAATCCTTTTTTTGGAGCGGGGTAGCATCAAATTACTACTTGTAATAAACACCATATTTTTCGCTCCATAAGACACACCTAATTTTTGGAGGAGGAAAACAAGAAAAAAATACTCTGTTCTGGCTTCAGTGAAAGCAACGCAAAGCCTCTTCAGGGCAGCAGGAGGAACACTCCCCCTGCCCTGAAGGGGCGTCGCATGGCTATCCCAAAAGCCAGAACAGCTGTTCTGTTCTGGCTTCTGGGATAGCTGCGCAGCCTGCATTTGCTCCTTAAGCGAATTTCCCCTTACTTTTTAGGAGGGAAAAAGTGCGTCTTATAGAGTGAAAAATACGGTACATTGTAAACAAACATGCTTGTCCTTCATCTCTTTTGTTTTTCTATTTTGTTGGGACTATATATAGTTTTATTCACAAATATCTAATTGGATAAAAAATACATTACAGAAACTATGCAATAAATCTGCCTTTTATATTCTACTTACCAGAAACTATCAGAACTTGGAGCACAAGAGCTCAGGGAGCGTGAAGACTATCTAAAGCAGAAACGAGATGCACTGATGGCTTTGAAGAAGGAGTCCAAAACTAATATGCCGCCGCCGCCACCACCACAAAGTACAGAGCAGAAAGAAGAGCTGTTACCTTCTAAGGAGGTAAGAGAGGAGAGAATGTTCTAACCAGCCAGTCTGCATTGGAGAAATGCAGGGCTATGTGCAGTTCCAAACTGATGCTTTGAACAGCACTGTTCAGTAGTGGGGTGGGCAGAGGGCAGGACTGCATCCTAGCACAACTGCTCAGTATTCAGAGTATAAGTAGGTCTGTGCTTAGTTCCTCATCTAGTTAAGGATATGCAACCACAAGCCTGTTTCCACAATTCCTAACAGAGTTGAAATGGGAGCTAAGAAAGCAACAATGGTAAACAGACATGCTAAACATCTTTACAGTAATACTTGCATAGTAGAGAGTTGATGCACGAAAAGGAAAAAAGAGCTGGGCCACTTGCATCTATTTAATATGCCACTAAACCTAGAGTGTACACTCTAGGGTCAGTGTGCTGATTCACACCTGCGTGTGTGAATAGCCCAACACATGCACACATGTAATAGCATGAACTTTTAATTTGCCTATAAAAGTGTCATAAACTATGCTACACTCCTCTATGCAGTTACTTTAGAGTAAGCCCTATCAAACTTAGTGAGACTTACTTTAGAGTAGACATGCTCAGGACTGCATTGTAAACTGGGGGAAGTGAGATAACGTTCATGTGTTCAGACTGCTTCACATTCTTGCAGCAATCCTGATGACAACTATTAGCTAGGGCAGGACTATCCCACATATGGCATGTGTCCCTGTTGGTTCTGCTGGACCTCTCAGCGGCTTTTGATACCGTTGACCATGGCATCCGTCTGGGCTGCCTTGCTGGAATGGGACTTGAGGCACTGTTTTACATGGATTCTTGTTCCTTTTCGGAGGGGCGAATCCAGAATGTGGTTGAAGGGGACTCCTGTTTGATGCCTTGGGGGGTCCCTCAGGTTTCTCTTCTGTCCCACGTGCTGTTTAACATTTACTTGAAAACGTTGGGAGAGGCTGTTGGGCGTTCTGGGGTTATGTGTCAACAGTATGCTGATGACACCCAGGCATTTCTTTCCACCAACGTCCAAGGATCTAAGCCCATGTCTGTCCTCAGTAATAGACTGGATGAAGGTAAACACATTGAGACTTAATCTAGGCAAGAGAGACGTGCTCTTGGTCAGTCAGAAGGCAGAACAGGGAATAGCTATTCAGAAGGTACAGGGTCACAGTTTGGGTGTGCTCCTAGACTCAGCCCCCAGCATGGATGTCCAGGTCTCTGCGTTGGTCAAGAGTGCATTTGCACAGTTAAAGCAAGTACACTTGCTGCACCTGTTCCTTACCAGGTCTCTCTTAAATGTAACACTGAAAAGAGCTCCGTAACACGTTTGCCTTACAAACTGCTGAACCTACAATGTGTTATACAAAATTATTCTTCCATACTTGAAGGGCTAAAATCTTATGCACTTTAACCGAGACAAAGTTACATTAAATTGGAAGTATGTCTGTATAGAAATGCATAGTACTGTGTAAGTTAGCAAAGGATATTGCAGTTTAAAATTTCCCATTTTTATTTTTAGGGAATGACAGAAGAAGAGGAGCAAAGGTTGTTAAAGAAAAGAATCCTTGCAGCAAAACTTAAAGAAGAAGTTATTAATAAGCGATAGTTCAGAGAAGCTGCTTCTAGGAGTTGGGGACAAGAATGACTGTTTAGTATATTTAACCATGAACTGAATTCTTTGCTCACAAACATTGTATGCATTAATTTGATTTTCTATATTAAACATTAACTTTTTTCTTGTTTTTTTAAAAATAGACTTAAATTAGATAAAAGTAATGATTTATTTTACTTTTTTTTTAAAGGGAGGCTTGGTCATTCCAAAGTATTAAGCATCCAGCAGTTTAGATTCTTACGATTCCAATACGTATTGCTGAATGTGAACACTGTAACTCCTTTGCTTGGTTTAATATTTGTCGGTTCTTTTGTCAAAAGTACATTGGTAGACTGACATTAAAATGTTTAAACTTGTTTTGATTTTATATACAGATGCATGTAGAAGTGTCAAGTTTAAAATCAACTGTATAGAGCTCCAAGTGTTCCTTCCTTCTCACAAGATTGCCTTGTGAGACGGAAGTTTGGCAACCTTGCAAATTACAGGGCAGAAGTAGGCACACTGTAAATTTGCCTACATATAAATATGCTGTGTAATGTTTGAAGCAGGCTGAAGAAACAGAATAAGCTAATATATTTTCATATATTTTAAGTGAACCCATTCAATATTATTTGTGCTTTATTCAGAACAATCACTCTCCCAGCGCTTCCGGCACCAGAAGGCTACCGTCTACAAATTTCCAACACAGTAAGAAACACAGCTCATCCACATTTCATGTAACTTTTTATTAAAATAGTATTTAACTGAGACATGTTGGCAGATGTAATCTTTTTCTTGGAAAAAAATCAGTTGAAGGGCCCCAGGCATTTGAAATGTGGGCTGTCCTGTGGCAAAAAGCGACCCACCATAACAAGCGGGAAGGGAGGTGGAAGGGGGGAAGAAAGCACCTGAGGCAGATTGTGTAACTTGGAGGAGCTTCATCTTGCACAGTATTTGTCAGCCAATATTCGAACGCTCCTAACTTTCCATGTCATTAAACTATTTAAAAAAAACTGATTGTTGCTATAGAAGTGACTCGTGGGGCAGGGCCTGCATGTGTTCTTAAAGCTCTCAACAGTCTTTGAAAATGGATGGAAGATGAGAGACCAAATGCGTTGGGTCCTTTTTCAATAAAAGCTTGGAGACAGGCCAGATGTCCCCACCTCATATAGAGCTTAAGAAGAAAATTGTTAGCGGGTTTGGGGGCAGGGGGAGAAGAAGAGAGAGACTTGCCAGGAATACAAAGTGAGCATATCAAGCCTACATAGTAACACTGCTGAACCAGCCCAAATGTTTTGCCACCCACTTCCCTTCAAACAAAGGAGTCTTCAGATGAAGTGAGAAGGAAGCCCCTATTTTTAGTTGCCTGGAGCCCCCAGATGGCAGAGATATGTCCTTCAGGCCATATTAACTGTCAGTCATTGCAACACACCAAATCAAATCTGGGAACATTCATTTCCCCCCCGCTAGATTTGGTTTGGTGGCATATAATGATTAATTTGTACAAATAACTATCTCATTAAAATCCTCTAAAATGGCCACATTTCAAAATCTGAATTAACTTACCATTTACAACAAACCAAACAAAACCAATAATTATGGAATTACAGGGTCACATTTTAATTCCTGAATTTTACAGTTCAGCATTAATATCACCACATGTATACAAATGGTGTAAAACAAGTACAGTGGTTTTCTTTTTCAATACAAAATAAACTTCTGTTTCATGGAAAAACTATACTTCATATCTACACAGTCAGCCCATCTTTTGCAAACAATAGCTAAAATTAAAATTAACTACAAAATCTCCAAAACAGGGAAACTGTGTCAGTAACTGTTCCAGGAGAAATGGACCCTAACACATTGCAAGAGTGATCTATATGGTGAATTGCTGCTGGTTTCATAAGTTCATTATCACTCTTAATGCAATTTGTAGTTTGGGGAATTCTTTCTTCTGCATGATCTCAGATCATATATGGCCAAACTAACATTAAAATATTTACAGTTCACTTGCTCTCAAAATAAAAAAGGTCTCAAAATGGTTGCCTCAATCAATTTACCTAATGTATTATTTTTTTTTTGAAATTTGCTTAAATACATGGAATGTGTTAAGAAGCAGCCTTTGTACTATTCTCCCACTCCCAGGTTCAAGGTGCTGCGCGTTGACTCCACCTCCCAATCATCCTTGGTTAAAAATGACTATGCCCCCAAACCTTCCGGCATTTCACAGTACTCTCTCTCTTTTACTCTTGCAAATGTGAAATGCAGATTTCTCAAGGGGAAAAAATGCTGAAGCTAGCAGGGAGCGACTCCATTTGACCTGGCTTCCCGTAAGATGCTACTGGTAGTTGCAACTCAGATGCTGCTTCCAAGCACTAGGGCTTATTGATGTTTTCTATATATTTTACTGTAAGCTGATGAGCCTTGGGTACCAGCCTTCCTGAACAGCTTCTTGTAGTCATCTTCAATTTTGAACCAAGCTTCTTTTTTCCTCCCAAAAACTAGAGGTGGGGGAGGGGAAAGAAATCAATTTGCCACTCAACATGCACTACATAGCAGGGTGGTGATACCCTCTGTGTTTTGGCTGACTGTGCAAGTAGTGGTCCCCAACTTTTGAATTCTTTTTTTATGGGAAGAGAATCATTTAAAAGAGGCAACTGCTTAAAAAAACCCACAATGGACAGCACCATTACAAAGTCATGTTACTAGGTTTGCAACTGAAGCCTTACAATTTTCTTCTAGCTTGGGGAAACCCTGCAATATCAAAAAAGTTACTTGTCCCATCCCCTCACAGAGCCCGAGATGTTCTTTTTGCTGGCAACCTGTCATCCAGGCGCTGATTAGTAACCCACCATTTCAGTTTAATTTTTAACAGCCCGAATGGCAGACTCACTGACTAGAAAGAGATTAGGTTCTTTGGAAGCCTGGTGTTCTCAGAACTAAACCCTTCTAGTCGAGTTTCTTTTGCTACTCCTTGCATTCTCGTGTATTTTCCAGGGAGAAAGCTTTCTGTCAGACTATTTAGTTCAGTCACAGCATTTGAGCACCCTCAATAAGAGTTTGTTTCAGTATTCTTAAGAGCCAAGACGAGGTCTTTTCCTTGGGGATGTTTCCTCCTCTTCATCTTCTTCCTCATCATCTGGATAATCCACAAGGCCGACTAAACTTCCCTGTTGAAGGCAAAGAAAAGGCTCAGATTGAAAAGAATTCTTGAGAACAATCTTGTTGCAAAATGACGCGCCCACTAGCTGCCACCATATGCAGGGAAAACTAAGAGCATCACTTGGGGTTGCCTGATGTAGCCACTGCCTCCAACAAGAGCAAAGATTACATTTCATATGAAGACATGTATACCCCATGTATATATCTGCCATAATTTCAGAGAGTGAGGATAACTAATTACTCTGCATGCAGATAGGGGGAAAGTCCTTAAAGACAACAATGGTATGTTTCTATCTTATGGAATAAGCTGCTGCAAGATGAGACCTTATCAATGGCTATTAACTATGATAGTTAAATGGCATCTCCATGCTGAGGTGATGACTCTCTCACAACCAGATGGTTTGGGAAAACATCAAGGAAGGACTACTGCTGCATTTGGCTTTTTGGCAGCATCTGACTACTGTGGTAAACAAGAGGCTAAGCTACATGGACCTTCGGCTCTTTTCATGTGTTATGGAGCCTGACCGCAGATGCAGCCACCGATTGTCATGAGTAATAATCAGAAACCATTATTAAACGGCAAAAGGATAAACTGATGCCTCTTGTAATTCAGATCTGCTGTGCTCAAAGCGTGCCTGAAGTAGGAAGAGTTCAAATAAGCATCAAGCCCTGCAAACAAAAGCCATTGGGCTGGCTGCTCAAATGTCCCACGTAACCTGGAAAACAGCATTATGAGATGCAGTCCCTGGTCAAGACATTCAAAGAAGTGGAAATGATCCATTTAAGTGCATACCAAGAGCCCTGTGGGATCAGGTCAGTGGCCCATCTAGTCCTGCATCCCATTTCCCACAGCATCTCACTTCTGCAAGCACACTCTCCCCTCCTGTGGTTTCCAGCAGATTTTCATATATTTTTGACACAAGCCAGAATTTCTGTGGCCTCTATGGAAAAATCTGAGCCCTAAAAATGCCACTGGAGTTCCTTAACATGACATGGATAATTCTGTCACTGGATTAATACTATATTTAAAATGTATTACCCTGGTTGACTACCAGACATTCCAACTGACTAACATTCGAAAGCAGTATTAAAAGTACCACCCCCACACTGAAGAGCCATAAGCTCATGAATCCCAATGTCAGCTCTCAGCAAAATGCCCATCCTAATCAGCAAAGTTTGTCACATTTATACTCCTGCCAGGGTCAAGCTGTAGAGAACTGCAGACCAAAACAATGCTGTGTTGTAAGAGACTTGGCACTGGGGAAGCCCACTATGTCCCACCAGCTTTACCTCGTAGGTAAGTACAGTGAGGAAGGTCTAGCCTCTGGGCTTTAAGAACAGGTTTATACATTTGAAGGGGCTTTCTCACCATCATCCATGATACCAGTTGGCTCACCTTTGTGGCTGTGACCGCTGCAGTCAAATTGGCATTCTTAGAAGAAGAACCATTTGAACTTGCTGGCGACGTCTGAGCTGCTACAGATTTGCTGTTTGTACTGTTTGCTCCATTAGTTGCACTGGCGGAGTGGGAAAATGTGAATTTGAAACCACCTGCTGAAGTTCTTTTGGGGAGATTCTCTTTGTCTTCACTCTCTTTTGCTATTGGGGAAAAAAATATTTTGTTTAGCATTGTCATTAAGATAAATGATCTATATAAGCCGAGATGCATACAGCAGCTCAACTGAACTACTTCTTCAAATGGCACTTCCAACTGGGGGAAGCATGGCAAAAATGGGGGAATACCTTTTTTTGTTTCCATGAATTTCTCATAACTATCTGGAAAATCGTCCTCTGACTTCGATTTTTCTACAGGGGGTACAACTGCTTCACCCTCCTCCTCTTCATCTTCATTGAACCACATTTCCTCATCATCCTCCAAGGTCCTAGCATCTCTACGGAACCTGTTGCTACGCAGTATAGATGGGACACTGTAAAATACACACACGAAAACGCTCAAAATCTGACACGCGGGGGGGGGGGTACCCTATATAAGATGACAAAGCTAGACCATGCATGGTTGGTACGGTATGGAGAAATTAGCAGAAAACAACCTTGAGAGTAGTTAGTTAATGCCAGCATCTTGGTCTTCCTCTAAGGAGCTTAAAGGTAAAGGTAAAGGTGGCCGACTCTGGGGTTGCGGTGCTCATCTCGCTTTATTGGCCGAGGGAGCCAGCGTACAGCTTCCGGGTCATGTGGCCAGCGTGACTAAGCCGCTTCTGGCGAACCAGAGCAGCGCACAGAAACGCCATTTACCTTCCTGCCTGAGCTGTACCTATTTATCTACTTGCACTTTGACATGCTTTTGAACTGCTAGGTTGGCAGGAGCAGGGACTGAGCAACAGGAGCTCACCCCGTCGCGAGGATTCAAACTGCTGACCTTCTGATCAGCAAGTCCTGGGCTCTGTGGTTTAACCTACAGCGCCACCCGCGTACCTTCTAAGGAGCTTAGGGCAGCCTTTTATAGGATTGTGGGCCACCTGAACTTCCACAGCAGCCAACTAGTCTTTCAGGGTCTTCTAACACCTTCAGGAATTATGGGCTGCTCTGAACAGCCTACTTGCTGGCTCAACTAATCTCTGTTCCTCTCACCATGTCAAAATCCCAGCATGAGAATTTCCCTAAAGGGGGGGGATTCCCCCTCACCCCTGGATATATTGTATTAATGCATTAAAACAATCTATTTGCTGCCCTTCAGCTTTCAGGATGCCTTACCAAGTCAGAGTCTCAGAGATCCAAGCGACATAAAATTTCCTTCCAGATACGTAAAGGTAAAGGGACCCCTGACCATTAGGTCCCGTCGTGGCCGACTCTGGGGTTGCGGTGCTCATCTCGCTTTATTGGCCGAGGGAGCCGGCGTACAGCTTCCGGGTCATGTGGCCAGCATGACTAAGCCGCTTCTGGCAAACCAGAGCAGCGCACGGAAACGCCGTTTACCTTCCCGCTGGAGTGGTACCTATTTATCTACTCGCACTTTGATGTGCTTTCGAACTGCTAGGTTGGCAGGAGTAGGGACCGAGCAACGGGAGCTCACCCCAACGCGGGGATTCGAACTGCCAACCTTCTGATCGGCAAGTCCTAGGCTCTGTGGTTTAACCCACAGCGCCACCCGCGTCCCTTAACTGTGGCCTAATTCTAGTTACCTCACCCGTTTTGAAATTAAGCAACATGCTTTTCAAAGCAAACCAAGAAACAAAATGCTGAGATCCAGAAGTCTTGGAGTTGTAAAGTGGAGAGAGAAATGTACTAAATACAAAAAGTCCTGACCAAGTAAAACACTCTATTGTTATATACTGTGCATTCTTTGTAAGAAAGGCTGGCACATTTGACAGTATCATTAACTGGACAAGCAAGGCAGGAACATTTCATGAAACCTAGAAAGGCCATACAAAGATGCTTTCAGTTTTACATTTAGGATCAAGAGGGATACCTGTTCAGTTTCTGGCTTTGTCTGTCTTTCTCTTGCTCATATTTTGTCTTCAGTCCTTTAAACGTCTGAACATATTCAATGGATTCAAGTGCCTTATAAAAGTTTTCAACTATATGTGCAGTAAGTGATTTGATATCTTCCTGCGTTAACACAAAACAAAGGCTAGCGTTACCAAGCTGGATAAGAAAGCAGATATCAATCTCAGCCCATCACTGCAGTTAAATGCTAACTTTCCCCTTCACAGCAAAAGGGTAAAAGTGATTTAAGCTTGAAACTTGGGTTTCATGATTGAGCAGCCTGTCTCCTCAGGAATATTTTACTGAAGTAATACCCTCTGACAACGTACACAAGGAGGAATTCCAGACGATTCACTCATATGCTTGTGTGCTTCCTGAGCTAACAGGCCAAAGATATGCAGAGAACTCTGTAGCCACAAACATTACGGCTGTATACACAAATACAATTATGACATGGGGGTGGTAAGAGTTAAGAGTCAAAACACCTGCCCCCTTCCCAATTATTTTCCTCTACGATTTCACACAAGCCTTTGGTGCAGCACTTACAAAAATAGAATCAAACTAAAGGGGTTACTGTATTCATCTGCATGTGACAGCCATTTTGCTTCCTGCCAAACAGGGATAAGATTGTGGCAGAACTCTTAGTATAAGTGGTGCTCTTCCAAGCTTGAAAGCTGTACTGTGTGTTTTATAGACCCTGGGGATATCCCTTATTGGCTAAAGAAAAAAGAAACAGCCTCATGGCTTTCTGTAAGACTGACAGCTCCCTCAATTTCCCAGAAATTTGAAGAGAAGCAAGTAATGGGTTAAAAGACTTTTTAAAAAGTCAATACACCTATGAGAGAAGAGTGAGATTTAAATTCAAATAAGCAATACTATTTCTTTTATTTTCATTAGTACACCTGTCAGGCTATTAATCATTCTGAGTGCTCACAGGTTGCAGAACACTGAGCGTAGACATAGCCTGTTCCTCTCTGCCGCCTATTGACACAACCGTGGCACACCAGTCACGGCTGCAACGCCTGTAGGGGCAGAAGCCATACTATTTCTAACACAGATTTTTCAAATCAGTTCTATTTGGATCTCTGTGGGTGTGAAGAATGATTTTGAATTAGCCACCCTACTGCCTCAAGCTGCCCTTTTTCCTGCTTGTGATGTTTGCATAACAGGCTGGGAAAAAATGAAGTGTGAACATTATGATCATTGCTGACACTCAGAAACAGCAACACTCAACTACGTTTACCCAGAGCAGAACTCAGGAGCTTTAATTTCAATGGGTCTGATCTATGCAAACCACAGTTGAACACCACCTTTTAGCTTGAAATTACTAACATACTCTGGGGGAAAAATCACTGACTCAAAATCACTAAATTAAACTAGCTTTACAAGCCCGATTAACTTCCTTTTGCATTTAAACGGGCGAAGTGTTCTATGATGTGTTTTGTATATGAATTCCTGGAAAATCACCGTGGAGATCAAGATGCATAGTAGGGAAGGAAGGAGAGCGTTCTAGTCATAGAGCGCACTAGAAACCTGGCTTCCATTATGGGAATTTTGAGTCAACTACCCTGTTCAGCTGCTCCTTTCTTTTGGCAGCTGGTGGTAGGTGTAGAAGTCAAAACATTCTGAGCAACAGCACACACTTGAGAGTTTCTCTGCAGCTAACGCAGACACTTCTTCTAGCAGAAGACTGCCCCACACTCTTATTCTGAATAGCACAGGCAGTAAAGCTCTAGGACAGCCTTCCCCAACTTGGTGCCCTTCCACAGTTTTGGATTACACTAACACCAGCCAGCATGGCCAATGGTCAGGGGTGATGGAAGCTGGGAGTCCAAAACATCTGGAAGGTGTCAGGCTGGGGAAGGCTTCTCCAAGGCATTTATGCAGGCCTGTCAAGACACTTTTAAAGAGTCTGAACAAAATATGAGAACAAGTCTGTGGCTCGCATGCAGGGTTTAACAAACCCACTTGCCATGCTCCCCATGTAGAGTGTGGCATCGCACTTTAGTGAGTGGCAAGTCACACCTGGCCAAACCAGGAAAACCCTCTGGAACAGGAAAGGCTGCTCAAGAGGCACCGTTGCTCAAGAGGCACCGTTGGGAAAGGCCAGCAGGGGAGGGAGAGAGAATAGGGAATGGACTCAAGATTCAGTCTTTTCCATGTCATACTCTAGTAGTAATGGTCCATCCCCCTATATTGCTGAGACTCAGGGTGTGGTTTTTTTTTTTGTTTGTTTTTTTTTACACTTAACACATCCTTGAAGATGGCAGGATCCCCAAGGTCCTGGTCTACAGGGAGCTGACTTCAGGCACCAGGCCCATTGGCAGATCAACTCTATGTTACAAGATGTCTGCAAACATGACATGAAGGCTGATGACATCAACCCTCCTGTGTGGGAATCCCTTGCTGAAGACCACAGCACCTGGAGACAGGCCATCTGGTCATGTATCCATAGCAGTGACCAAAGGAGGAATGACCGCTGGGAAGAACGCAGAGCGAAGAAAAACCATGGTCAATCCGTAGCAGTAGAACCAGCCGCCATCATCCGTCCCAGGTGCTGTGTCAGCCTCTACAGCCACAGCACACACTGCAAGCTGCCAACAGTTTGACCTCACCTCCAAAGGCTCACTCCTCCACAGTCTCCCAAGACAGATGGATGCCCACAACACATAAAAAGTTATTTCCAGCCTTCAGCAGCAAGATCTAAAGCTCACACATGCCTAAAAGGTTTCTTGGAATTGAAAGCACAACTTACCACTCTGATGAATTCAAAAAGTTCAATGACTGCTGAATTCAGAAGATTGTACCTAGTTCCATTATCCAAAAGAGCGTTTATGACTGGCTCAAACAGGTTTCCTTTGGTGATATAACGGTTATAAAACTCATCCTTTAGGCCGATTATCCTCCTCATGAAACGAAGAGCACCTGCAATGTTAACAAGCATTTTAAGAGGGTCCTTTCTGGTCCTCACACTACCTGCATCTGTTTACACAAGCTGAAAGGAGTAGTCCAGTTTACTGACCAGAAGCAAACTATGATGTCTAGGACAGCCTTCCCAAACCTGGTGTTCTCCAGATGATATTGGACTACAGCTCCCATCAACGCCAACCATGCTGACTGGAGCTGATGGGAATCCAAGAGTCCAACAACTGTTGTGCACCAAGTTGAGGAAAGCTGGTCTAGGAGCCAGCTTAGAAAATGAAAATTGACCTGCTACTTACACAGTGCCAAAAAGGTGTGTTTTGAATTCATCAAGACCAACACTCTTCTCAGCAAATCCTTGTTCATAATATAGTTCTTGATGTGATATGTGTGGTGTTCCACACAAAAGGTGAGCAGCTCCAAAATTAAGGCAAGCAGCTGTGCTGTTTGGTAGTTGTCTGCCAAAGGAACAAACCCCAGTTAGATACAATGAATCCTGCAAATGCCAAAGTCACGACAAAAATAGTGTTCGCCTAGGAGTAAGACTTTCCCCAAGCCAGACATTAATGTCAAGCAAGCTTGAGATCAAAAACCTTTGCCATGGAGCAGAGTTCTCTAAGCACAAGCTGGGATCCTAGGTCTAGCATTGTTTTTATTTAAAATCTTTTGTATCCAGCCTCTCTGATTACTTAAGGAGGCTCAGGTTTACTAAAGTTAATAAAAATGTAATAACAAACAAACAAACAAATCTAATCAGTCAGCTGTTGCTACAGAAGATGCATGTACCTCCTTAAACATGGGTAGGCAAACTAAGGCCCGGGGGCCAGATCCGGCCCAATCGCCTTCTCAATCTGGCCCGCGGACGGTCCAGGAATCGGTGTGTTTTCACATGAGTAGAATGTGTCCTTTTATTTAAGATGCATCTCTGGGTTATTTGGGGGCATAGGAATTCGTTCTCCTCCCCTTTCCCCCCAAAATATAGTCTGGCCCCCCACAAGGTCTGAGGGACAGTAGACCGGTCCCCTGCTGAAAAAGTTTGCTGACCCCTGTCCTTAAATGTCCAGGAGTGTTTCTGAAAGTTCTCTAAAATCCCTTGGTAGCTGGTCTTGCCTGTGGCCACGGCACACCAAAAGCTTAGAGATTTGTGAAAAGCCTGTGCGCAGAGTGGCTGTATTCACAAAGTGGATGATTTCACACAACCATTCACGCAACGCATTTGTTTCAACGCAACCATTCACATTCTTCAACCCTCCACATCGTGGAGGATTGGAAGGAGCCAAGGACACACTTGCAATCCTGGTTTCCCAGTTCAGACATAAACATATAAAAGAACAGCCTTGTTGGATCAGATCAAAGTCTCATCTAGTCCAGTATCCTGTTTTCACAATGGCCAACCAGATGCCTGTGTGAAACATACAACAGCACCCGCTCATGTTCCCCAGCTGCTGAAATTCCAAAGCATGCTACCTCTAATACTGAAGATAATACAGCCACCGTGGCTAGCTGCTAATCCCATTTTAAGACATCCAAATCACCAGCCATCGCTACAGTTTGTGGTAGTAAACTCCACAGTTGAGTTATTTGCTGTGTGAATAGGTACTTCCTTTTGTGTGTCCTGTATCTCTCAGCTTCATTAAAGCACTTTAGTTCTAGTATTATGAAAGAAATAGAAAAACCTCTCTCTATCCGCACCGCACTGCAGTTTGACAAAACAAGATGTTTGCTATTCTGCCAGAGGCATGAGAGAACCACACAAGCGCATGGCTCATTCCAGATCCTTCATGCTTTGGCAGACCAGTGGCAGTGATGGCTGAATGCAGCCTTCTTGCTGTCAATTGGGAACACGATTTCCCCATTTTTTAGGGTGATGTCTCTAGAATGCCCCATTCCCCCAGGAGGAAGAAAAAGTTGTCAATCTAAGATTCCTAGGAAAGGATCTTTCCATATGTATACCTCATTTCAAATTAGGATGGTGGTGGTGGTGGGGGGTTTAAGAAAAAAAAATCACAAATGCATCCACCTACCTGGGCAAATTGTATTACTCTTGTTGCTTCCAACTACCACATCTAAAAGAAGTGAAAACATTTAGCACTGTTAAGCTGCCTGCTTAATGGCTGTGGCAAACAGAAAATACATTTTATTTCAAGGTCAGACAACTTCTGACTCGCCTGCGCAGTACAAGAAGCCCACCCAAACTCTTTTTGGAGGGGGTTGTCAGGCACCAGAACCCACCTAATTTTGTCTGTAACACCATTGGAGTTGCACACATGTACTCCATCTGCGAATAGTACTGCGTTAGCCACTAAAAGTTGGTGGTAAAAGATAGGAGACATGCAAGCCAGCATGGAGAGGTTTGCAAAAAGCTACAAAAACAAGTTACCAATCCCATTCTACTCTGCTTTCATTGCAGCAACCTTTGAATCTCAGAACTGCTTAAGTGACTTTTAAAGATATGGGTTTATTTTTGTAAGAAACCACTGTGCCTGAAAAATCAGCAGCCTGGTTCACACACAACAGGAAACTGTGGTTTCCCACTCTGTGACCAAGCCTGCATGGGTTTGTGTGTTTCCTCTCTTCACCTTCCGAGCCTATGAAGAGAAGCTTCCAGTTTTAAACTAAACACAGTTCCCTTTGACATCCCAATGCTGCAAACAAAGATTTGTTTAAACTACAGCAAGTAAGAACAAGTCTATCTTGCTCTCAGATCACAACTCCTCATGTTTGGATACCAAGGGAAACACGGTTGCTTTAAAACTGGAAGCTTCTCTTCCTCATGGGCTTGAGGGAGGGAGCTACACTTGAGTCAGTGTGCTAGGCAAAAACGATGAGACAGTTTCTCAAGAGATCCCTTGGTTTCTGAAATTATTTTAGAGTACAGTGGTACCTTGGGTTACATACGCTTCAGGTTATAGATGCTTCAGGTTACAGACTCTGCTAACCCAGAAATAGTACCTCAGGTTAAGAACTTTGCTTCAGGATGAGAACAGAAATCGTGCTCTGGTGGCGCAGCAGCAGCAGGAGGCCCCATTAGCTAAAGTGGTGCTTCAGGTTAAGAACAGTTTCAGGTTAAGAAGGGATCTCCAGAATGAATTAAGTACTTAACCCGAGGTACCACTGTAACTCAAAAATGAAGCACTGTACATCATAATGCAAGACCTTTTTGTCTAAAAATTTACAAAATGCAGTCAATATCAGCAGCTAAAATCCAACGACAGAAGGTTGTTTCTAGAACTGAAGCCCCTGAAGACCAGAATGTCCAGTACTCAGCAGTCAGTGAAAACGAGAACCCATAAAAATCTGGAATTTTACAACAGTACAGACATACCTTGGTTCTTGAACGGAATCCGTTCTCGAAGTCCGTTCGACTTCAGAAAACGTTTGAAAACCAAGGCGCGGCTTCCGATTGCTGCGGGAGCTTCCTGCACTCATTTGGAAGCTGCGGAGGACATCTGGCTTCCAAAAATTGTTTGCAAACCAGAACACTCACTTCCGGGTTTGCAGCATTCGGGAGCCAAAACATTTGAGTCACAAGGCATTTGAGAACCAAGATACGACTACATTTGGACTAACCACAAACACAGCATTCAGATGTTAATGCTAAACCAGCTTAGCAAAAGGGGTACAAGCCTGGGTGAGCTTTGCTTGCTCCTCTGGCACAGCCTTGAAGACACCAGAAGTGTTAGCTTTAGTTTCCAACTACAGTGGTACCTTGGTTTAAGAACAGCTTAGTTTATGAACTTGGATTAAGAACGCTGCAAGCCTGGAAGTAGATGTTTTGATTTGTGAACTTTGCCTTGGAAGCAGAACATGTTCCATTTGTAAACTGAGTCTCCCGCTGCTATGGGAAAGCACGCCTTGGTTGAACAATGCTTTGGTTTAAGAATGGACTTCCAGTACGGATTAAGTTCGTAAACCAAGGTACCACTGTATTTATTTCCCCTGAATGGAGAACTGTGACTAGGGCTAACTATGTTTAGGAACAGCCTCCCCCAACCCTGTGTCCTCAAGTTGTTTTGGACTACCAGCCATGCTGACGGTAGTTGACACATCTGAAGGACACAAGGTTGGGGAAGGATGGCTTAGGGAAACAAGCCAAAGACCTAAACCTCACTTTGAAGTTGGCTTTCTTCCCCAGCGACAGTTGGTTTATGTTTGCCCATAATGAGAAAATGTGGTTAGTTCAACGAGGAAGCTAAAGGTCCAATCTCCTCCTTGTAACTGTGCTAGAGGAGAATGGCAGCATGCAAGCTCACGCATGCAACACTAATCCATGTGAAGCAGCCCACACTCTCCTTCCACCAGCCTTCTGCAAACCTCAGACAGCTCAATACAACCAGGGCATAAAAGTATGCAAGCCTCGGTTTGAGTAAATTAATCCGCACAACAAAAACACAGTTTGTCTTGCAAACAGCTGCATCAGTCTGAAATACGAAAATGTGGATAGAAGAAGGCAGAAAAGACAATCAAAACATCTGATCTTACCTTTGTCGCTTTTGTCCTCTGATGTGTTTGCCAGAAGTGGAGCAGTGAGGACATGCATACAATGGTTGTAGAAAAAATTGAGAAACTCACTTTTCTCGGTTTTCTGAAACAGAAAATACTAACTAGATTAGCAAATATGCTAACAGCATGTAAAGTCATGCAGCTGAGAAGTAACAAACAACCAAACAAAGAGAAATCAATGATGCTGAATTCAGCGCCTTCAAGGTACCTTCTACCCAGAAGAGATGCAAGCCAGCACATTCCCACTATTATTATTTGAATGTTTTAAATAGCTTTGAGGGGTTTTTTTTTTGCAATCAAGTGGTATATAAATTGTATGAATACAATAAATTAAAAAATCTGTAAAATTAGGGTGGCCTCACCCTAATGACGTGGGGCAGGGCCCTTCTCTGCCCTGGTACCTAAGTTATGCAACTGCCTTTCTTCACCAATTAACACAGAATCCAAACTGTGGCTTTTCAAGCACCAGATAATTTCCCCCCCCTTTTTAAAAAAGACACATTCCCATATGTTTAACATTCCTGAGTTTTAGCGGCTTGATGACTTTAAATGGCTCTGGAGGATGCGGCTGTTGTGAAATTAAACTCTGTGTTTTATTTCCTCTTTAAACTGTTTTATAAGCAGCAGTTTTAAGATATGCTGTAAGATACCTTGAGACTCATATGAAAGGCAGGACTGAGATGCTTTAAACGACAATACGGCACGCACGCACCAGCATAAACATTCACACAGCTACAGAGCACTGGGATTTCTATCATTCCATTGTGCAGTCACAATGGAACAGGAAATCGCAACACAGTTTGTGTTTTACCTCAAAGCCACCATGGCAGCTTACCTAGCTAGTAAACTTCAGTTTGAGAGCATGAACTTGGTCCTTCTAAATTAAAATCCCCAACTCTTCCCATTGCACCAGACTGAAATAATTTTTTTACTATATAAACACTTGCTCCCAGCCCAGATTATGTAAGACCTTAGTTTGCAGGCAATGGTATTAACCATGCCCCCCTGCCATGGGGAGCTCAAAGTTAACCCATTCCATATATGGTGTTGATGCCTTTCAATCCCCTGGGCAGCAGACATGACAGGAGAACTCATCATTCAATCCAAGAGTGGACAAAGTTTGAACTGAACACAAAACAGTGTACAAGTACTGGAATCTCCAAGGATATGAAAAGTCATGCACATGGTCTAAAATAAAACGTTCTGACATCATGCTGTGGGAATGACATTTGAGATGAAGTAAAACTACTATTCCAGTTTTGTGGTGGAAACATATACATACATATATTTGAAAGAAAAAACATGCTTCCAAGTATATTTTCCAGAAATGAAAAGCTAACGCACATTTTTGCAAATAGTTACAAAGTGTGCCGAAAGACAAGTAGATTTTAGTCAACATGTTTCTTAGACAGTAAAGTTTCTTTACCCCTTTCCATTTTCTTACATTAGCTGTGGCCAACATGTTCTCAGGATCAATTAGGGTACGCAAGAGCCCCATTAACTGAACAGCGCCCCCAAGCTCGGGGTCAGTGTCACAGATCATTTGCTCAATGACTACGTTTATGAGGAGAATGTCCTGAAACAAACAGAGACAAATTAGATCCACTTTCAGAAATTTAACAAAGGTAAATAGCATTTTTTTTTTCTTGGGGGGTGGGAGGAGGGTAAGAATAGGAATCTATGACAGTTTTAGATTTTGGCTACCATCTCTCAGGGTACCAATTACTGAGCTTGTGTAATTTGCCACCTTTATTGATGAGGACGTTTATTTCCTCTTGATAAAAAAAGGAACTCGTGGAGAGTTCATTTGTGATGTATATTTTTAGGATCCACCTTATTTTTGGTAATTTTAAGTTGTTTGAAACAGTTTATAATATTATGTAATATTGCATTTCAATATTAACATTGTGTTCTGATTGTTGTAGCCTGTCCTGGAGCCTTAAATTGAAGAAAGGGTAATAAATTGTAATAAAATAAAATTGTAATATGGTGGTTCTTAGGTATTTTTTTCACCCATGAAGTCATTTTTATTGCTATGTAGCCGATTCAACATTTTAACCGTTTGATATGTTTCTGCTATGCAGTGTTTTAGGAGACTGTGTGTTAAAGAAAACAGATTTTCACAACGAACCCTTTGCAAATTTAAGTTAATAGGCAGGGTTAACTGCCTAGTGGCCACTTGCTACCCCAGATATCTATTGCCTTCAGGGACTGCCACACTATTTTTGCTCAACAATTCACACACGTTTGCTTACATGTAGTTTCTTCCAGCAACACATGTACAAGAAGACATGTTGCTTGCAGTATATCTAGATGCAACAGTGAGGAGATAGGAAAGAAATCTAACTATGGAGGCCCAATATGACCTGCCTAGATTCTGATACACCAAAAGCCTTCAAACTACCTGGTGACTCTTCTAGAGCTTCCATAAGAGAGCTTTATAAAAGTTAAGTGCCTCTGTTATGAGATTTGCAGCCAGATTACTACTTCTGATTATTATTTGAGTTTTGTGGTTGCTCACAATTTAGAGAGAGAGAAACGTTCAAGCTCCAAACCAGAGTATCCATCCATACAAACTCTGTCCATGTAATTAAAAAAATAAATAAATCTGGGACACCTATGAGACAAAAGACGAGGAAGAGTAACAATGCCTTGTCATGAGCAACCAACAGTGGAGTAGTAAATGGGAACCCAGTAGCCCAGGACTGATGCAACCTTTGTTGGAGAACACTCTTTCAGAGCCAACCTTTGTTTGCTAAATGAATCAAACATGTCAGGTGTTAACAGGTCAGGAAGCTCTCACGTCAGCCCAAATTATAGTTCAGAATACAGTGGTACCTCCTGTTACGGACAGGATCCGTTCCGGAGGCTCGTCCGTAACGTGAAATGCCCGCAACGTGAAGTGCTGCATCTGCGCAGCACGATTTGGTGCTTCTGCGCATGTGCAAAGAGCGATTTAGCACTTCTGTGCATGCGTGAGCGGCGAAACCTGGAAGTAACCCGTTCCGGTACTTCCGGGTTGCTGCGGGATGTAACGCAAAAGGACGCAACATGAGTTATGACTGTACAAGTCTGTGATCTTAGACTGTGTGTGTGTGTGTGTGTGTGTGTGTGTGAAATACCGAAGAACACTACATTTTTTACTTAATAAAATAAGGGACATTGTGGTAGGACTGGCCATTGCCAGCCGTATCATATGAGCATACTGCATCTTTCTTACATCGTCACTCTGCTGGGCTTCCTGCATTACAAATTCCCGCACCATGGATGGGCTGAATTCTACCAGGTAAGAAAATATATCTGTAGCAGCAGATCTAACTTGCAGATCGTCCATGCCCTGAAATGAAAATCATATTAACAGTGAAAAAGAGTATTATGGAGGTCGTAATGCTATACAAAGCTATTAAAATGCAGTGAAACTCTGATTTCAAATATACAAGAGGATAGTAATTCTATTTCTACAAGCCCTGGGGTACAAAAGCTTTCTTTATCATCCTCAAGAGTCTATGACTGCGAATCTAAGGGTGTAGATTTGGACATTTTGCTTAAAAAAAAGAAGTCCGACTTTGTTGCCTTGAAATTCAGGTAGTTAAACTATATGCAGGATTAGATCCAGAGTTCCTGTGAGTGGATCTTTGCTCAAAGGACATTCCCACCAGAAAAAGGGGTGTGTGTGATTTTTCTGGAATCTTCCTTCCCCCTGCAGCCTCCAAAGAAATTGCTCCAGAGGGTTGGAGAACTCTCTGGAACAGCATAGCAGGTGTCACCAGGGTTTATAAGGGAAAACTGTAAAAACCACCTCTGCAGGGCCTTCTGCTGGATCTTCCACAAATGCAAGAGCCCTTCTGTTGGTGGAAGAGCAACTCTGAGTGGGACCCAAGGTGATTTAAAGGATACAAATTTGAAAAAACCATTTCCCCTCTGCCTGTTGGATACCTAAACATGACCACTGAATCTTAGTGCTCTGTTTTTTATACACACGTATTTGTCACTTCAGTGATCACTGTATATTTACATAAGTCAGTAGTCATTTAAATATCTATGAACTGTATCTTTCTCAAAGGCTCTGCATACATCAGAGACTGGTATTAGAATCAGTCAACCTATGAACAATTTGAAAGAGTGCAATAGCTCAAAAATGTAAAGACAAACCAACGAGACACCTCAAATCTTGCCTGCACTTTATCATTCAACTCACCATTACTATTTCAAGAGCAGGAAGAATTCCTAACTTTGCCAAAGTTTTGAAAAACGTGTCTCTGTTCTGGGGCTGCAATGTCTGGGAAAATGCACAAAACTCCTTGAAGAAGTTAACCTGCAGGAGGTGAAAAAAACATTTTAATACAGAAAGTGCCAGTACACAGCCAGTAAGTAAACATTTATACAGTTTCAGATATTAACATAATCTGAGTTTTAACTCAACACAAAGAACACATATTTCAAGCAAAAGAGGCAGCAGCATTAGCACACTATTTCCCAAGGTAAAAGCATCCAAACTGGACTTACCAGTTCACGCCTTTTGTCATCATCTGTAGCTTCGTCAGTTAATTGTGCAAAAACTTCAGACAAAAACTTTTCATCTTCCTGTACAATACAGCAATTTTTACATAGTTATGACACAAAGTTCTCTATTTTATAGCTGCAATGCAAAATCAGGTTTTGTACTGTTGCAAGTTACTCTCTTATTTCATGTACCACTAAACTAATGCGTCCACCTGTGCTATACTGCCTATGCTTTCACAGCTAGGAAGGCAGATTCCACAGATTTACAAGTCACTTTTTTCCTCCAGAGAGTCCCATTGCAGTAAGCAGTATTATGTATGAACAGCATTGTTTCAATTTACCAAAGACAAGTCTATCAGTCATAATGGTCAACTTGTGCCCAATCAGTTTAGGAACCTAGCTTAAGATTCTTTTAAGTATCCATACAATGAATTCAAAATGCAGACGACTATAGTTAGTAAGAAGAAATTGATGAATGAATGAAAGCAGACTTTTCCCGTCCCTGATAAACCTCTGCATCTCCTTCTCCATCCAGCTTCTTCAGGGGGAAGAGGATTCCTCCTCTCACTCAGGTTTCTTTCCTCCCTCCAAGCTTCTTTGGGAAACAATGGAGGGAAGTAAAGCCAACGAGACCAATTACCCCTATAGCTAGGTATATGATCTGAATGTACGAGGCTTCAATCCAATCTGTATAACCTCCAACTGAGGTGCAAAAAAGTGCACCAGGAGCCCCACACATTTATATCTGCCCCGTGGATTGTCTGAAGTACCAAATTTAACGAGTTTTAGAAGTCAAGCACTTGTGACTTCAACAGAACAATCCAGCCAGTGTTTTTGTTCCAACAAGAAATTTAGGACTGAGTTTTTACAATTTCTTAAGCCTTGCAAGTTTAGAAGTCAGTTGCAGACTCAACAGTGATGATGCTAGACTCATTCTCAATTGGTGTATCTGACCTAAAAAATGTAAAACAAAACAAAACAGTGAGTCGTATTATTTTAACCCTCTTGATAGTTTTCTAGCATTAAGTGCTGCATGTGTTGAGCTTGACTGTGAAAAGATTATATAAAAGATTTAGTGAACTAGGAGAAGGAAGTGGCAGGCACAGTGCAAGGCAGGGGCAATCCAAGCCTTTAAATTAAGGAGCTAAAAACATGTCATTAAAAAAAACCAGTACAGATTAATGCCTCCCCCCCCCCCCCAATTCTCTCCTAATAATCTGGGAAGACACAGTAACAAGACAGATATATTAGTGTTTACAAGTTTCCACCCATCTGGAAATGGTTCAACTGCACATAAGTCAATGTAACTTTGCTAAGCCAAAACACAGATGTTACACACTTTTAGAACTGGAGGTGGGTGGGTAACACATAAATAGGTCATAGCCATTTTTTGCTTCCTACTGTCCTATTCCCAAAATGGCCCACCATCTCATTAAAGTCTTCTCTGACACTGGAGTTTGCATGCTATTTTTAGATATAGTCCAACTCTTAGAAATGCATCATTATATGAAACTGTCATAATGCACACAAAAAATCAGGACCGGTAAGCTAGTGAGCTGCTTCTTATGCAACCCTCCTCAACCAAAGGTTAATGACTGTGTCACAAACTGTCATGCTCATGACATATATGGGGACATATCCCTACATCAAATTGTCTCCTTCCCTTGGATACACAAGAGTCCAATGATCAAAGGTTACGAAGTACTGAATATCACTTTTACTTTAGGTAAAAAAAGGTAGAAGTATGTCAGTAATTAATTAGGCATATAGTTATTTCTTCATTTGTGCAATGCATGGCTGCAGGGGCATTACTGTAGAAAAAGGAACTGTACTGGACAGTCTCAAATATTAACTAGTCATTTCTCTGCAAGTTATAGCTTAAGTGTTTCTATTTGCTAAGTCTTTATAAGGACCCTGAAAAGAAACATAAAAAACACTAGTTAATAATGATTGCAGTCTATGGCAAGCAAAACTTCTCCCTACTCTGGACATGACCTGAGTTTCGTCTGTATTTGCTTGCCCCCAGAAAGTAGGGGGAAGCTTTGAAGTTATGATGACAGCCTCTAAAATGGCTAACGGGCATAAGTGAAGATCCAAAAAGTCACACAAACTACACATACTGGTGTGTGTGCCTGTTTTTCAATCACGGCGTAAGAGAAATCACCGAAGCAGCTTTCAAGGTGTTTGCAACATGGCATGGAATGGTTATATATATGCCATGGTTGAAATATTCCTATTCCAACAAGGAAGTTAAAAATAATCCCACGGGCATGCATAAAGACGGGCTGTCTTCTGAAGTAGCTCTTTGGACCTCAGTTATCAAGTAATTAAGATGCTATTCATGCTTATTATATAGGTCCCTTCTACCTACTACTGCTCATAACACTACCAATCAGAAGAGTCGTCCAACATCTATTCATTTGGAATGCTTAGAGCTATGCAGGCAGCAAGAAACCTCAAAAAGTACACCAATTTCATGTTGCCACAGCAGCAGCAGCCAAGGACCAAAATAAAAGAAACTGTTTCCAAAACACAGTTGTTGGCAAGTATTGAAAATATCTCCTCCATGTGTTCTGCTTTTGGAAGACAAGAGGGAGGCGGAAAGGGGGAAATACCAATAAGTTGTATTGTTTATGACGTATTAGCAATTTAGGTGTTTATCCTACTCAATATCAAAGTACTCAAGTTACAGAATATTTAAAATCAAGCTTGAAGCATCAAGAACAACGTAAATCTATTTAAAATCTTAGAAAAATCCCCCCCATTAAAATCCCCATCCATTATCAGTTTGGCCTCCACCCATAAAAAGCCAACTCAAATAAAGGGCTTACGCCTGAGCAAAGGAAGAACTTCTACAGTTGTAAAACTGAGCAAGGGCCAATCTACATGGACTTCCATTACAAGCAATAGTGTGTTATTCAATGTAGTGCTAAGGCAAATATTTTGCCAGCCCAATAATTTCTTCTTGCACAACAGAATGCTGCCCCTCTTCCATACCCCAAGTCCCCTAAATCTATTGCGGGAGTTCCCTCAACCCCCTGAAGCAGATCTGGGGTCAGTGCAGGTTGTGCATGGGGGGGGGGGCAGAAGACCCACTGCAGAAGCAGAATTTCTTTTGCTTGTGCAATTTTTTTAGTTGACTATAGCTCAGAGTCTTGAGCAGGGTTTCCCAAACTTTGGTCTCCAGCTGTTTTTGGAGTACCTTGCAGCTCGCCAGACAGAACAAATCCCCCTCTTCTCCCCCTGTGCACTGTTCCAGAGGTTCTCCCAACTGCCCCAGAGCCAACTGGGGGGTATGGGAGATGTGCAGTGGAAGGGGAAGGGGAAGATCCACTGTGCAAATGGAAGTCCTTGCATGGGGCGTCTGCTGCCAGGGCTCATTAGCTGAATCCCACTCAGTATCTCTAAACTAGGTCAAATGTTTTTAGGAGGAGGCATGCGGCACTTCACTATCTCATGAAGACAGTAACACTGTCTAGGTGCAGAAATACATCTTGATCTGACTATTGTTTATGTCTGCAATATATGAACTACCCCTCTAATGCTGAACCGCCTTGCATAAACTCTTTAAACCACACATTTTGAGTGACTGAAGTATTGTCTTTAAAAAGGGCATTTCCACTCCGTTCCACAGCTTTTTTAAAGTGTTCCCTAACATTTTATCATCTGAAAAACTGAAAGCTTTCCTCAACGTCTTATAATCAAAGGTTTAAAAGATTTATCAGGGAACAGTATATCTTGTTGCACTCTAGGCTTGTATTGCTGTTAGGTTATGCCCAACAATGGGCATGAGTTCAACCACCTTGCTATCGACAAAAAATGACAATGATCCAAGTAATCATTTAGCGAAGATTTAGTCAACTTCTGTCTTTTCACTGAACAGGGTGAACTTGAAGATGAATTGAACCCAAGCAATTGCCTATGGATGACACACTGCAGGTGGTATGGCAGCTAATAAAACATTGCAACTGACACATTATTTTAAGAACCACATCACATTATTTAAATCTACATTTGTTCTGGCCGTATCTTCCAAAAGTCTATGAACTACCATATGCTGCCACTTAAGGGCTTAAGAGCAAAATGACATGGTTTACAGCCTCCAAAGAGCTGGAATTCACTCGTTTTCATTTGGCTCCCACAATTTGACATATAAAAACTGCAAACTAAGTCTATGTAGGAAACAAGGTTCTATATTCTTAAATGCTGGCATGTGAAATGTTTGCTTCAATACATTATTTGTACTACAAAATTAGGAGTACCTAAAAATGAACTCTGAGCTCTCTAACAATAGTTCTAGCAGCTAGGGGGTTAAAAAGAGGATTTGTCAGACATTCCCCGTTTGTCAGACCCTTTAACTCTATTTTTAAGCTATTATGCAAAAAGATTTCCTACATCTAGGAGACTTATAACAGAAAATTCTAAATAAGATTATGCCAACAAGAAAAAATGTTAACTAGAAGGAAGATTGCTTTTTTATTCTTGGAGAAGAGACTACAGAACAGATCAATGGGAAAGCTCATTATTTTCATGCAGCAGGTCCTGGGCTCAGTCCTCAGTATCTTCAATTAAGGTAGGTGGTGATACAAATAACTATGTGAAATGCTGGAGTTTCTTCCAGTCACAATAGACAACACTGTGCTAGGTGGACATAAGACAGCTTCCTATGTCCCCTACAGTCAAACCCTTGGTTTAGTTCTTTTTAAAAAGTTTCTTGGGATGAACAAGGTTATGCGCAGGAGATTCTTAATTTGTTTCCTGCGTATTTTAAAAATATTTTCTGTTAGAGGATTCACAGAAACAAAAAACATTAATCATAAGCCAGCCAAGAGAAATTATTGAGTTTGTTTTGGATTTAGCTTCAGAACCTTATGTTCGTTGCATAATTTTATAGAGAGCTAAAACATTTACAGAATTAAAAAGCTGTGCCTTTCTCATGCAGCCTATATAAAACTTTAATCAAATAATGTTACAATTCGAATATTACAGTTTGTAAGTGTAAGAAGGCTAATGATAGCATTTGTGAGAGTCGCTATTTATACTGCATTTCGTTTTTAATACAACACACAACACAGCTGCTTATAAGCAGGAAAAAACTGTTAACCATCTGCCACGAATAAGGCCACTGCTGAAAGGCACCTACCTCTCACATAACAGAATGAGCTGAACGTAATGTATCTGGTTTAGAAGGAATGCACTGTGCTTATGAAGAAGACTGTGAAATACACAACTGAGACATTACAGCAAAGAACAAAGCTAGCCAAGGGGGGTGAGGAGGAAGCACCAGAACTAATAAATTAGGTTTAAAAGCATGTACCACAAGCAGCACTGAATTAAAGGCATGCTACGGTTAACCTCACATTTGTATGTCAAATCTCCAAAAGGCAAGCCTTCCAAACGTCTAGTTTCACTTACCTGCAGCATACTGACAATCTCGACTTTGTTAAAGAAAATGAAAGATGTGAGAGTAGAAAGAAAATTTTCTTCAAAAACTGATGGTGTTGGCAAGATGATGTCCTGGATGTACTGTACCCTGTAAGTCTGATGAATCTTTTGCCTAAGTTCAGAGTCTGTTATAGGTATGACCTCTTTAAACTTTGCTGTTTTGGTCAAGAATTCTCTGTGCCTTTTTGGCTGAGCTAATGCAGGGTCATACTCAAGGCATCCCACAACATCCATAATGCACTCGTCTGAAAACATCACCTCAAAAAGAGTTGCTTTATTGAGGAACAAAATTCCTCGGATAATTTCATACAAATGATGTAAGCCTTCAGTATTTTCTAGGTTTTCACAAAGCTGGAAAAGCTGCAATAATTTTTTTATGTAGCCTTCATTTTCCAAAGCCAAAGCTAGTTTTTCTCTACGGATGGGCGACGAGAGAACTGAGGTAACTAGGTCTGCAATCTCTTCGAGTTTGTTAAGTTCACAAGTAGGGAGATCAATCAAATGAGTTGTTTCTGGCATTTCCTCAAACCGCTCTTCTTCAGATTCATCAATGAGATCCTGTGTGACTTCCACTGAAGGGTCCTTACCTTGAACCTAAAAATGGAAACATGAACAATTGCTGACTCATTCTGAAACATACTGGTGACTGTCGGAGGCAGAGAAGAGGAAATAAATAATTTGGTCAAATCACATAACATTAATAGGCTTCTGCAAACTGACCAGGAATGAAATGTGGCTCTTGGGCTGCGCAAACTCAGGCTCTGTTCCTGCGGCAGATGCTGATAGTGCGAAAAGGGGAAAGAACTTTCTTGTGGCCCACCAGAGCTGTGCATATGAGCAACTGTTCTGAACATGACTCATTGGCAAAGGATCAACAGTTCTATTCACATCCCAACCCAGTAGATGTCATACAGGAGAGTCACATGCAGTCTATGGTGGCTGTAATTCCAGGCACAGGAGTACTCTGCTAGGAGACAAGGCAGCCCAAGTAGTTGGTTTAAAGCTCAGTCCTAGGAATTGGATGAAACTTACACATTATAGTCCTATACAGATTCATATAAAGCATTTTACAGAACATGTAGACACACAGCAGCATGTTTTCAGTTACATGTTATTTCACACACATGTACATGTCATGGAGCTTAGAATTACTGTTTCTCCGAAGCATGAACTTGTAGCACTGCAGGCACATTTGCTGCCATGTAAAATGCCAAGGAAGCCTAAAATATTACTATAAAAAGGGGCAATTGAAAAACACCCATGAAAGGAGCAAGCAGGTGAAACTGTAAAATAAGCCTGTGCCCTGATGCCATGAAGTTCTAACACTGTACTATGAAATTCTATGACTGTGTTACATGTAAGCAATAATAACATAACATGTTCAAAGTGGGATTTGTAAATAATATGATTGGAATAAAAATGTGGTAAGTTTTAAAAAGATTAACCTTACCTGGCAAATTTTCTCCCAGATTTCATCACAGCCAGCTTTTTCTTGAAAACTCAGGGCTAAATCATAATTCTCTGCTTCTGACCAAACAATCAAAGTATCCTATTTCAAAACGAAAGACTATACTGAATATTTGATTCCATACAAGTACAACAGTGGCATACAATTAGGTTGATATATCCAACAAAACAACTTGGTGAAACAGGATACTGGGGTTTTTTATTTAAAAAATGCTACCTTTTTAGAACTGCTCTTCATATGCCCTTTCACAATTTCCTATTAGGAAATTTTAATTAGAAATATTAACCCTCCAGTTTAAAGAAACAATAATATTTACAACTGATTTTATATTATACAGGCAGGATTATTTTTACAATATAATTTACCATATAAATCGCCAATGATCTACAATGAATGCAGTTGAATACTCTTTGGTTATGCATGTCTGGATAAAAGGCCAAGAGGCTAGCTATGTATTTAAGAACATCTCTGATTCAATCCCTAGCATCACCAGATACAGCTGAGACACTCCCTGCTTGAAACCCTGGAAAGCCACTGCCAATCATTGTAGACAATACCAAGCTAGACAGACCAATGGCCTGACTCATGTTCCTATCAAAGGCATATTCCTATGTTCCTATCAAAGGCATGCACAGAACCTAATAAAATTCACCCAGGAAGTATAATGATTTATCTTAATTGTCACAATATTCTTATTCTTTTAGAAAGAGAACAGCAAGAGGTAGGGAACTGCAATGTCCTGAAATTGGGGGGGGGGGGGGAATTCTCTGACATTATGAGTATTTGTGATGATCCAGATGGAATTTTGCATTTCTTTGTTTATAGAAAATTATATTATACTGTGAAGCCTTCAGCATTAAGACATGACACCCAACACTAGCAATGAAGATCTAGTTGATCAGAGAAAATGGGAAGTCACCTCACCTCTCTTAATTTTGCTCTCTCAAGCAGGCAAAGACCATTGTTTATCATGTTCATGAGGATACAACAGGAGTTGAAAAGCTTGCATGATATACCACTTAACTAGTTCCTGAGGCACAACTCTTATTTTCAACACATACAGCTGACGTATTTAGGATCAGAAAGCCATATTGTAAAGGGACAGAATCTTAAAACCACCCTCTCACTGAAGCAGCGTTAATTCAAAGTCATTAAAAGATAGATTTCTATTTTTACGGAGAGATTTGCAAGTTAATTATTATCTTGCCATCTTTCGTTCACAGGATCAGGATAGGTCAGGAAAGCTATGAAGAAAAACCCCTTTCCTAAAAAACATTTTAAAATTAGTGGGAAATGTTTAATTTTTATAACTTTTAAAGTGTACAAAAGCATGCCTAGCATACATTAAAAGACTGATATTAAACAACCTTAAAGAAACAAGTACCAACTTTGAACCACATTTTTGAGAATGAAGTCTGCACACTTGTACAAATAAAAATCATTTGTGCAACGGGACTTCTTGTTCTAATTCTGTCTCCTCCAGCCCCCCCCAAATCTGCTGTGGAGGGTCCCCCAACCAATGTAATTTAATCAAAACAAAAGACAAATGAAACTTAGTTAACAATATTGTTGCTTTTATTATTTCAGGCATTTTTGAAATGCAAACCCATGGCCAATATTAAAGTAATTTCTGTTAATGCTTGAACTGGCAACCCAGCTATGCTTCTATGAAGATGTTTATATAATCATCTATGATGATGCATCAAATCCCATCTTTGGGATTTTGGATCCTTTCCCAAAATACATAAAACAATGAAATACCACCAATATTTCCCAAATGCTTCTTTTGGTGGGGTGGGTATTAAATTTGCTTCCCGTCTCCTGCATCAGACCTGTTTCTACTAGTTAAAAACCTTCGGAGGCAACTTGCATACAACACTAATATTGCAACTGCATTGCATAAAACAGCTTCATATATGCTGCCATAAGAGCTAGGACAGAGTGAAAAAGGAGAGGCTCTTTACTAGATTAAAAATAAACTATATGTTTACTACTAAATTCTTCTTGTTCTTGGAACTAAAATGTACGCAAGAGTTTCTATATATACGTAGAATGATTGAAAAGGATAACAAGTGGCTGCAACCTGTGTATTTTTGAATTTGTGTTCAAGCCTTGCTAAACCTATTTATAGACAAGATTTACTTATTTCAGCCCTGATCCTTCATTCTATTCCATGCAAAACGGTTCCTGTGCCAGCAGAGTTCTAATGAAGTCAAGTGAAATTTTCCAAAGGGACAGAAGTCAGGTCACCTTCTATGGATCCAACTATAAATCTGAAACCTACAATTGTCTTCAGTGACACAAGCCTCACTGCTAGGCGTATAAATTTTTTCCTACACAGTTCCTTTCCAAAATCCTTATATTTCATATCTCAACACTCAGTGCTGAACCTCTTGTAGCTTCCTGAAGATCCAAAGAAAGTGTTACATTTTCTGAAATTCTGCACCAGCCAGTTTGAACCTTTCCCCTAATCTTATTTATTGAGGGACAGATCCAGCCATGGTAGCAGTGCCCTAAATGAGATTTGGAACATCTGCCTATCACGTCAGGCCACGTTCTCAAAAATATTTATCATTCATATTCTTTGTGACATTCTTACAGACGAGTCATTGTGAAAGGGTTTTTTTGTTTTAACATCATACTAATTCAAAATACACTTTTTATCCATGAACTCTTTGTTTTCTAGAAACTTGCTGATGGAATAAGGCTCTTAGTCACCATGTGTAGGTTACTCTGTAAACCAAAGGGAAGTCTACTATGGGATTACACACACACTCTCTCTCTCTCTCTCCACACACACACACACACACACACACACACAGACACACAGTAAATAATATTAATAATAATAATAATAATAATGGAATTAGGAATCAGTTTTATGGCTGAGTTCAGACAATATTTCTTGGCATCATGAAACATGGGCTGTGAAGCTGGGGGCAAGTATCAAAACTGAGCACTTTCCCTTCGTCTCATGTGATGGCTTCATACTTGCTTTGCATTAAACTTGAAGTTCCTAATACATCTCAGTTGAAAAACTCTTGTGTAAAGTCAGGTAACTAACCAAAATGATAAGACAGGATGCAATCATAGTTTTATGAAGATGGGGAAGATGATCCAAAACTGTTCTATGGCTGTAACTTTAATCAGTAAGCCTTTGCAAGGAATTAAACTCAAAAGAGAAAACGTATCTGGGATATCCCCTCCTGCCCCCCAAATTAATATACTAAACTTAATTTGCAATATGGGGGAAATGGTGCAGTACTTATAACAGACTAAGTACTCCTTAATCATTCCAACACTAGAATGGTCAAAGAAACATGTAATCTAGCTTTTAAAGTCCCCCCAGGTTCCTTCCTTTCTGTCATAGAATGAACTTGCAATTAAGTAGTGTGCCAACTCTGTGCAAACAAGATATTTCTGTACAATGGCAACACAGTAGATACTTATAGGAAAAAGCTAGTACATGCCTGCTGTTTTTGATATGCAGTGTTTGGATTTATCTTCGATTCCAACAAAAGCGAACCTGAAAAAGGAAGAATTGCAGTTAGGAACCTATGTGAAGTAAAATGAGCTTTATAGAAATCAGTAATCTATGTTTCAGAGCACCACCCTCCAGTCTAACAGTTTCATACAAGCAATGATGAAAGACAGCAAAGATAAACACAAAATCAATATACACATCTGCAAGTCCATTCTAATACCTTGAGAGGCAACTAAAAGCAAATACAACTACACCATATACATTTTCTTACTCATGAAATAATGTATTCTTATCTTCTTGAGATGGCTGACATATATTCTGTTCAATCTTACTCGACTAGGAGTAATCGCCAAAGAAGAAGATGATATTCTGTTGCGGTATATTCATAACACTAAACTCTTTAACCCTAAACTTTGTATTATGTGTGTGTCTAAGCAGTCATGTATCGTGGCAACCGCTCGAGTAATCTTTTCCAGCCCTCACAAGGTTTATTTAGCACATTAACACCTGTTCGTTAGCAACGTTGCCAATACATTTTCTAAAAACAGCTTTCCTGATCTTTAAAGAAAAAGAACCCATTACAACAAGAGTTTAAATCTTTGCTACAAATATATTGCAACAAGGAAACTTTTTTTTAAAGAGGCCTTCACACCAAAACATATATTCCAATGAGAGGCTTATAAAGATTCCATCATAAGGGGAAATGTTAAGGCAGTGCTTTGGATACTTATAACCCAGTTCTCAATACACTTCGAAATAAACATGTCAAATTCATAGCTACTAACTAGTAACTGAGCTTTTCTAAAAGTTGAAGTATTGGCACACAAAAAAACTTTCGAGACTATGTTCCATATTATTTAGACATCTGTCACAAGTAATGGGCTTGGTAGCCTTAAAAGAGGCAGGAATTGAGAGAATAGAGATGGGTCTCCTTCCCCATCGTAGGCACTAGTTTCGCCTAAGCAAGTGTTTAGGGCTTTTTCCTGTAAAACTGTCAGATGAACAAGGACCTGAAGAAGACTGTTCAACGTAATAAATTTCGTTATCAAGTATGAAGAGCCTTTGAATGGGTCATCTCATTGGGATAAGCTTTTGAGCCAAGCTTTCTAGAACTGCATGGAATTTCACGTCTGGAAAGGAAGATGGAAGAGGAAAGACGAGTGGTATTTGGAAGAGTAACTCTGATACCACAGCAGGCCTGTAAACAGCCATGGCCTGGTCATCTACGAGTAAGAATCACCTGAACGAAGGTGACTAAGTAGGGAAGCTGCCTCATTCCCCCCCCCCCCCCGTTTAACCTTTCAGCCCCTTTCTTCTTATGACAGAAAACAACTAATGTTTACCTATGGGGGGGAATGGGATTACTAATGACTTCTGCAACCTTATGGGGAGGGTACTAAAGAGAGTGGAGAGGGGGGAGAGAAAAGAAGAGAGCTGTGATCTGTAAAGGAGGGCAGGCTGCAAGAGACAAGAACTGAGGGAAGAGAGCGGCTAGAATCACAGAACTGTGGAGTTGGCAAAGGGACCCCAAGGGTCATCTAGCCCAACCCGCCTGCAATTATTGCAACTACTGATATTGTTGCAGGCACGTAATCAGCAGCGCCTGTCAGCCTTTATTTTTTCCCCTTAATATTTTGTGCGGTGGGGAAGAGAGAACAAAAACACGAATAACTTGCTCCCGAGACTTCAAGCGAGAGGGAAGGAGGATTGTGTTGTGAGAGACAAGAGGTGCTCCGAGGCACCCTTTGGGGGAGCCATCTGCCCCCTAAGCTATCAGCCTTAGGACGAAGGCGGGGGGGGAAGCTCCTTAGGGTCCCGATGGGAAACGAGGAGGGGGGCCCTCTCGGGGCCTGAGGACCACCTCGCCGCCTCCCCCCTCCTGCCTCTCTCCATTGTCCCAGGCAGCCCAGCCTCCGCCTCGCCCCATTATCCCTGCCCCTCCTCACCGTCCGACTCGGCCCGCACCAGCAGCGACATCCCCTTGAGCCGCTCCACGTAGGTGGACGAGACGTGCCCGGTGCCCCTGTCGTCCCATTGCCGCTCTTCGTTGAGCGTGTAGACCTTCACCCGCCGCCGGGTGTCCGACATGGTGCGCGGCCCGGCCCGGCCGGACTGCGAGGGACTGAGGAAGGGGCGGCAGAGGAAGGAACAGAGGGCTCCGCCGCCGCTCAGGAGCCCTTTAACTCGCCGCTTCTCATGGCGCCCGGGCCTGCCGCCTCTGCCTCCGCCTCCGAGTCCCCCCCCCCCACTCAGCGTCACCAGGCGAGCAGCAGCAGCAGCGACTACCACCGCGGCGCGGCCGCCATCTTGTAATCCGACTCCTGTCCCGTCCCTGCCTTTCTCTTCCTCTCAGAGCCGGGGAGGGAGGGGGGAGGAGCGGGGCGGAAGGCCTGCACGGGCTCCACTAGCAGGGGCTACGGCGGCCGAGAAGCGAAGGAAAGCGAACGCGAGCGGGAGGGCGCCTTCGAGCTCGCGTAGTTTGGAAGGGAAGGGCTGAGGAGGAGGAGGAGGAGGAGTTGATGTGTGTGGGGAGGGGGGAGGTTGCGCCTGCGCGGTTGCGCCTGCTCCTGCTGAGCGCGGGAAGGCGGCGTTCCTTCGCCTCTCTCGACCTCTGGCAGTTGACGGCACATAGACTCATGGAACAAAACGTACAGAGAGACGCATGTGGCGAGAGTCTGAGGCCCGCGCATATTAAAAAAAACCACACACGTCCACAGCCCTTCCCAGGAATTATAATTAAATAAGTAACACAAGCACCAATATTTTGAATACAAGAACAAACAATCTGAAGAAGTGTGTATGCACAGGAAAGCTTATACCCAGAACCAATTTAGTTGGTCTCTATGGTGCTACTGGACAATTTTTATTTTTTTTTTTATATTTCTATACCTGAAACAATCACTTAAGGTTCCCCACACACAACCACCACCCCAACTACCTCCAGGTGTTTCTTATTTTGTGTTTTTATGAGCCACCCTGAGATGTGCGGACGAAGGGCGGTATACAAATTTAACAAAGATAATAACAAAATAATACATTGATTTCATAGCTGACGGTTTGAAAAGCAGTCATGCCACGAGTTCACGCATGTTCTTTCTTTGTTGCAAATGAGACGAAAGTGGGCTGCGTTTTCTACAAGCTTTGAAGGTTCTTGCGCCTGCCTTCTTCTTTGTACCTTTTCCGTACCATTTTGCCATTTAAATGTTATTTGAAATGTATTAAAGAAGGGATGCAGGCATGGGCGGGTATCGCCTCCGAGGTGAAAGCACTTCCCTCAGTTATCACTGATATATGAATATCATTTATTTTTGTAGCCAAAGCCGATAACAACAGCAAATACCGTATTTTTTGCTCTATAAGACTCACTTTTTCCCTCCTAGAAAGTAAGGGGAAATGTGTGTGCATCTTATGGAGCGAATGCAGGCTGCACAGCTATCCCAGAAGCCAGAACAGCAAAAGGGACTAGGTGCGTCTTGTGGTCTGGTGCGTCTTTTAGAGCGAAAAATACGGTACATTAAACAGAATAAAATACACCACAAGGTAAAAAAAGATAATTTTAAATTAAAACCAGGCATTCTGTCAGATGAGTTTGCTCCCCTGAATAATTTAACTTTAAACCTCCCACAAACTTTTCTCCTTAAAATTGCTGCTCCAAAGGCCAAAACAGGCTACTTTTTCAGAGGTGTAGGGGACGCTGTCCCCTAATAGAAAGTTAAATCAGATAATCAGTCTATCAACTGGGATGTTTAAATCTTTGAACGAAGCTGCTCTTAAATCCTCCTAAATTGGGCAAACCAGTAAGTAGTGGGTAAGGCTTCAGGTCCATTGCCTCCACATGGGCAAACACTCAGTTCACGTGCCGTTTTCTCAAAGCTCAAGATTATTAAAAAAAAAACCTCCTTAAACTCAACAACGTTGCAAAAAAGAGTAACTGGCTTGTCAACTATATCAATTGAACATGCGCAAGCACCAGTGCTTTTGACCTGAAGGAATTGGTGACAAAATATGCAAAGGAAAAGGCACGCAAAGCAAGACTTAAATTTTAACATCACAATTCGCAAGGTTGTGCGCTGAAACATTTTATTTTGCATTTGAGGAAGGTAATCAAAGGTTGCTGCATTACTACTTATTGCAATTTAAGTTAAATTCAGTGGTTTCAAGTTTTGCGCTTTTTGTTTTCCTACAAGACACCTGCTTTTGAAATTTGAAGCTAGCAGTCAGGCTTGGGGGTTGTAAGTTGCTAGGCTTGCCTAGGGCACTGGGACTAGTTCCAGAGAAATCTGGAATCAGTGTCCTTCAGCTATGGCATAGTGGGCAGGGGGACAAACAAAAAACTATTGCATAGTGCATAGACTGGAACTGCAGAGCCAGAAAGGCGTTTATGCATTTGACATTTGTGGTGCTGGTTACATAGTGAGAGTGCGGAGTTTTCATGGGGAGTTGGGTATACCAAGGGGCTCCAGTATTGGGGGGGGGGGTGGCAGGAAAAGGGTCTTGCTAGTAAGGTGTAGTGGTTAGAGCGTGGCCTTCGACGGGTGGGTCACAGCCTGATCCAAGATGGGCTGCAACAGGAGCACTACCACCATGCAAACATACGATAATTGATGGGGAAGTAGATTCCCCAAATGCATGTTTGGGTTAAAACTGGGTCTGAAAGGATTGAAGATACTTGGGGTTAGAGTGTCAGGCTACAACCTGGGAGGCCAAGAGTTCAAATCCTCCCCCCTCCACTCAGCCATGAAGCTCTGATACCTCTGTTCTGATACAGCATTCACAAAAACACGAACAATCTCTTTAAAATAACAAACATCTGGCTGTTGTCAATATCTATTGTGTCCCTGTGAGGACATGAGTTCTAGTTATTCAGGCTTTACAAGGCTGGCACCACCAACTCCAGCCCCCTGGCAGTGGCTAATACCTGCCCTGGGACCTCTTTTTTATTTTTATTTTTTGGATGAATTAAACATTTGGAAAAGACATTATCTAACTGTACAATCCATAACCTTGTGAACACTTATGGAACCTTCCTTTTCTCGCATTTATTCATAAAGCTATTCTGATCTGCTGTATACAGTTGTGTTTTATGATATGCTAAGCAGTATACAGTGGTACCTCGGGTTAAGTACTTAATTCGTTCCGGAGGTCCCTTCTTAACCTGAAACTGTTCTTAACCTGAAGCACCACTTTAGCTAATGGGGCCTCCTGCTGCTGCTGTGCCGGCGGAGCACGATTTCTGTTCTCATCCTGAAGCAAAGTTCTTAACCCGAGGTAATATTTCTGGGTTAGCGGAGTCTGTAACCTGAAGCGTATGTAACCTGAGGTACCACTGTAATTGATTAGGATACTATTATTTCCCTTTAAAACTGGGTCTAAATCCTGGGCTGAAAATGAAGCTCAGGACAACAATAGATGATGGAATGCAGGAGATTTCAATCTGTGTAAGAACTGCTGAGCTCCTGTGTGTCTTTTCCAAAGAGTATATAAGCTGAAGACTCTCCAATATGTTTTGCACACCAAGCGGTGGCCTAGTTTGCTTCTGTGATTGGAACAGTCTTGATCGCAACAGAACACTTATTTCCCCCAAAAAACTCTTTAAGTTAAAATTACTGAGTTAGCTAGAGACTCAGAGTCATAACAATATTTCCAAATCAATAGACAATAAATTCACCAAAGTGAGTCCTACTTTCTCTCATTGAAACTACAATTACTACCAAACATCAAACAAAATATTAAGAGTTGTGGGAACTCTAACCTCAGTCCTCTGTTTTACAAAAGCCTAAAACTGTGAAGTTGCAAACCACTAAGAACACTGTAGATAAGAAACACTACTTGGATAGCAGTATTGGAGTTCTTTTCCTTTTCCCCTGGAACGATTAATGCACAAAATGATGTCACCTTCATTAAAGGATAGTCCATAACTCTTCATACTATGCCGGGTGTTAGACTAATTATATACTAAACAATTCAGAAGTTAATTCCACCTCAGCACCTTTATTGTTCCCCAAGGTGCTTACAACTAAGTTCCAGGACGAAGGACGTGTCTCAATGGTTAAAACTGGAGCAGCTAATGGTTATGCAGAGACCAACAAACCAGTCACTGTTGTTTAGACTCGGGGCTTGTGGTGACACATATTTGCATATCTAATTATGCAAATAAAATGTGAGATCACCTTAACCTTAGGCTTCAAGAACAAGCTGCAACAGGGAGAGTTGTCCTACAACACTTATGAAAGACACACTCATTGGGGCAAGCCTCTGGCTGCTAAGAATACCCTCTGCATGACCTTGCCAGCTAAACTTAATGCACAGACGCAACAACTAAGAGGTGCTTCTCAGGGCAGCCAAGGGTTTATAGCGCTAGGGAATCATAGTCCTGATGGCACGATAAACTCGCACAGGCTGCACTGCGAGTAAGTCCCACAGAACACTGTGGGATTTACTTCCTAGTGTACATACAAACACGGGGGGGGGGGGGGGATAACAGCCTTGATCAAACAGCAGAAAAGCAATATTCCATCCATTTTTATTTTATTCATCATTAAACATATTTTTAGTTCCTTCTCCATCAAACATCTCAGGGTTGGTCACAATACCATTACAAAGCAATCTCATCAGGAGACCCGTTCCATGTGACCTAGGAATGGCGGCATTTAGTTTGATGGCACCCACCCTTTGGGACGGGACGCGGGTGGCGCTGTGGGTTAAACCACAGAGCATAGGACTTGCCGATCAGAAGGTCGGCAGTTCGAATCCCCGCGACGGGGTGAGCTCCCGTTGCTAGGTCCCTGCTCCTGTAAACCTAGCAGTTCAAAAGCACGCCAAAGTGCAAGTAGATACCGTATTTCTCACTCCATAAGACGCACCAGACCATAAGACGCACCTAGTTTTTGGAGGAGGAAAACAAGAAAAAAAAAATATTCTGAATCTCAGAAGCCAGAACAACAAGAGGGATCGCTGCGCAGCGATCCCTCTTGCTGTTCTGGCTTCTGGGGTAGCTGTGCAGCCTGCATTCGCTCCATAAGACGTACACACATTTCCCCTTACTTTTTAGGAGGGAAAAAGTGAGTCTTATAGAGCAAAAAATACGGTAAACAGGTACTGCTCCGGTGGGAAGGTAAACAGTGTTTCCATGCGCTGCTCTGGTTTGCCAGAAGCGGCTTAGTCATGCTGGCCACATGACCCGGAAGCTGTACGCCGGCTCCCTCGGCCAATAAAGCGAGATGAGTGCCGCAGCCCCAGAATCGGCCACGACTGGACCTAATGGTCAGGGGTCCCTTTACATTTACCCTTTGGGACACCCTCCCATCACACACCTTTGCTCTGGGCCCCACTGCTGCCATAAGGAAATTGCTGTTGTGCTCATGTCCTGCTCCTGAGTACAGGATTTGATGAGGCTTTGGTCTGATCAAGCTGGGCTCTCCTTAACAGTCAACACTGGGCTAAATGAAGAGGCTAAATAGACTTCTCTGGCAGCAGCAAACAAAAGATGCTTCACAGTGATTCCCTCTAGAATTTGCTCTCTGTCTGTGCCTAGATGTATTTGATAGGAAAAACATTCACCTTTGGTCCCCACCCTGCGTTCAGCTCTCACTTGTGGCTCCTAGAAGCAGTCAGCATGTGACAGCGGCCACAGCCTGGGAATGGCTTTGACTAGCTGGCTAAACCAGGGGAGAGTAGTTGATGTGTCTCAAAACCTCAGTGAGATAGGGGCTCACCTAGACATCATCTTAAAAAGCAGAGACATCACCTTGCCAACAAAGGTCCGTATAGTTAAAGCTATGGTTTTCCCATAGGACAGATCGTGGAAGGACAGATCGTGAAGCTGAGGCTCCAATACATTGGCCACCTCATGAGAAGACTCCCTGGAAAAGACCCTGATGTTGGGAAAGATGGAGGGCACAAGGAGAAGGGGACGACAGAGGACGAGATGGTGGGAAAGTGTTCTCGAAGCTACCAGCATGAGTTTGACCAAACTGTGGGAGGCAGTGGAAGACAGGAGTGCCTGGCGTCCATGGGGTCACGAAGAGTCGGACACGACTAAACAACAACAGCAGCATGTGAAAACATGCTCTCGTGGATGAGACCAAGAGTGGGTCCAGTGGTCAAGAAGGCAGTTTCTGCACGCTTGCCGTAGTGGGGAGTGAGGGGCAGATGGGGCTCATCAACCTGGGAAGGCAGCCCACCTAGGAGAAGGAAAACTCAGATCCTAAACCTCCGCTGCCTTGCAGGATATCTTCAGGAGAAAAAAAGGCTGAGGAATAAACCCTACAGAAATCCGGAGAGGAGATCCGAAACACCTGGAAGGCACCTTGTACACCTTGCAACTCAGGCAGCCAAGCTGGTGCCAAATTGATTGCTCTGCTTTCCTTTGGACTATATCCATGAGGCTGAAAGGGGGTCTTGTCATCTTGGCAGCCTCGCGCCCCAGGGAGGTCACAGCACTGCTGTTAATGCAACGGCTTTACTTCACCTCCAGAGGCACACTCCATTGGCTCTCAAGACAGACGGATGCCAACAGCTGCACTCTCAGTATGGTTTTAACACTGGAGAGCACCCAATATTTCTTTGGGCTGTTGGTTCATTTTGACATTTAGGTTATGGCTTCTACTGGGAAGTGCAGCTCCCAATATGCAACAATAATTTCAAAGTACAACACACTTGGGAGCTTAGCATTTTATGAAAATAACATAGTAAACCCATACATCTTGCAAGGTTCCTTTCTGGTTAGAGACAGTTTCGTTTTGCTCATCCTGTGTTGTTCTTCACACTTACATGTCCCCCCAGGAAGGTAGATTGTCACATTTAACAATGTGCATCCCTATATGTACAATTAGTGTGTCTTTTTTATTCTGAGGCCAAGAGGAAAAGGATGTTCTGCCTACTTTCCCTCTTGTGCTATTGTACACAATGGCAGGCTCACCATTTCTAATATAACACCACAAGAGATTTGCAGCAATGCTTCCAGAGCTTCAATAAATTTATCAGATTTGCAATTTAAGGCATCCATTTCAGTTTTCATCTTGTTTTTCCTGAACAGACGTTGGCAGCCCACAGGCCACCCTCTCTCCACCAGTCTTTACACATCCCAAAGGTTTTTCCTGCCTAACCACCTGTATCTCTCAAATGGTAGCTTGAGGACCTGATTCCAGTGTGAAATATATGAATGTTACACATTCAGCATGACCAAAAGACAAAAAAGCCACACTGTCTTGGATGAGCTCTCCTGAAAATGTCTTTTAAAAAATGTTCATAATGGGATCAGCCTGCCATTCTTCAAAGTCGAACTAATTTTGCCAGATTGCTCTTGTTCAGTTATAAATATGCATTTGCTAAAATGTTCGCCCGCAAAGTTGTGTTGCACAGTTTGCTCCATTTTATAGCAGTCAGTCCCATCGTCACTAGTTTCTAATGGGAAAGAGGCACATAAAATTGTATTGAAAGGGTTTCAAAGCAAAGCCTACCGCAGAGTTAAATAGATCACGGAGGTCATTTTCTGTTATGCGAGAGAATGAGCTGTTTGGATTTTTTAAAGACATTCTTGCAAGCCGAACAATATACAGAAGAGAGCTGTGTGCGCACACACACAAGTATCTTCAACACACCTCTTGAGCAACAAAAGGTGTTAAGCAGAAGGCAGTTTTCTTTTCTTATTGTCTGGAAACAGTCCAGCTACTTGGAAGTGTTGTTTCAAGTTTTACATAATTTATAGAGGTGTTGCTATGGGCATGTTTTTCAAAAGGAAAAAAAATCTACGAGGGGAAAAGAAAAAGAATCAAACGACAGAAAACGTGAACTGATATCCACTGATCTTTATACAAAATTTAAAATATTTCTCTGTGTGGTATACAAACCTGCATGATAAGAAGCTGTCACTTCACAACAATTTAGTCTCTTGTCAGAGGGTCACAGCATTGGTAAGTCCAGAAAGATTTCTACAATTCCGAATAAAAGTTGCTACGATGTTGAACTAGCAGGCTCTGGAATGGCACCTCCCACGACTATATTGCTTTTGTCACTCAGTGTTTTAACAACTGTTGTAGCTGGAGACTGAAGCACTTTCCTCGAAAGCCTCATTCTGCCGTCAGTAGGATCACGCCCAAAATATTTCACCTGTTCATTGGGAAGAAATGGGATTGATTGTAAGGGGATTTGACACTTCAGTATAAAAGTTAAAACACCTTAATTGTTTTTTTAAAATCCTATTTTTAACTATTTGCTTGTACAATATAGGCAGACAGTATTAATAATAACCCATAAGAGGTACTCAAGTGATTTTAGAAATAGGACATCTTGGGTATGACTGAAAGCCTCAATAGTGAAAAGGCTTCCCTTTCTTTTCTACTAATAACATTTGAGGATTCCCTACTGATGCACTAAGTAATTTCAGAAAACCAGGAATACCTTGTGCAGGAAGACTTTTGTGGGTGTACCATCACAAGTGCATAAAGGCCTTGTGGTCCCATTTTTGTTAATTTCTGTTTTGGACCATGGAGAGCATTGACTTTGGCCTCGTTCACCCTGAGCTTTGAACCACATTACAAACCTTGGTTACAACCTTTGGTTTGTGTGCAAAGAGCCTGGGTTCAGACAACACATTAAGCCAAACCATGGCTTACAGCAAAACAACCAGGAGGAGCTAAGCAGCTAGAGTCTTCAATCCAAGAGCCTACACCTTTGCTCATTCACACTATGCCACACTTTGGTTGAGCATGATGTCCAAACCGAGCCTTTGCGATGTACCGTAGATTCCGGCGTATTAGGTGACTGGGCGTATAAGACAACCCCCAACTTTTGCTGCTCAATTTTAGAGTTTTAGGGTTATAGAGTTTGAGAGCCACCAGGGGCAGAGCGTGTACTCCTCCGCTGCCTCTGCCGTTGCAGCAGCAGCAGCCCGAGGTGAGGGGTTTGGCGGGTGGGCGAGTAAGTTCCCCGCTCGGAAGGACTTTCCGTGTCTCCTTCTGTGGGGAGGGAGGAGGAGCGACGGCAGAAGGGGCAGAGCACACACCCCTCCACTGCCTCTGCCGTCGCAGCAGCCCGAGGCGAAGCGTTTGGTGGATGGGCAGGTGAGCGCCGCACTCGTAAGGACTTTCCGCCTCCCCTTCTGTGGGGAGGGAGGAGGAGCGACGGGAGAAGGGGCGCCTCTGCTCACCGGCTCCCTCTCCTCCTTCCCAACACGTATAAGGTAAAGGTAAAGGGACCCCTGACCATTAGGTCCAGTTGTGGCCGACTCTGGGGTTGTGGAACTCATCTCGCTTTATTGGCCGAGGGAGCCGGCGTACAGCTTCCAGGTCATGTGGCCAGCATGACTAAGCCATTTCTGGCAAACCAGAGCAGTGCATGGAAATGCCGTTTACCTCCCTGCCGGAGCGGTACCTATTTATCTACTTGCACTTGGACGTGCTTTCGAACTGCTAGGTTGGCAGGAGCAGGGACCGAGCAATGGGAGCTCACTCCGTCGCGGGGATTTGAACCGCCGACCTTCTGATTGGCAAGTCCTAGGCTTTGTGGTTTAACCCACAGCGCCACCTGCGTCCCTTCCCAACGCGTATACCCTGCGTATAAGATGACCCCCGACTTTTGGGGTGATTTTCCAGGGATAAAAAGTCGTCTTGTACATACGGTATGTATATGGACCTGTGGGATTGTATGAGACAAGAATATATACCTATCAACCCCCCTTTTCCTGTAGTCCTGCTTTCAAGTGGGGCTTCACCTAACAGGATGTTCCTACATACAAACACACTGAGCACAGTTCTAGCTTTTTGGGTTGGACCAGATGATCCTCATGGTCCCTTCCAACTCTTTGATTCTCCCCCAACAGACCAGTTTTCTACGTGCGGAGGCTCATTTAATAAGGACAAGGCCCTCTCGCGGTTGGAAAGGGTGCATCTCAGAAACAGGCCTCCCACCTCAGGCAGACCCTGTCCCAAGTGGGAATGCAGAAGGACAGCCCTACTGTCAATCCAGAGGAGTATGAAAAATGAAAAGAGAAAATTCACCACAGGATTCCCCCCAATATTGAGTCAGTTTACTAGCCAGCTACTATTTATAGTCACCAGTGACCCACTTCACTCCTCTGAATCCTCTGGCAAGCGCAGAAGAGTTAGGAGAACGGAAGGGAGGCGTCTTCTCTAATTTGCACTAATGTATGGAGAACAAGAACATTTGTCCCACTTCTGGGAAGAGATCCCTGCTGTTTTCTCACCTTATCTGAAGCGGAGTGCAAATGGGAGCTCTGGGGAGGGGAATCTGTGCTTCAGTGCTTTACATGCCAGAGAGCCAGGAGAATTTATCCCTGGCAAGAGGATTTGTGGACACCTGAACAGGCACACACTCTCATCCCAAACAATCCCACAGGTGCATTATTAGGACAGTATATGAACAGCAGAAATCATATAGCATAGCAGAGATCTATTACGTACAGTGGTACCCCTGGTTAAGAACTTAATTCGTTCTGGAGGACTGTTCTTAACCTGAAACTGTTCTTAACTTGAGGTACCACTTTAGCTAATGGGGCCTCCCACTGCTGCTGTGCCGCTGGAGCACGATTTCTGTTCTCATCCTGAAGCAAAGTTCTCAACCCGAGGCACTACTTCTGGGTTAGCGGAGTCTGTAACCTGAAGCGTCTGTAACCTGAGGTACCACTGTAACCTAATGAAATGCTAGCTGCGCAAAAGAAACAGTTTACGGATGGTGTCCATTGAGTTTACATACACATTAACCTTCTTAAGACAACTGAAAAACACCTAGAGGATTTTCATATATTGGTTTAAAGTTTACCTGGATTTCTTGGCCAACTTCTAATCCAAGAGCGCTGGGATGTTTAATCTAGAACAGAGGGTCAATATCATTATTTTTAGCCAATTATTTGCCGGAAAATCCTACTCTCCTGGGGCATGAATTGTTCTTCTTGTACCTTTCCATCTTCCATTTGCTTGGTGTTAACATGTTACTGCAAAATTCTCTAAGTGGCCACCATGGTCAGAACGACCCATTCATGTGACAGTAATTGCACAACATCAGTGGGGCCAAAGCTTAAAGATAATGGGTGAGATGGAAGATAGTACATGCAGGTGTCCCCTCACACAACTGGGCTTCTCCATCATCTCCTCCCCTCTGCAGCTCCTCACGCACTCTAGAGGACCATTTGGAGCAGATTTGGGGCAGGGGGGCGGAGTCTGGGATGGTGGTGGAAAGAAAAGAAATGAGAAGTTCCACTGCATCAGCAGGTGGTCATGGCGGGATATTGGCTGTACACTTACTAGTTAGGTTGCTCCTGCCTCAAATGACTCTTCTGATAAGCATGGCCAAAAGGCAGACTTCTTGACCTACTAGCATAGCTTCCTGAGCACCACATCTCCACAGTAATGGCACGGGAAATAGCAAAAGCACAACTCAGCCACTACTGAAGGAAAAATAAATACCTTTCTTTGATCCAGCTGAGAGTTGTGAAGTAGAACGGGAGTCATGTTTGGGTACAATTTTACCATCACCCCAATATCTCTGCATTAAAAAAAGGAGAAGAGTAGAACTTGCTTTACGTCAACAGAATGTGATAAGAGGGCTTGTGTTGCACAATATATCCTTACTTAGATGAAGCTAAGCCTGTTCCACACATTCGTCTATTCTTGGCAGGATAAAAGAACCACCTTATTTTTTGCAGGCTTGTTTTCTTTACTTATTCTCTAACCTTTTCTGAAGTGCACACAAAAAAATGCTTTGCAGTCCTTATCTCAATAGATTTTTGTGGACATCTTGATCTCCATTCTTATGTAGTAAGGCTGGTGAGAACATGGGTAGGGGGTCAGCATTAAATCACATATAATAATAATAATAATTTATTATTTATTATTTATACCCCGCATCTGGCCGAGTTTCCTCAGCCACTCTGGACGGCTCCCAATCGAGGATTAAAACAATACAGCATTAAATATTAAAAACTTCCCTAAATAGGGCTGTCTTCAGATGTCTTTTAAAAATAGGATAGTTGCTTATTTCCTTGGCATCTGATAGGAGGGTGTTCCACAGGGCGGGCGCCACTACCAAGAAGGCCCTCTGTCTGGTTCCCTGTAACCTCACTTCTCGCAATGAGGGAACTGCCAGAAGGCCCTCAGCGCTGGATCTCAGTGCTGAACGTTGAGAGTGGAGACGCTCCTTCAGGTATACAGGACCAAGGCCGTTTAGGGTTTTAAAGGTCAGCAACAACACTTTGAATTGTGCTCGGAAATGTACTGGGAGCCAATGCAGATCTCTCAAGACTGGTGTTATATGGTCCCGGCGGCCACGAGTCACCAGTCTAGCTGCCGCATTCTGGATTAATTGCAGTTTCTGGGTCACCTTCAAACGTAGCCCCACACAGAGTGCATTGCAGTAGTCCAAGCAGGAGATAACTAGAGCATGCACCACTCTGGAGAGACAGTCTGCAGGCAGGTGGGTCTCAGCCTGCATACCAGATGGAGCTGATAAACAGCTGCCCTGGACACAGAATTAACCTGCGCCTCCATGGACAGCTGTGAGTCCAAAATGACTCCCAGGCTGCGCACCTGGTCCTTCAAGGGCACAGTTACCCCATTCAGGATCAGGGAGTCCCCCACACCTGCCTGTGCCCTGTCCTCCCAAAACAGTACTTCTGTCTTGTCAGGATTCTACCTCAATCTGTTAGCTGCTATCCATCCTCCAACCGCCTCCAGGCACTTACACAGGACATTCACTGCCTTCACTGGTTCTGATTTAAATGAGAGGTGGAGCTGGGTGTCATCTGTATACTGATTTAAGGGTCTGGGAGGGAGTTGTGGAATGATGTACTCCCTCATGTCTGTTGCACACAACTGCCTTTATATATGGGCAATAGCAGTTGTGCAATTCCAGATTCACTTCCTAAAAATATAATTAAACGGCTGGATAGTGTGCAGAATCAGGTCAGTTAGGAGATGAGGGAGGTATCAGACTAAACAGAAGCTGCATCGAGACGTTTACAAATCACTGCACTTGTATTTAACTTTAAAATGACCTATTTTTAAACATACCGTATTTTCCCGTGTATAAGACTAGGGTTTTTTTTACCAAAAAATTAGGTTTAAAATTGGGTCTCATCTTATACACAGGTAGTGCTGAGGGTTGTTTTCTTAATTTGGAGTCCCCCAAAATAGGAGGCGTCTTATACATGGGGGCATCTAATACACGGAAAAATACGGTAATCCTTCAAATGAAGAAAAAAAATATTAGTATTCACCACCATTTTCAGATTTGTGTTCATGATGTTTGTAGGCATACATAAAATATACATTATATACTCAAGCTAAGCAACGGAATAGTTGCTTATATAAAACACACACGCTTAAGGTAATGTACATTGTTCTCCTTCCTCCATGTTTAATCCTCAAAACAACCCTGTGAGGTAGGCTGGACTAAGAGGCAATGACTAGCCTAATATCACCCAGTGAGCTTAGTGGATCATTAGTCATTATAACCTGATGAGCTTCTCTTACCTCAGTTCTGTTATTGTGGCTGTATAAATAGCTCCAAATTCCAACTGATAGTCCTGCTACAAGAAAGAAACCAGAAAGAGATGAATGACTAGTTCCGCAAAACCAAGGAGTCTGGAATTTGTGTGTGTGATTCGGCACAGGACCTGCTGCTCGATGAAAAATGCAAAGTTCGCACTGGGCACCAACAAGCCCTTTCTAATAGCTCTATGGATTGTGGCCATCATATCTTAGTTATATGTTTTAGCACACCCTATCTAATAGGCTTAAGGCAGCAGGAAAAGCAGCCGTACCTATATTAAGAGATGGATCTTGATACACGAAGCATATGCACAATATATCAAAGTCCTTAAAATATGCACTTACATCATCTTTGCAGATTTCGGTAATAAATTCTCGTGCTTCATGCATAGCGGACGGCGTTGGAGCAAATACAGAAAAGGTCTCTTCGTCTATTTGGCTAACGGTTACCCCTGCGGGATAAAAATGTGGATAAAATCAACACTGCTGTAAAAAAGAAAGAAAGATTGGGTGGTTTTGTACAGGAATTGTTAAGTGACTCAACACACTGGTGCTAGAGATGTGTAGGAATCAAGGGGTGAAAACATAACGCCCAAATCGTCAACGTAAGATCAAGAGGAAGGAGCAGACAGATTTCAGACTTGCTGGATCTACTCTGCAGATTCCTGAGACAAGTGAGCAGATTCTGAGCCTAGGAATTTGTTCTCCGTTCCACAACGGAGCTGAACTCACAGTCCTTATGGAAGAAAATTCCACTCTTGCTCACTGCCTCTCACCAGCCTACATGTCAGTGGGAAAGTAATCTTGCTGCTGGGTGTCAGAAATCTCTGTGCTAATCTATTGCAAAGAGATCTGCCAGTAGGTCCCAATGCATCTTCTTGCTCATCTCTGCCATAAATGAATTCTCCTCCACGTTGTTCACTATAATGAAGGATGCCAATGCCATATAGGTCTCTCTTAGGAAATTGAAGCCAACTAGCTTAAGCAAACTCTGGAAGATATTGGCTGTTCTGAAGGTTAACGGCAGGAAGTGCAAAGTAAAGAAAGTTTTCATGGGACAGGGAAAGAGTCTACAGGTATCATCATTATCGTCGTCATCATCATCATCATATATTTATACCCCGCCCATCAGCCTGGGTTTCCCCAACTACTCCGGGCGGCTTTCAACAAAATATTAAAATACAGTAATGCATCAAACATTAAAAGCTTCCCTAAACAGGGCTGCCTTCAGATGTCTTCTAAAAGTCTGGTAGTTGTTTTTCTCTTTGACACCTGGTGGGAGGGCGTTCTACAGGGCAGGTGCCACTACCGAGAAGGCCCTCTGCCTGGTTCCCTGTAACTTGGCTTCCTGCAGTGAGGGAATCGCCAGAAGGCCCTCAGCACTGGACCTCAGTGTCCGGGTAGAACGATGGGGGTGGAGACTGGAAAAGAGGAGACTGAGAGGAGATACGATAGCCATCTTCAAAAATCTAAAGGGCTGTCACGTTGAAGATGGAGCAAACTAGTTTTCTCCTGCTCCAGAGGGTAGGACCTAAATCAATGGCTTCAAGTTTCAAGAAAGGTGATTCTAACTAAGCAGCAGTACAAATTTTAATATTGGTAAGAGCTTTTTGACAGCAGAACGGACTCCCTCGAGAGGTTGTGGACTCTCCTTCCTTGGGGGATTTAAGCAGAGGTTGGATGGTCATCTGTCAGGGATGCTTTAGCTGGGATTCCTGCCATCACAGGGGGTTGGATTAGATGACCCTCGTGGTCCCTTCCAACTCTACAATTCTATGATTCTCGTCTACATTCCATTTGCACTAAGAGAAAGCACACGGCCACCAGAAAATGAAAAACTTTATTTGTATCCCTGCTTTTAGTCTTTGGGGAAGGAGGACAGGATAATTTAATAAACTGGCAAAAGTACACATCAAAAAGCAACGAAGACTCACCAGTTTCAGCTTGAAGTTTTTTTAAATTATAACCTCCAGGGCCAACAAATCTTGCCCTTTTTGATAATGGCACCTGAACGTTTTCTGAAATGCAGAGAGTTTAAGTGAGAAATTTGTTGCAATACAAGGGCTTGCCACACCCACACTACCTTTTTTCCCTGGCTGTACGTAAACGTTAATATTTTTAGAGACTTAAAATATCGTGGCATCGTTCTGGAACTCATTTTCTCCAATGGGAATAAAAGTTCCATCCATGGGACACTCCTACCAGTAGATGAGGGGAGGTGAACTCCTCTGATTTCCCATGTAATGCCCTTCTGCCCCACAAAAAGGATTTGGAGTGTATATGAGAATGCAGGAGGAATCAGGAAAAGCTACCTTTCTTCTTTCTGCCAGCAGGATCCTGTTAGATCAAAAGCCCTTCCATGAAAGAAGGGAATTCAGGACCTAAACTATTATCTTAAAGACGTAACTTTTCAGCTCAAAAGATGCCATCACTTTATGGTAGCCTTGTAAGTTAAAATTCATTAGTTCACAAAAAATGGGAGGGGCGGTGGCTTTGCCATACTAGTAGTCTGAAATGAAGTATGAACAAAATTTACCCTGAATTTACAAATGTTTAGTCCCTGCCTGATCACCTGGAGGTGATTCTTACTTGCCATATATAACCAGCCAAGTTGATGTTTACAAACCAGCATTATTTACCTTATTTTAGACGTGGGATGAAGCCTTTAATAGTACTGTATCCTGAACAAATTTTTAACATGCTTATGTGACTTTTGTTATGGAATTTCTCCTTTCGTTGTAGCTCCTTTCAGGACTTTTGTAGTGGGAAGTGAAATATACATTTAAGAAACCTAAGCCTATACTGAATTAGGAATTAACTTGAAAGAAAGGTTCTAATCTAAAAAGCAATGTATGCATAGCCTGACAACTATGGGCTGTATCCTTGACCACCAACCACTGTTCTTAGAAATAATGGTTTGCATACCTGCGAGAACTTTGGCCGTCCAACTGCACTCCCCACCCCACCGCTCAGAACATGTACAGTTAATTACAAATGCTATTACCTACAAGTGGTCCGTTCTCTTTTCTGCTTGCTCTAGGTTTTGCAATCGTTTTGTTCATAATTTGCAATATTTCTCTCTTTGCCACTAAGGGAGAAAAACACACACACACACAAAAACCCCTTCTAGTTTAAATATAGAACACACATGTTAAATGCTTTCATTTAAAAAAAAATCTCTATTTTGTTGCAAGGAAACCTTCCTTTCTTCCCTAATGCTTTTAACATGACTAATCAAGCAAAACTTTTGCATGCAGCAGCACAGCGAGGGTTTGAGGCACTTTTGGGGAGCTGCATTGTTCAATAAAAGAGCAGAATTGTTTCCAGTTTTATGCTTCATAAAGGCATTTAGGGCAGCAGATCTTCTGTCCAGCCCTGTGCATTATTTCCAGCGCGTTTTTAAAAGCCCTACATCTCCCTCCCCCAGGTGAAGCACATTACACTACAGAGCACTTAAATCACTGTGCAATAATGAATCCTTCTTCCATTGGTGTAAGCTTTTGCTGGTACAGTGGTACCTCGGGTTACATACGCTTCAGGTTACATACGCTTCAGGTTACAGACTCCGCTAACCCAGAAATAGTACCTCAGGTTAAGAGCTTTGCTTCAGGATGAGAACAGAAATCGTGCTCCGGCGGCGCAGTGGCAGCTGAAAGCCCCATTAGCTAAAGTGGTCTTCAGGTGAAGAACAGTTTCAGGTTAAGAACGGACCTCCGGAACGAATTAAGTACTTAACCCGAGGTACCACTGTATTGTATTGACCGTGCGTGTGTGACTTCTGAAGCTGGTTCTTGGAATACAAAAACACAACACCCAGTGCAATCACAAGTTCATCTAAATTATGGGCCACCATATGTTATTTAGGTAGAAACCACCCTCCACCCTCAAATTTATTTCAATGAACACCTTGCTTGGAATTGGTCACATTTGCTTATGTCACATGGAACGCTTTCTCTAACACACGGCTTTTCTGCAAGCAAGCTAGCAGATGCAAAGAAATCAAAATTGCTTTCCTGAGAAAAATGAGAGCAAGCCAGCTTTCTTTTTCAGAAAGAGAAGTCACACTGGGTGGGCAGAGTTCACTGCCTATAAACAACAGTTTGGGAAGAAACATGGCTAAGCTGTAAGCCAAAGAGTATCAAAGGAGATGATGCAGTTGTGAATTCACAAGGTGTTTTCCCCATACCAGCCTTCACCAACATGGTGCCCTCCAGATGTTTCTGACCATAGCTCCCCAGCCAGCATGAGGCAGATGGGAACTGCAATCCAGAACCTCTGGAGGCAACAGGCTAGTGAAAGCTGCCCCATATGGAGTAAAGTTTGCAATGTTTAATTATTTCTAATTGGTAAATCAACTACAGTGGTACCTCGGGTTACATACGCTTCAGGTTACATACGCTTCAGGTTACAGACTCCGCTAACCCAGAAATAGTACCTCGGGTTAAGAACTTTGCTTCAGGATGAGAATAGAAATCGCGCAGCAGCAGCAGGCCCCATTAACTAAAGTGGTGCTTCAGGTTAAGAACAGTTTCAGGTTAAGTACGGACCTCTGGAACGAATTAAGTACTTAACCCGAGGTACCACTGTATCTAAACCTTTATGCCAGCTTTTCTCAAATTTGGATTCCCAGATGTTGTTGGTCTACCACTCCCATCAGTCCTGACTGCTGCCCCTGCTGGCTATGGAAGATGGGAGTTGTAGTTCAACATCTCAGAACCCAAAGTTCAGAAAGTCTGCTTCATATGCTGATTAGTCATGGTGGCTGCAACTTAAATACATTCTTGGTTATTTTTTTGAGGCTATTCTGCTTAATAATAAAATAATAATAATAATATATTATTTATACCCCACCCATCTGGCTGGGTTTCCTCAGCCACTCTGGGTGCCTTCCAACAAAATATTAAAAATACAATAAAACATCAGACATTAAAAACTTCCCTAAACAGGGCTGCCTTCAGATCCATTCCTTTAAGAAATGAAAACGATAACATGAAAAGGAAAATATTAAAGCTGGGCTCGCTGTCTAACAGTCAATGGTAGGTTTTGTTTATTAGATGCAAGATAACTCTTCATTCTCCTGCCAACCTAGCAGTTCGAAAGCACGTCAAAGTGCAAGTAGATAAATAGGTAGCGCTCCAGCGGGAAGGTAAACGGCGTTTCCGTGTGCTGCTCTGGTTCACCAGAAGCGGCTTAGTCATGCTGGCCACATGATCCGGAAGCTGTACGCTGACTCCCTCGGCCAATAAAGCGAGATGAGCGCTGCAACCTCAGAGCTGGTCACGACCGGACCTAACGGTCAGGGGTCCCTTTACCTAACTCTTCATTAGGACACCAAATTGAGGTCTCGCAGCATGCACATTAAAAAAACTGATCAGTCATTTTGCTTCGAACAGGGATAGTTAACATGTGGCCCTCCACATATTGTTGGACTCTAGCTCTCATCAGCCCCAGACAGCATGGGCATGGTGAGGGACAATGGACAAAGTCCAGAACCATCTGGAGGGCCACAGGTTCCCCACCCCAGTTTAAAATGAAGTGACCCATAAGCTAAAAGCTCTTTTATAAAACTTAACATGAAGGATGAGGATCTCAGTATTATCATATTTTTATTTTTTAGATTGTGTCCAAGGAGTACCTTGGCTCCAAACAAATATATGCCCAGTGCATATCTTTCGTCTTCAGGTCTTTTATTACATTTTATTGCATATAGAAGCATTCTGAATAATGCATATTAGGTCAATAACCTCTCAAATATGCTGAATCCCTTTAATATTAAATATTTTTTCCTGCATATCATGAACCAGTCGCCTAACTTTTAAACACTGGAAAAAGAGACAACCAATTTACCTGGCACATAAGAAACCATACATTTTACCAATGAAATGATTTTTTAAAAAAATTCACACATCAAAATTATTCTTCTCACACCACTGAACTTCCTATGTCTAACAATGATTGCTTGTTACACCAACAATTTTAACCAGGCATCCTCAAAAGGCCAAAACAGGGCCAAAACCAGAAGAGCGATTTGTTAATTTATTATTTGTGCTCATAGTGCAATGTGTAGTTCACCAAATGGGCCTAGGGCAGGTAGCAAAAATGTGAAAATCGCTGAAGAAAAACACAAAAATGAACAGTATCAAAGAAAAGGTGGTTTGACGTCCAAGGACTTTCAAATCAGGCAAAAGCATGTTTGTGGACCTGAGGTTCTGCCCCTGGTATGTAGGGACAGAATGCATGTCGTTACAGAAGCTTTCAAGAGGCTTTTATTTAGAAGGCTTAACCTCAAAGAGACCACCTAAATACAATGGTCAAGTCAGAGATTAAGGTGGGCACTGATAAGGATTTACAGTGGCACCTCAGGTTACAAACGCTTCAGGTTACGAGCTCCGCTAACCCGGAAGTAGTTGCGAACTTTGCCGCAGGATGAGAACGGAAATAGCGCAGCAGCAGGAGGCCCCATTAGCGAAAGCGCCCCTCAGGTTAAGAACAGATTCCGGTTAAGAACGGACCTCCGGAACGAATTAAGTTCGTAACCTGAGTTACCACTGTATGTTCTAATAGGGCTGATTGTCCATTTCATGGGAAATTATTAAAACAGAAGTGAAAATCAAACGCCATGTGCTCTACACTCACCTGTGGCTTGCTGAATCGCTTCCATCACAATTTTTAGGGGTATCCCTGGCAGCTTGATATCAGCCTAATGATACACAAGTGAAAAAGTTAAAATCACTATCAACGGCATCGTTTTTTTCTGGAACAGAGGTTTATTTCAAATTAAGAGGATTGGAGGAGGATACCTGTAAGGCAGTGATTCCTTTATTCGTTCCAGCCATTTTGAAGTCCATATCACCATGATAATCCTCTATTCCCTGCAGAAAATAAATATACTTCAAATGTCTTTCCAAGACCACAGTGGTTCTACTCACAGACCCAAAAAACCAACATCCCAGCCCTGAATATAATAAAGGGATGCAAATTCTACTACAATAGGTTGAAACAATTCCTACATTTTGGCTGCAACCACAAAACCTATACTTGCAACATATTTTCACAGTCGGCCCCTGTCTGAGGAACCTTTAGCAGAAGTCCCCTAATTATAGTTTCATGGTTTCCTTGGAAAAAGTTAGATAACAAAGTAGGGGTATTTTGTATAAGGGTTTGAATACAACTGCACTACAAACTTAAGCTTATTTTAAGCCAATGAAAGTGGTAAGAATTCTATCAGAGAACACTAGCTCCATCAAAAGAACTATGATTTCCAAGATTTCAGGTAAGCAGACACAATTACTGTATACCAATTCATGTATACATCTAATGCAGAGGTCTTCAACGTTTTTGAGTCCATGGGTCCCTTGACCAACTACATTCGTTCTGCCGCACCCCTGTGGGGCTCAGAAACCCAGTTGTGTCACACCCTTTTTCAAACACCCTCCCTTGTGGAGTGTTCCCTCAGCCTCCTCTCCTCCCCACTATCCTTGGGAGTCCTCTGGGCAGCCACTGCATCCACCACTGGCCTCTGAGCTGCCTCAGCTCCTGGAAACCAGCACCCCTGTCCAGCCACAGAGCCACCATTCGCCTGGGGAGCTTGTATCCAGGGCTGCTGCAACGAACAGCTGTGCAAGCCTTTTGGAGGCAGAGACGTGAGAGGGCATCAGAGGAGGCAGGGAAGGACAGAGGCCAGTGTTGCCCATGGCACCCCTGACCATCATTCAAGGCACCCCAGGGTACTTAACCTGAGGTACCACTGTAATTTACACATGTCACAGATATGAGTTTTAAGCTAGAGTCCAGATCTTTTGAATACTGAGAAACAAGACTCAATTAGGAACTCTTACCAGAATGTCTGTTAGCAAGCGATAATCCTCAATGTCTCCATTTTTTTCAGAATTAGCCCTGGAAACCAAACCAACAGCAACACCTGCGACAGGAGACGATATTGGGACTCCTAACAATAAAAGAGAAATTATGCATTTCTGAGTTTTGGTGCCACTTCCACTCACTTATGCATAAACACATCCCAAAATATGAATTCTTCTTTGTGGAATACCTGCATCCATCAGTGCCAAACTCCCACCACAAGCAGAAGCCATTGACGATGATCCTGGAAACAGAAACCACAAGATTATGCAATCAACCATTTTTGAGTAGCCACTAAAATATATGATCTGCATATAAATAAGTTTCTTAGCAACACAAAAGACATGGACAACCGTTTGCCACCGTATTATTTATATTTCTCCCTGGGATAGGGGGTTTTCTTTCTGGATACAAGAAGCACTCGGTTTTTGCACCGTTTTGTTGCGGTTCAGAAATTTCAGCTAACATCTGCAACAGTAAATAGTCTAAAGACATGTGCTCAAATTATGGGGGAAAGAGTAAGGTAAAGGTAAAGGCACCCCTACCATTAGGTCCAGTCGTGACCGACTCTGGGGTTGCGGCGCTCATCTCGCTTTATTGGCCGAGGCAGACAGCATACAACTTCCAGGTCATGTGGTCAGCATGACTAAGCCGCTTCTGGCGAACCAGAACAGCACACGGAAATGCCGTTTACTTTCCTGCCGGAGCGGTCCCTATTTATCTACTTGCACTTTGACGTGCTTTCAAACTGCTAGGTTGGCAGGAGCAGGGACTGGGCAAAGGAAGCTCACCCCGTCGCGGGGATTCGAACCGCTGACCTTCTGATCGGCAAGTCCTAGGCTCTGTGGTTTAACCCACAGCGCCACCCGCGTCCCTGGGGGAAAGAGTAGGGGTTTCCCTAATGAAATCCACAAATATTAGGCCAAAGCCCATTAGCTAATTCATGACCCCTTGCGCCTTCTAAAAAGGGGGGAAATCTCAAAAAGTAACAGGGGTGGACCTCATCCTTTGCCCTTCCCATTAGCCTTGTGATAAGGACCCTGCCAGATTTCAAATCATACGTGTGGGGCGAGTGGAGATAGTTTTATTAGCGCAAGCATTTCTGCTTGTGCGATGGAACAATCTGCTTAGTGCTAAGTTGAATTCCACCCACACATTCTGAGCAACAGTCAAATAATAAAAATCAAATACCATTTGACTCCAGTACTTCTGAAGTAACCCTTATTGTGAAAGGGAATTCACTGGGAATCACAGGCTTCAAAGCCTTCTCTGCAAGTGCACCTACAAGTAAAAAAATTATGTTGTGAATTACAAGGAGTAATTCAGTTTCAGTCTAGATATTCAGCTTCTTCTGTTCTTACTCACCATGGCCAAGCTCTCGTCTATTCATGCCAGTAATTTTGCCAATCTCGTTAGTTGCGTATGGAGGAAACTGCAAAATTTTAATATATCAAGAGGGGGAGAATGTCAGTATAATGCTTTTCTGATTGTCAGCATTCATTTCAAGGCAAACATCCATGGAATTCACCCAAAAGGATAAAAATATGCTCATGCAATGAGTCATTTGCAGAGTTATTAATATGCTACCCTTTGGAATAATCTTCAGCCACATATTTTAAGTTGTACACTTTCACAGTCGTCACGAAAACAATATGACCTTTAAAAAAATAAACTATCTGGCTTATCCTATGCGGAGTTATGCACACCTAATGAAAGCAGCAATCTTAAGTAGATCAGAGTGAATAATTGCACTATAATTTGAAGTGATACAACCTCCAGACGTTTTATCAGTTAAAGTAGCTTTACTTAGAGTTGCTATACTATGCTGTACAAATGGAAGTTTGAATTAGTGCCTAATTTTAAGGTTTAGACACTTTTCAGGATCTTCTCTTTCAAAGTATGAAAGAGGTTTCTTTCAAAACCTAATTGAAACTCTCCAACATTTTTAAACGTGTCTTAAAACTGCAGAAAGGTCTTAATGCTTAAGTTCAGCCATCTTTCACAATAATCTCTGTAGCTTCAGTACTCAAAAGTTTCACTGTCAATATAATTTGGATAAGCTAAGGGATGATTTACAAATCGTAGTTTTAATAAGAGAGGGTGGGAAATCGAAAATTCCAGTGCATCAGGTTCCTTTGTACAAGCAGCTACGGATGCAGAGCATTTTCAGCAATCACCTATCTGGTTCTGTATTCCTGGATCAGACTGATCCCCTGCTACTGTTATTACAGTGGTACCTCAGAAGTCGAACAGAATCCGTTCCAGGAGTCCATTCGACTTCCAAAACGTTTGGAAACCAAGGCGCGGCTTCCGATTGGCTGCAGGAAGGTCCTGCAGCCAATCGGAAGCCACGTCGGACATTCCGGTTCCGAAGAACGTTCACAAACCAGAACACTCACTTCCGGGTTTGTGGCATTCAGGAGCCAAAACGTTCGACTCGCAAGGCGTTCGGGATCCAAGGTACGACTGTATTTCCACCATCTACTACTGCTACATTTATATCTCACATTTCCTTCAATGGGCTGAAGGTGGAGCACGAAGATTCTCCCCTTCCCCATTTTATCCTCGGAACCCTATGAGGTAGGCTATGCTGAGAAACTGTGACTGGTCCAAGGTGAACTTCTTGGCCGAGCGTAGAACTGAAACCTGAATTCCAAGGTCCTAGCTCAGCACTCTAAGCACTACACCCTACTAGCGTATGGTGGACTCACTCCAAACCTAATCTTCCCCTAATCTCGATCTCTTTCTATCTCTCATACACACTCTGGTGTGTTTGAGAGACAGAGAGAGATTAGGAAGAGGCAATCATGGGTGCTTTAGCTGAGATTCGCGGATGCTTTAGCATTTCAGGGGATTGTACCAGATGACTCTTGGGGTCCTTTCCAATTCTACAGTTCTATGATCCTGAGATTAGGAGGAGGGGGAGGAGGAAGAGCAATCCTCCCATTTACCATATTTTTCGCTCTATAGGATGCACAGGACCATAGGAGGGGGAGAACAGGGGAAAAAAAATTCTACCCCTCTCCGCTCAGCGCCCCTTCAGCAAAGTGGTAGGAGAAATACAGCCCCTTCCATTTCTCCTCCCGCTTCGCTGAAGGGGCGCTGCGCAGAGAGGGAAAACTGTGCAGCGCCTCTCCAGCAAAGCGAAGCCTGGAGAGCAAGAGGGATGGGTGTGCACCGACCCCTCTTGCTCTCCAGGTTTCAGGCGGCTATCCGAAAGCCTTCGGAGCACAGCGGGAACTCCTGCTGTGCTCCGAAGACTTGCGGATAGCTGCCCAAAGCCCCCAGAGCACAGCGGGAGTTCAACAAAAGCAACGCGAAGCCTCCGGAGCGCGGGGGGAGCTCTCCCTCTGCGCTTCGGAGGCTTCGTGTTGCTATTGCTGAAGCCAAGGAGCCTGCATTCGCTCCATAGGACGCACACACATTTCCCCTTCATTTTTGGAGGCGAAAAAGTGCGTCCTATAGAGCGAAAAATACGGTATTTGCTTTTGGACAGCAAAGCAACCAGCGAACACAGCTTGTCAGCAGCAGTCTCAACAAAGGTTCTCGCCTATCCAAAAACGAGCAAGAAGCAAAGGTGTGAGTGAAAAGGAGCCTGTTTGTTTCAAATACCAGCGCTATTAAAGTCAGGGTGCGGGGAGAAGACGCTTTATTTATGGTACATATTCAGCTGCTTTTTTTAATATTATTTTTTAAAGCACCCAAAGCAGTGTACGGTATTAAAATCACAAAACAATTAAAATAAATACATTATAGCACTGTGCAACTCTATACAACCCCTAAATACACCCTGACACCGCAATGCAGATGGACGAACAGCAATTCCACATATAGCCTGTCTCCCTAAAGGAGGCTCCGAAGAGGCCTGCATGCAGCTTTCAGGTCTCAGGAACGGGCTCCAGGTATAAAGAAAGCAATTCGAGAACAAGCCCCTATGTTTTCAGAGTAATTACTCCTAATAATTAAGCACAAATGCTTTTTATGAAGCTGAAGTGAGTTCTCATACCTCGTAGTGGAGCATGAAGTTCTTCTCCTTTATTCCACTAGAAACAGAAACAAGTGTTACAAAGAACTAAATGAGCTGCAAGTAATTTACTTACATCAGGAACCCCTTGAACCTTCTGTCGACCCTCTCTCTCTCCGGAAGGGGATGGGTACAAATGAGGGGTAGGTTTCTGTAATACCTTAAATACTAAGGGAAATTCTTTTCCCGGGAAGGCCTTGCCTGACTGCCTCTACCAGAGCTCAGAGAACAATATTAGGGTACAGTAAGCTACTCTAGCATTAAGGCAAAGTGCATCTGAGCCCGGCTTACGCTTCATTGTGAAGCTGGGTGAGCAGCAGACCAACAACAGATTAAATAATTTTTATCTGAGTAATCATTTGCATACAGGCGGCGACCATTTCTTGCGGGTGTTCCGATCCTGTTCTGTCTTTGATCACGTGCCAATTGGACACGGCTAAGATGGCTGCTGCCTATATAACCAAAACCATGTTAGAAGTGTTTTTCTGATACTGAATACAGTGGTACCTCGGGTTACATACGCTTCAGGTTACACACTCCGCTAACCCAGAAATAGTGCTTCAGGTTAAGAACTTTGCTCCAGGATGAGAACAGAAATTGTGCTCCAGCAGCGCGGCGGCAGCAGGAGGCCCCATTAGCTAAAGCGGTGCTTCAGGTTAAGAACAGTTTCAGGTTAAGAACGGACCTCTGGAACGAATTAAGTACTTAACCCGAGGTACCACTGTAAATAACAGATGAAGCAGCCTTTGTTAGATTTCTGCTTATTGTTAAAGCAAAGTCCGTGTTTTAATATATCCTGCCATTTCTCAATACATCTGCTCCACTGATTAGGATTTGTCCGTAACCAGTTAGAACTATCCCCTATGGAATAACCAACTCACATTAGATCACATTGCCTGATCCAATAAAATTTTTGTCCCTACAGAACAAAAACCCAGCAACTTTCTTCTTAGGAAAGCTTTTAATAACTACTTTTGCACTGTACTGTCTCAGGATTACTTCCAAGTTCAACTTAGCTACGTTATTTTGATATTCTTTTTTGCATGTGGCCAGTCTTGATTTCTCTAAAGGGGCTGTATATACCCATTTTCAATGATGTTTAGAGAGATTGCCTTCAAAGAAAAGGTGATTTCATATGAATGTCGGAAGCTGCATTACCTCCGATCGGATTTGCCCATACGGTCCAGTTTATCGACTCTGACTGGCAGAAGCCTGCCCCAAGCTCTTAGGCAGGGAGAGGCCTTCACCACTGTCTGCCACCTGATCCTTTTTAAATGGAGATGCCAGGATTGAACCAGGGATCTCCTTCATGCAAAGCATGAAGCTCTAACCACTGAGCTATGGCCCCTCCTGATCTACTTGAAGATTATGAACACAAGGTCCTAAAGAGTCACATGGTGCAATTAACACGCCAAAGTCAAGTTGGGGTCTGAAAGGAGAAGGGATGGTGGTATATATACCTTAAAGCGGTTGTGATAACGTCAGATTTTACACTCGATTCCAGTGAGTCAAAAGTAACTGTGCAGAGGACCTAGAAAACAAAGGTCTACTGAAAATACTGTGGTTTAGGGGAGAGGAATTAAGTTCTCAACAAATAAGAAAATGCAATGATTCAAAAGCAAGACACATAAAAACCCAGATAAGGTAAGCATTGCTCTGGGCACAAACTCACAATGATATCAGAAGGGGAATCATTGACATGCACGGTTTGCACTGCACTGTGTTGGATTTACAGAGAACAACTTCAAGTTTCAGCCCTCCCCCCTTCTTGGTTCCAAATTCTGCTAATTATGAACCAATCTAGAGGGCACATTTGCTATTCTAGCCCTCCCACCGGATACCGATTACAGCTGGGCGAGTCACTAATGCAGTTCAAAGGTGCAACAACTTTTAAACTGACATTTGTTAGAAGAACATGCAGTAAACTATACACACAGTTCTTCTGAACATATTTTCTTTTTGGCAGTGGGGGGCGGGGGAGAACTACCACACACACACTCTCCACCCCCTCCCCACTATATAGATACATATATATATATATATATATATACAGTGCTTTTTTCTGGGGGGACGCATACCCCTAAACATTTTGTGAATCTAAGTTTGGTCTCATTGAGGGGCAGTATTTCAATATGAGTAGGAAAATGAGAGCACCCCTAAACATTTTTTAAGAAAAAAGCACTGCACGCATACACACACACAGTGCTTTTTTCTAAAAAATGTTTAGGGGTACTCTCATTTCCCTACTCATATTGAAATACTGCCCTTCAATGAGGCTGAACTTAGATTCTCATATATATATATATATATATATATATATATATATATATATATATGAGAGAATTTATCACCCTTCAATTTAAGCAGAGCAGCAGGTCTGATTCATAGATGCTGTTATTTTAAGCAATTCGCCCACGGGGAACCTTTTCATTCACTGACTCACACATCCCCCACACAGTGCGGTTTTTAATAGTGATGCAGGATGTACGTGTACTCTAATTTTATAAGCACGCTCGGAGAAAGTTAGGAATGATTTTGCACTTATTCAAATAAAGAATCAAGTTCATTTCAGGATGGTCTTCAGGAGCTTATCCGCACCATCTAAGTCCATTTCGTAAATATCATTTTAGTTGCTGACCCACGGCCACAGAACCACAGTATTTTTATTTTTGAGTAAAATAAAAAACGGAAAAAAGGGGGGGTAAAGGAAGATCAGTGAATACCTGAGTTTGGCCCCTCTGAAATAACGCTGATCCATGAAGGGTTTTGAACATGTCCACCTCGCAAGTGATGTTTCTAAGTGAAGTCAAGTCTCGACCATCACATCTATGGGAATAAAGCAGCAGAGAGGACAGTTTCCACGGGTTCCTCTCACCTCGGCTCTAGATTTGGCCTGCATTCATGAATATCTGGAGTCCAGTGCAAGTATTATTATGGCTATAACTGGGGGAAAGGGACAATTGTGGCTACCCACCTTGCCTCTAGTCCAGCCTGATGTGCACACATTTGAAGCCACAGTCAAATCAGGCCCCAAAGAGAGCAGGTTTTGGCCTTGGTCACACACTGCTTTTAAACATACTCAAACAAAACCATAATTTAAGGCCTTTTGATTTAAACCACAGTATAAAGCAGACTGGTGCACAGCACTAAAACCACAGGCAATTTGTTCCTCTCCTGCTCCTGATGTATTGCTGGGAGTGAAACCGTGACATGGCCTAGCATTACATCCAAACCAGGGCTGTTAGCTTGTCTCCCTCCAAACAAACCACAAGCTAAAACTAAGGTTTGTTCCTGGCTTACTGCTGCTTTTGGTTCGTTTATAGCACATTCTTAACCAGGCCTACTCAGAAGTCAGATACAGTGGTGCCCCGCAAGACGAATGCCTCGCAAGACGAAAAACTCGCTAGACGAAAGGGTTTTGCATTTTTTGAGCTGCTTCGCAAGACGAATTTCCCTATGGGCTTGCTTCGCAAGACGAAAAACGAAAACGTCTTGCAAGTTTGTTTCCTTTTTCTTAACACCGTTAATACAGTTGCGACTTGACTTCGAGGAGCAACTCATAGAACGCGGTGTGGTAGCCTTTTTGAGGTTTTTGAAGACTTTGGTGATTTTTGAAGCTTTTCCAAAACTTCTTTTGCAGCCATTTGGTAAGTTAAACTTTTAATACTTTTTTGGGGGTTTTTGGATTTTGGGTTGGGATGTTTGAAATTCAAGGACTTGGTGTTGGGGAGGGGTTTGCAAGAATCTGGAAGCTTGTGTGTTTTTTTCCTGCATTTTTATGATTTTCTGTGACCATTGGGCCACTCTGCTGTTTTTTAAAAAAAATTCTGGATTTGAATTTCTGTGTGGTGGGTGGCTGGGGGAACAGTTGAGGAGGGAGTTCTTCAGCAAGAAGCAAAGAGTGGAAGAAGAACCTTCTTCGAGTTGTCCCCCAGAGTCTTAGAAAATGTACTGTACACTTTGTTGATTTTTAAATGTTTTTCTGTCATGTTTAGAAACTTAATTTATTGTTCCTTCAATTTTTGAAATGCTCTTTACAGTATGTGTGACTTTAAAGAGCACTTAATAAACTCTTGTTGTACCAAATTTGGCTTTGTTTGGACTTTTTTGACCATAGGAACGCATTAATTGAATTTCAATGCATTCCTATGGGATTTCGTGCTTCGCAAGACGAAAAATTCACTAGACGAAAAAACTCGCGGAACGAATTAATTTCGTCTTGCGAGGCACCACTGTATATTAAATTCAGTGGGCAAGTAAGGGGGCTTAGCACTGAGCCTTAGCTCCTGAAATTGCCTACCACCTGAAATTTTTAGCCTTGTGCTCCCAGCATGTTGTGTGTTCACCTTGAAACCACAGTTAAGCTTAACCATGGGCTTAAAGCTATGAGAAAACAAGGCTGTGTACCACAAAGTAGGAGCATACTGATAGTTCTATGTTTGTGGGCATCGATTCCTTAAAGGAACCATGTGCAGACGGCTTGGTATGCAAGGCCACTGTAAACCGGTGCAAAGATGATACTGCTTTCGACCTTTTAGTGTCCTTATTCCGCGGAAGAACCTGTTTTAAACACAGCGACCCGGAAAACACCATGTTTACCTCCTGTATTCATTCAGAACAAGATTTCTAAAGACTTCTTTCAAGACGACGTTAAAAGATTCCATGATTTCGTAACACTCCGCTTCCGGGAACTTTTCTAGAGAGAAAGAAGAAAATTGAAACGAAACCTAAAACACAATGCTTATTCCCTCCCAACTATATGACTAGAAGGGAAGTAAAAGGAATTTGTGACAGTAGGTGTCACAACTTGCTTTAAATTTTCAGTTAAGAAGAAGAGGAGTTTAGATTTGATATCCCGCCTTTCACTCCCCTTAAGGAGTCTCAAAGCGGCTAACAATCTCCTTTCCCTTCCTCCCCCACAACAAACACTCTGTGAGGTGAGTGGGGCTGAGAGACTTCAGAGAAGCGTGACTAGCCCAAGGTCACCCTGCAGCTGCATGTGGAGGAGCGGGGAATCGAACCCGGTTCACCTGATTACGAGTCCACCACTCTTAACCACTACACCACGCTGTCATTGGCAGGTTTGATGCTCAAAGCACCTAGGAGAATGGCTGGGGCATAAGATGAGGACAAAGAGCTGCACCAGCCTGGAGCTGACACACTGGTTATCCTCAGTGCTGTCATGGGACAGTAGTGGGGCTCAGTCCCTCTCCTGAAATGCCGCCCCTCACCTACAGGGATCCTGCTGGTGACACCACTGTCCACCTGCATGTTTGGTGAGCAGAATGGTGAGCTCTGCACCAGTGGAGTGAAGCTCCACATCCGCATAACACACACACACACACACACCTTGGCACAAAGCGGGTTTGGATTACAGTGTCTGGCTGGTTTCTGTCTCTTCTCATTAAGCAGGTACACAGTACACAGCCCAACACTAGCCAAGAGTATTCTCAGTGCCTTTGGAGGTCAGAATGGAAGACTGGTTTGGGGGGGGGGGTACATGCTTCTGTCTTCAGCATCTTCATCTTCAACATCCACAACAGGGAGGACTATAGCGTAGGCTTAGTTCTCATGGGTGCAATTCTGCCCAGACACATTTATCTCTTTGGATGGCAAAGCAGGGGTACATACGACCCAATGCTCCTCATTAAAAATCGAATCCAACCTCCCACCCCACTGGATGTCAATCTGGTTTTCAATTTGCAGAGAATGTTAAGAAATGAGGCAAGAAGCATTTGGTCATGTGACACCCCCCCCCATCATAAGTGGTACAGCCCCGACGCAGCTTCACCATCTGAGTAAGAACCAGGCTGCTGCAAATATCTGTATCCCCAAGTCCATGAAAAAATGTTTGACTGCCGAACGCAGAACTGTAAGACAAACCCTGGCAAAACATTTTAGAACATAGTATAGTCAATTATGAGTGTGTCTGACCTTTCAGCTGCTCTTCTGTTTCAAGTCTGATTTTGTTAATTGCTTCATCTCTTGAGATCTAGGATGCAAGATATCCATTGACACATTCTGAATTTTATTAAGATGAGCTATAGAATCTCTTGCGCATCCTACGCTTGGGAGCTAACGTACATCAGCACGCAGAGGCCACAGAAAGACACTTCCCTAGAGAGTCACGCCACTCAGTAGATGTGATCATAGAATTGTAACATTGGAAGGGACCCCTAGAGTTACCTGGCCCAACTCCAGGTAATGTAGGAACCTCAACTTGATCATACATAACAGATGACCATCCAAACTCTGCTTATGTATGATCTAGCTGGGAACCTGAAAAAGCTTTTCTCCCAATGCATGCAATTTCTCCATGCTGGCACCACCGATGGGGAACACTTTTGATTCCCACCATATGCAGGTGGTTACCATTTTATGCTGGCCCTCAAACTTAAAGGTAAAGGGTAAAGGGGCCCCTGACCATTAGGTCCAGTCGTGGCCGACTCTGGGGTTGTGGCGCTCATCTCGCTTTACTAGCCGAGGGAGCCGGTGTACAGCTTCCGGGTCATGTGGCCAGCATGACTAAGCCGCTTCTGGTGAACCAGAGCAGCGCACGGAAACGCCGTTTACCTTCCTGCCGGAGTGGGACCTATTTATCTACTTGCACTTTGACGTGCTTTCGAACTGCTAGGTTGGCAGGAGCAGGGACCGAGGAACGGGAGCTCACCCTGTCACGGGGATTCGAACCGCCAACCTTCTGATCGGCAAGTCCTAGGCTCTGTGGTTTAACCCACAGCGCCACCCGCGTCCCTGGCCCTCAAACTTAGGAAGGAATAAAGCAGCAGAAGGCTTCTGGAGATACACTTCTTGTTCTTTGGATCGGGATGGGAGGGCACTGTGGTGCCGAAGAGAGCAGGCCAATTGAGGCTACAGTAAGTGGGTGGGCAGAAGGGTTCTTTGCATTGCCGTTTACATTTCATCTAACAAGAGGAACAAATTCAGAGCAGAATACCTAGACAGTTGTGTGTGCATCTCTTTAAACTGGCTGAAGCCAAACAGCGAAAACCCGCCTTGTTCAGGCGCAATTTACCCAAAATGAATTTAAATACTCACTTTATCATGCGTGAAGTCGGAAAACACAGCAGTGATCTTTCCAGATGCAAGGCTTCAAGCACCGGAAGGTGGGGGAGAAAAGAGAAAGACGAAAAATTATAACCAAATCATACAGCGGGACCTCGGGTTACAGGCGCTTCAGGTTACAGACTCCGCTAACCCAGAAATAGTACCTCGGGTTAAGAACTCTGCTTCGGGACAAGAACAGAAATCGCGCGGTGGCGGCTTAGCGGCGGCAGGAGGCCCCATTAGCTAAAGTGGTGCTTCAGGTTAAGAACAGTTTCAGGTTAAGAACGGACCTCCAGAACTAATTAGGAGCTTAACCCGAGGTACCACTGTATCGGAATGCCAACCTGGTTGATCCCCATGACATTTAAAGCAGCAACACAGGGCAAGCAGAGAAAGTAAAAGGTGCTACACATAAATCCTAGCCAGACAGGCCAAGGCCCGAATGACAGCTCTTCTCTGGCACCTCATATATTCTGTCTCCAGAAGGATCCCAATCTGCCTTGAAGCAGACCGCAAAAATCAAACAGCTGTGCCAAGAAGATGAAAAGAAGCACAACCGCAACACATTTTGCCCACCTGAGTCCCACATGTTAGAGGCCTCTCAAGCAAAGAGAAGCCTTGCCATTTCCATCAGTTAAATAGTGAGGAAGCTTACCCTTTCTGCTTCATCCTATGAACCGCTACAGAGAAAACTAGAGCAGAATAGTGGGCACCAGACCACTGCAACACCGCTGCTCTTCTTTTATTTAAATACAGTGGTACCTCGGGTTAAGAACTTAATTCGTTCCAGAGATCTGTTCTTAACCTGAAACTGTTCTTAACCTGAAGCACCACTTTAGCTAATGGGGCCTCCTGTTGCCGCCGGAGCACAATTTCTGTTGTTATCCTGAAGCAAAGTTCTTAACCTGAAGCACTATTTCTGGGTTAGCGGAGTCTGTAACCTGAAGCGTATGTAACCTGAAGCGTATGTAACCCGAGGTACCACTGTAATGCTGTCAGGGCACAAGGTATTTTATAGAATAATGTAAGTCAAAGGCTGGCACCTCTTCAGAGCAACCCACAATCTTAGGTTAATGTTGGGGGTGGGGGTGGAAGGGGCAGTATAATCTCCTCCCCGTTCCAACAGTCAATCACTCAATGAAGGTGTTTAGCTGTCATTAGGCTGTTTTGGGTGTGTGTGTCTCTTTCCATCCATTTTATTGTACTTCTGCAAACCTTAGTCCAATAATACCTCCCCCCTTACACATGGCTGTTGCTGTTTTGGCTGCATAAGCAACAACACTCAGAAGGACTGAGTGGCAATTAGATCTAGAACAATACACAGTCCTAATGCCATACACAACGTCAGCATGCGATGCGACCCTGAAGACTACCAACATGTCGTCTTAGGCACTCGGAACACAATGGAACTGCAGCCAAATTGCAACAGTGCTGTAATTACTTCGGCAAAAGCTGTTGTGCCCATACTGAAGATGGGAAGGTTGAGGCCGAGAGGGAATTACTTGTCTAAGGCCAGCACCTGGTTTTCTACAGCACAGGTGAAATTTACAATAAGAATTTCCAGCTTATTCTTTTTACTGGGGCACTAGCTTTCCAATCTGTACAGTGGAAAGAACGATTGAATGCTGTTGCAGACAGGTATGAAAGAAAGCCTATTTGTCATGAAGCAACAGAAGAAAGAACATCCCACCAGAAAACATAAGATAAGACCGCTATAAGGCAGGCTTCCTCAGCCTCGGCCCTCCAGATGTTTGTGGCCTACAACTCCCATGATCCCTAGCTAGCAGGCCCAGTGGTCAGGGATGATGGGAATTGTAGTCTCAAAACATCTGGAGGGCCAAGGTTGAGGAAGCCAGGCTATAAGGTGTCTCATGGCTGAGACTATGTTTCACTTTATAGATCTAAAAAGTACAATTGCTTTAAAGAAGAAGAAAAAGCCTCACTCAGCGTAGGTCAGATTTTTGCTTCTACTCCTTATGCCTTTTCAACCCCTGCCATGTATTTGGGTGTTCTGATTCGTTACTCAATTTATCTTCAATCCTCACTTTGATGCAAAGATGTTGGACAGACTCCAGCACTTCGCAGCCTCTCTGTTCAAGGCAGATTCCCAAAATATTGCTCAGGGTGGTTGTGAAGAAGAGGGTGGAAGTTCAAGCTGATTCAATAGCAGGTTTCCTCCAGAGTGCACGCATATGAAAACACCACTCTTGCTCTCTTCAGTTATTGGACCACATGTGCCAAGTGAAATACAGTGGTACCTTAGGATGCGAACGGGATCTGTTCCAGAGCCCCGTTCGCATCCTGAAGCGAACGCAACCTGCGTCTGCACGTGCTGCGATTTGCCGCATCTGCGCATGATGTCATTTTGAGCGTCTGCGCATGTGCGAGCGGCGAAACCCGGAAGTAATGCGTTCTGTTACTTCTGGGTCGCCGCGGAGCGCAACCCGAAAACGCTCAACCCGAAGCTACTTTAACCTGAGGTATGACTGTACGCAGCTTGACACAAATAATTTTTTCCCTTAAAAAGAAAAAAAGGGCTTCTTCTTTAATTAAAATAAGCCATGGGGCAAGAATTATTCATAATTCATAAAAGACAGTCCAACTGCCTTTACAGAGACGGTGAACTAAGAAGTTGCTTTCACTTAATGCTGATATTTTTTAATACAACCCATTTTAAGCCCCAGTGGCAGTTGGGGGGGGGGGAGAACACTTTTTTTAAAAAAGGAAATTTGTGTGCCTTGTTATCCTGGCGGCCAGCTCTGTCCAGTTTTCGTGTCCAGAGACAGAAGGCAACATCAGCAGCTGGGCGGACAGGGGCCAAATGGATCAAAAGATTCTGCCAGCTACAAAACTGAAAATTTCCCAAGATGAAAAGCACCACCGTCATTGCTGAGCGGTATTTTGTGAGACACTGTTTCGTCAGCAGTGCTAGCTAAGGACAAGGATGGTGGGAAGCACACAGTGAAAAGGCTTTAACATTCTGTTCAGATCCCTTGCTCTGCTCTGCCTGTTGCGTTCCCAAAAGCAGAGATGGGTAGCCTGCAAGCCCAGTGGTCAGGAATGATGGTGTTGGGAAAAAGCATCACCCAGAAGGTCACAGGTTGTCCATCCCTGGGTCCTTGTGGAGGAGGGGCAGTCCTAAAAACGAAATATTGCATATCCCTCCATATCCCAAACCAAACTGCTTTTTTCTTCCACAGCTTCAGAATTTCAGGGAATTTCACATTCACCAAGGATTAAGCAAGCCTATTTTTACCAGCACAATTTAGGCTCCTACGTACAAAGGAGGATCAGTAAAGAAAGGCAATTACTAACACAAATATAATTAGTAAAGGGTACCAAACGGAAGAGAATGTGATCAAGAGCTGGGCTCTTATTTAGCATATGATTGGAACAGTTTTAATATATCCTTTTCTTTCCATATCATAGCAGCTTGTGTTGTGTTTTGAAGGTGGATGAAAATTTACGTAGGTGTATTTTAGATTTTTAAAATAAGGAAACCCTAAATTCAGCTACTATATCTGCAGTTGCAGCCCACGTAGCCCAGAAAACCTTTTGTGTACTTACTGCTTTGCACATTCCACGATCTGGTCAGGAGCAGTGAATAGCTTCGGCACGGTCCTCTTGGCAACGCCCTGTTCCTTTGCCAGCTGTTGTATGCCTTGAATTATTTGTTGGGTGTGCTTCACGCCCACTTTGATCGCATGGCAAAAGTCCTGCTGCAATACGTTCTCGGCAGCAGCTTCCAACATCACTATTTATTCAAATTCAGAGATGGGAAAGTCAGTCCCAGCTGTCTTTGACTGATACGTTTCAGCTATCAACCAATATTCACAGAGAAACCCAAATGGCCAGTGTGGATTTTGAAAACAGAAGCTAACAACTTAACCTGCACTCTCGCAATGCAGGTCATTTCATTATGACATTGATCCTGACAAAGTAGAAACAGTAAGCCATGAGACATCACATACAGTCGTTTTAATGCAACAGCCTGTTGGATCAGACCGGTGGTCCATCTAGTCCAGCATCCTGTTCTCACAGGGGCCAACCAGATGCCTGTGGAAAGCCTGAAAGCAGGAACTGAGCCCAACAGCAGTCTCCCCTCCTGAGCTTTCCAGCAACTGGCAACCACAGTGGAGACAGATCATAGCCGTTGTAGCCTTATCTTCCATGCTTGGCTTTCCGCAAGACAGAACTGTTCCGCCTGGCCTTTCGTTTGGACTCAGTCTGACCCCTATGTTTCCCTTCCCTTATGTCCTGATTTATCGGCTACTTTTAAAATGGGGCTGCGTTTTAAATGCATTTTAACCTGTATTTTAAATTGGTTTTTTTTCTTTTCTTTTCCGCCTATTATGTTTTTACTGTGATTTTATTGGTGTTAGCCGCCCTGAGCCTGGCTCTGGCCAGGGAGGGCGGGGTATAAATAAATTTTAATAATAATAATAATAATAATAATAATAATAATAATAATAATAATATTTTAAAGTCATCCAGGCTGGTGGCAATCACTGCTAGGGCTGGGCGATATATCAATATATTGTCCAAAACTGGTTTGACATCCATATTGTGATATCAGATCCAGTTTCATAATTCTTGATCTGGCAATGTATCTTGAATCGTGTGTTTGTGTGTGCACGCGCTATGCAAAAAAACCAGAACGTGGGGGAAACTGTGAAGCCAGGCAATGCTTCTCTCGATTCCTACATTCCCTGCTAACTCTGCCGGCTCAGCTCTCCCGACTCCTGCAGAGGGCAGCGAATCACTGGCAAAAAGCACGATGCGGGGAAAAACGTGAAGCCAGCCAATGCCTCTACATAGCTCCATCCTTATTCCAACCACCATGATATATCAGTATATCACGATGCTTTGCTGGTGATATATCACAATGTTGAAAACCAGATATTGCCAAGCCCTAAACACTGCTTCTCCCGGGAGCAAATGTTATAGTTTAACCATGTGCTGTGTGAAGAAGTATTTTCTTTTGTCTATCCTGAATCTTCCAACACTCAGCTTCATTAAATGTTGCCAAGTTCTAGCTCTGCGAGTGAGAAAAACATTTCTCTATTCATTTTCTCCTTACCATGTGTAATTTTATACTTCTATCATGTTTCCTCTTAATCGTCCTTTTTCTAAGAAGTCTCAAATCTTGTAACCTTTCTTCATAGGGGAGTTACTCCATTCCCTCGATCATTTTGGTTACCCTTTTCCAACTCTACAATGTCCTTTTTGAGGTGAGGCAGCCAGAAATGTACACGGTTTTCCAAGTGTGGTTGCATCATTGATTCAAAGAAATCCTACCTACAAAGTTTCAGCCCAATTGATAAATTTAGTGAATGACCTCAAAACTGAGGAATCAGGAAACCACTTAAGTTTAGAACTGGTTCATACACATCAAAGTCCTTCAACACATCTCTCAGCCCTTCAATGTTCAATGCAAGAACCAGGAATTATTGCCCCTGAAGTTATCTAAAGTGATACATGAAGTCTAACTGCAGTGTTTTGATCTGTGGTTGCTGACTCACACATGCTAGTCATCAAGTGATGAATATGTGTATGTGAACCAGTCCTTGGAGAGGGTCGCACACAGGTTTTCGAATGAGCCTTCCATCTAAGCCTTCTCTCGGTGCTGCCACTCTCACAGGCAGGTTTGGCAGGGATGCAGCAGAGGGCCTTCTTGATGGCTGCTCCCAGACTTTGGAACTCCCTTCCTAGAGAGGTTAGGCTAGCTCCCTCCTTGCTGTCTTTCTAATGGCAGGTGAAGACTTTCTGGTTCCAGCAGGCTTTTGGCAACCGACAGTTTTTAAGGAAAGGGCTGGTGCTGTGATATTCTATTAATATTTTGCTATTTTTAAGTACAGTGGTACCTCTAGTTACGAACTTAACTCATTCCAGAGGTCCATTCTTAACCTGAAACTGCTCTGAACTAGAGGCGTGCTTTCGCTAATGGGGCCTCTTGCTGCCACTGCACCGCCGGCACACAATTTCCGTTCTCATCCTGGGGCAAAGTTCTCAACTCGAGGTAACTCTTCCAGGCTAGCGGAGTTTGTAACCTGAAGCATTTGTAACCTGAGGTGTTTGTAACTTGAAGTACCACTGTACTGATTTTTTTCCTGTTCTTACTAACAGCTAAGCACAGGTGGGGGAAAAAACAGTCCTTAAAATTTTTAGCTGTAAGCTGCCTTAAGTCCCTTTTAGGGAAAAAGGTGGAATATAAATAAATGGGATACCAGTAATAACAATAATCATAAGGCTGACACCTGCTTAGCTTTAAAATAGCATAAAATGGCTTCATCCCATACTCTGGCCATTTTACTAGTAAATAATCCATTTGAATCACTTACCAATTTGGCTACGAGGGGCTCCAGAGACCACTAAATCCAAAGTGCTGGACGACATTTCTTTTCGTGTGGGATTCACAACAACTTCGCCGTCAATCAGTCCTACCCTCACAGCACCTGAGAAGATACTCCATAAATTAAGATATTCCATCAGTTAGCTTTTTGCAACTAAGGCAACACTAGCTTGTGAGATTACTTTTCAGATGTGCTTTTAACACGGAAAAGCTAATGCGGTTTGGGAGAACTGCGTAAGGCTTGACAATTGATTAATTCAAGAGATTTTGCTGTCACACACGAGTATTTCAGCAGCTCCACCACTAAGAGAGCTGCCTACCCTTAGTTTGCCTGTACTGGACACAACTGATGAGGATTTAGCTCTGTTCAAACAAGTACAATACAACTTGGTCTATCTGTGCTTTGACAGCAGGCAAACTCTGCTCTACGTAGTACATAGTAGGTGGTGAACTGAGGGACTAGTTCCCAGGGGACAATTTAGCAGCCCCCTCCCTTGCTGCACAGCAAACTGCAATGAGTTCCTAAAGCAATTTTTGATACAGCAAGGAGAGGTTGGACAGCTGTTCAAGTAAAGACGAAGCAGAACTCCATTGGGCAGATAAAATTAATGGACTATGCAGAATTGAACAAAATGACAGGAAGGATTCAAAACCTGCGGGACCAGAGATTTACAGAAGATTGGAAGAAGTATATGAATTACTTGAAGAGCAACTGTAATCAACAAATTACGCTAGTAGGACTACAAGAAGTTTTGTAAGGAGAAATATATGAAGTGTTACAAAGTAGAAAAAGATAGAGATATTGGTTATGAGTTTGAAATGTAATAGGGAAGATAAGAAATGCATACAGAGAGATTAGATTGGAAAATTTTCAGACAGGATTGATGGAAGTCAAAAATTTGAATAAGATGTAAAAGTATGTTTAATTACTGTTGAAAATGATATGTTAAAAGAAGAAGAAGAGTTTGGATTTGATATCCCGCCTTTCACTCCCCTTCAGGAGTCTCAAAGCGGCTAACAATCTCCCTTCCCTTCTTCCCCCACAACAAACACTCTGTGAGGTGAGTGGGGCTGAGAGACTTCAGAGAAGTGTGACTGGCCCAAGGTCACCCAGCAGCTGCATTTGGAGGAGTGGAGACGCGAACCCGGTTCCCCAGATTACGTGACTACCGCTCTTAACCACTACACCACACTGGCTCTCAGTATGTAATAAAATATAAAAAATTATATTAAAAAAAAGAAGCAGAACTCCACTGTGCTGAAGGACAGGAGCAAATCACTACACAGGTTGCACAGACTGAATGTTAATTCACTGCTGGCACAGATCTGCCAAAAAACCCCAAAAGGACAAGAGCCCAGAGGAACCAAACAGAAAGCCATGAAAGATGTGCAAGAGGGAATAAAGTGGGCCCTGAAAAATCTGGCCACAGTATTACACTTTATTATGCTCCTCAGCAAGTACTGAACTGGCCCTGAGTCCAGAGTGACTGGACAAAAAAGGAAAGACAGAATGATGGGAGGTATCATTACCTGGCCTATTCAAGTCTTTAAGGGACCCTGCTCACATGTGATCTGTCTATTTATATGTATGGGCGTTTTGCTGTACACGTGAATCAGGTTTATATTGTTTGCAGCTAATGTCTGTGTGCTACTTGTTTTCAAATGAAGCTTTAATTGCCAATAGCTATGCAACAATAAAGACCGTCTACTTTGGAACTGGCCAATCTTGCAGCTACAAGGATGCTCTTACAAGACTGAAGCAAGACTCATCTAGATAGAACGTTAATAAACCAGCTCAGAGGCAGAACATCTCTTGAGGAGTTCCAAATATTCATTACAGGGGTGCAAACTTGAATAATATGGGGGGGGGGAGAGAGGTAAGTCCACCCCACATAATCGATCACAAGACGCATACAAGCACACCATTTGAATGGCAATGCTCATCAACGGGGGTGGGGGGGTGGGCTGGCCCCCTCAAATATTTTACTGAGTGTGTCTGTGTGTGAAGGGACCTTGCCCCCTAGGAACTGGCTCTTATGATTCATTGCAAGTTTTATTTCCCCATTCTTCTATATATGCTCTGATATATTCAATGTATCAATGACTTCAAATGTATCAATGACTACTTAATATCCATCCGGGGGGGGGGGGGAGATACACAATGTAATCTAGCCTCTAAAGTTTTCTAGCCTTCATGGTGCCTGGATTTTTAAAGCTTTTTTTTTTTTTTAAACGTTACAGCTTCAAACTGGTGAGGTTTGCTTTCATTTCTCATAAACTTGCGCCATGCGTTTTCAGACCAATGCTAAATTTAAGTTAATGCATCTTTACTCACCAATGGGACCGTTCCATGGAATATCCGACAAAGCAAGGGCTGCGGAAGCTAAAAGTAATTGAGATGCGTTACTTGAAAACTCTTTATACCGTTTTGCTAAGACTAACTAGTCTTGTTTACAAAAAACAACAACATTTACCTCCATTGATGGCCAGCACCGCAGGATCGTTGACACCATCTACAGCCAAAAGATTACAAAGGATCTGGGGAAATCAAAAGAAAAGTTGATGCATGATTTCATGTAGAAGCCCTGTTCATGTATATGGAGGTGCCAGGATTATGTCTTTAGCTCAGTCCCCAATGAGGCATCTCCCAACGATGCGTTCTTTGTGGTTATCTAAAGTCCAACAGGTAAGCTTCTACCTGCAACTGGGCACCCGGTTGCCCAGAAATTGCATGTTTAGATTTCTTTTCAGAAAGCTCAAGGCAAAGTACAGCTGCTTAAGGAAGGAGACAAAACCTCAGGGATCGGGGGGGGGGGGGGAGAGCTCAGCAACACTCCAAACAGACATGGTAACACCCTATATCCAAGCAGCACACGAAGAAGGCTAATATTATTCAAGGTGTTGGGTGACAATCAAAGTTAGGCATATTCAGAGTAGAACAAATTAAATCAATGGAGTTAAAATACTTAAATGTGGTCTACTCATAGAGTACCAATTAGCTGGGTATTACCCGTTATAGACTGTGCACCTATGGAAGTTGAATAAATATATTTCTCTACAAATATAAAGATCATCAGTAACACTTAGGTAAGGACTATCGCCTTACATGTGTTCTTCCACACACACTCTGAATGACATTAGGGTTCCAGTTTTGGATTTGTTCTCTCAACAAAGATGGGTCAGGAAGACCTTCTTTATGTTCTTTTAATTCCCCCATGAAAAACTTTTCATTTAAAAAACAAACAGAGGTTCCTATCTGTCAGGTTTACCCAACGTATCGTGGGGTTGCGTCCCCTTAATGCCCTGCTGATTATTTATTATTGCTGCTTGCTTTTTGGATCGTTAATGTTTTGTTGCCCAATAGTGATGTTATTCATTTTTGCCTTGTTTAAAAATTTAGGAGAGGGATTTTTCCAGAACCAAAGTTTTAAGATATTTCATTTAATAAATACCTTTTGGGTCCCCTATGTTTCTCATCAATTATTTTCTAATATACTGTAGAAAGAGAAGGCAACTGACTATTTCAACAGTGCCGCCTATCGCAGGACGGCTAACTGGATCCACAGCATCCCTTCCATGTACAGAAGGGCTCCTTCCATTCATGGAAAACACTGAAACTCAGCAACTCTTCTGTTGGAGGAAGCAAGGTAAGGCGAGTGACATTAACTACCTCATGCAGCCCCTAACACCCCCTCCCGCACTGCTTGTTAGGGAGTTTTCCACGGGGCCAGAGAGACGGAGGAATCGGCAGAGGTTGCCTTCCTCTCTTCTTCCAGCGGGAGGATCTCATGAATGAAGTTCCACTCAAAAGAACTCTGGATCCAACCCAGAGTGATATTTCCCACATTTATTTAGTAGCAACATACAAAGCAGCTATTTAATAGTGGTATCGCACTAACATCACACTAGGAACTAGGCTAGAAGTAAGAAGTGATCAAAGTAACTTACCTGTGTATCATAATAGTAGCCTGCTGGAAAGAGTGGTCTAATGGACCGATCTGTAAAACAGTATTAAATGCTTAAGGTCATCTCTCTCTCTCCCCCTCCCTCCCTCTCAATGTTTACCATATTTTTCGCTCTATAGGACGCACTTTTCCCCCTCCAAAAATGAAGGGTAAATATGTGTGCGTCCTATGGAGCGAATGCAGGCTTTTGCTAAAGCCTGGAGAGCGAGAGGGGTCGGTACGCACCGACCCCTCTCACTTTCCAGGCTTCAGGAAGCTATCCGCAAGCCTGGGGAGCCCGCGGGAGTTCCCGCCGGGCTCAGAAGGCTTGTGGATAGCAGCAAGCTCTGGGAGCTAAGGCGAGGTTGCACGCAACCTCGCCCCCGCTCCCGTTCTGGGGGAAGCTCGGGCTTCCCCCTCCCCCAGCCCGGCAAGCTCCGGGAGCTAAAGAGAAAGCCAAGATTTGGCTTCTTTGCTCTTTGGGGCTGGGGGGGGGGAATAATCCCCCCCCTTTATTCCCCCCCAAAAAACTAGGTGCGCCCTATGGTCCGGTGCGCCCTATAGAGCGAAAAATACGGTAATTGTTTTCACAAGCTATTCATACTGCAGCAGATGGGGACATAAAACCGGTTAAGCCAGTCCCCTGATGCAAAACAGGACTGTCTCCCAAAGACCATGTCCTGGGATCCAGGCAAACATGAAGATCGTATCCAGCCAAGAAATTAGTATCATTGGTTTCCATGGAAGAAATGCATGCAAGGCTCAATTACCCTGGAAGCCAGTCTACTGAAATCAATGAGATTTGCGTCCAGGTTAGAATGCTCAGGATCAGGTTTATGTCATCCCAAGGTAAGTAGCACTTAAGGCACAATTTTCTCTAAATATATCAAGAAACTACTGCATCATGGGGAAAGGCTTTAAAAACAAAGTCCCCCTTTTCAAATTTCCAAGAAATTATTGCAATAGTTATAATAGAACACAGCTCAGACTTATAGTACATACCTATTACTCTGCTTGTAAGAATTTCTTTATCGGTAGAGCTCAGTTCTCTTCTCAGATAATTGGTAGGAATTCTTCCTGCTGCAGCAGCTTTTTGTCGATAGTCAACCTTACATAAGAGACAATATTATTGTTCCCTTTTATTTTATTAAGCACAGGACACTGTAGAAAATCACAAGATACCAATCCAGTTTATCTGATTCACCCAGAACAATGAAATAATTTTATAGGCTTTTGTCTAGAAATGTTTTAACTTGGTTCTTTGCAAGATATTTGCATTATAACAAACTAGTATAATTTTATGCAGAGCTATGCATTATGTTAAATACTTCAGTGCTACTCACCACCAAAGGCATGAACTGAGACGGAGAAGGCTTCGTTTTACTGACCGCTGTCACCATCACTGATGTATCACCTAGCTTAATTATTTTTTAAAGAGGGGGAGAAAGGTATTAGGCACACTTCTTCAGTACAGAGCAATGAGATATCAATCTCTATATTTGCTATATTTCTGGAAAGATAGGCAAAATGTATCAAACAACTGAAACATATTTCAATGGTATATGGTTATTGAATAATTTTCTACCTGTACTACAGCACATCCGTCAGCGAATCGGGCTAATTTTCCAGAAGAGATTTCTAGTTTTCTGAAGAAAGGAAATTAAAGAAAAGTTTCACTATGTGAAATTTTATATTTCTCTTAGATCTGTGCGGCAAGGGGCTGCATTATTCAGCTGACAGGCAAACACACCCTGCAAATGCCTGTAGGTGCTTTCATACTTTCATAATGCTGTAGGTAGAAGGTATGAAAAAAGGCACCCCACACATGTTTAGAAAAACTTTCACTTTACTATAAAACTGAAGCTGGTCAGCTGTGAGGAAAGAGTCTCTCTACACAAGTTTTGCTCATATTTATATACATATATATCTTGCAGATATAAAAGCAGATATAAAAAATGAAATAAACATTACCAGCTCATGTTAACAACTAAGTGCTTGCGACCTTTGAACACATGCCTTTTCATCAATCTTGTTTGGATGCCTATTTACACGTTTTAAGTCAGGACTGATGATTTTTACCGCACCTGCTCAGAAGTGACAGCAGCGTGGGAACATGTTTCTGCTTCCACCTTGATTTTTTTTTAATTCATCTTTCCCCTCCCCACATTGCAAAGTGATCCCTGGGAGCGGATAACATGAAACATGGCAAAAGAGCTATGCGGACAAACATTAAAACTGCACCAAACTCAAGGCTGCTCCTTCTCTGGAAAAGAAATGGAAAAGTATAGCGGTGTGGTGCAGCAGTAACAAAACCACAAGCACATTTGCAAAGCTAAGCGGTGTCCGGTATGGTTTCAAATTGGATGGGGGGGGGCTGACTGCACGTTGAGATTCGTTTGGACTAGGTCACCCTCTTGCCAACAAAGGTCCATATAGTTAAAGCTATGGTTTTCCCAGTAGTGATGTATGGAAGTGAGAACTGGACCATAAAGAAGGCTGATCGCCGAAGTATTGATGCTTTTGAATTATGGTGCTGGAGGAGACTCTTGAGAGTCCCATGGACTGCAAGAAGATCAAACCTCTCCATTCTGAAGGAAATCAGCCCTGAGTGCTCACTGGAAGGACAGATCCTGAAGCTAAGGCTCCAATACTTTGGCCACCTCATGAGAAGAGACGACTCCCTGGAAAAGACCCTGATGCTGGGAAAGATGGAGGGCACAAGGAGAAGGGGACAACAGAGGGTGAGATGGCTGGACAGTGTTGTCGAAGCTACCAGCATGAGTTTGACCAAACTGCGGGAGGCAGTGGAGGACAGGAGTGCTCTGGTCCATGGGGTCACAAAGAGTCAGACACGACTAAATAACAACATAAGATCAAATGCTAAAAACAAATGGAATGAAAATATGAAGGAAATAATACTATATTAAAATTAACCAGAAAAGGAGGTTGAGGGAAGTCCGAGGGGGGAGGGGAAACTCTTGAAGTAGTGAATTATTTGTTATGATACAACACTGGAAAAATGGAAAATTAATAAAAACGATTACAAAAATAAATAAATTCCCAACTGCAGGCAGACTGTTACAACCCATCCTATCTTCAAAGGAGGCCTCTTCCAACCCTGCCATTCTGTGATTCTTCACTATGCAAGGCGGTGAGGGCAAAGACACTCTGCTCGTGGCCAGAGGCAACATCAAACACCCCCAGGAGTCAGGCGCGGCTTTGGGAACGGATTCCAAGGCTGAACCCTGGTAGGTTTTAAGCCCTGGAGGAAAGGAAGAGGAAAGGAACACACCGGTTTTTATGCGCAGGGTAACCAGTCACCTTTGCTTCCCTATCCCTTACCTGCCCCCCACGTCCACAGACACCGCTTTGGGGCCTCCAGCAGAGCTCCACAGGCCTCGAGCCCGAGCCAGCCGCGCCAGGCGGAGGCAGCCCGGACCCCTCAGCCAGGGCCCCATGGCGCCGCTACCCCGGCAAGCGCTCGCCCTCCGCCTCAGCCACGAAAGGCAGACTGCGCTGGCGGCCGCCATGACACCACAGTCGCCCGGCAAAGCGCGACCTCCGACCCCGCACTGACTTCGCACTAAGGCGCAAGCCGATTGGCTCCCCGCGACAAAACGGCCGGCAAAAGGGCGGAGCAAAGGGGCGGACCAATGAGAACGGAGCGGTGCCGAGGTTCGATTTCGATTCCCCGAAAGCGAGGGAGCAGCCGGCGGTAGTGCGCACGCGCCGGAGCTCGCCCCTCAGTGGCCGGCCCGATGCCGCGGCTGGGCCAATAAGAGGAGACTTAGAACGCCGGCGGCGTTTTCTCGTTCTCTCCTGTTCCTGGCAAGGGGCGCGGCGGAGTAGAGGTTCGATGCACGTTCTTTCCCGCAAAGAATTGTGGGTGCTGTAGTTCTTTTTTGGTTTTGAATTACAAACTTTATTGAAACTTATTTTTTGTGTGTAAATCAGTCAGTGTTTCCCAAACTTGGGTTTCCAGCTGCTTTTGGACTACAATTCCCATCACCCCGATCACTGGTCCTGCTAGTTGTAGTTCAGAAACAGTTGGGCACCCAAGTTTGGGAAATGCTGGAATTATCTAGTTCTGCATCTCTAAACTGTGCTGGCATCCATCTGTGTGGGGAGACAATGGAGGCTTGTGCCTATGGGGGTGAGGTCAAGCTACTGGACAATTGCAGCGCCTGCTGTGGCTGTAGAGACCAATGTGGGAGAGACACGTTTTAATACTAAGAATAGTAATTATTATTTATACTCTGCCCATCTGGCTAGGTTTCCCCAGCTACTCTGGATGGCTTCCAGCAGAATATAAAAATATATATATTCTTTTGCAGCTGCGACATATGAAGGTGCCCAGTTGTGCGGCTGTAGATGCACCATGGAGTTTCTTCAGTATACAGTGGTGCCTCGCAAGACGAAATTAATCCGTTCCGCGAGAGTCTTCGTCTAGCGGTTTTTTCGTCTTGCGAAGCAAGCCCATTGACGGATTAGCGCTATTAGCGCTATTAGCGGTTTAGCGGCTATTAAAGGCTTAAAGGCTTAGGGGATTAGCTGCTAAAAGGCTATTAAAGGCTATTAAAGGCTTAGCAGATTAGATAAAGGGGGGGGAAAGCGAAAAAAAAATCTCAAGACTCGCAAGACATTTTCGTCTTGCGAAGCAAGCCCATAGGGGAATTCGTCCTGCGAAGCAACTCCAAAACGGAAAACCCTTTCGTCTAGCGGTTTTTCCGTCTTGCGAGGCATTCGTCTTGCGGGGCACCACTGTACCTGAAGGAGTGTCTCCACCCCCATCGTTTTGCCCGGACGCTGAGGTCCAGCGCTGAGGGCCTTCTGACGGTTCCCTCATTGCGAGAAGCAAAGCTACAGGGAACCAGGCAGAGGGCCTTCTCGGTAGTGGCGCCCGCCCTGTGGAACACCCTCCCATCAGATGTCAAAGAGATAAACAACTACCTGACATTCAGAAGACATCTGAAGGCAGCCCTGGTCAGGGAAGTTTTTAATGCGTGACATTTTAGTGTACAGTGGTACCTCAGGTTAAGTACTTAATTCGTTCCAGAGGTCCGTACTTAACCTGAAACTGTTCTTAACCTGAAGCACCACTTTAGCTAATGGGGCCTCCAGCTGCTGCCACGCCACCGGAGCCCGATTTCTGTTCTCATCCTGAAGCAAAATTCTTAACCTGAAGCACTATTTCTGGGTTAGTGGAGTGTGTAACCTGAAGCGTATGTAACCTGAAGCGTATGTAACCTGAGGTACCGCTGTACTTTTGGTCTTTGTTGGAAGCCGCCCAGAGTGGCTGGGGAAACCCAGCCAGTTGGGCGCGGTACAAATAATAAATTATTATTATTATTCTCTCTGCAGTCCTCCTAGCGGTCATTTCTCCTATGGTCACTGCTATGGATACACGACTGCATATCTCCAGGCTCTGAGGATGCAATGAAGGATTTCCCTGGATTTAGACTGCTCCATATGGGAAGAAAGATTTAAACAGCATTTGAGCTTTGGGCCTCCTGATACCTCTCTAGCCTGCTAAATATACACACAATTAGGGCCAGCCTAATATATTTTGGTGCCTGGGGGAAAACGCAACATGGAGCCTCCCCCTCCCTCCCTGCCAGGGAAGAAGGGGTGAGTAAAGATCAACATCAGGAACAATGAGGGGATAAAGATCCACATTGGGATCTGCTGCCTCTGCGGATCTTGCCTCCCAAGGCTGGACACAGACACAGGCACAAAGGTTTGTGGAGCAGAGAAGGGATGTAGTGACATCCAGGCAGCACCGATATCTCAATGGAGTTTGTGCCACTAAGTGGTATCCAAACTTTTTTCAAAGAGGGCCAGATTTGATGAAGTGAAGGGCCGTGAGGGCCGACCAAAAAGGCCGACCTTTTTTTAGGATTTTACCCCAGACCAAAGTTGTTGTGCTTTTTAAAAGATTGAAGTTGTTGAGCCTTTTTAAGGGTTGAAGTTGTTGAGGTTTTTTAAAGATTTTTACCCCAGGAAATAAACTGCACAGAGGCCAGATTACTGGTGGGCCGGATTAGGCCCCCTAAACGGACTTTGGACATGCCTGCGTGACTAAGGGTTCACTTGGCTTTCTAGACGAAGCCTTCCAACTACAGTGGTACCTCAGGTTACATACATTTCAGGTTACAGACTCCGCTAACCCAGAAATATTACCTCGGGTTAAGAACTTTGCTTCAGGGTGAGAACAGAAATCACGCGGCGGTAGGCCCCATTAGCTAAAGTGGTGCTTCAGGTTAAGAACAGTTTCAGGTTAAGAACGGACATCGAGAACGAATTAAGTTCTTAACCCGAGGTACCACTGTACTTGTTCAGACTTAATAAACCGGTATCTGCATATAAGCAGAGTCATGATCTTTTCTTTGAAGATGCAAAACAACACATGCAACTGTTGCTACAGTGGTGCCTCGCAAGACGAAATTAATCCGTTCCGCGAGTCTGTTGTTAGCCGCCCTGAGCCCGGCTTCGGCTGGGGAGGGCGGGATATAAATAAAATTTATTATTATTATTATTATTGTTCAACAAAGCCATTCCCCCACCCCTCGCAAATATCACACTTTTGTGGTTAAGAATGTGCACCGGAATGTGTGGGATAAGCACTTGCTTTGACACGTCATCTAACATCCCTGCAAACAAATCAGAATTAGTGCTTATTAAATAGCCAACATCATCTAATCTCTCTGCAAGCAATTCAGGAAACAGGTCACCGAGAACCACCCAGTGTTGATTTTTAGAAATTAGTAAAACCAACCAAAGAACTGGGGTAACACCACTAAGGCAAAAAAGGACAGGGAAGAACTTTGTTTCTTCAAGTCATTTCAAGGGGAACTATTGTTCAAGAGCAAATGTACAAATAATGTGATATAACGTAAATAGCATAGCTAAAAGAAGGGTAATTAGTACAAAACTGAGTGAAATTTATTATCATAAGCTCATGTTAAGCTGTTGAAAGTTATCAAGCTCCTTTATACGACGTAAACTCTGGAAATTTAAAATATAATATATTATTTTATTTGTTTATAACAATAATTATAGGCAGCTGCCTCATATACGAAATTTGCACGTACAGTCGTACCTTGGGAGTCGAACATAATCTGTTCCGGAAGTACATTCGACTTCCAAAACGTTCAGAAACCAAAGTGCGGCTTCCGATTGGCTGCAGGACATTTGGCTCTCGAAAATCGTTCAAAAACTGGAACACTCACTTCTGGGCTTCAATCGTTCGGGAGCCGATTTGTTTGGGAGCCAAGGCGTTCAAGATCCAAGGTATGACTGTACGACAAAATATCATATACCTTAAAAACAACAAAAATAATAATAACTGGCGCATCTTGGGAAAAAAACCAGCAACAGCTGAAGAGACCTGTCAACATGAAAGGGGCACATGAAACTTAAAATCAAGGATGCCTGTTGAACCTCTGTTAGAAGCGTATTCCTCAGCATGGGATTGGTGACACTAAATGTCCGACTTCAATTGAAGCTACAGAGCTACAGTAATCAGCTGAAAAACTCGCAACCCTAAAAGAAGAGACAGACTTAATAGCTCTGAGTATTATATACCAACTTTATGGTGTACTATGGAAAGCAAAAATGTTTTTAATTATGCTTCTGTGTGTTTAAGGTATGATACATTATGGGCAAGTCTTATTATTATTTTTAAAAGGATATTAATTATTCCATGAAGTGTAAAGTTATATAGCTCTCTTGCTGGAGACCAGAGATGATTGTTCATTCATGCTCAGACAGCAGAATAATGTGAGCTCAAAGCAACAATTGTGCCAGTATTGGACTTCACACATGATTAAATTAGTACTAGCTGATGTGCATTATAGAGTTGCACGCAGCTTCAGTCCTGAAACAGCGATAGACTCAATGGGTGTCTGGCTTACTGAGGTGTGGTTACCTTAGAATGAAGGTCAATGGCTGTGGTATCTTTTTAGGATATATTATTTACACATATATACAGCCTGAGACATCACCTTGCCAACAAAGGTCCGTATAGTTAAAGCTATGGTTTTCCCAGTAGTGATATATGGAAGTGAGAGCTGGACCATAAAGAAGGCTGATCGCCGAAGAATTGATGCTTTTGGATTCTGGTGCTGGAGGAGACTCTTGAGAGTCCCATGGACTGCAAGAAGATCAAACCTATCCATTCTGAAGGAAATCAGCCCTGAGTGCTCACTGGAAGGACAGATCCTGAAGCTGAGGCTCCAATACTTTGGCCACCTCATGAGAAGAGAAGACTCCCTGGAAAAGACCCTGATGCTGGGAAAGATGGAGGGCACAAGGAGAAGGGGACGACAGGACGAGATGGTTGGACAGTGTTCTCAAAGCTACCAGCATGAGTTTGACCAAACTGCGGGAGGCAGTGGAAGACAGGAGTGCCTGGCGTGCTCGAGTCCATGGGGTCACGAAGAGTCGGACACGACTAAACAACTAAACAACAACAACAGCCTGAGCATAGGATGGAGGGCTCACAGTATTAACACTTTCAACAGACCTCACTTCCCCATTAAGTTTCCCAGGGAATCCCAGC